AAAAAAAAAAAAAAAGGAAAGAACCAGCCCGCTAACTTTTTGCTGCTCGTCCAAAGTCGCGACCACAAAACAGTCCGCCACTGTCAGTCCTGTCCAGTTCAGTTCAGTTCAGTCCCGAAGACGCACCTGACTGCCTGCCCTGTCCTGCCCTGTCCTGCCGGGTAACTAAGTGCTCACTCACCTACACACTTTATTCTCCCCTCCTCGCGACCCATCGCCAACTTCATCGCGACGGGATCGGTGAACTACTCCCCTTCATCACGTCTCTCCCCTCCACCACCAATTCTTCTAGTTCACCCTGAACCCCTTCCATTCTTCCGTATCATATCAGTTGGGTCTCGCTTCAAAAACACGATCTAGTCTAAGAAGAAAAAAACAAGATATAAAAAAAAAGGATAGAATTTTTTTTTCTCCTTCTTCGCCTAGGTCATCGTCGCGACATCCATCTAATATCGATCAAACCTTTTCATCATCATCATTCTTTCCTATTGACGGGCGTGTTTCGTTTCTGTCCATTCCTTAATTTCCCTCTTCAAGTCCAATTAATGCCCTAGGGACCTGCGTTCGTATCTCTCCCTTTCACCGTTGCAGTCCGACACGTCGTACAACGCTTCGTCGTCTCGTCTCAGCAAACAGCCTTCCCTGTAGGGCTGGGTTGGCGGGTATAACTCCTCCAATCGCTTTTTGAGATGATGAACACCGGCCAAATCATGGCCACCCAGGTCCACCAGCAGCCTCACCAGCTGCACGGCAATGGCGCCGCTCCCCATGGTATGATGGGCCTACAACAGCCCTCGCGAGAACAGGTCCAGCAGATCTATCAGGTACGTTTCTCATATCCTCTTCATTATGTCTCGACATATGCCTACCTTTTGCTTGATCGGTCATATATCGAAATGATCTGCCGTATATTAATCACCTCAATTTCGCTTCACAGAGATGGCAAGCAATGAAATCTGCCGGTGCCACCGATGCCACAAGCCCAGAATTTGCCCAGATGTCCGCCTATCTGAGAGCGCTCAGCAGTCAGCAGAATAGCATGAAGCAGCAACAGCAGCAGAAGATGCAGCAGGCCCAGCAGGCTCATCAAGCCCAGCAGGCTCATCAGGCCCAGCAGGCTCACCAGGCCCAGCAGGCGCACCAGGCCCAGCAAGCTCAGCAAGCTCAACACCAACAGTCCCTTCAAAACCAGGCCAATGGCGTACCAATGCAGGCCAAGGGCAACGGAGTCCCCGGCCCAGTTCTCAACCACTCATCTCCTAATAATGCTAATCTCCAAAAATCACAACAGTCGCCACATCCTCCCGTTACACCTTCAAAACCAGATTCTGCGGCTTCTAACGCCCCCGGTCATCCTCCTCAGACACCTGGAAACCCTAAAGCTCCTGGAACCGCCAATCCTTCGCCATGCTTCACCGGAGAACAGCTGAATACTCTCAAACACCAGATTATGGCGTTCAAACTCTTGACCAGAGGCCAGGTGATCCCTCCCAACCTGATGGGCATTATTAATGCTGCCTCTACTGCTGGCAAGGTAGCCGCTTCCATTGCTGCAACTCCCACCCCTAGTACAGACTCTGCAACAAAACCGCCTGCCGCCGAGAAGACCGATGGTGCTCTTGTTCCCGTCAGAACCGGATATGAATCATTCACATCTCCATATACTTTGTTCCTACCGACAATATCGCATTCTGATCATGGAATCCGCGCCAATCGTCCCCTGATCCCCAGTATCATGCCTACTGGTATCGAGTTGGGGCGTCTCAAAGAAGAACGTGACAAGGCCATTGCCAATAGGATCCAGGCTAGGAGAGCAGAGCTCGAGGCTATGGATATTAACATCGCCACCATTAACCGGACGACTCTCGAGACTAACGATACCGAACGTGCCCGTCGTATCATCGAATACAAATCGCTCGCCCTCCTGGACATGCAACGTGAGATGAGAAAGCAGATGGTTCAGAATATGGTTCACTATGACAGTCTTGCCATGACCACGAACCGTTCGATGTTTAGACGTATGAAGAAGCAGTCATTGCGCGAAGCCCGCATCACAGAGAAGCTGGAGAAACAGCAACAAGAACAACGTATCAATAGGGAGAAACAAAAGAGAGACGAATATCTCAAGGCGGTTCTCACCCATAGCAAAGATGTTCTCTCCGCCTCTACCACCGGCACCAAGGCCCAGAAATTCGGGAAACTCATGGCTGCACACCATCAAACCATGGAGAAGGAAGAACAGAAGAGAATCGAGAGAACTGCCAAGCAGCGTCTACAGGCTCTTAAAGCTAACGATGAGGAAGCCTATCTCAAATTGCTCGACCAAGCCAAAGATACGCGTATCACCCATTTGCTCAAACAGACTGATGGTTTCCTTAAGAACCTCGCTCAGGCAGTTAGGACGCAGCAACGAGACGCCCGCGAAAAATATGGTCGTCCTGATGGATACATTTCTGAAGAGGAAGAGAGCGAAGATGAAGAAGACGAGGAATCCGGCAAGAAGATCGACTACTACGCTGTTGCTCACAGAATCAAGGAAACAGTTTCAGAACAGCCTAGCATCTTGGTTGGTGGCAAGCTCAAAGATTACCAGCTCAAGGGTTTGCAGTGGATGGTTTCCTTATTCAACAACAATCTCAACGGTATCTTGGCAGATGAGATGGGTCTCGGCAAGACAATTCAAACTATCTCTTTGGTTACTCACCTTATAGAAAAGAAGAATGTCACTGGACCTTTCTTGGTCATCGTGCCATTGAGTACGCTGACTAACTGGACTCTGGAATTCGAGAAATGGGCACCGTCCATCAAAAAGATCGTCTACAAGGGACCTCCACTCGCGAGAAAGGCACACCAAGCCCAAGTTCGATCCGGTGACTTCCAAGCTGTCCTCACGACCTACGAATACATTATCAAGGATAGGCCGGTCTTGTCGAAGATTAAGTGGGCTTACATGATTGTCGACGAAGGTCACAGAATGAAGAACAGCGAATCTAAACTCAGCTTCACTCTTACCACCTACTACATCTGCCGCTACCGCCTTATCCTGACGGGTACTCCACTCCAGAACAATCTGCCTGAATTGTGGGCCCTTCTCAATTTCGTCCTGCCGAATATCTTCAAATCTGTCAAGAGTTTCGACGAATGGTTCAACACCCCCTTTGCCAATACTGGTGGTCAAGACAAAATGGAACTCACAGAAGAAGAGGCATTGCTTATTATCAGACGTCTTCATAAGGTTCTAAGGCCTTTCTTGTTGAGACGTCTCAAGAAGGATGTCGAGGCAGAACTTCCAGACAAGGTCGAAAAGGTTGTCAAGTGCAAGTTTTCAGCACTACAGGCCAAACTTTACAACCAGATGAAGCAAAGCGGTGCGATTTTCGTCGCCAGCGAAAATCAGAAATCAGGGTATGTGCTATTCCTATTTGCTTCTGCAAATTAATGAATCTGTCAATCAATGCTAACTCACATTGCTTGTTTTCTAGTCGTGTTAGCATCAAGGGCCTGAGTAACATGCTTATGCAGCTTCGAAAAATCTGTAACCATCCGTTTGTCTTCGAGGATGTTGAGAATGCAATCAGTCCCGGGCCGCTAGCAAATGACTTGCTGTGGCGTACGGCTGGTAAATTTGAACTTCTCGATCGTTTGCTTCCAAAATTTTTCGCAGCGGGCCACAGAGTAAGTACCCAAAAAAAAACAAAAAAAAAAACAGAAGAAACAATCTACGATTGAAGATATAAAAACTAACATTTTTTCATAGATTCTCATGTTTTTCCAGATGACGCAGATCATGAACATCATGGAGGATTTCTTGAATTTCAGAGGCTGGAAGTTCATGCGGTTGGACGGCTCAACGAAAGCCGACGATCGTAGTGTAATGTTGAAGGACTTCAATGCTCCTGGTTCGGACTATTTGATTTTCTTGCTATCCACCCGTGCTGGTGGTCTCGGTCTTAACCTTCAAACTGCCGACACGGTCATCATTTACGACTCCGATTGGAATCCCCATCAGGATCTCCAGGCCCAGGATCGTGCCCACAGAATCGGCCAAAAGAACGAGGTGCGAATCTTGCGTCTTATCACCAGCAATTCCGTAGAAGAGAAGATTCTATCGAGGGCACAGTACAAGCTCGACATCGATGGAAAAGTCATTCAGGCTGGTAAATTCGACAACAAGTCTAAGGACGAGGAGCGAGATGCTCTTTTGAGATCTTTACTTGAAGTCGACGAAACTGAGAAGGATGACGGAGATGAACAACTAGATGATGATGAGTTGAATGAGGTCTGTGCTAGAAATGACCAAGAATTGCAAATGTTCAGGCAGATGGATAAGGACCGAGAGGCAAATTCACCATACGGAGAAGGCAAGGCATTGGCTCGACTTATGGAAGAATCCGAGCTTCCTGCTGTTTACCTGCAGGAAGATATCGGCCCAGAAGTTGAAGAGATTGTACCCACAGGCCGTGGTGCACGTGAGAGGACACAGGTCAGATACGATGACGGCCTTACGGAAGAACAGTGGCTCGATGCTATGGATGATGACGAGGATACCGTCGAGGACGCAATACGCCGGAAGCGTGAGTCTCAAGCTAAACGAGCTGCTAATAAGGCTAAGAAGCAAGGGAGCGGGGAAGGCGAAGAAGAAGAAGAAGAGGAGGCACCCCCGACACCAGAGGAGATTCCTGTTGCGACACCTAATAAGAGAAAGCGTGGTCGTCAACCGAAGGCTGAGAAGCGTAAGAGGGAGGAGGAAGTAGTTGAGGAAGCACCAAAACGCAAGCGTGCAAAGGGCAAGAACAGCAACGCAGACCCATTGACTAATAAGGAACGCGCCAATCTGCAAGAGGCGATGGTCAGAATTCATGCTGCGGTGATTGATCTCCCCGAGGATGAGGAGTCGGAACGAAAATGCTCAGAACACTTTGTGGTTCTGCCGAGCAAAAAGTTCTACCCAGACTATTATAAGATAATACTCCGTCCGATATCGTTTGATATGATAAAGAAGAAGATAGACCGGGAGGATTATATGTCTTTGAACGACTTCAAGGAGGACTTTTTGCTTATGTTCAGGAACGCTAAGCTTTACAACGAAGAGGGCAGCATGGTTTACGAAGATGCTGTTGCTATGGAGGTAAGACAAGCAAAAAATCCTTATATATATAAATGAAGACGCTAACGAAGTAATTCAAGGATGAATTCCGCTCACAAGCCCAGAAAGAGGCCGAGAAGTACAATATGCCACTCGACCTTTCTGACCCAGTGGAAGTTCCTGCAATCGACAGCGCCCTACTCGGTGCCATCGCCGGTGAAGCTAAAGACGGATCCGCTGCTCCGACTGGATCTGTCAGCGGGACGCCAGCAGCCAATCCACCACCTGTCACACCTAACATTAAGCTCAAGTTCAGCGTCAGCAAGAAACCACCCCCGGAGGAAGAAGAGGAAGATCATGGAGATAGTGGTGATGAAGGCGAGGACGACTAAGACCCGTCAAACCCATCTTCATTTCCCTATTCGGATTGAAAAGAAAAAGAAACAAGGGAGGCCTTTTTTTCGATTCCTTTTTGCAGACTTCAAAAATATTTTATTTTTCTCTTTATCTTTCCTGACGACTATACGTTTAATGATCAGACAGGGCTCTCTCCCTGCGTGTTCCCCTCGAACGAAATTCTTTTCCCCTTTTTCTCTCCGGATATCCCGTACTCTTTTTTGAAAAACAGACTACTACTACTCTTACATTACCCTCGCCGAGTGTGTTAATATTCTACATAACTCTCCATTATTTGTTTTCAGCTCGTGTATTGCTATTGGGCGAGGCGTTTTCCTTTTCCTACTACTATTACTATATAGTCCTCCTCCTTTCAATTCGCTGAGACTTGCAATTGCTAGCTATTAGCAGTCTTTGTCCGTTTCTCTTCCCCCTTTAACTTCTCTTACCTTTGAGATCGGCTTTGTTCGTTTTTTCTTTTCCTTTCAAGTTTGTTAGAAATATCCCTGGGAGAGAACAAGAAAAGAATTCTGTGCTTCTTTTGCTTCGCTTGTCTTACTGTTTTTTTATTTTCTCGTTTTCGCCCTAGGCTATATATATTACTCACTAGTAGCTTACAGCCTCGTTAGCTTTTGGCGTTCTTCGTTAGTATGGAGAAGTAAATAAAGAATCGTGGTAATTAGTAATCATATCGTCTCTTCCAATCGACGTAGATTCTCAAAGATGTGAGGCCGACATATATTGAGCCCCAAGTAGCAGTACCCCTGCGGGTTTTGCGGGGCCGAGTTTGAACGTTTTGCAATTTTGGGGTCCCGACCTTTTTTTTGGCGAAAAAGGTTTAACCATCCCACCTTTCACCAAAAGACACACCCCGCTATAGTTATAACATTCTCACGCGCCGCGACGACGACGACGACGACGACGACAACCATTCTAGTACCTCCAACAACCGGACATACGAAACGAGAACGACGTGGAACGAATTTCGCTGGTATCTGAACTTAAAACACAAAGGCTTTGCTACAGCAATTCGCTCAAATTCCCAATATCCCAACAGCGTAACGAAGAGAGGGGGGTTGGATATAGTAAACCCACAAAACCGCCAAGATGGGTATTTCGGAGAAGATTAAAGAGTATGAGAATTTTTGTTTCCTCCTGGGGTTTTCAGCTGGGCGTATGGAATTCCGGAATTGGATGCTGACGGGGATTGGATTCGGTTGATAGGATTGAGGATGAGATGAAGAGGACGCAAAAGGTATTGTTTCTTTCTCCCTTCTCTTTTTTTTTATGATCTTTATTTCTTTTTTATTCAATTATATCTTGGAGTTTCTGGGTAGAAGGCTAATATATGTCATGGAATGTTTAGAATAAAGCCACAGGTTCGCTATTACTCCTTAAACCTACTATGTTACCCTTCTCGCTGGTGGGAAAGACGGGATTGAATAACGATTTATATTCGAGAGGATAGAATATCATTTGGGTCTATTAAAAGGGTAACAAAACCCCTCTCTCTTACCTACGAGAAGACCAAAAATGAAGATAAGAAAAGAGAGGAATCTAACGGATAGTACCTTTTTTTTCTTTCTTTCTTCACAAGAATAGAAAACTAGCACGACTGAGAGCGCAATTGTTGGAACCTGGTCCGGGATCTGGAGGCGGTGGTGGGAGTGGATTCGATGTTAGTAAAAGCGGAGGTACGATATTGTCAATTACCCCGGAGTTTTTTTTATCAAGCAATCGCAGGGTAGAAGGCTGATGGTGTATGATGATATATTATCACAGATGCAAGAGTATCACTCGTCGGTTTCCCGTCTGTCGTATGTCCACACCTCTCTCTTTCCACCGACTACCCCCCAAGGATAATAATAACCTAATGGTGGTGAGAATACAGGGAAAATCCACCCTCCTAACCAAAATCACCAAAACCCGTTCCGAAGTCGCCGCCTACGCCTTCACAACCCTCACCGCCATCCCGGGAGTCCTCGAATACGAAGGTGCCGAAATCCAAGTCCTCGATCTTCCCGGAATCATCGAAGGAGCCGCCGAGGGCAAAGGTCGAGGACGACAAGTCATCTCCGCCGCAAAAACCTCAGATCTAATAGTCATGGTCCTCGATGCCACAAAAAAGCTAGAACAACGTACACTACTAGAAAAGGAATTAGAAGCCGTGGGGATCAGATTAAACCGAGAACCCCCGAATATTTATTTAAAACCGAAGAAATCCGGAGGCATGAAGATCAATTTTATGAGCCCCCCCAAGTATTTGGACGAAAAGATGATTTATAATATTATGAGGGATTATAAGATGTTGAATGCGGAGATTTTGGTTAGGGATGAGAATGCTACTGTTGATGATTTTATTGATGTCATTATGGCGCCGAATAGGAAGTATATTAGGTGGTATGTATTATCTTCCCCCCCTTTTATATATTGGGAAGGGTCTATGGAGGCTGATGATTCTGGTGGATGGGTAGTTTGTATGTGTACAACAAGATCGATTGTATCTCAAAGACATACCTCAACCAACTAGCCAGAGAACCACATACCGTCGTCATGAGCTGCGAGTTGGATTTGGGGATTAAAGACGTCGTAGACAGGGTCTGGGAGGATCTGAGGTTATTGAGGATATACACCAAGAAGTACCCACCCCCCGCCTCATTCCATAATAAACCCTCGAAAAAATCTTTCCTAATCAGTGTTAACTTCTTTTAACATTATAGGAAGGGAAGCGCCCCAGACTTCTCAGAGGCATTGATCGTGCGAGACGGCAGCACGATTGAAGATGTGTGCGATCAGATCCATAGGACTATCAAGGAAAGGTTTAGATATGCGCTTGTGTGGGGGGCTAGTGCTAAACATTCGCCGCAGAGGACGGGGTTGAATCATTTGGTTGCGGAGGGGGATGTTGTTTCTATTTTTACGAAGTAGAGTGTGGGAGAGGTCTAGACTTTGTAAACTGTCTCCTTTTTTTTGTTATTAGAAAGAGAGGCTGGTTTAGATGGATCTCGATGTCATGGTTCTCTTTTTCTTCTTCTTCTTTTTTCTTGCATAGCTGTATGTATTACTTATGATATTTCTTAGAGCGAATTTGAATGTTAATGTGGATTTGATTATGTGTCATTGTGGTTATTTTGCTTCCCTCTATTTGAAATTCCTTGGGCTTTTCCTATCTCTCTATTTTGTGTTTATTCTATTTTACATGAGAGGGGAGTAGACAAGAGTTAATAAAACTCGTAACTATGGAAAGTGTGCTGTACATACAAAAAAAAAGAGGATCAATAGTTTTATGTCTTAAGAAGTCAAAAAACATTCTTAAACAAGTATCGATAACATAAAATTTGCTTTCTCTTTTTTTTTTTGTTAAACCCCATTCTTCAACTGTTTTCCCTTCCGAGAGATCGAAGAATATAGGAAGCAGAAGATAGTTGAATCAATAAAGGTTGCTTAATGCTAGTCCTTGTTAGAAGAGACATAAGCATTTTCAAAAAAAAGACGAACTATATTGATTTTAACATTTGTTTCTTTCTTTTCCTGCCCTTTTTTCCCCGACTCCTTCTTCTGACGTTGAATATTCGATTGTGGAGGAGATGTTGAGGATTTGTTTTTGGAAAAGAAGGAGAGGAGTGGTCGTGATAGGCGTAAGTCGGAAGAAGTCGTCATCGTCGTTGTCGTCGTAGAAAAAAGGACATCATTGAAAAGGAAAAAATTGTTCGTTTGTTCGTTCCTCCTTGAAGATGGGTATTGATCTTCGAGAAAGGGAAAGAAGTATTGTAGAAGAAAGGAAGATATCTTGTGATGAAATTTTTTCTTTCTTTCTTAAAGCTTGTTGAATTTTTGCCCAAGAAAAAAAAATCAATCCCAAGATGAAGGAGGGGGGATAGTAGAAGGCAAGGCTAGGAGGAGGAAGTAGACAGGATGGAGGGAATAGATTTGCCTTGTGATCGAGGAAAAGAGGTGAAGGATCATAGGAAGTATGTATGATCCTGCAATTATGTCGTTTTTTTTATAAACAACATTTTGAATAGCAGCTTTTTCTGTAGATAAAGGTGCTGATAGTTCGCAAAAAGGTGTAGTGGAGTGGAGATATATCAAGCTGGACATCAAAGGAGTCCTGTGGTGTGAGAAAGATCCAAGGCAAAATATCTCTCTCATGTAGTCGGAAAAAAAAGAACCAATAGTAAACGATAAAGGAAAAGAAAGAGTCGAAAAAACAAGGGAATGCAAGCAATGATAAGAAAACAATACCACAACTGGTATTGCAAATAGAAAAAAAAGAAAGATACAAAGCCTTTTGATCAAACGTTGAGGATTGTTGAATGTCTCTTCGTCTTTTTGTGCTTCTGAATAGTTGGAATGTAGGCAAAAGGAAAAACTAGTGAGAAGAGAGAAAAAACTCACTACTTCAACAGGAAGTTGAAGCCGACACCAATGGCAATACCAATAGCTAGAGTCATAATGTGTGGGAATAATTTGAAGTTCGATTCAGCTCTCTCTCGTTGTTGGAGGAGGCCTGGGGCTTCTTCAAATATGCCGGTCTTTTCAATAGACTTGGGGGGAAGCTCGTCGTTGGCCTCTTCGACTGTATCAATGTTGTCTATGGGCTCGAGGAGAGGTTTATCGTCAACGTCCTGGGTCTTGATTTGAATCTCATTCTTCCTGGCTTCGAATTGGTTGACCTTGATGTCCTGGGTCTTAATCGGGACCCTACTCTTCCTAGCTCCGAGTTGGTTCACTTTGGTGTCCTGGGTCTTGATCAATACTGGAATTCTAGTTTTCCTGGCTTTAAGTTGGTTGACCTTGACGTCCTGGGTCTTGATTGGGATCCTGGTCTTCCTAGCTCCGAGTTGGTTCACTTTGGTATCCTGGGTCTTGATCAATACCGAGATTCTAGTCTTCCTGGCGTTAAGTTGGTTGACTTTGATGTTCTCGGATTTCTCTGATCCGTTGGATGATTCGGATGATGATTCTTTTTCATCGGAAATTTCTTGTGAGGATTCGGATGATGATTCCGCGTCGTAGAAAATGTCTTCTGAAAACTCGGAAGATTCTTGATCTTGGGAAGATTCGAGTGAGATTTGATCAAGGGAAAAATCGGATGACTCTTGATCCTGGGAAGATTTAAGTGAGACTTGGTCAAAGAAAGGTTCGTATGACTGTTGATCTTGGGGAAATCCAAGTGAGGCGTGACATTCATCGACGTTTTCATCGTCATGCTCCTCTCCTTGAAATTCGTCGTCCGTCTCGTCGTAGTCATCGTCATCGTCATCATTCCCATAAAATTCATCGAAATGTGCTGGTAATCTAATCGGTGCCATGATGATACCGTGCTTTTGACGAAGCTCTTCTTTGATCTGGCTGTACGAGTCGACCAAGGCTCTCAAACTCCTAATTTCTCGTCCCATCTTGCTGTTTTCTTCACGTTTGAATTTCCGAAGTTGTACTGGATCGTTTCCGAGGATGTTTATCTCAAGCCACTCTGTTTCTTTCAACAGTAGTTCGAGGATATGAGAAAGAATGCGAATATCTGGGATGTTGTTGTTTTCCGCGTGGACACCAAAGGTGGTTAGAAGGTCTTCCGGAGTATCTCCAGGGAATTTCTCGATGTAGATAGAGAGCGTGCCAGCAAGGGTCAGGCGATTGAAACGAAGGTTAGCTAGATTGATGTCAGTAACTGATTCTTCTTGTTCGTTAGAGTTAGTGTCGTGAGAAGATGTGGAGGAAGGGGTGATGGGGTCCTGAGGGTTCGGAATCCAATGCTACAGAGGCCAGGGAATTGCGAGAACAAGATGGAGAACCATGAGGAGCTTCAGGAGCCTGAAAGGGCGATTGAAGCTCGTAGTTCATGATCCTGGCTCTAGCTCTCAAACTGTTGATTTGAGATTCCGTGAAGAGGGATGTATTGATGGGGGTAGGTGCAGGTTCTTCATCCTGGGCATATTGAGGGATTCGAAACGCTTCAGCAAGGAGAACAGAAACGGGCTTGTCAGAAGGAATGTTTGGGGCCATGATGAAAGGGTAGTCCAGATGACGGGGTAGTGATAACAATGGTTAGATGCTCGGAGAAGTGTAGGTGGTTGATGGAGACGTTGCTGTGTTAGGACGCGACTTGGGGGAATCAATCTTCGTGTACCTTCGAGTCTCAAGAACGCTGGTGCAGTTGAAGGATAGAATGTTACTTTGTAAAGAGAGAGATGAATAGAATGAAGTTTGTTTTATTGAGAATGGATGGATAGATGAGAGGTTGACGTGATGATTGTGATTGATTGTGATGATGGGTTGGGAGGTGGATGAGGATGGATGAGGATGGAGGAGGATGTTGATGTCAGGAGGATGGAAACAGTGTGACGGCCCTTTTATAGTCAAGTTGATTTCAACATACCCCGCGTCCATCCTCGACGCCTTATAGCTTAGCAAATGAAACAACCCTTCATTTACCCCCAAACCACCACTATCTTCTCGACAATCAATCGAAACAATTGTAAGTACCACTCCAGCGAGCTAGATCCTTTGCTAAAAACTAAATAATAAAAAAGAGAAACAGGGCATTCGAGTCCGGATCAGATAGCAAAGAGAGTAAAATACACCCATATGCTGAGCCGCGTTTAAACAACAGTATCATCTCCTTCCCCAGAACCATCACCTCCTTCTCCGGAACCTCCATTGTCATTGCCATTCTCTCCACCATCGTTAACACTACCTTCGCCCGACGCTTGCAAAGCAGCCATAAAATGTGCAATGTCATTATTGACAGAGGCGAGTCTTCGATATTCGCCCTCGAGACGCTCAATCGTGTTATAGGCGAGCTCCGCTATCTCGATAATACGGTTCATATACTCATGGTACATGACCATCTGATCAGCTAAGCCAGGTGGAAGAGCTGAATAGACGGCATCGACATTTAAAGGTGATGGGGTGCGGGTGGCGTTTATGGTTGGGCTGGCTTGGCCTTCTACAAACTCTGCGTGCTCTAGATAGTTGTCTGAAGCTTGGCTGGCGGGTCTATTAGGGAGATCTTGGCCGTTGGGAGTGTCTAGATTGAAGTTTACTCTATTAGCGGTATGCTCTCTATTTATAACCATGGGTTTACAAGTATAGCTTTGGCGGGTTTACTTTGATCAGAATAGCCCTGCGAACTGATAGGATCCATGATTGATTGGTTGGGATAGAAGGATGGTATGTTTCTTCAGACGAGTATTTTCAATGATATGACGACCTTCTGACAACAGCTTTCTGCTTCCTAGCTGAAGACTTTTCCGTGTTTGGTGGTTTGAGAAGGAGGAGTGAAGGGAACGGAGCAAAGAAAGAAAGTTAGAAATAATTATGGTGATCGAGAGAAAATATTCGTGGAGGGTGTTCACAGCGTAGAGCGTACAGACAAGGGAAGCAAACTCTTCGAGGATTCCACTATGATCAGGAGCGCTCTAACTGTATCGCCATATTTACAACTGAAGATCAGTAGTCACCCGGACGGCATCGCGGTACCGGTTTGGTCTTAGATATTATCAAAGGCTATATGCCTCAGTGATAAGAGATTATACATGTCATCTATATTTAAAGTTTATCTAAATATCTTTACCCAAAAATGTCTAGACAAAAGGCAACTACATTAATTTGGAAAGGATACTTCGAATACTCGATATCGTGAGAATTACGGGGTCGGCGTGTTGTATGAGGTTGCATCTGTTGCATTTTTGTGCGTGTTCCACAAAGATATAAACTTGGGTATTTGGGGACGATCGATGTTACACAGTCTTGGTCTACAGGGGCTGGAAGATTAAATTATAATGTTCGAAAGCTACGAGTCTTGATCGGGATTATTCAGGGATGTTCAATTTAGAGACAGAATGTAGATATACATTGCAAGAAACGCCGTTCCAACGAGAGAAGGATAGAAAAACAACCAGCTAAAAGAATGAAGTTATGACGCCGAATTGGTCAATATTGTATGAATTGACCATTACCCCCCAGAAAAGCGCCCAAATTAAGATCAAAAGTCGTTTGTGCATGTAATATAGTATGTAAGTACCCGGCCAAACCGTCTTGCGAAAGAAGCAAAGTCCCTTCACACAATATTACACATTCCCTTCTTCTCCAGAGCACTAATCCGTTCATTCAAGGTTTTGACTTCCTCATCCTTCATTCTCTTCTCATCCCTCAATGTTCTTTCCATATCGCTCAAAAGTTTGCCGTAGTACTCTCTAAGTGCTTGAACGGCCGCTTCATTCTTTTCCTCCTGGCTCTTCATAATCATTTCCTTCATTTCCGTCATCTCTCGTTGATGCTGTTCCTTAACTCTCGCCAGCTCTTCCATGATTTCCCTTCCCGCAGAAGTGTCCTTGAGGGCTTTATTCCCTTTCCCCATCTCCTCTTGCAGTTGTAGATAGAATGGTTTATTTTCCATCAACAAACCTGCAACTTCCCTGGCTGACTCCGAAGTACCCTTATACTTGATAGTCTTAGCCTCAAATGCCAACAAAACCTTCCAGAACTTCTCTTTCAACTCCCTCTCCCTCCTAGCACCTTCTTCAGCAGTAACTTTATCCCACATGCTAGTCGTCAAAACCACGTTCTTCAGATTTTTCTCCCCCGTGAGTTTCCTGAACATTTCCAAATTCTTTGTAGCAGGGTTTGTCATTCTGTTTTCAGAGATAGGGTGGAGGTAAATGATTCCGTGAAGCTTCATGTCTTTACTGTATGCAGCGGCGAGGTAATCCGCGATCATCTCTAGGACTTCAGTGTCCGAGAGATAAGTATCGCTAAAACCGGGGGTATCGACGAAACGAACTGTCGTTTCACCGATTTTCGTCTCGTGAACTGAGACCTCGCGAGTGCAAGATTCAAGGCTGTGACCAATTCCGAGATCGGATTTCCCGGTGACTTTGGAGATGAAAGTTGTTTTTCCAGCACCGGTCATTCTATTCGTACCATATTTAATTAGTATAAGTAAACTCTTAACATAAAACGCAAGCGCGTGTGAAGGTGTGGATTTCATACCCCATAACAGCAATCAAAACGACTTTCTCCTTGTTCCAACCAATATGGCTTTTCAACGATCTATAGGCCTCCTTGCCACCAGAGTAGAACCCAAACCCTCCTTCAGTATTCTCACTAGCATTCCCCATCGAAACGAACGAATCTTCCAAACTAGATTCTCCCATTTTCTGCGATATGGAATCCATCTGTGGGACGTAGCTTGCAGGCTTTGGAGGAATAGGTGGAACTATTGGGTCTTTCTCTCTATGGGTAGATTCGGAGAGTCCTGGAGGATTCTTATCTGAGACGACAGTGGGAGTGTCGGAGGTAGAAGCAGAAGAGGAAGGAGAAGTCTGCGTTGGAGGTGTTGGTGGCGGGAGTTGCATTTCAGTGGCGTCGTTGTCGATGATGTCGAAGTCGTCCTCGTCTGGAGTGGCGGTACTGTACTGGGGGGCTACTGGATTCCTGGTCATCTTGGAAGAATCTCTTTTTCAAAAAGAACTTAATTCTGGAAACACCAGAAACGGAGAAATCTGTGAATCTTGTGTAAGTTAAGTACTAAGTAAGTAGGTAAGAAAGAAATGGAAAGGAAGAAAGGAAGAAAGGAAGGGAACAGAAGAGCTTAAGAGAAACAAAAAGGACTGGCCTTACTTCTCTTCGCCAAAAGCGTGGTGGCCGTGTGGGTTGGTTTACAAGTGGCGAAGATGTCCCGCATTTCAGCTTGGCGGGGTCTTTTTGAGAGCTTGCGTGTCGACCTTGCACCAATAACATCCACACCATCCACGTCCACTCTCATCTCAGGGAAGGCTGCGGGAAAGGGAAAAAAAAAAAAAAAAAGGGAAAATGGAGATTGACACTCAGCCACCCGTCGCTGAAGTACCGGCAATTGCAAAGGCAAAGAAGAAACATGGGGAACAGCGATTTACGGTTCGAAAACCCGAGTGGCAATATCTGCATCTGAGAATGTATGTATACGTTTTCTTCAATTATTATATTACACACGAACATGGACTAATATAATCAACTATGTTATACAGGACCTTCGATCCACCCCATCCGCCAACATATTCATCACCATCCTATCCTCCCGACCTCCTAACCTGGAAAACACATCTTTCTACTGCTCTAAACCAGTTTTTGGGAATAGCTGGCACTGCCATCTCCGTTGATTTCCTGCACTTGGAAGGACCAGAAGTCTGGATCCGACTTCCAAGGGAAGACTCGACAAGGTTTATAGCAGCAATCGGCGGATGGGGATCGGAGGTTGAAGGCCGAAATGTCGGCTTTAGAGTCCTAGCAAGCACTGAGTTTTTAATGGGAATCGTGGGTGGCGATGGAAGGGATGTTTTTGTGTGAATTCTTTTTTCTTGTTCTTTCTCCCTTTGGCCTCTTCGTCTTCTCTTTTTTTTGACGACAAGTTACGATGCAAGGTCATATTCTTCGACAATTGGGGTGGTGTGTGATTATTGCGATTGGTATTGAATTAAATATCCTATCGTACAGACATACAGAGACCGCCACTCCATCCGGGACTAGTCCTTCCCATCCGACTTATTCTTCCGCCATCGAGCAGCAGCAGCAGCCTCTTCAGAGTCTATATTGGAGGACCCAGAACTTCGAGCCGTGGTCTTCGATTCATTAGCGGGCTTTCCGGCGGCCGTAGTGGTGGTAGTGGAGGATTCTTCACGAGGTCTCGAAGCCGTATCCGGCGGCGTGATATTATCCGCCGACATTCGCTTGACTATAGTTAAGATAACCCCCACGGTTAGCCTCCCATATCAAATATCAGAAACACTCTGTAAGAGAGGGAACGGAGTAGGATAGGACATACTATCCTGCCCGAAATCCAGAAGGTCGCTATTTGTTTTTTGGGACATTGTGCTTGTGTGATCCGAAGTATTCAATAGAATGTAAACTTAGGTGTTTTTGCTACTAAGCTACGTATATCGTAGAAATGGGTTATCAGTATAATATAATAATTTTTTGTTTAGTAAAAAGGGATCCGAGGGAAATAATTACAAGCAGTGTCACGTAACTCCCATCAGTTTAATATCTAAGTATTTACTAGTAGGTATATATATATAGATTTGCTGTTTGCCTCGAACTTTGCGAGCACATAGCTATCTTCGACGTCATATGCCGCATCATACCGCCGCATGCCTTCATGGCCATATGAGGCTTAATTGGATAAAATTGGATCACTAACATCGGAGACGTCATGACTACATTAAATTATATAATCCCCCAGACTGGTTCACGCGGTGATCTCAGGTGCTTTAGATTAGATCTCATTAACCTGCTTAATTAATACATGTACATGTACACTTCACGTACTTATAGTAGTCAAGTTGGCCCGTTAAGCCAACCAACGCATTGTGCCCATTTAAGATTTTAATTTATCTAATATAGTAACTCAGAAAGACGAGCAAGGAATCCATAGTTTAGTATAATTATAATATTTAGGAGAAAATATATTGAGGGACGTAAGGAAGAGTTGTTTGAATTTTGGATAATGAGCGATATAAGATCATCAATTCATATATTGGTTCGTAGTCAAGTAGGTTGTAGTTGAAAGAAACCGAAAGAGAAAAGAAAAGCCTGTACTCAGTATGATATAGAAAGTAGTCCAGGCCACGAGCTCAAGGGAGCGCAAAGGCATCATCCGTGTCTTGTCTATTGGGAGGTCGACAGGCGGAGAATAAAAGAGAATGCCAACCAAAGAAAGTTGCTAAAACGCAGGAAAGAAAATTGAAGAAACGTCAAAAGGAAGGTGTGCTCCAGCAATATATGCAATATATGTAGACAAAGTATGTCAAACTGAAAGAAAGAAAGAAGGGAAGCAATAGAAAGCTAGTTTCGTAGGGTAGCAGTACTCCGGCCATTTTGTTCGTGCAATTCGTATTTAACTAGAAAAAAAGAAAAAAGCAATAAACTGGTGATGATAATCACATGATATCCATAATAAAAACAATTGAATGCAAAATGATTTGCTTGTAGTCTCCCATCATAGCCTTTTAGAATCTCGAGGTGATTTCCTAAGCGACGACCATTTTCATAAAAGGGAACCCAAGGAGTTCTTCAGCAGTTGGGCGCTTAGTATGATCGATGATGAAGGTCTTCTCCAAGAAGGTGGTTGCCTCAGCAGAACACTTGGCTGGAATCGTCGGTGTCACTGACAAACTTCCGATCTTGAAGATAGCCTGGAATTGTGAACAGCCAGGGAATGGATGGTCTCCCGTGAACATCTCCACTATGAGACATCCGAGGGACCAGATGTCGGCTTTGCGAGTATAGGCTGTCTGTTTGACGACCTCAGGAGCCATCCAGAAAACAGATCCTTGCATCGACGCCCGGTGGCTCATAGCCTGCGACATCAAACCGGATTCAACTTTCTTACTGATACCGAAATCGGAAATCTTAATACCGCCGCGGTTGTCGACAAGAACATTGGCGCCCTTGATGTCGCGATGGATGATATCCTTATTGTGGAGATAATTGAGTCCAGTAAGAATCTGACGAACAAAGTTGCGGATCAAAGGTTCCGGGAGAGGGCCGTATTGGCTAAGCATGGCAGCCACGGATCCACCTGGAACGTACTCAAGGAAGATATTGAGGCAATCGGGTTCAGAATCGGAACCAAGGTATTGCACAATGTTCTCATGTTGAAGGTCCTTGAGAAGCGCAATCTCACGTTCCAAGGACTCCATCATAGACTTCTTCCTAGATTCTCCGTGTCCGGCATTCGAGGGGACTTGTTTGACCGCCATCAGGGCTCCACTCATAGCATCCAGAGCAAGGTAGACGCTTCCGAAGGAACCTTGACCGATCAGAGCACCCCGGATCCAACGCATGCCATTCGAGCTGGTGTGAAGATTGTCATCACCTTCGCCCTCGGCATCTTCATCATCATCTTCATCATCATCGTCGTCGTCATAGTCATCTTCATCCTCCTCCTCCTCTTCCTCCTCATCGTCGTAATCGTCTTGAGCACTCGATACGCTGAGCCTCTCAGCAGCAGCATCTGGAACATCATCTGACTTAGCGGTAAGTTTCTTGATCGTATCGGGACCAGCAGTATCCTCGTCTTCTTCATCATCGTCCTGAGCATCCTTGTCCTCGTAGTTGAGGAGCTGCATAAGAAGATTGTGGTGTTGCATAGGCGAGGTCTTAATCACAGGTGGAGCAGGTGCCAGTCCACCAGCCCTTGGTTCTTCGGGTTCTGTATCCATGTCGGTGGTGCTGGTGTTGTCGCTCTCATCCAGATACGATTTCGAGTCGTCGGTATCGGCCTCGGAAAGCGTAGTACTGAAACGTGGGCGCAGAGTCTGGCTTTTGGGCAGACGAGGGGTCACCACTTCCTCTTCAAGCATGGACAAACTTCGGTCAACCGAATAGTTCGAGACCGGTCGTCTAGACATCGGTCGACGCTTCTTACCACCAACATCAACTCCAGCACCGCTCTTCGAGGCATTGAGCCAAGCATCGCCGATACTCGGAACAGGTGGGGCACCATTAATAGAATCAGCAAAGCTCATGGTAGTGGCAGTGCTCATTCTACTAGCGGTGCTCATTCGGCTCATTCGGCTCATGTGACGTGAGTGTCGCATGGAATTTCGAATAGTCTTCTTAAGGACCTTTGAATCCTGATCAGGGAAATACTCAGCCAAGTTGGAGCTGATGAGTTCGCTGGGTGGTCTTTGCCCAAAGAAATCTTTGAGTGGTTTCGGTACAGCACTATCCCGAGAGGCGTAGGAGAGGGCAGGTGATATGGGACGGGAGTTATTGGCTCCAGGTGGTTCCAGTAAGTTTGATTTCGAAGATTCCGACTTCAATGCGCCCGGAACGTCATTTTGAGATTGTTGGGTGTCATAGTCGACGATCTGCTGTTGCAATACCTGCTGCTGCTTCGCAAATTCTGCTTGTTCCTTTGCGATCTCTTGTGCCCTTTGATATTCGGGAACTGTGGGTGCTGATGGATAACCATTTTTCCTGGGTCGGAGAATCAACCGTTCACGCTCTGGTCGGCTGACATCGTGGCAGATCTTGACAAGTTCTGCATCGGAAAGGTATCTTGTGCTTTTATCGGCTGTAACAAATACAGACCAATTAACTGGATTTTCGTCATTCAACCCAAACTTCTTCAAGGCTCTTTGCAAGATCAAATCGGCTGTCTTAGCACCACTGATGGCAACAACTCTAGTGCTGCCCTCAGAGCCAATGAATTTTACGTAATTCTAAAGTCGCCATCGTTAGTCATGACCAGCAGACCAACATAGAAGACTAATAAGAATCAAAAGGAGAGCAGTACGGGTTGTACGTTAGGCATCTTCATGATACCGCCGTCGATACTAGGCTTCGTCCCATGCTTAGGGATGAAACTACTGGATTGAGTAGCGGATGCAAGACCGGCAGACTTCTGTCCATCGGATATAGCGGTTATCGGTCGAGTAGATCCTGTCACCGAACTAGCACTGTTTGGTGCATATTTATAGGTATTCGAGCGGCCGAGGTCTCCCTTGGACCTGCTGGATCGGAACTTGTCATCTTTCGGGCTCTCCTCAGCAGCGTATGGGTTTCGTCCGAGACCAGGAGACGAGCTGGAAAAGCTTCCAGTTCTCGGGGCTTCGTAGGAAGGGCTGATAGATGGGAGAGTAGCAATACTATCGAGGGCAAGAAGTGTTTTCTGAAGTTAAATTCACTGTTAGCGCGACCATCCGAACTCTCGTTCTTTGTAAGCGAAGAAGCGAAGCTTGTAAGACATACTCTATTTCTGTTCTTGATCGAGCTCGCTGTGATCTTATTTCGAAGGGCCTTGATCGCAGCATATATACGGACTCGGTCGCCGACCTTTGTAATTCCAAGCTGCTTGAGAATAGCCTGGTCGACGTCAAGCAAAGTATCACCGGTGATATTGTTTCCTGGAAGGAAAGGGAAAAAGAGAGCGAGTCAGCAACACAATCGGGTCCGTCCATGTGGCCGTGCAGGACAGCATGTATGCCATGTATGCCCCACTCCAGGCAAAGCAAAGGACGTTACAGATACAACTTACGTCGAAAGATGCCTTCGTATTGAGCACAGTTAATAGTTCCTAGCCATTCGCCGACTCTGAGTTCGTCCCAGTTTCTGCGATGAGATGATGATGTGATGAGTTGAACTGTCCTTTTTTTTCCAGGAATTTTCGGTGAGTAAACCAAGCAAAGAAGGCCGACATACCTAACATCATCTGGGTTATGGAAGTGTTCTGAGAACTCTGAATTTGTCGGAGACGGTCCTGACGGATGATACGGAACGGAAACATATGTAGGATTGTGAGTATATTGCGATTTCGAGGCGAGTAGCGCCATGGTGTGCGTTCGTCTGAAGGGAGTAGGTATTTAGAAGTATCTAGTCTATAGATACAGGTTCCAGTGCTGGTGTTGGGGAAGAATGGGAAGGAGGTCGGTGTGGTGTGGAGCAGTGTGTTGTTTATGAGTTGAGGAAGAATGTGATGAACAAGAATGAGAACAAGAACGAGAGCAAGTCCAGCTGGCTGGTTCTAAGAATAAGACCGGACTAGCCTATACAGTGCCACTTAAGGGACCGGGATTGACGGTATAAGATATATTAAAGACGACGACGACGATGGCGACGACAATCAAGAAAGAAAGAAAGAAGAACCGAACGAAAGAAAGAAAAAAAGATGGGTGGGTTCAAAAATATAAAAAAAGAAAGGCCTCGGGGGCAGCCAGGGTCTTCGGGGTATGTATAAGTCTGCAAACTACAAAACCGGGTCTCCAACAGCCAACATCCTTCTTTTTAATATTATATCCTGGGACTTCTAAGCATAGATCGAATGCCTTTTGGTATGTGTGTGTATGTCTGTATGTATGTATGTATGCTCCTTTCCAACCGAAGCACTTTCAACTAATGTGGGATTATATGATATGTAGGTAGTATCCCCCCTGTTTCGTTTCTCAGGAGCAGATCAATCAACTCCGGGTGAAGATGCAAGTATCGACGTGGTTGCAGTAACGTTGTGGTTGTATGCGGTTGTATGTGATTGTAATAGGTACCTGTGCTGTCCTGTATTATATTGTGCGTATGTACTGTACTCTTAATACACCTTCATCTGATGGACCCTGCAGTGCCGTCCCTTTTTATTTATTTACTTGGTATGTACTGTACTAACAAGTATTCAGGTAATCGGATCAGGGACTTCCAGCTGATGAACGAATCGCAAAATGAAAACCAAGAAAGAAAATAACCCGAATGGCCTAGACAAAAGAAGGATCTCCAGTTTGAACCCAGCAAACAGGTGTCATGCGAATGGGAAACTCTCCTGACGAAAACAAAAGGTCCTCGCCGTCATCTTATTATCACTCCCCCTGGTGTCGAGCAGGTATTGGTGACCTGAACGTTACCTTCTCACAATCGGGGTATTCGGGGTCTTCTGCCTGTCTTGAAACGACCTTAACTAATACGGATGCGGGAGGCGAGTAAGCCTACCTTCAACGAAACCCCGAGGCACCTAAAGGCCCATTCAATTCGCCTTTTGGGGCCCTTCATGGTCTCAGCTAAGGTATCAGCTTGCAGCTGGGCCCGCCGCGCTACTGCATGACTGGCTGTCGTCAATGGCTTTTTGGCTTTAGCGGCCTGGGGCTGTCAAACGACCACTGGAAGAGAAAGTGGGCCAAAGGTTGCAAAATGGGTCCATCCTTGTCTGCGTTCGGGATAGCGCAATCTCAGCCAGTCACAGAGGAACTGTAGCCGCTTCATCTCACTGGTCAGTTGCCTCATAATTACATATAATCTGTCCAGGTCCAGACGAAATTATCGTCAAATCTTCTGAAGCCCGAAGGCAATCACTCCGATAGCCGGTTTATTGCTACCGTACCGCCCGTATTCACAAGTGGTCGAGATGAGCGATCAGGTCTAACCAAAGCCAAAACTACCCAAGATTTATCCGAGTTAATAGGACGATCGTTCCTACGAATCCGACGGGTTCCTCAGCAGTTAAATTGGACATCGTAAAGATGAGACAGGGCCTAGCAACAAGGATTGATTCCATTTTCACAGGCGAATGCCACCAACGAACTCCGAACGAACAGCAAAAGCGAGAGCATGGCAGAGTTAACCATCGGGCGACTATGCTTAAGCACCAAATGCTGCGCCGGGCCGTTGCCTTGCGACGGTTAAATTTGACAATGGAAAGAAAGAAAAAAAACTTACTCGCCCGCACTTGCATTAACGTTCTATTGTTTGCTGTTCCGTGTTGACGCATTCAATTCACGAACTAATTGTCTCCGCAAGATCATATGTCTCTTGGGAAGCCTTGTACTTCCAGGTCGACTGTACCGTCGGTACAGTCGCTGAGGGATCTTCATTAGTCACCCTTTTGCAATTGCCAGTTATCCCGAACCCTGCGTGACAGTTCCAACTGCCTGTATGCTTCTGAATTCCTAAACCAGATGCTGCAACAAACTGCTACCTTGGAACAAAACCACAATCAAGGCCCTAGGGAAACGTTAGGAGCCTCAAATCCTTTCCCTCTCCTTTCATTTGAAATTCGTAGCAAAAAAATAAATAAACTATCTCCATCTTTGCCTCGGGGATCGGTTTCTGGTCTTAGAGAATCTGTTTCCGGACGGAGCGGCCCAAACGCTGAACTACTCTAGTTGAATAGGATTAACATTTCTTGGGGAAGAAACGAAACGGCAGCGAGACAAAACCTTCAATTGATATTCCTCAAGAATCTCCGGATCAGGTTACTTTTATACGAATGATAGTATTCCCAAAATTCGGTTTACTACCTAACTCGGATATACTTTTCAAACTTGGATATTTTCTCTTTTTTTCTCTTCTGACCTCTTGTTTCTTTCTCCGTTACGTTACTAACCTCCTCGAAAGTACGGAGGCAATCAGGGTAGCCGTTTCAGTTTCAGTTCACCGTAGACAGTATTTCACCCTCTTTCAACACATGCTTTAGGTATGGTTGGTTTGCGCGTGTGTGTGTGACGAACGCCGCATTTGCCGGACTCGTGGGGGACGGGGCAAAGCCACAGGTTTCGGAGACTCGGTTGGGGTTGTATGGCGTTCAGTGGATCCCGGGCCTTTTCGTTGGACTCCACTTATGCAAGTGCAAGTTCACGATGAGAAGGTTGAAGCGGCAAATACCTTGACCCCTTCTTGCTTTTTAGTTATAGGAAAAAAATCCTATAGAGAGACTTTCTTAGGGTAATCGATAGAGGAGAAACATGGCTTAGGGAAACGGTAAACTAGCCGTTGATGTGACTTAGAGCTTAATCGATCATTAATTTAGATTAGGGATGTTTGTGGTAAAAGGTTTTGGGAGATTCCTAAATAAACCACTAAGTATAGCATTAAACAGTTTTTATCTGGCGAAATAGCGGAATACTGATCCAAGGATCGATATGCGACTGTTTAATGCCAAGTGGCACGTGGGGATATATATCTCGGATAGCAAGCAAGAGGTTGGTCGAAGTTCGTATGCGCATGATTGAGGCTTGTTGCCTTTGTAGGAAGCTGTATGATATAATACTGCGCCACTTGATGCGTTTGCGCGCATGCGGCAATTGTGACATTGGTTTGAAGATACCTGAGTTGAAAGAAGCTCAAGGTAGGCTCTGTGAACTTTGAATGATCATGCGTGTACATACCTAGCTACATACATGTTGGATTCACATATTTGATGTATGAAGATTAGGGCGCCGGGCGAAGTATGCATATTTTGTGGGTATTCGAGTACCTATGTCCTTAAGGCCTTGCTTTGCTGTATACATGTATGTCAATGCAATGCCTGGTTAATTGCTACCAAGTACAGGAAATGGACGCCCGAGGTGGTACACGATTAAAAGAAGGTCGAGCCTTGCGTCTGGATTCGTTCGAGCCAACTTCAGTATCAATTCTTGAGTCATGTCCGGCTACGATATTAATATATTATAAGGTAAACTCCAAAGGATGCAGCGCTGCAACCTTTAAAATCTCAAACGACCAAGAGATCCACAAACTCGATTATGAGAAGTACCCAGGTACTTAGCTGCTTTTAGTGTTTGGTATATGTCCAGCCGTACAATTGTACAAATAGCCGCAAATAAAATGTTACGAAAGAACGTTTTCCAACATAACATCACTACCTGATGGTTCCAAAATTGACGTGCATGATTCCAACAATAAAAATCTGAAACCGAGGTCGAAGACCAACAATTCTCCAAGGCACAGGATTTGACAGCCAAAGAAATGTAACAGAGCGGTTTCAAGTATACGTATTATATATAAGCCAGCGGTTTGACAGGGTATCTGGTATCCGAGTAGTTTCTGATTGTGAAAGATTAGGCGGCGGGGGTAGTGTTGACGTTGTATATCGATAAAGTTATGATATGGCTTGGTTAATCAGCCACCATAAAATGCCCCGACAGCCAAAAGGCTACGGTTTCGTATACGAGAACGTTGGAGTATCAGATGGGATGTGTGTATCAGGTTCAGTTAACCCCGTGCTAAGGCTAGCAACGTTGGATGGTTTTATAAGCACAGCGGCTGTCATAGCTAGCTTCAGAAAAAAAAGTTTTGTGTATGAAGGCGATGTTGACTTGTTCGTGATTCTAAAGAATAGCTGGCTAGATGCGTACGTAAAGGCTATATATAAAATACATAGACTGTTGGGAGGCTGGGGAAGTGCTTTGTGGTGAGCTCAGAAGACAGACTGTTGGTGGAGTCGAGCAGCTAGTGAAGAGCTTCAGGCGAATTAGTGGGGACATCTGATGATGTCGAGATATCACATTCAATAGTATACTTGGGCTTGGGGCACCTGCTTCGGGCTTTGGATACTGTAGAGCTTATAGTAGGTACTAGTAGTTAGGTAGTAACTAACAGCCGAGTTACAGTAACGATATGTGTATGTTCACCCAGTACCCGTGTACACTTGACCGTGCTGGAAATGACACAGTCCTTTATATATCATATTTTGGTTCATCATGGTAACCAAACGAGAGTCCCGGAATGACCAGTTGGTCAAGCGTGAGCTTGATCACTCATCAGCTCGAATTCCTCCCAGGATAACTGATCGCGTAAGGTAGTCTAGGGGGTCTGAGTTCGAGTTACGCTACGGGTTCGTGGTCGCTTTTTTTTTTTTTTTCATTTTTTTTTTTCAATTTGGGTACTCTGATATTCTAAAAAAGGAAAAAAAGGAAATTGGCGCCAGGTCTGTTCGAATTCGAGACTATGTTTGTCTGTGTATATAAGATTGATATTCGATTGCATAGTAGTATTGCTATTAGCAACTGCCCTATGCCTTTAGTAAACCGTCTGTCGTCGTCAAACAGCGAGGAGGATATGCTTCCCTCAGACTACTAGTTATCGATATTCTCTCAAGATTGCTTTACAACAAAAGGAGTCGTACTATTTATTTCGTTTTTGAAATCCATTGAGCAATACCTTTTCTCATAATCTTTGTAATGAAGCAGCCATAACCTTCGAAATATCTTGAGACCACTTTATAGCCGGATATGGTAGTTTGTCGAGTTTGTGGTATTCTGGATAATATTGTGTTGGGGAGACCAAGCCGACGTTTAAGCGACGTTGGTGGAGCGTGACATCGTCATTGCGCACGCTGTTTCCAGGTGGCGCGTCCACAAACTGCAGCTTACGACTTCCCCACAGTCTCATCAATCAGAATAGCAATGCCGTAATCTCGATCGCAACTTCCCATTCTCACTATATCCGAGCTTCTTTCCTTCCAAGATGGCGTTCAACCCAGACGATTTCAGGGCCAGCACTGCCTACGGTTCTGGATTCGTCGCACAAACATCCACGACGACCGGTCTTGAAGACCTCGAAGACCCTAACTTGCCAATCTTCCGGGTGGAACACGTACAACTTCAATTCCCGATAGCATCAGACTTTGTTGCAGCTCAGGTTGCGAATAATGTCATCGTGCTAGCTTTGGCTTCCGGGAGATTGCTTCGGATTGATCTATACAATGCAGCGGACATTGATGGTGAACCTCAACCTTTTCTGGCTTTATTAAGGTTGAATGGGATTTAAGACTAATTCTGGAAGTACTTTGGAACTAGAATAGACATCGATTTACCAAAGAAAGTAAACGAAGTTGGATCCATCAGGAAGCTGTTTCTTGATCCTACCGCCAGCCATCTCCTCATTAGCACTACCCAGGGCGAAAACTTCTATCTTCATCAATCATCACATAAAGTTAAGCATCTTGCTAAATTGAAGGGGATTTTTATCGAATCTGTGGCATGGAATCCAGCGCTACCATCGGCATCTACTCGAGAGATTCTCATTGGTAGCCAGAATGGGGCCGTCTATGAGATATTCATTGAACCGACGGACGAGACCTTTCGAAGAGATGAACGGTACATGAAACAAGTTTATCGAATGCCAGATGGACAGCCGATATCAGGGTTGTTCGTAGAGCTAGTTCCTGGGTCGTCGGATATGCGGAGAGTAATCTTGACCACACCAACAAAGATGTTGCATTTCATCGGAAGGGTTGCACGGCATGGTTCTTCAGATGCCACCTCGATATTCTCAAGATACTTTGAAGTTGAAGCTCCAAGTATGGATACCCATCCATTTATGACGGATTTTAAGGGTCCATGATTCATAAACTGACATTGAACAGCTTTCCAGGAACATCCGGGGAGCACCTATAGTACACTATCGATATCTCCAGAATCGGAAGATGATATTGACCCTGAAAGAATATATGCATGGTCGCATGGTGTCGGTGTCTCGTATGGTAGACTGTATTCCGCACCTATTACATCGGAACTCGGAGACCTGGTCTTCAGAGAGTCTAAAATCTTACCAATCACAGCACTTCCTCATGGCGGAAGGGATATTACATCCATTGCTCTCACTCAATACCATATTTTGGCGATGTGTAAGGGTGTGCTTTACGCAGTAAACCGGTTTGACGAGTCTATCGTTTTCCAGGATGTTATCGTAAGCGGTCTTGATTCCCATATTCATATAGTCTGAAGACTGAACCTTATCGCTTTTAGGGTAATGATGACTCTAAGATACTAGGTATCCGAGCAGACCAAAAGTTAAACACCTTTTGGGTCTTCACAACCGACACGATATTCGAGGTTGTTTTAAAGGACGAAAATCGTGATGTTTGGAAGATTATGCTCAAACAGAATTTGTTCGACGCAGCTATGCGATTTGCTTCGGTATTATACCTTGTGTGTAAATCGGGTCTAATATATACTGACAAGATCTCTAGAATCCACGACAAAAGGATCAAGTCTCGCAAGCATCTGGCGACTACCTTGTATCCCAGAAGAAGTATTTCGAAGCCGCCAGTGTATACGGAAAGAGCACAAAGCCTTTCGAGGAAGTTTGCTTGATCTTTCTTGAAAGCGGTGAACATGCGGCACTTAGGAAATATCTCCTAGCGAAGCTTAATTCCCTCCCTAAGACATCTATAATGCAACGGATAATGGTTGCAACATGGCTCGTGGAAGTCTTCATGTCTGCTTTGAATACATTAGACGATAAGCTCTCCGCAAAAACGGAAGCGAATGGCGAACAAGTTAACAATACAGCCAGTCAACTTGACTCTGTTCGGGACGAGTACTATGAGTTTATCTCGAAGTTTAAGAATGAGCTGGACAAGAAGACAATATATGACGTCATTAGCAGCCATGGTCGAGAGGTCGAACTGCTGTACTTTGCGTCGGCTGTTCAGGACTGGAGTTATGTTTTAAATTATTGGGTCCAAAGAGAGAACTGGAATGAGGCTTTGACGGTTCTTAAGAAGCAGGTGGACCCGGATATGTTCTACAAATATGCTTCTGTTCTCATCTCGAACGCACCAGCAGAAACCGTCGATATCTTGACACGGCAATCCAATCTCGAACCGAAGAAACTGATTCCCGCCCTGTTGACCTATAGCGAGAAGTTCGATAACGTCCCCCACACCGATAACCAAGCCGTTCGTTATTTGCTCTATGCCATTGATCGCCTCGGTAACACCGAGACTGCGATTCATAATGCGCTTCTCAGTCTCCTCGCTGTCTCGAAGTCCAAGGATGAGTCTCAGTTACTGTCTTTTCTTCGCCAACACGAAGCAAATCCCCGCTATTCGGTCGACTTTGCTCTCCGCATATGTATCAAGCATGAGCGTGTCCAAAGTGCTGTGCACATCTACACTCTCATGGAGAAGTACCAAGAAGCTGTTAATCTCGCTCTTCGTCACGGTGACACCGAACTTGCGAGCATAATCGCTAATAGAACGGAAGATGACCCGGCACTCACGAAGCAACTTTGGTTGTCTATTGCTAAGACTGTCATCAAGCAAAGCAATGGGGCTATCAAGCCTGCTCTTGAGGTTCTCAACGAATGTAAACTCCTTAAAATTGAGGACCTCATTCCTTTCTTCCCGGACTTTGTCGTTATCGATGACTTTAAGGAGCAAATTTGCAATGCTTTAGAAGACTATAGTTACAAGATCGATAGACTAAAGAAAGAGATGGATGATTCCGCCCGAACAGCTGAGAACATCAGACATGATATCGAGCTGTTGGATCGGCGTTATGCGATCATTGAACCTGGGGAAAGATGTTATGTCTGTCAATACCCTCTGCTATCAAGGCAATTTTTTGTATTCCCCTGTCAGCATGCCTTTCATACAGATTGTTTGGCCAGCTGGTTGGTAAAGAAAACAGGGACAGGGCTGGGAAGACGGATCACCGATTTACAAACCGAGATTGCAAACGTTGGGGCCGGGTCTGGACGAGAGAAGCTGATAGAAGAGTTTGATGGGATTGTTGCTGCTGCTTGGTGAGTTAATATCAGGTTTTCTTCTGGGTATTCATGGTGCTAACTACCTATTTTCATTCATCAAATAGTATTTTATGCAGCGATGTTGCGATCAAGCAAATTTCAGAACCATTTGTTACCCAATCTGATGATAAGAGCGAGTGGGCTGTTTAATTTTGTCATCCTAAGTCGATTTGCCACATACTAAACATAGCGTTTTCACTGTACGATACCATGTTTTCTGCTAGTCTTCAATGTACGCGGTATGGATTATGCTTTAATACTCATTGTCCTTCCATGTTCCTTTTTGAGGATAACATCTGCTACGATTGAATTTTTAGGCATCTATGATTTCTTTGTGATGTACATACACCTATAATATTTGAACCTTGAGGTTCATTAATGACTAAATAAGTTATCAAGAAGTTGAACTGACTTTGGCTATGTTCGGTAATCTCCGTTCTGTTCATGGGTTAGTATTGCATCTACAAATGGCATTAATATTGATGATGCGGTTAAGTTGATGAACTTACGATGGTTACGTATCTATATTATTCAGAATTAGAAATTGACACGTACGGAGCAAAATTGGAATGGATTATGACTTACTCATGAGAAAAGTCGCAAGTGTAATATACTGCCTCTTGACCACCGCCAGTGCCCAAGCTGACTCTAATTTCTAGGTCTTCCATCTCGAGGATCTCGCTCTGGGCGTTGGTTAGCACTCTGTATTTTAAAAGTAAAGGGGAAGAGCTCCTACTGCTCTGGCTTCATCAACATTCTCGGGTTCGCCGTTTATCAAAAGTTTGAGTTCTGCGCTCCCGTCTGTTGGAATGAAGGAAACATTCGTTTTTGTGGGTTCCACAGATGAAACACCAGCGTACCCGGTTGCACAAAGGATTCGGCCCCAATTTGCATCACCTAGGATGAGGGTTATTAGATCCCACTAGAAAAAAAGATGGGGGTTGGAGCTCATACGTCCGTAAAGTGCAGTTTTTACTAGTGGTGACCTTGCAATTGTCGAAGCTACTTGTTTCTAGACGAGGGCCACATATCAGTTTTCCATGCTAATTTTTCAAGGTTTACTTTTGGATACTCACGGCATCCTCGAAAGCTAGGGCGTCGACGACTCTAACGGTCACAAACTTGGTAGCACCCTCTCCATCCCTCACCACAAGTTTTGCCAACTCCTCCGCGAAACCGGTAACTATGTTTCTCAGTTCCTCGAACCCAGGACCGTTAACATCGATCTTCTTCCCGTCTTTTGAAGCGGCACCGTTAGCCAAAAATGCTACAGTGTCGTTTGTACTCATATCTCCATCAACGCTGATAGCATTGAAACTCCTATCAACAGCGTATGTCAATATTTCCTTCAAGGCCGCAGGTGTAACCGGGGCGTCGGTCGCCATGAAGCCCAACAATGTTGCCATATTGGGATGAATCATTCCAGCTCCCTTTGCCATTCCAGCGATTCTATATTCCGCTTCATCTCCAGGGAGCTTAAAGCTCTGCGAAGAAAGTTTTGGAAATGTATCAGTTGTGCAGATAGCCTTAGCTGTATTCAACCAGCCTTCATGGTCTTGACCCAAAAATTTGAATCCAACTGGGATACCATCCAGTATCTTTTTGATAGGAAGTCGTTGACCGATAACACCGGTGGACATGATGAATGTACTCGGTTGCGATTCTCCCAATAGCGTATCTACAGCTTTACCCATCGCCTCGCCGTCTTCCATCCCACCTTTTCCGGTTACAGCATTCGCACAACCGCTATTTGCAACTAACGCACGGACACCATCGCCATTTCGTGCTTCGAGCATTTGTCGCGATAACACAACTGGAGCAGCTTTGAATACGTTCTTGGTAAACACTGCAGCGCCAGAGGCTGGTAGAGAGGAAGTGAGTAATGCAAGATCGAGGGATTTTCCATCTTTCTTAACACCGCAGTGGCTTCCGCCTACGGAGTATCCTTGTGGGTAGGTGCCCGATTTGGGGACATATTTCCATTTTGGATTTGATTCTGAGAGAACAGTGGCAGCGTAGGTTCTACGGGATGATATGCTGAGGTATTGGGATGTAATAGGGCGGTAGGTTGCCAGACGGTGGAGGGAATGGCGGGATTTGGAGACTAAAGACGACATTGTGCAGCGCGTGTTGTTTGTGTGGTATTTTTAGGGGCGAATTTGGAGGATTTTGGCCGGTGCTGACGGGCTATCAAGTCAATGTTGGTAGACGAAGCCGTAGATTTAAAATATCCGAGCTTAACTTAGTCAATTGACCGAGAAGATATCGTGAATTGCCGGAATAGTTCGGCCTCACTCTCGAGTTCAAAAATTTGATAGAAAGAATCAAAAAGCCTCAGTCCAATTGGAAACAAGTCAATAAGTTAAGAGTATGAATCACACGGACTTGTCGCGCTCTGCCTTAAAAACCAACTGCAACCGCAACTGCTAAACTCAATTGATATCGACCGATATCGAAGCGACCAGTTTGGTGGAGTTTCGAGCGAGACTGATCCTTGTTCCCCGGTTCCGGCCCGGTGCCCAGGGGTAAGATGCGCCAGCTCGTCCCCGGACTCTAACCTAAATCAACAACCTTGGAACGAATACCAAGGTGTAGCAACCAACTGTACCTGAATGCGCGAACTCAAAGACACATTATTGGATTCCGACTTAATTTATCAGCAATGAAACGCAAACGCGAGGATATACCGCCTCCACCACCGCCAGATGCTACTCCATCTCGTCGGTCGCGAGTAAGAGATATCACCGTTGATCCAAGCACACCTTCAAAAGCCAATGGCACGCCGCGAAAGGCAGTCTCGTTCCTTAACGAGCCTTCAGCAACAGAGCTCGGCAGGTCGCCGCGTACACCCAGACAGAAGCAGATAGACGCCAACGATGATGGCACTGCAGACCCGCCGATTGTGCGGAACGCGAATCGTTCTGCGAGGAGAAAGAGTGTGAGGAATATGATACAGAGGAGTATTCGTGAGGATTTAATGGACGAAGAGGATGGATTTGAGGAAGAGGATAATCTTGCTCAAAGGATTTTTGACGATGAGGACGCTGGGAGCTCGGAGAGCGAATCTGATGATGAGAAGAGTGCTGGAGCTGGTACCTCAACGCCGGCGAAGAAACCGCGTGGGAGACAAAAGAAAAAGAAAGAGAAGTCTCCACCACCCGTGGTGGCAATCGAGGGACCGACTGCATACTTTGAACAGAACAGAGCCAGGGCGAGGCCGTCTTCTACGACTACGACATTACCACCGCTTTCGCCAAAGACATACTTTCGACTTCTGGAGCAACACGACGATAAGCATGCAGCCGATATCGAACATTTGAATTCATTGCACCAAGCCAATTTCGATCAATGGGTATTCGAGCTTTCCCAGGGGTTCAATATTTTGTTATATGGATATGGGTCGAAACGGAAGCTATTGATGGAGTTCATTAAGAAGGAAGCTGCATTAGGGAACCATGTTGTGGTGGTTAACGGATACGTTGGAGGTTTAACAATTAGGGATATCGTCAACATGGTTGTCAATGCCGTATTAGGCATGAACCACGGTGTGAGGTTCGGAGTCAACGTTAATGAAATGATGGATAGTGTCCTTCAAATTCTTGACGAATATCAGGAGAAGGATGAAGATAAATCGGTCACACTATTGATCCATTCAATCGATGCCTCAGCGCTACGAACATCTCAAGCACAAGCTCTCCTCGCACAATTATCATCACATCCAGCAATTCGACTAATCGCATCATCGGATAATATCCTCTCCTCTCTTCTCTGGGACTCATCAACATTAACACTTTTTAACTTCATTTTCCACGATGCAACCACCTTTGTTCCCTATGACCTCGAAATCTCCGCTGCAGACGAGTCAGAAGGCATAGTTGATGTTATCACGGGAGGAACCGCGGGTAGGAGTGGAAGAAGTGGAGCTAAGGGTGTCAAATATGTGCTTGCCAGTTTGACGGGGAATGCGAAGAATCTGTATAGGATTTTAATTGCTACACAGTTGACAGCTATGGAGGACGATGGTGCTGGGAAGGATAAAATGGGAACGGAGGCTTATGGAATTGCTTATCGGACTTTGTATCAGAAGGGCCTGGAGGAGTTTGTGTGTTCAAGCGATTTGGTATTCAAGACACTCTTGAAAGAGTATGTTCCGTCTCCCTTGAGAAGACATATCCATGCACATATGCTAATGTACTACCACTAGATTTTACGACCATCAGATGGTGACTTCGAGAAAGGACTTACAGGAGAGCGAAGTATTATGGGCACCGTTCCGCAAGGAAGAATTGGAGAGCATATTAGAAGACATCATGCTGGGTTAAGCCTAAAAGTATGTGTCGGTTGGTGTTTACGTTTTTCAGTCCTGCAGTTATCTGCATGGATACAAGTTACTAGTCAAGTCATGTATTTTGCATAAGCATTAGCGGTAGCTATAGCATATCCTACATATCATAATTTACCCAAATTAATGACAGCAACGATATACATATCTTAAGTTCACTCTGCCCTGAATGGCAGGATTTGAGAGGTGCTAAGTTACATGTTACATTGATCGGAGATATAAATCCGTGGAACCTAGAAGAACTAGCCGACTTAGCCTAATTGTTTTTTAGCGTCGGTCCCAGAAATTATTAATCCAAACCTTGAATGATGTATAATAAGCTTCGAACCTCGGACTGAAGCCGGCTATAATAGGCTTAGAATCAATTGGTTTACGAAATATGGTTTGCAACAGTCGGCTAGACTTATTAGTATGATCTAGCAACTTTAATTGCAATTGAGCTACCTTCGTGGTATATGTCCGACGCGAGCTGCATGCTATGAGAAGAAAACGCCTAGGCCCGCGCGCCTATAGCTAGCGCAGTCCAATCCAGATAGATATCTTATAGATATTGACAAAGTTCAGTCCATTGAGAGAGAGAGAGGACATGTCGTTTGAATTCATTGCGAGATCTTATTTCAACCCAGATTGCGATAACGATCCAAATGCTTCTATCCCTCGCACAGTCTGGCTTGCGCCAAACGAAAGAAACTCTCCTCAATACGCACTGCATATGCGCATGCAAAACGGTTGGCGTCGACCGCGACCACCACCAATATAATATTCCTTTTTATTGCCCAGCCCTTTCGCTTCTTAGTTCTTTCTTTTTTCGATGATCATGATCAATAGACAAGAAAAAGTAAAAGCGTGGGATGCGTTATTATCACACAAAAGCAAGTTAAAAGTGATCTCTCGCTGTTGCTTTTTCTTGAACCCAGATTCCCACCGGTTTGGTTTCGCCGTTCAGGTTTTACTTGTTTTTTTCTTGCTTTTACACTTTCAGCCAGTTACAAGGGTCATGAGAATCGAGAATTAACCCCCTCCATTACAAGATGCCATGTGGAGGGAGATTTCATAGTATTACATATAAAACAAATGGCACTGTATTGGTTTCAGGAAAGCAGGAGGAGTGAGAGAAGGAAAGCAAGAAGGAAAGAGATTTAAAGGGAGGAGGCGTGCGCAAACGAAGAATTCCAAGGCGACGCAAGTTGCATAACCAGAATTCGAGTAAAAGGAAATTTTGTTGAAGGAAAGTCAATAAAACGAAAAAAAAGAAGAAGAAAGAATCGCTATGAAGATTGCTGTAAGAATAAGATGATAATGTAACATTCGCTCAATTTTGCGTGTATCATAAAAAAAGAGACTGTCTAACGGATGATGTGGATAATGCCCGAAAGCCTTCAGTCGGCTTCAAAATCCAACATATTCGACCGTATACGAAGCCAAAGGACCAAAAATATAAGTCCGAAATTTATATGGGAACTTTCCCCCTAAAACCTAGAATTCCAAAAAAACCTTGTGAAAGCAAAAGACGAAAATTCCAAAAATATAATACCGTCCCAATGTAAAAGCAGAATCAAAAAAAAGAAATCAAATCCGTGGATCCCTTGCCTCCTCCATACAATTGCAATTGAATCCCCATCTCATTAAGAATTAATACGGATATAAGTTCCATCATATTTCGACGTAGAGTATCTAAATTCCCTCCAAAAGGAAACAACAAAGCGCACAGACTTCCGTAAGCCTTCTGAAAAGAAAACGGTCATGGCAGAAGCAAAAAGCAAAAGAAGAGCAAAAGGCAATCTAGTGAGCATTTCCATACCGGTTCGGCTGCTGTTGAAACTGCGGATTCCTCGACGCAGATGCCGAAGACGCAGGTCCCATTTCTACAGCTTCATCTACATTCGATAACCTCGTCGATCGGAACGCCGTGTTGACGTAGTACGATTGTTCGGATGGCTGGGCTGTTATGGGTGATATCCCACCGTTTGCAGCAGTCGGACTGGTGGAACCGTTTGTATGGATGGCAACGGGTTGTTGGGGTGGTGAATGGCTGACAGAGGTGATTCGAGTAGTGCCAGATTGATAGTATCTACTATCATGGCGAGCCGGGTAAGCAATTTCGGGATCCGGGCTGGGTTTCTTTCGGGCTGGGATGAATGTAAACCATGTCTTGAAGTCTCGAGAACGCTGACTTCGGGGACGAATGGCGTAAACGGCTCCTAGGACTAGGATCAAGGCAACGATGCCACCGAGGATTCCACCAACTATAATGGCTTTAGACTGTGTAGGGTCGCTCCCCGGTTGGAAAGGTGTTCCTGGGGGTACAAGGGCTTCCTTGTCGACAATCGGTGGGATCTTGCTGTACGACGCGGGAAGTTTGGATGCTCCAGTTCCCGAAATTTCGGCATCATTAACGCCGACTTCTTTGATGGTGGAACCGGTAGCGTTAATTACCGCCGGGGCGATAAGGGTTTGTCTATTTGTGTAATCGAAGACAGCATATGCCCCTCTAAGAGTTATGTTAGACTAGTTTTTTTCCTCAAGTATATTTCCCTTAAAAACAGCCGTTCCACTATGTCCCCAAAGCCTTAAGAATAATGAGATCCCCTGAGACCTACCTTAAAAACGGGTCCCCGAATCTGAAGAATGGAGTGCGATCGTCGTAATTTTCAGTGACGTCAACAGCGAGGAACCGAGAACACTTGTCGCCGTCGTATTGTCTGTGAGATAGCAACTGGCGAGAAGATATGTTATAGAGAACATTTGCAATATCGAAATGGAGGAACCCAATGTCGATGTCTTCATTACAATCCACCCAGTATAGCCCATTCCTCTGTTCCGTGGGAAACTTCGCGACAAGTCTATCGAATGCCTGTTGCGGTAGCCCGAGAAATCTGTGTCGTTGTTAAGTTAATACATCAACATCTGGAATCTATCAACCGTTTCTCGATCTCGGGGTACCAGCCGAACTTACGTAGAACCAAAGGATACGCTACTGGTGGATAAATATTCATTATCTTCCCGATTTGACTGTACCAGCGATCGAAAAGACCCGTTCCGAAAAGACCACCATGCGCCATTAACTGGAATATGGCTTTCTAGCCCGTTGTCCAGGTTGTTGAACCTTTGAAGGTTTCCGTAGAACTTCGTTTCATCGACGGCACCGAAATATATGTCTCCTGTTGAGTGCATGTCGTTCAAATAAAGGCTGTATGCTAGAGAATTTATTTTACCCTCAGCTTGGAGATGCTGCAGGAAGGAATTGTGAGGGTATGCGTCTGTGTCTTCTGGCATCCCGACTCCAAGGGATGGAGATGTCTGAAAGCTATAAGCTAGGCCCACAGTCAAATCAGTTATTGTCAGTTGATTAAGCTGTAAAGTTTCTGTGCCGAATATTCCTCGAGTCTATAGATTCAAATAATTATGTTAGACCCTGTCTTCTTCGAGATTCTGTCAACCGTCCCAAATTTGAATTCGCTATTACCTCTGATTCTCCATAATTGATCTTCAACTGCGGGCTTTCCGTAAAATTTGTGAAAGTACTTGAATCCAACGGGTTATCTATGAATCGTGTCAGGATTTCTTTCCCAGGGCCATCTCAAGCCTTTGCATATTGAAGATCCAGTCTGGTCTCGAAACTTACATAATCCAGAGATGTTGGCAAATTTGCACATTTCGCCGTTCTCAGCTTCTGGATACCGCCTGGCGCAGTCGTTCAAGTTTGTTATCCTCGATAGCCACGGTATCCATGTTTCGCCTCTATCCTCAAGTCGTAGCTTGAGCTTCTGCGGTGGATTGCCTAGAAGATTTCCCGAATCAATTTTATAAACTTCAACAGTTCCCTTCGCATTTGCGTTGTCGGCTGTTGGCGGTTTGAAGCACTTACCAATATAGACATCGACGTAGTACCAGGGAGTTTCCGATACCTAACACCAAGCCCAGGCCATCGCGATCAGTTCACCTGCCCGATTCTTCTAGCCCTTGCGCAATTGACCGCAACAGCCCATAGGGCGCTTACATGTAGTATGTCCGACGATGCGAAGTCTCTTCTGCCCAGATTCGACCGGGCTTCTATCGAATTCCTTAATTCAAGGTGAACATGTCCAGCGGTAACTGCCTCCACTGCCAGCAAAATCGCCGCCCAGAAGTTCGCAGAGACCGAGTTCGTGAGCATTTGTAATATGAAGCCTCCGAGTCCTCTTTCTTTTTCTCTCTTTATTTTTCTTTTTCTTTCTTTTTCCTTTCTTTTTTTCTGCAGCTATGTCGGAATCGATATTGTGCAAAAGACGGGTACCGGATGCTGGTTGGTTATATGACGCCCTTCTCCTCACAACGATACATGAATATCGACTTTCGTCTTGAGCAAGGTCGAAGTTCTACCCTATGGAAGAGGGTCACTTGAATATATCGATAAGTTGCATTCTCGCAAATATGATACGACTTTTTTAAGAAAAAAGAAGGAATGGAGGGCGGAGCCTCGCTTTTATTCACTCCCTCGAAACACAAGGGTCCATCGACGGGGACACTTAGAGGGTGGTTCCGAAAGGCTGGGAAAAAGCACCACTGCTACCGCTGCTGCTGCTTTTTTCTCCTACGGCTGTAATGCAATAAGTGTGGGAAATTATTAATATCTGGCTCTCATCTGTGTTCGCTCCAGCAGAAAGAACGACCAGTGGGTACTAGCGGCAATAGCATATGCGCACCTTCAACATCACGTCCATGACAAAAAAAAGTCTTGGGTGATTTTGCCGTGACTACTGCTCCGGACCTTTCGCATAAAACCCATCCACCCAACCCGTGTGGTGGGTCTCCACCGCCATGCCGGGTCCCAAAATTCATCTGGGCGTTTTCTCAGCCGTTTTCATTGTGAGGTCGTGACATATATTGAGCGTCTTTATTGGAGGATTCCAGAGTTGAAGATTCGCAAGCTTGCTTTTCACTCGGATTTCCTGCGCCTGCAACCGCCACTACTTGATACACTCAGACAGTTCTTGGGTCACCTTCGAGTGGATCATTAAGCTACCCATCTATCGGGCACGGCTTGAAAGGTCTTGAGCTTCATCTGCAATTACAGGTGGACATCACTGTTACGTTTCTTGCATCAAGAATGGGGCTATCGTGACCTGTTGGGCTAGGCGTAAAAACCGAAGTTTCGTAGGATTTTGGATACATGAAAAGTACAAACATAAGGTTCTTGAGGGCTTACGGGATTGACGACTCTATCATGTCCGTATATGCAATAACAAGAATCTGAAATCAATCGGATTGTATGACAAAGTTGGCCGGAATCCGTATCCATGCTGTGTGATAAGAACCTAGACGGAAAATCCTAGTAATACAAAAGCTCATATTGAATCCGCACATATGGAAGGATACCCTTGAGTTTCCGAGGTCTTTGCCGGAATTCAAAAAGTCCTGATATTTTTTGATAGATGAGCGACATAAACCCTCCTGAAACTGACTTACCTGGTTTTCCGACGGTTTTTGTGGTGGAGAATCTGATAGACCAGTAGATTTGCTCCCCACGCCCACGAGGTCCTGCGGTTGGGTTCTTGGCTTACCTAAATTGTCTTAAGGTGTATGCGCGCGTGGGGTTTTTTATTTCGCGCGACAGCGGCCTCAACACCCGTGCTATTTTTTGTTCTAACTTGAATTGATCCGGAGAGTTGGCGAAATTAGCGGCATCAAGTGGAGGCATGTAACTACGGTACAGTCTGGTCCATCATGAACGGATTTCGTTGCTAAATCTGGACAACAAAGCACAGCATCAGAGGCGGAGCAAGTGCTCTGCTGAGAATCTTAAGATACATTTTGGCTGCAGGGTTTTTGTATCTTTAATATAGCCCTTCGTGTAACCGTCGAGATTCTTGTAATTTCTTAATGCCGGTTAAATATCTAGTGTGTCGGTAGAGTTCTGAGTGAATGAATGTCGAAAGCCTTCAAGACGCGGGAGATATGCTTACATATGCAGCGAGCCTCTGTCAACTGCAACTGTAAGTGTGCATGGTGCCCCTTACCCAAACCTTAGGATTGTGAATGAAATATATCCGAGGCATGTCAGTATGCAGGTGGACTGCAGTCAGATTCGAATATTGAACACCCAAAAGAAAGTTCAGCAGGATCATACCATATCAAGCAACAAGGACCACGGGTCAGAATAAGACAATTATGTTCCCGTCTGGTACATAGTAGAGTATAAATGGGCTTCTGAGCGAAAGGGTTTGACACCACGTGGGGTTCGAGTCCTGATACTCTTCTTCCTTGTCGAGGTTCTTGCTTTGACCCCTGGCAGTTCACCGGTTCCGCTGATCAACCGTTTGGAGACATACGGGGCATGGTTGAGGTCCGATTCGACGCCCCGCTTTCTCGGTTCCAAAGGCGAGTTATTGAGGATCGAGATCCGGGACCGTGGGGCCCTATCGATATCAAGTTCGTCGCTAAAGCTCCAATGAAACTGCAGGACAGGCCCAGATAAGATCGGACGTGCACTTGGCTGCCTGAAAGTGATACCGACAGATTATATTAATATGGTATCATGTTCGTATGTAGCTTGGGGGGTTTATTATCGTATGATTTATATATATCCTTGTAGAAATTTTATCTTTTTTTAGGGCCCGAAGTTCCTGATACAACCTGATTTGTGTGCTGTCGATGGGCTTGATTGTATGGATGTTAATTCGTTTGTGATTGATGGGCCGTTTGGCATGCATGTGAACTGGCCAGTTTCAAGGCATTTTTCAGATTCCCTACGATCGGTGGCTTGAAGGCTACCTGCGTCCTAGGATCTTTGGGTCTTTGTACTACATATAGCCTCGAATCCCTATGAATTTGAGGAAGTGAGCTTGATCGACATGGTCTTTTGTGTTCAGCAACGCCCCCGAGCCGCTGGGGTGGCCTCGACCGAATCGGATCCAAAGGCTCGTCCCTGAGGCTCGAAAAATGGAGGTATATTGCAAGGAACGCAAAGCTCGCCCTTGGGCCAAGTATTGCAAATTGAGTTCATTGATATACGGTAACATCGAGCAACCATATGCCAGCCTGTTTCGAGATTCCGCATTCCTTCATCTCCGACTCTGTTGCACCTTACCAAGGGCTCAACAATGGCCGTTAAACAAGCTTTCATTCACCTCGATAAGGCTTTCTCACCTGCCAAGGATGGAATGAATTCTAGAAGGGGGGCAGAAAGTAGGATGCTGAGCCGGAAGTGAATACCTCATCCACGGAAACGGGGAATTGTGTATCCTTGAGACAGATATTTCATACCTGCCTATTTCAACCCATGGAGAGATCCACCAGCGATAGGCCTACAGCTTCATGATGTAAAATAGCGGCTCTTCAACTTTGACTCAGCAGGCAATGGCCGACGTACGAAGGAAATAGCAAACGGAGAAGGCAAAGCTAAGCTCAAGTGATACCGATTCTGAGTCACTTATCTTTTGGAAAGGCTGGGATCAGGTATAAATTTTGGTTGTTGATCGTGTGCAAGATTACGTTATTCGTCGGTGGGACGAAGACCCGGTCAATGCTGGATTCGAAATGATTGAATTTGATCCGCGAGTCCGGTCTAGGCTCGCTACAGTTGCAGTGTGCAATGCAATACGCAGTGACGGGTATATCGACCATGCAGATACCTCCTATGGTAACATATGCCAACTTGCAGGAGCTCGGTGATATTTTTTTATTAAATTGCATGTTGTTTGGACATCCACTTTGAATTGGGATCGGGTATCGAATTCTTGTATCCTATACGCATTTGCAATCGGCTCTTGTTTTTTCCCTTTCGTGATACTGAATCCTGATCATGATACCCCATGCATCGAAACCCTCAGGCGTAGACTTTCCGCTAGTCTGTCATCTTATCGATCAAGATATCATGGGTGAACCCCACAGCGGGCTTGTTAACGTTCGTTCGGCCGACCGAGCTCAGGACTAATCCATGCGATTGTGACAGATGCCAGGGTTTCCCGCCTGCAGGCTAACCATTTGCCAGCAAATCCGCACCGTATTGAGCCAGACCGTTGCGACCTGCTTAAAACTTTTGGTTTCTCTGATTCATAAAAAAGCATGCTAGGAGGGCCGGAGGGAAATGTAAACGGCCTAGAATTGTCCACATTCTGGTTAGTGACCCGTTTCCCTTGAGAATGCACCTGAATAATATAATGGTAGAGGAGGAACGCGGCTCTATTAGATCTATAAGAACGAAAGTGCAGCCTCGATGTAGTCTGCGGACTTACCTTGCCTTGCCTTGCCAAATTTCTTCGATGCCTGTCTCTTCTGTTCGCATTAGCATAATATTAAGATTGTAGAGGTGAGGTCATCCTACATACTTTGTACTAGCTACTAGTACAGACATCACTCGTTTTATAAAGCGAAGCACCACGAAACGAAACGGAAAAACGGGGCCTCGCCGGCACGGCGTTTTAAACCGCGAGACATAACAGAAAAACTAAGAACTTCCTCTTCTTCCACCTCCGCCATCGCCATAAAACCCTCCACGACTGACGGAAACCAACATTAACGACCTTCTCCTTGCCAGTCTCTTTAGAGACACCGGCTTTTTGCGATGCAACGACCTTACGGCAGCCAGATATTCGTTGCATCGGCTCTTGCCGACGACAAGCATGAGCCTTTTCTGCATTGTCGCACGCCGCTGTGGGACATCGATAACTTTACCACATGCTTCAGAAAAGAGTAGGAACCCGCCTCCCTTACAACTGGTTTAGGGCCTCCTCGAAGGATCTATGTTTCTTTCCTTAGTTCCCATGCTGTTTTTGAGTGTGATAACTAATTTTATACACTTCTTTCTTTCTTTAGCTACCTCCAGGTTCTATTTCCAATAATCATTATCGGCTCTTCCTTACTTATCATCTTCTTCGGATCAACCCACGTTTTGTACCAGAAATGGAAACACTACCGTCGAACGCCACTCGCACGACGAGGCTCCACTCACCATGACGACGACCACTCCGATACGAGTTCTAACACCGACAGCAGTGCTGAACTTTTGGGTTCTGATTCCGAGAATGAATTTGAGGAGGATGATTTGGAAGACCACTTGGCTCTGACTAGGACGATGAGTCGGGCTTCGGTTCAAGAAACCAAAGTTGACCGCCCGGTGGGAGAAGTCTGGTGGGTTGCATTGGAGGAAATCGCTGTTATGGCCCAGATTGGGCTGCATTTGACAACCTACTTGCATCCAACCACCGATGACTGGAGATTTGGGAAGTTGCCAGCTCTCGTGGGAGCAGTTGTTTGGGTGAGTACCTGTGATCAGGGTGTTAATGGCCTGCCAATGACCATAAGACTAAACTAATTCATATAATAATAATAGGGCTATACATTAATCCTAACTACGCTTCGTGTATCTCTCCCGCGAACCAAGCTGTACCCAATGCCTGTTCTATGGGATCACACCGCAGCTATATACCTTTCCCAATTTGTCTTATATACCGTTGTATTCCGAACCGTCCTAATCTACGACCGACCATCTCTCAACCGTGCTATCGTATTCGCAGAATTCTCCCTTGTATCGCTGCTATCGGTTATTGTTCTTACTACTCGGAAAGGGAATAAACCCGTAAAGCAAGAAATCATAGATGGACTCGAACCTTCCCACGAGCCTCTTGCCAGCTTGTACTCCCTTGCCAGTTATAGTTGGATCGATCCGTTGATTTGGGATGGATATAGGTCGCCACTTGAGATGAAGAGGGTGTGGAACCTTCGTAAAGATGACCGTGCAATGGTAGTGCTGACTAGCTTCAGACAAACAAAGTAAAATACCCCTCGGGATCGTGTATAGCGATTGAATTTGACTAACCGTATGTATAGGAAAGTAGCAACGTTGACCTGGAGACTCATTGGCTTCTTCAAGGGCCTACTTGCTGCGCAGTTCGCCTGGACAATCTTTTACTCTTTCCTCACTTTCGCACCTACATTGCTTCTCAGAGCCATCCTCGAATATGTTGAAAACCCAGACAAATATCCTCGTAATGTAGCGTGGCTTTACGTTGGACTGCTTTTCGTCACCGGTATTGTACAAACGACAGGGTCAGGTGTTGCACTCTTCATCGGGCGCCGCATTTGTATCCGGCTTAGAGCCATCATCGTCGGGGAAATCTATTCTAAAGCTTTACGTCGTAAGGCTGCAGCTGCTGAACGTACACTCGGCCAGAAGGATGAGAAGAAAAAGGAAGAAGATCCAAAGAAGAAGAAGAAGACTACAGATGAAGAGCAACCTGCCTCTAAGGAAGAAGAAGAGAAGGATGAAACGCAAGCAAACGTTGGTGCTATCATTAACTTGATGGCTGTGGACTCTTTTAAGGTGGCCGAAATTTGTGCTTACTTGCATTTCCTTGTCGCCTCTACTCCTGTCCAGCTTACACTCGCTATTGCATTGCTCTACGGAGTCATGGGCTGGAGTTCTATTGCTGGTATTGGTGTTATGATCTGCCTGTTCCCGATCAATTACAGCATATCCAGAACATTCAGCAAGATTCAAAACAGGATTATGGCTATCACCGACAAGCGTATCCAGACTACGAACGAAGTTCTCCAAAATGTTCGAATCATCAAATATTTCGCATGGGAACAGCGTTATGAAGGTGTGATTTCGGAACCCCGAGCTCTTGAACTAAGGCAATTGCGAAATCGGTACATTCTCTGGGGTGTTGCGGCAAGTTTGTGGTATTCTACTCCCATTATAATCACCTTCGTCTCGTTTTGGCTCTACACTGTTGTTGAAGGGAAGGAATTGCGAGCACCCATCGCTTTCACGGCTTTATCACTCTTTGCGGTCTTGCGAACACCTCTCGACCAACTCGCAGATATGCTCACAAATGTCCTTCAAAGTAAAGGTATGATTGTCTCGAATGAATCAATAATCTATAGGGCATTACTAATGGATCTGGCTTCTAGTATCGATCGATCGTGTCCAAGAGTTCCTTGACGAAGAGGAAACCGAGAAGTACAAGCAACTAAAACCTAGTGACACTAATGAGGATCTCCTCACTCCGGCTATCGGTTTTAGAGATGGTCATTTTACATGGGGTAGCAAGAGTCTCTTGGGTAAGGAAGAAGGTGCAGGCTCATTCCAGCTAGTTAATCTCAATCTCGAGTTCGTTCCTGGCGAGTTGAATGTCATTGCTGGCCCCACAGGTTCTGGAAAAACTTCGCTTCTTATGGCTTTACTCGGAGAAATGACCCACGTAAGTGGGCGTGTGCACTTACCTGGATACCATTGCCGAGAGGATCTCTATCCTGATGAAAACGGTCACACCGAGAGCGTTGCTTATTGCGCCCAACAACCATGGCTAGTCAACGACACGATCAAGAACAATATCATCTTTGCTGGAAAGTACGACGAGGAGCGGTACAAAGCTGTCCTGTTCGCTTGTTCGCTTGAAAGAGATCTTTCGATACTTGACAAAGGTGATTCTACCGAAGTTGGAGAGAAAGGTATCGCGCTTTCCGGTGGACAGAAACAGAGAATATCTCTTGCCCGAGCTCTTTACTCGAATGCCAAGCATGTATTACTCGATGACTGCTTGAGTGCTGTTGACTCCCACACCGCGAAATGGATCTACGACTACTGCATCATGGGACCATTGATGCAATTCCGAACTTGTATCTTGGTAACCCACAATGTAGCCCTATGCGTCCCACGAGCCAAGTTCGTGGTCGCGATGAAGGGTGGAGAAGTTCAAGCGCAGGGAACACCGGAACAAGTTGTCGCATCTGGTGCCCTTGGAAAAGATGATCTTTTGAAGGGTCTAACATCACGAAGCCAGTCGGCCGCCGTTTCTCGTGTCGGGTCTACCACGAACCTTCGCAAGAATACCAACGCGGATGGAGAAATCATTACCGACGAACCTGTCAAATCCCTGGTTACCGCAAATGGCACTGCGAAGGCAGATGATGCTAAACAGAAGGAGACTGGGGGATCAAGCAATGAGGAAACTAAATCTGAAGGTGCGGTTGATTGGAACGTCTATAAGCTGTACTTGAACATGATGGGTGGGTGGTTCTTTTGGGTGATGGTCGTCCTTGCTATCGTACTTCAACAACTTGGTTCAATGGCTACTTCGATTTGGATTCGCCAATGGGCTCTCCAATACCAAGACCAGGATATCAAGAGAACAGCATCAACCCATCATGCTGTTAGTAGTAGGTTTGGCGGACTTGGCTCTAGCAATTACTGTTCCGCATCTGGAGTTTGTGCCTGGAATTTTCCAATTGGCTCAGAATCCGTGAACGTGAGCACCCTCAACGGAGGCTCAGACCAACCACACCACGTCAATGTTATGTATTACCTGAGCATCTATGCACTCTTCGGTGTTCTCTATGCCCTAACCTCCGTTTTCAGAGAGGGTGTCGTTTTCGCTGGAAGTTTGAAGGCCTCAAAGAGAATGCATGACAGGTTGCTCCACAGCATTTTAAGAGCCAAGTTTAGATTCTTTGATTCTACCCCATTGGGCCGAATTATCAATCGTTTCTCAAAGGATCTCGAAGCTGTCGATCAAGAAGTTGCCCCGGTAGCTCTCGGAATGATCCACTCACTTGCCTCCGTCATTTCGATCGTCGTTTTGATCAGTGTCATCACTCCTGGTTTCCTTTTCGCTGGTGTGATCATTTCGATATTGTATTGGTTGATTGGTATCTTTTACCTCCGAGCATCCCGAGATCTCAAGCGACTAGAATCTATCCAAAGAAGCCCGCTTTACCAGCACTTCGGCGAAACGCTTGCAGGAATCACTACAATCCGCGCCTACGGTGACGAGCGACGCTTTGTTAGGGAAAATCTGCATAAAATCGACAATGCTAACCGCCCATTTTTCTACCTCTGGGTCGCGAATCGATGGCTCTCATGGCGAGTGGATGTAGCTGGTAGCTTGGTATCTTTCTTTGCTGGCGTATTCGTAATTTGGAATATTGGAACCATTGATGCTGGGTTAGCAGGTCTTTCTTTGACTTATGCCATCAGCTTCAACGATAATGTCCTATGGGTTGTGAGGCTTTATGCTATGAATGAACAAAACATGAATTCGTAAGTACTCTCTCTAGAATCACAAAATCCATCGAATCCATCATCTAACAAATAATGTCTAGGGTTGAACGGCTTAAGGAGTACCTCGACATCGAACAGGAAGCCCCAGAAATTATCCCAGAGAACCGCCCAAGCGGTGATTGGCCATCTACAGGTGCTCTTAGCTTCCACGAATATTCCACAAGGTATCGTGCGGACCTCGATCTCGTCTTGAAGAAAGTTAGCTTTGATGTAAACCCATGCGAAAAAGTTGGTATTGTGGGTAGGACTGGAGCCGGGAAATCTTCTCTTGCGTTGGCGCTGTTCCGTGCGCTAGAGGCCACGGAGGGCAAGATCTTGATCGATGGGACTGATATCAGCACGCTTGGATTAAAGGATCTTCGAGAGGGAATTACGATGGTTCCTCAAGACCCAACATTGTTTACCGGAACTATTAGGAGTAACCTTGACCCCTTTGGTATCCATACCGATGAAGAGATCTTCGCCGCACTTCGAGAGGTTCAGTTGATCGGAGAGGATGAAGAAACTTCATCTCAAGTCACAGTGACCCCGTCCGATAGCCGATCCGAAATCTCTATTACACCTGGCGAAGAACCCACATCTCCCTCTGCCACGATAGCAGCTGCATCACCAACTAGTCCAACAACCAGACAGACAATAAACAAGAATATCTTCCTGAAAATTTCCTCGAAGGTAGCTGAGTCTGGTAACAACCTGTCCCAAGGACAGCGTCAATTACTGTGTCTCGCCCGAGCACTTCTTAGAAAGCCAAAGATCATTCTCATGGACGAGGCAACTGCCTCCATTGATTACGCCACAGACGCCAAGATCCAAGAAACAATCAGAAGCTGGAACAGCAGCTCTGTCATGACAATTGCGCATAGATTGAACACTATCGTCGACTACGATAGAGTTCTCGTCTTGGACCACGGCCAGGTCAAGGAATACGACCACCCATACATCTTAATACAAAAAGAGGGCGGTCTATTCCGAGATATGTGCGTGGACAGTGGAGAGATGGAGACCCTAGAGAGAATGGCAAAGGATGCGTGGGAGAGAAAGCATCCGAAATTAGTGGATGTCTAGAATCTTCTTTTTTGGATTGCGCATTGGAGCGATTTCTGTTTTTCTTGTTATTATTATTATTATCGATATCTTGGGGCTTCTCTTGGTTCCTTCGAGACCGTTTGGATATTCCCTGCTCTACCAAAAGTAGGCTTTTGGAGCTGTAATATAAAGCGTTTAGACGCCCAGGCGCCTGTGTAAACGATATGTGCGGTTGATTTGAATCGAATTTGTACATTTATGTAATGGGTAGTTTAACAATCTAAAAGTGTCTATAGTTATAAAGCGGATCTAAACTTGACCTCGAGACTAGATCTAGAGCGTGACTTACGCAATTGCGACTCGACCCACGAGCTCACCGGACCCATTCTACCTAGCCAACTGGTAGCTAAGTAGCAGCTAGCCGTTAGTTCGATGAGCGAGATGTTGTATTTTTCACGGCAACAAATTACTATATTCAGTTCAGTTTCCTGAGTATGTACATGCATTAGGTACTTATGTACAACATATTGTAATGTCAGAGGCAGCATCGTTACTGATAATATTAGTATAGTATTAGAATAAATGCCGATTGTTTCATAGCACCGTATTCTATAAATATTATTTTGATATCAGTCAATTTGATGATTTCATAAGCTTTCCCAGAATTTGGTCTTCCAGGCGTAATTCGCAGGCTATAGTACCATGCATTGTCTGGCTAGTTAGGATGGAGAGTGTAGTGGGAGGGTCTTTCTAATATTCCTTGGGATTAGAACGTATAGCTATATAGGTAGAAATCTTGTACGAGTTTCTAACTCCTTGTATAAGCTTATATCCATCTTATTCAATCTATTTTTCAACAACCTCACCAGCGCTGCAGCATCAAGGCTTCCTCTCCGATTTTCGATCTCAAGTTATCGAAGTTTGGTATATATATAAAATCATTCCCGTCCTCATCTAGGACTCTCAAAATGTCGAACAATACGACCATACTAGCTACGAAAACCGACGATGATGATGTCTGGCAGATGCAACTAACCCTAGTGGCCCTTCTGATAGCCATAGTGGCTCTCTTCATCGCATTCTTCCAAGTTCTCTTACAATACCTCAGTTCCCCTCAACGTGACAAATGTCTAACTGGAGCAATCGGGACTTGGTCGAACTTCACCAGAACTCGCTGGGACCTCTCAAGATGGAGGATCAGAGTCAAATATTCAAGGATCAATCTCTCACCATGGATGATAATTCACATCAGACAATCTCAAGAGGCGGAAATCCTCAAATGGGTACAAGAACAAGGCCGAGACTATCATCACACTTCAATTGGTGGCTCTGGCATTGGAAGGTTCGATTTAACCCACGGATCCCTCGTTCTACACTATCCTGATGATCCCCAAAACACATTATCATTCTGGATGCTACCCTTCAAAGAAAAGGTAACCTGGACCTACTTTCGCATATGCCACTGGAGATCATGTCCAGGATTTGCGAGAGCAGGTTGGGTCAACATTCTATCCGCCTTGAATGTCTGTCCCGACAGTCGACTCATGGATGGATTGCAAGACGCGGATATCATCCCTTCCGCGGTCGACGCTCCATTCCAAGTTGTGGATCTGAACACCCTTGGTCTCCTCTGTTATATGCTCGGTCTGCGAGATGTTAAAATCGACGAAAGTTCCGGAACAATCGATGCGAGGAATGCATACCTTCGGGTGCAGACCTTAACTATCCCCGCCGTAGGTCAAGTAGTAGCCATCGATGGTGATTTTGAAAGTCTTCGGAAACAACTACATACCGTCAACTCCGAAGAACTCATGTCGGTGTTAAGATCGGCAACGGGGCATATTCATGTAAACATGTTTCAGCCAAGTATTCACTTTTTTGATGAAGGTGCAGGACTTTATGGACTCTTCTATCGTTGGAATAGTGATATGTGGGAAAGTTACCGTATATGGGTAACCACAAACTTGATTGTTCAGAACCCCAGTCATGAGATAGCCGTTAAGGCTTCCCTAACTGCCCAATGTACGGCGTACAAGAACGAAGCTGCCCTTATGATTCAAATCGAGGATTCTTGGTCTGCAATCTGGAATTCCTTGATTGGAAGTGCAACCCCCACGATCATCAAGTACATGGCATTTCTACCATTCATGCCCATATGGTCAGCTCAGCCCGGGGAGTCCTTTTTTGCTGCCTATAACAGCTATCTGAACAAATCCCGCGCCAACTATATGAAAAACCTTGGTCGGAATTTCGTCCCAAATATCGAATTCCACGCCAAAGTGGAATTTATGTTGGCAACGAACCGTGTACCATTTATTCGGCCAAAGTCTGAATTCCTGTTAACGAAGGATACAGGAGCAATGCCTGATGTTTCTAGATCATGGGCTATAGAGCCTAGCATCCCAATTCTTAGGAGCTGGCCCGGTGCGTGCGACGTGGTTGATCAAATCCTCAACCCAAATCTCCCTCTCCCTCTCCCCAATGCCGTCATCCAACTCCTCAAGGGAGGGCCTATGCAAGAAGTCCGCACGGGGCTAGAGCAATACGTCATGGAAACCGAAATTGCTGGATACACTCTCGAGAGTACCATCTATCTAGCCCTCATGTTTCTCGACGCCCGCATCCAGACCTTGTGGTGCAAAGTAGAGGGTGCAGATGACGGCCCACTAACCGGCTTTTACAAAGTCCCCGAGGTGACACCTTCAGAGCAGTGTAAGCTAATGGACCACATTCGATTCCACCCATCAGCTGCAGTCGTAGACTTCCTGGGATGTTGGATGGATGTCTGTACAAAAATCGATGCAGTCGGTGATACCATCCTCTTAATCGAAGCATTCCACGAAGTTTTGGGCGAGTGGACGACCGGAGACGAACATCTCTGCTACTCAATCATGGATGGGTTCGTGCCAGACCCATCTCCTGAAGAGACAATGCGTGCCAGCTATCAAAGGATCGCTATCAACGATCGCGACCCTAGACAAAAACATATCAGTCAGGTATTATCAGGAAAGTGTCGATCAGGCCAACCGATGACGAAATCAAAATTCGCCGAATGGGTTAAAGCAGACGAGAACAGACTCCGAGAAATGGAAAAGATTCTGCCGTTGCTTCAATTGAGGATTTGGTTGATGCAGCTATGTTATGGGTGCTATGCGGACTCTCCAATGGTTTGTAAAGCAAGAATGAGGAGGGGAACAAGGGTGGAAGTCAGGTTGATATGAATTTGGAGGGGGGTATATGGCGATTTATATTATACAGGCGTACTTTCCATCAAACATTTATACTTTCGAGGGGAAGAGCGTGCAGCATATTAGGGCTTACAATGTATTTATGTTTGATATGCATTGTGCTATGTCTAACTTCGAGACTAGTGCCATGTATAAAAAGAGGGTTTGGTTGCACCCCAGCTGAGACTTCTCTGTATTGATCGTGGCCCCGGCCACCAGACTAAATTCTGATCTATATAAACAGCGCCTCCAGATAGAAAATAAGGTAAACCCCATAATGATGCTCCGCTAAAATATATACTTGGTAACTCCATGGTTTTAATGAAAGAAAAAGACAATGTTATACAGAAGAAAAAAGAAGTAATAAAAGCAGTTAATACCTTTAGTATACAAATGAGGTAGAGGGAGGGCGTAGATATGATCCTTCTTTCAGATTCGCTCACTCGCCGATGTATATTTTTTCAAAATACAACGTCGTCCCTTCCTCCGAGACTAAAATCATCCCAATCTTCGACCGGCCCGAAAAAACCCTCCAGCATAGCCCCAAGGCCAGGCGGAGTCTTATCCAACATAGAATCTGCAGCCAACAGATCATCATCACCATCTGGCAGAGCCCAAGCATCGAACTTCGCTGACACAGAATTAAGAGCCTTCGAGACATGGTCAGTCGCAGCCTTGACCTTTCTTCTCTTCGAGTCGGTAATTTCTTCTATCGATATCCGTTTCTTGAGCTTCTTTTCGTGCAGCGTCGTTTTCTTAGATTCATCCTCGACAGTCGGCAATCCGTAGATATGTGCTGGCGGTTTTTTGAAATCCGTGTACCGTCGTCTCTTCACAGTACTTTTATTCTTAGAACTACTCTTGTCCCCATTATTTGGGGTTTCACTCTTCAATAGTAGTTGCGCCGTTAGAAGTTCGTCCAATGCGTCTAAAGATCGTTTTCGGCGCACAGATGAAGTCGGCTCGTCGATGACAATAGAAGAAAGCGCAAATTCTTGTCTCGCTTCTGCCGCCTCTGCCGCCTCTTGTTCCTTTCTTGCCTCGATGCCAAACTCCTTCACAACCTTGTCTAGCATCTTTAAATCTGCCAGTTCTTCTACTACCAGAACCTTTATCTTGACTTTACCCCCTCTTTCGAGTTCAAGCGTGCCTAAAGCAGATCTTATATTCTTTATTTGCGCTTTCCTCGATGCGCCTTCACCTGTATATGCAAGCACCAGAACCTGAATCTTGCCTTCTGGAGGCTTCTTTAGTGCATTTTGAACTGTTCGATGTAGCACACCCTTGTCATGCGCCAGTATCTTCTTCCATCCCCTGCTTGAACTCGTTGCCGTGCACCCGAAGATAACCCCCCCAATCATGCCATCCTGTCCTCTCATATGGGAACTGGCCACATGCTCGTCTTGATATGTATCCTCTCCATCCCTCTTCACTAACCCCCCGAATTTATTCATGAACCACTTCAATGATTTCTTCCTTTCATCCGCACAAACAATCTGCAGCTGCCATGTATTCGGCGGGCTCGCCTCCAAAAGTGCTGGTATCCCATTAGGATTACATTCCGATAATTGAAGCTGGTGCCACGCAGAGTTCTTCAGTTCCTGACGTAGACTAGCGAGCTCCGTGATGTCGGTATATTGGAATTTACTCAGGGAATCTATTCCTGGATACCAAGGTTCGGCATCACGTTTCGCATCAAATTTTCGGATGAATTCATCTGGGATTGGCCTAATTACGTCGCGCCATGTCAATGCAGTTGGAGTTGGAAGATTTTCGTCTTGTACCTTGGCATCCTCAGGGATGGGAAGCCCTGATGGTGCCAGCCTCACCCTTTTCGGCGGTGGGACTTCTTCCTCGGTTGAATCTAAATCTTCGATAATCTGTATTAGGGGCTTGGAGGTGTGGGATGGCGGCTGATCTGAAGTTAGCGGCTCCTTTGGTGTCGATTGTTCGGAAGTCACTAGAGGTTTCGGTACAAACGGTGTCTGAGTGGTGTTCTCAAGTACACTTGAGCTTTTAGGTGGAGCTTGGTCGAAAATGGATGTTCCTGGGGGAGGAACCTGCGGAGTAGTCGTTGGTAGTGCGGGTGGAAAGAACGACGGCGGCGGAGGAACCTGAGGTGTGCTGGTTAAAGCTGGGAATTGTGGTACAGCTAGTTTTGACGCTTCGATTTCTGGTGCACTCGAAGGAAAGAAGCTGGATATGGGCTGCTGCGGTGCTGTGTCGAATATCGATTTGGGAGGTTCTCTAGCCGGAGTTGTGGAAAATATAGACGGCGCTGATGGCTGTACTGGAGGAACAGTTTTTGCTTCTGGTACTGGTGCCGGAAAGAAGCTTACAACAGGCTCTTTAGGCGGCTGCGAGTCAAATATCGACGGGCCAGATTCTTGGGATGGAGTTGGCTTAGGTGCATCAAACACTGAAGTTACAGGAGGTTTAAAGGCTGGTGCCCGGCTTGGAACAAATGACGATGCCCCGGGGTTGAGAGAGGAAGTGTCTGCAAATGCTGATGGCGAACCTTTGGCGATAGCGTCCGCGAATAGCCCTTGTGATCCAGGTTGGCCTGTAGGGACAGCGGCTTGTTTTTGATTAAACAAAGATACAGGTGTGGGTTTTACTTCAATATTTGACGGACTCTCTGCTGACTTCAGGCCAAAGACTGGTGCATCTACATGAGCCGTAGGCTTAGTGCTGAATACTGACACCGGCTGCTTTTCGGAACTTTTATCTAATGGTTGGGCTGGCTGCTGTGATGCAAAGGCGGAAACCGGAGGCGCCGGTGGGTGGAATGCGTTTGTAACAGATTGGAACACGGACTGGGGAGGTGGCGTGCCTGACGATGCGGTATTTGGATTCTGGCCAAATGCCGGGGCTAGCGCCGCCGCGCTCTCAGGCAGCTTCTGGCCAAATCGAAGGGGGGCTGAAGTACCAACTGGTTTACCAAATGCAGGAGGTTTCTCTGATACTGCAGTGCCAAACGCAGGCGGAGGAAGGGCCGCTGGTCTCGGTCCAAATGCAGATACGGGTTGAGCCTGCCCGCCAAATGCCGAAACTGGAGCACCAAACGCAGATACTACGGGGGGCCGAGTACCAAATGCTGATACAACAGGAGGTTGAACAGCAGGACTCGACTCCCGTGTCGTTGTTTGGGATGGGAAGGCAGGCGGGGCCACCGGAGCTTTGAACTGGCTGGGGGGCTGATGTAGCGGGGTTGGAGCTGTGCTATTACTCGTAACCCCGGCTTTTGTAAATCCTTGGAAGGGTGATTGCTGGCGCTGTGCCGGTTGTCGTACTGGTTGTTTCACAGTTCTAGCCGGGGCTGTCCTATTATTTTAGCAAACATTGAAATTTAAGTCACCGGGGATCAAGTATACCTTGTGAAAATGTATGCTTTCCGAATTTCTTTTTCTTCTTCGCCATTAAAGCGACTACATCTTGGGCTCGGTTCGCTGGAACTCTGCCATTCCTGGTATTGGTTATCAAGTCAAAGAGGGCACTCTCTGCATAGTCTTCATCCACCACATCCCGGGGGTCAGTCACAAAGGTTCCAACCGACTCCCAACTAGACGCAAATTGCACAATATGCGCCGGCCCATCTCTTGCCGGTTCTTGCGCCACTGGGTCATTGTATTTAATGTCGACTTCTTCCTCGCACAGCTGGCTAACCACACGGCGATAGCACCCTGGTTCATCGATGAAAAACTTAGCGGGAACGAATTCTCCATTCGCATCTTGTCCTCTCTTGATCTCAACAGTCAAGGGAAATGGCGGTGTGATCGGCGGGGGTTGTGCTAATTCTATTAGCATAAGTATTTAAATGATGATTTTGCGATAAAGATTACCTATCCATGTAGATCGCTGGCTCTTCCGCGGACATACCATGAAGACAGCCCCGTCATGTTCAGAAGTCTTTAAGCCATATCTCTCCACCGCACTTTTGATATCTTGCTCTGACGAAGCGTCCACCAAATTTTGTAGAAGGGTCAAACGACTAGCTTTCTTCTGAGGTGGGAAACCTCTTTCAAAGGTCTTAATAGCACCTTTCTTGACATTCATGAATTCGAGGGCTGCTAGACAGCCTAGGAGATATGGTGTCGATGGATCGTATACCAGGTCAAAGAAGTGAGAGGACCAATTGAGTGTGGTCCCTGACTTTGATGTATTTCCGAACAAATTTCTGTCATCGTGATTCGCCCTCTGGGCATATTTGAACAGCAAAAGGGCGATTCTAAAAATTGGGGTCTCGAGTAACCTAGGTGGCAGTTGAAGGGCTCTGGCGATTTGTAGTGGGTTGTAAAGATTTGATACAAGAGTGTAAGCCCGGAATTCAGATTCGAAGTCAGTCTCGGCATTGTACTGCCTCTTCCCTTGTTTGATTAATCGCCTCCGGTCATCGTATAATTCGTTTAACGAAATCAATGTTTTCGACAATTGCTCTAGTTCCTGCCCTCGCTGGAAATTCTCGTTATGTGACAGTTGCTGCAACGAAAATATATGAAAGCGTCCTATCCTCTCATAACATTCTATCACAGCATCCGAGTTCAAGCCCTGGATCGAACAATCCTGGCGAATCGACCTTGTCCTATCCCAAACAAAGTTTTGACAGTTCGAGAACGCCCATTTGTTGACAATATCGTGCACAAGGTAGTCCATCGTCTTCATCAAAGTCTCTTCGGTTCGGAGGTCTTCAGGGAGGTCCTCTGCATCCCCGGCGGCAGGGCGATGCCAGGACTTGACAGCTCGGGTTTCACCAAAATAACCATTTTCGTCTACTTCGTATGTGCTGATAGCGGATTTATTGTTGGCGCGGCGTAGGCGATCCCATCGAGGGCACATCTGAATACAGATTCCGACCAGCTCTTTATGGCCATCGATGATCCGTCGGGCCGCATTAAGGCGATTTCGTTCTCGTTCTTTGTCATACTCCTCCACTCGTCGTTTTCGCACTTGTACAGCCTTTCAGAATCCATTGCGAAGAGGGAGGTAAACATGGTCGCGTTAACAATCCGTAATATTGTAGTAAGAGGCTTCGACTTGGAAAAGTAATCGCAGCCGGTGGTGGTAATCAGAGGTTGTGGTGAGTATTATTATCTTACATCCTTGAACATGTCCTCCTCCGATATATTCGGGTGCTTTAACTCATGTCGGAGAGTGGAGAGGTTTACTGGCGGTTTTGCAGGCCGCCGTACTTCGAGTTCGTGTCGTTGTTGAACTGAGGCCGACTGTGTCGCCCGAACCGGCACCAGAGCTATGAAATCGCTATTTCGCATGCCTTGCACTTCCCGCTGGTGAACGGCCGTAGGCCAGTCTTCGTCGAGGCCCTTCATTGTCGCCGACTATATAGCGAGTTCCAGTCAGATACAATGAGCAACAGCGACGTTATGCAAAGTTCCACCTTACAGGTTGTCGTGGAAGAGGGTGCGGTTTGACAATATGATGGCGAACCCACCGAGGTGGTCCTCAGTGATGTTGCCTTCGCTATAAGTTCGGTCTCATTCGGCTCCAGTTAGGCCGACGGATTGATTCTATAGAATTTAGTCTGAAAGGATCGTCAGGTTTGAGGTAGGTTGGTTTGATGTATGTTGGATGATGGTGATGAGGTCGTGATGTGAGGGAAGGCGAGTTTAAAGGATGGTGAACGTGGTTAGGAAATGTTTAGCGAGGGTTTAGATCGCGTCGGAACACCATTCAACGGCGACACCAGGTCAGACTTGCCTCGTGATAGCGGAAACGCCAGCGCTCAGACAATACACCACACTTTCCTGAGAAATAGAACAAAAAGGTACATATGTATTTACGGTGGCTGGCGGTTTAAAAGGTTTCATTGCTATTGAGTATTGTTATAGAGCGGCGAGAATAATAAGACGCTACGAAAAACAAGAACGTTGCTACCAGGAATCCAAACTACCCTTCCATATAATACATTCCGTCCCACCGCAAACTTTGCAAAAAGGCCGGTTCCCCAAAACGCCATGATATCGCATTATCCGAGAAGTTACTAGCTTTGGATAGAGGTAACGTATACAGTCCCCTCGATATTATGAAATAAACACTTTTCGAACATCTGCCCTTTCAAATTCTTCGCCCGAGATCGGGTCTCTGTACTTCCCACTGTCGAGGCCAAGCTTCCCCGCTAAGTCCGAAAGTCGTTTTGTTCCATAGACCCTTCCGTTCGGCAGCACTATGAGGTCATGGTCTACCCAGCTAGTAGTATGATGCCCATATGGTACCGGTTTGGCCAACTCGTTGAGTTCCGTAGAACAAATTGGGCATAAACTCGTAACGCTACAGGCAGTATTATGCCTTGTCGATAGAGTAGAATGGCAACTTGGAGTTTTCAACGATGATAGTCCGGCAGCAAGAGCAACATGGAGTAGAGGTTCTTGGGGTAGGTTGTAAAGGCTATGGTGGGTCGATACAAATGTTTTCACCAAATGGTCCCAGCGACCCTCAGCGTATAGGGCCTATCCCAAATCATCGCATTAGCAGAGCTACCCCGCCAATGATGCAATATGGTAACTTACTTTATATGGGCCAGGCCTTTCAGGAGGAAAAGCCAGTATGCAAGACGCGCGAAGAAATTCTGTAGTGTGGGTGTCGCAACTGCCAGAGAGATACTTCCGCGAGTACGTAACTGCTTCTTTTAACTTCCGTTCCCTCACATATTCGATGTAAACCTGCAGACGCAATTCAAACTCAAGGGTACTCTTGATTTTCTTTAACGAGTTCTTGTTCTCCGCGCACCAAGCTAGGCACTCGGTCGTTTTCTTATTCCTCAAGCTCTCCTCGATAGTCCAGCATTGGACAAACACGTCTACATCCACCAATTCCTCAATACCCTGCTTTTGGGCTAATTGTTTTGCGCTGTTGCTGTATCCATTCCGTAGCATGTAGTCTACCATAAACCGGTCTAAACGGATTTTACTCCACGATTCGTAGCCATCTTCTAGTAATGACGAAAGAGAATGTAGATCATTTAGATGCGAAACACGTTTCCGAGATTGTGCGTGTACGACCTTTTCCTCTTCATGAAGAGTTTCCATCTTCCGTTTGAGAGTTTGCATGCGGGTAATCATAGCGTTGAGACTCTCGAGGGACGCCTCTTGTGAGACCTGCGGGGCTTTGGCACCGGCATCTCGGGCAAGCTCGGTAAGCTTTTTACCATCGTTCTCGATGTATCTCTGGGAGGACTTGAAGATCTTTCGGAGAACCTCGAGGGGTAGTCGAAGAAGAGGTTCTTCCTATATGCCATCACCAATGTTGGGTGTTAGTAAAAGTCGAGATCCACTCAAGCTTAGACTGTTGGGAACATTATTGCCACTAACGAGGAGAAGGTTATTATCGGCACTTAGAATCGCGGCGGACTTTGTCGTCATGTTGGGCTAGTGGCTCCTTGATGAAAAGTCGATGAGTGATATTGGTAGGTTTGATCACAGAGGTATCATCGTATGGCTGGATAGCTTAGTGGCCTGGGATGGTGTCGGGTGATAGTGGAGCGGGATAATGGCGACGGTCAGCCAAGCTCAGGTCTGGGGTACCTCTAGGTTAGCCTGTTTTGGGCGCCGGGTCGCATGGGCGCCGACAACACAGTTACCATGTTGCATTTTCGTCCGCATTTCTTTCTTCGACGGATATTCATGATCCTCGTGATATTCAGCTATTCAGGGCTCTTAGTTTGATCGGAATGATAGGCTAGGTAAGCTAGGTACTTAAGTAGGTATTTAGTTAAACTATCTTAATTAGCTTAAGATCTTTGTATCAGGTTCATTTAATACAAAAAGCTCTTACGAAATACCCTATACAGTTTAGTAAACTGGTAATATTAAAATATCATAATTCTAATATTCGAATTCGGGTACCATCGACCAGTACAGTACAGTTCATCTCGTAAACCAGAATTAATTGCTGCTGCGACGTGTATAATTAATTTCCGAATCCACTAGTCTCGGGGATAAAACTGGACTCGAATTATTTTTTCTGGCCCTTTCCTATACTATAACAAGATTATATACGCATTCCCACCATACGAAAATTAATTTACTTTTGAATTCACTAATACAAATCCGCCGAACTGTTTCAATTGTATTTATTACAATCCTGTCGCATATATAGCCTCAGGCTTGTGTGCCCTAAAGTTGAGGATCTTTACTCGGTGAAAGGTGCCGTCTGTTTAGGTCAGAGGTTAACATTTGTTACATACCCGAACACGGGCTTATTTAACCTACGAGTGTGGAAAACTCCCCAAGTTAAGTATTAATATATTGGTTATATATAGTACTAAGTACCGGTCATGCATGCATAGCGACCAGAGCTTTATTCAGATGATGTTTGCAAATTTAACAGTAGAGTAGTAGAGTTATTAATATTATAAATATTAGACCTCGGCCCCATGTTCCAGTGAGGTGGAGCTTTGGTCCCAGCCTTGAATTCGAAGTCGGAAGCATTGGCCTAACTCCGGCCTGCTCGAGCGTTTCCATGGAGCTTTACAGCGACAGCTAAACTAGATTCATATCCCTTTGGAAGAAATGATGCCAACTTTTGATCAAATATTGCAAAGAAAGAGGTTAAATCATGAAATTAAATTAACTAAATTAGGTATAATAATACCAATCATTTGTCTCGTACCCAGTAAAAACCTTAAAAACTTTAAAAATAATAAAATGATGATTAATAAACTCTAATCTACTTGATTAATCGATTTCTATATATACGAAGCTAGGGAGAATTCACAAGTTTACCTAGTACCAATTGCCTTGGGAAGTTTGGGTGGTGTGTTAATGTCTGGACCATTCTCACATCCTATAGCCCTATCCAGAGATTATAATATTAGGCATTTAGTATTCGCGGCTATATTAATGTTATAATAACACCGATGCCTCTCAACATACCATTTTAGGAAATTTCCGGATATTTAGATATCTCGGTACGAATGTTGTAGTAGGATGGATTATATATTGGTAGACAACGCTGGGCACCACGCTACTGTAACTAGTTCCAAGACGATTACCAACTAGCTCGCGTGGCATGATAATGGAGCAAATTCATATTAACACGCGCACACGTACGCCTCTACTTCCAGAGACAGACTTATTTCGTGTGCAAAATGCTCCTGTGAATGGCGCATTCTAGATGATGATATTGAAGTTAAGGGTTCGAAGTGTGTATCACGTAGCAGGAGTTTAACAACGCCGAATATGCAGTTGTCTGTGTTGCGTGTGTGGTAATTGTCACGATGCATTGAATATTTTATTCTGCCACAGTATCCAATATAGTATCGTGATTCAATTCTGCAGTGCGATGAAGTAAATATCCTGTCCCCGGAAAAAAAAGCATGAACTCTCCCTATTGAGATATGAAGCCGTTCAGACGTATTCTACGCGATCCTACTGGACAAAGATTAGATAGTGTACAAGATTCTAGAAATTGTGAACGCAATCTGGCGTTCGTTTCGAGCGCCCAGAACAGCAAGAGGCAGGCCACAGGACAGGGTATTGTTTAGGGCGCCCAAGCACACAAAACAAGTAAAACGAGTTACCGTGTACTCAACTACAACACCTAGCCAACCCCATTAAGAGGCTGCCTTCATGACAACATTACCTCGTCCGACAGTCCCTTAACCTTAACCTTAACCTTCACCCTCTTCCACTTCTTTCTTTCTCACGACTCTTCTAATAACAATAACCCTTTACGACGACAAGGACTGGGCGAGCCATTGTCGACAGCCAGACCAACGATACTCTTATTCACCAGGCTTCACTGCAATTGAGGTGCAGGAGCCGAATTCTCTCTTCCTCTTCATCCTCATCCCGCCACCTACCCTGACTCCTATATCGCCACCATGAGTAGCTGTACGTCTCGAACGACCATCTGGTTTCATTTCTCTTAAAGGATATCTTCTGTAACTGACCATGCGACTGGCTTCATCTAGTACGATTTCTCGATTTAATTAAACCGTTCTTGCCCCTCCTTCCGGAGGTGGCTGCGCCAGAGCGAAAAGTAAAGTTTGAGCAGCGCCTGATGTGGACAGGTGTAAGTAAACGCTCATGCCCGTCGAATACGAGGCATTAATGTATTAGAGAAGAGATCGAGGTTCCTGACCGTATTTCTGGAATAGTTGACACTGCTCATTTTCTTGGTCATGAGCCAGATGCCGTATGTCACCCATTTCCCCACAATATTGCACATAACGTGTATTTCAGATGCGTAAAGACAATTGACTAACTGTGATGGAATATTTAGTTTATATGGTATTGTCTCGTCAGATGTTAGTACAATTGGCACGAAGCCTAGAAAATCTATACAAATAACACGCTCTAACCGCTCTCTAGACATCGGATCCCTTATACTGGCTCCGTATGATGTTGGCTAGCAATAGAGGTACATTGATGGAACTCGGAATTACACCCATTATCTCCTCCGGCATGATCTTCCAGGTATGATAGGAACGACATTCAAATACAAGTTTGAGGCAGTCGCTAACAGACCCTTGGTAGCTCTTGGCTGGTACCCACATGATTGATGTTAACCTCGACTTGAAGTCTGACCGTGAATTATACCAAACCGCCCAGAAATGTTAGTCAAAAGCTTGATAAATATGTGCACGTGGCTTCTATTATCTATAACACCCTGCTAACTATGATCCATAGTGTTCGCTATCATCCTGTCACTCGGACAAGCCACTGTCTACGTTTTGACTGGTCTCTATGGTCAACCAAGTGATCTTGGTGCCGGTATTTGCATCCTCTTGGTCGTCCAGCTTGTCGTCGCCGGTCTCATCGTTATCCTCCTCGACGAACTTCTTCAGAAAGGCTATGGATTGGGATCCGGTATCTCTCTCTTTATCGCCACCAACATCTGCGAGAGTATCATCTGGAAGGCTTTCAGCCCTACCACTATCAACACTGGCCGTGGACCTGAGTTCGAGGGTGCTATCATTGCCTTCTTCCATCTCCTCTTTACTTGGCCAAACAAGCAACGTGCTCTTCAGGAGGCTTTCTACCGCCAAAATCTCCCCAACATCATGAACCTCCTCGCTACTCTCGTTGTTTTCGCCTCCGTCATCTACCTCCAGGGATTCCGTGTCGAAATCCCAGTCAAGTCTTCCCGCAACCGTGGTGCTCGTGGAACTTACCCAGTTCGTCTCTTCTACACCAGCAATATGCCAATTATGCTTCAGTCCGCCCTCTGCTCCAACGTCTTCCTCCTCTCTCAGGTTCTTTACTCCCGTTTCTCGGATAACCTCCTTGTCCGTCTTCTCGGTGTTTGGGAACCAAAGGAAGGCTCCGCCCAGCTCTTTGCCACTTCAGGAATTACCTACTACATGTCCCCACCCCTTAACATCACCGAGGCTCTCCTGGACCCTATCCACACCTTGATCTACATCATCTTCATGCTCACCGCCTGTGCCGTGTTCTCGAAGACCTGGATTGAAGTCAGCGGCTCTAGCCCACGTGATGTCGCCAAGCAGCTCAAGGAACAGGGCCTCGTTATGTCTGGACATCGTGAGCAGAGCATGTACAAGGAATTGAAGAGGGTTATTCCTACTGCTGCCGCTTTCGGTGGCGCATGCATTGGTGCTTTGTCTGTTGCTTCTGACCTTTTGGGCGCTCTTGGAAGTGGTACTGGTATCTTGTTGGCCGTTACGTAAGTCTTTTCCACTCGGTTTAACAAATCTGACGCAAACTAACATACGTTCTAGCATCATCTACGGTTATTTCGAAATTGCTGCTAAGGAGGGAGACGTTGGCAATCAGCTCGGCCAGATGATCGGTTAAACGATATTAGCTTTCTAGTGGTGGGGAAAAAAGGGGTGGATTGTTGCTCGGAGGTTTATCTTTCAACATTCGCAGCAGCGGATAATAATATCTAAGTGTTATGTTGCTCGGAGCAATAGTTTGGATACGAATTGTCCAGAGAATATGTGGAGAGAGGGAGGAGTGATGGATTATCCCTCATAAAATTTCATTACTTGGTTTGTAAATTAAATTAAAATTATTCTCTTTTTTTTTTATCATTGTTTCCTTTCTGCATGTCTCCTTTTACTTCTCGTGCACATAATTTGCTCCGGTTTCTATACTTGTTCTGTATGGCTACTTTCCCCCCGATCGTCGGAATTGTTTTTCTTTAAAGCCTTTTCGAACTAAAAAGAAATACAATAATGTCATGGTAACTTTCGTAATGTATATCCACGTGTATAAGGGGCCCTTTGATCTTTTTCGTCGTATATGCGTGACAATAATACCGGTACCGGTACCGGTCGTCGTCCCCATTTTGAGGTTAACAGGGAGGGTAGGCGACCTGCAGGCCTGGTGAGCAGATTCCAGATCCCTTGAGCCAGTTTACAGGACGCAAACGTTAAGCATCAATGGCAATTATAGATTTATAGCTATAGAGCTCGAGCCTTGAAGCCAGACGCGCCGAAAGGGGAATGTATATATTATATGTGAGGAGTTTCTAATCAATAATACCGTTGGTAGTTATACATGTTGGCTCGAGGGTATATCGATAAGGATGAAGATGATGTCACCCCAAACTACGGCATGCGTATTCCAACTTACATCGATATTAGCAGTATTCATACCAAACGTATTTTGTCGGTTCGTTAGATTCACCTGGGGAAATGGGCTCAAGCCGTCGCTTTCATATACCGATATCTATGATATCAATCCGGGATGGATGAACACTAAGTGTTTAAACTTCCCAACTCCAGATCCAACAAGGGGGTTAATCGCTGTGGAGTATTATTCTGGACCTCCTATAAATCGTAAGACGCTAGTCAATTGCAAGCTATTAGTTAACATATTATACAACTTTTCCAAAAAGTAATTGACATACTAACCTCACGCTAATACCACTAGCATACCATCCCTACTTCCTAAAAGCCGTTATCATATTTAACGTCCTTGACTGTCCACCTCCAAGTGCCAACCCTCGTCTGCACTACCTTCCGCTCGAGATACTAGATGAATCTGAATTCCCAAAGCATTCTCGTTCAAAATGGCTTCAAAACACAAATGCTCAATACCTCAATCTTGATCGGGGCGGTGAGGAGCCCGGAGTAATTGCTCCAGAGAATTGGGAGGATCTGCAGAAGTTTAAGGCACCCGAGGGGTTTGAACAAGAACCGCATTGGATTGATTATAGCACTTCCGAAGCATATTCTATTGATATTGAAAAGATGAGGACGGGGGTTTCGAGGGTTAAAGGTGATGAGTATGTTGAACAACTCGCAAGGTCGCTACAGGATGGGCAAGCCGGTGATCAGATACATGAAAAGGCAGACTCTTCAGAAAACAAACCCAAGAGCTATAGAGAATCTATGGAGGATTCTCAGTGGAATATTGTATATATGCAAAATGCTTTTGAAGACAGTAAAAATCAGTTTTTGGGGAATGTTAGTGCGCTTTTGGTACCGGATTATAGGTACGCGCATGTTATAGGATTGGCAAGAGAGTTTGATGAGTATGCGAAGATTGGGGAGAGAGTTGAGGGGTGGAAGCCCCCGGCTGAGTGGAAAGAGGAGATGGAGATGGAAGATGAAGGGTTGACGGGGATGGGGTCACCCGGGTGGGATGGAGAAGAGATTTGACCGTTTAGTCGTTCCTCACGACTTCAGTTCTTTTCACTCTTCTTGTATTGGTACTGCTATGCCTCTATATAAAATAGCCTTGTCTCGAATGTCTGAATATATTAGGAACGAGACTAGCGAATTCACGACGTCTCCCGAATTCGAATAGACCTAGACCCCGAGAGATGATTGATGAGTCCAGAAAGTAGGTGCAATTTGAACTGCCATTTCGGGACCTCGGGCCTCCGGCACAATCCCTGGATTACCTAGCTAATTAGCTCCCCAAGCACGACTACCCAAGATGCATTAACGTAGCTAATACAATATGATTCTGGCAGTTGGAAGAGCATGCAAGTGTTCAGACGAAAAATGCAACACTAGGCTGCGTTGGATATCGGAACCATAGCCGATATTATATAATGGATCGGGCTGGGCGTCCGCGGGGTCCCTTTCGCTTTCGGCACCGTACTGCAAACGACGAGCTACAAGCTACAGCTAAGTCTTGCAGCAGATGTACGACGCGATGGTGGATGCAATGCAATGAAATGCAATGAAATACAAATAACAAAGGCCACCGACCCCTCATCCTCGTCTTTATCCTCACCTTTATCCTCGTCCCCATCCTCGTCCTCCTCGAAGCAGTAACTGAACAGAGAAATACAGCACTGCTTTAAAGATATTGGCGCTGGGTCGGTGAGGACATGTGTCTATAGGCCGGCATTGGGCCTCCAGGACGGGCTTGGCAGAGTTCTTGGCCTTTCTTGGTATCGTATCATGACATTTTCCCTTCGCACAGGCTCGCTCGATGGCGGGCAACTGGAGCTCCCAAGAAGGGAATCCGATGGATGGGGCCGGCTGTATGGACGGACAAACACAGCCTCGTTTTGTTTTTCTGTCTGAGTGAAAGTATAAGTAGAGGAATTAGGGTCCGAGTTTCTTGGAAGCCGAAGAGCTTAGGGAAATAGGTCATGTACTTACTTTAGTCCTTACTTACCTACTTACTTATGCTGCGAGGGTGGTCTTTCCTTTACATACGTATGTAAGTACATGTATGTAAGTACTTAGGTAGGTAGTACTTAGTGTAGGTCAGAGGGATCGATTGCATGGAGGTAGCTAAGATCGAGCTTCAGCTTGCAAGTCAACAATCGAATCATACTACATCAGCACTACAATGCACGCACTCGCACTGCACTGCACCTGGAACCGAATCACTAATTAATCAGATCAATCAAAGCCCGGGCCCTTCTCTGGCTACCGGCTAACCTTCTCTCTTCTTCTACTTCTTCTTCCTCTTCCTCTTCTTTCCGCTTCCTCTTATTCTCCTTCGTCTTCATCTCTGTATACAAACTACCCCCCATCGTCGTCTTCGTCTTTTAGTATCAGAAGCATCAGCGGTTCTTGCATTGTTCCCGCTTCGACTTCGCTAATCGGATTTCTTCCTTTCCACGCGGGCCAGAGACATCTTGTCTTTCAATTTCTTGACCTGTTTGCCGCTTACTTAAGCCACTACACCAAAAAAACCTAGCCAACCTTTCCACAGCTGCACAGGGACTTAGATACCCAAAGAAACAAAGAAAAACATCCCGTTTACCGAACAGCTAGGCTTACTGGCTGTCAAATCATTCATGAGAATATGGTGCCTGGCATCACCGACGACGATGCCCCACCCCCGCGGTCTATAGAGGAGGTTGAGGGTCTGATCAATGCCCTGTACAGCCCCTCCACAACACCGGACAACGTTCACGCTATAAACCGAGTGCTGCAGAAGCTCCAGCGTTCCCCAGAAGGATGGCTCTTGGCAACCTCCCTCAGTAATAGCTCCAATGAACATGTCCAGTTCTTCGCAGCTTCCACTTGGATGGTCAAGCTTAACACCGACTGGTATGTCCTGTCTTTCTTTGCTATCTGTTATGGCGAAAATGGTTTTGAGCTTCTATTAACTGTATCTTGCCTTTTTGCAACTTTAGGCAGGGACTGTCGGAACATGACGCGCTCGCACTGCTAGACACGCTAATAACCTGGTTAATACGGGTTGTCGACGTCGGATTCAAGCCGTTTATATGGAGAAAGATCTGTGTCACGCTCGTCAACTACTATATCCGATTTCCTTCGTTATGGACATACTGTATTCGACATCTCATTTGTCGGTTCGCTGGCGTTACATCCGGGGTACAGCAAGAAGGACTTCATAATCTTCCACCCACGTCCACCCTACTAGCTACATTCAGCAATTTGTCAAAGACCGTCATTGTGGGTTTCACTCGTACTTTGATCGAGGAAGTTGGAAAGATTGAGTCTCGGAATAGTAAAGGGTACTTTATATCTTTACCGTCGCTACTATGGTCCCTAAACTAACAGTACTGGTAGTCATAAATATTTCGAAGGAATGAACTTGAATACGCCGGATGCAGCTAGCGTGGTAATGACCGTTCTCATGGAACCCGGTAAGTGGTCGCACGAATTATGGTTTTTGTTCTGCATCCTAACATCTCGATCCGCCCAGGTAGTCCGTTAAGCCAGCTTAGTGTGGAGCAAGTTACACTTGTCGAGGAAGCTCTAAGATGCTATCAGGTATTTGCTAACTTCTATTTGTGAATCTATTTTCTAAGATATTGCTGACTTTTCCCAGTCTTGGGCGACGTATTCAACCCGCGAGGCCAGCGAGGCTCTACAGGTTTTCCAACCAATCACAAGAATCACATTTGAATGGCTGGAGAGCCCACAGATATACCGGATCTCTGCTGAAACGGTAACAGAGATGTTGACTAATAGCTTCTACTTCTACACCGCCGAAGACAATCATGTCCTGGCTGAAAGGATATCTGGCACATGGGGTCAAACGAAGTTTTCGCAAGTGGTACCGAAGGAGCATGATGATTACGATAGCGAAGAGACAGATGCTTTCGCTCATCTGCTGGTGGCATTTGCAGAATCAAATCTCAAGGGATTAGCTCTCTCGGTGGACTCGCACACCTCTACAACTATCCTGGAAATGCTTCATGGCTTACTACGATTGCCAGGGTACCCGATTGCCGATGAAGAAGTTTCCAATCTCGAATTCGAATTCTGGTCATCACTTACCGAACTTATGACCGATTACTACTCCAAAGAGGATGAGCAGAAGCCACCATGGTGGAATATTTGTCGTGGTCATCTGCTTAGAGCTGTCCAAGAATACTGGATGAAGATTAGGATCCCTCCTCCAGATGTCTTGGCAGAATGGTATAAGGACGACAAAGATGGGTTTCAATCATACCGGAAGGACTTCGCAGATCTGGTGGAGACGGCGTATCCTGTTTTACAGGCTGAATTATTTGTGGAATTGGTCCAGCATGCATTAAACCAGGTCAATACGCCAACCCCCGACTGGCAGGAAGTAGAGAGCTGCCTTTTTTGCATAAACGCACTGGCAGATTGCCTTAACACAACAGATCCACAGGAGTACGCATATCTATCTGCATTGTTCCAATCCCCTCTCTTTTCTATCCTTGCAAACCCGGAAAACTCTGAGCTCTCGCGGACAAAGCTGTCGGCCATTAGCGTCATTGGTATGAATATCGTTGTTACTTCTTGTGTATATTGGGTCCACTAACGAGTCTACAGGCAGCTACTCCGAATATTTTGAGAAACATACCGAACTCCTCCCCGGTGCTCTCACATTCCTATTTTCTTCCCTCACTATTCCTAAACTCATCAACCAAGCCTCTAAATCCATTCTCTCTCTGTGTTCCTCATGCAGAACTAAGCTCGTCTCCGAGCTTCCCGCCTTCATCCAACACTATCAAATATTTGCTTCTCGCCATCCCAATGAAAGCCTTGGCCGTGAACGGGTTCTTGGTGCCTTAGGCTGCCTAATCCAAGCCCTTGACCGCGAAGAAGACAAAGTTGGTGCTCTCGACCCCCTCCTCACATCAATTTCTGGCGACCTTTTCGCAGCAAAACAACTTTTGTCTGCTAGATACGAGGAAGAGGCGAAGGAGCGCGCTTTACTCGCACTCAGGTGCCTTGTTAGTCTTGGCAAGTCTCTTCAAGCACCCGACGACGGTCCCATAGTTATCGATGAGATTAGTGGCGCACATAAACCACGGACTATATGGGACGACGGGCCTGGCCACCAGCTGCAGATATTCCTTGCCCAAACCGTCGAGGATATTTCAGGTACTTTTCCTAAGGACAGGGAAGTTACAAAGGAGGCATGTGATGTTTTTCGTTGTGGGTTCACAGAGACATCTCCCGGGCTGCTGGTTTTCCCGCCTAGTCTGGTAGTTGGCTTTTTGTTGTCGTGCGGTGCGAGGTCGATGTTCTACGATATTGTCATCGGAACAGCAAGTGCTTTTGTCAACTGTATCAGCCCGGAGGGATATGATGAATGCAGGAGATTAACTGGATATGTGTTTGGGCTTATCCAGAGTTTAGAAGGTATGTCATATCGAAATTGATGCTAGATGACTATTATTGACTAATGAAAAAAAATATAGGTCCCGAAACGGATCCAGAGCTAGCGCATAATATCCTTGAATACGCTAATAAGTTATTAACAAAGCATCTACACCTATTCCTGGAAGTCCAAGAATCAGTCCTGGGGCGAGTTTTGTCCCTTGCGCTCACAAGTCTCGTTTCTAAGGAACAGTTCCCCAAAAAGACAGCATGCACGTTTTGGACAAATCTTATTACAACAGCTGGCGACAGTGAGGAGCAGAAGATGATGATTGAGATGATTCTACAGCAGACCGGAGAACTACTGGCGAAGAATCTCGTCATGGTAAGACCTTTTTCTCGAACCTTATATAGTCAAGGTTGATCAAGGAGCTAATCTATACATGCAGGCGATCGGTGGTGGTGCGGCACGCAGTGAACTCGACAATGTTACCGAACCCCTAAAAAAGATGGTATTCAAACAACTCCATGCTCGTAAATGGCTCGAGAATAGTATGTTCTCCAATGGCGACGCCTTCCCCTCGCAGAAAATTAGCGTGGAGGATAAGTCTATGTTCCTCAAGAAATTATTCACTTTGAGAGGCGGGAGAGGAACGAATGCTCTAGTCAAAGAGTTCTGGCTGGCGTGTAGGGGGACCGAGTTTACTTATGCGTCATAGTACGACCAAAAAGACTTGAATGACGACGCGCTGTTGCCGGAGAATCTTGATGATCAAGATTGATGTGATGGTGTTTCTTTAAGCCTTTTCTTTCGATTTTTTGTTATCCGGAATCCTTTTCTTCTTTTATTACTCCTTTTTCTTCTAGCATAGGGTAGACATTGATCTTTGGCTTTAACTATGCATTTTACGGGGGTCTCAATGGGTATGTGATTTTTAGCATGGTGGGATGGAGGAACTTTTCTATCGTTAAGAAGGAAAGGTTCTACATGGATATATGATGGGGCATTAACACCGAAAAGAAATATAAGATCCCCAATTAACGGGATTACGATCAGATCATTGAATTTATTCAAAAAGAATATCTTGCGCAAACTGTAAACTATAGCTGGTAAGACTCTCCCAAGGGTATCTCCTCCAAAAACGCCAGGTTCAAGACTTTTTAAAACGTAAAGGAAATCGCAGGTAAAACAACCTTCTTTACTCCTTCTATTAAAGATCGTTATTGTCTGAGGTATGCAAAATCTTCTATACTTCCCATTACGACCTCACCGCTATCGCCACTCTGTTTTGACACGAACTTCCCCTTGCCTTTCTTGCTCCTTTTACTAGAGTGCAGGTCGGGTTGATGGCTGACTGTCGTCTCCCCATTGGCTGCCTTCGCTAATTCGGCCAGAGCTGCTTCGTTCCTTTCCTTTGTCAAAGCACTATTTTCTGCTGCGGCGGCCTCCATCCCTTTCTCATGCTCTTCTCTAATCTTCCTTAGTTGGCTCTCTACCTCTTCCACATCACCAAACTCCCTAGCTGCCAACTTGGAGTACTCCGCCATATCGACAGGGACCTTTTTCTTCAAGGCCGCAGTGATTAATCTAGGGTTCCTCCTCTCTTCCACTACAAACTTATTTTTCAACATCCGCCGACTCCTCCCCATGAACATCTTGCTCATCATCTCAAAGTCCGTTCCGAACATCCCTAAAGCCTGATAAAATCTCTCGGTCTCTTCGTCGTCCCATCTTTCGGTCTTCTCGCGCTTACTCCATGTCGCAGAGTTTACCCGCCGTGTTAAATTCGATTCTTCAATAGTTTCCAAAGGTCCATCGGCGCCCACATCTCTTTCTCTTCTATCGACCTGCACGGAAGTTTCATCCAAGACAAGTTGCCCATTCACAATTCTCATCTGCGGCGCCATGCCACCAGCGCCCCCTCCACCTCTAGCAGATGAATTCTCCCGTCCTAAACGATCGAGCCTCTGCTCGACAGTTTCAAGTTGTACATCTTCACCAGCGGCCCGACGGGCTTCGATTTCTGCTTTCCTAGCACGTTGTTTTTTCACAACATCCAACCAATCAATTTTTTCGATTTCCTCGTAGAGTTTCGATTTCTTCCCAATGAAGGTGTCCCGGCAAAGGTCAGTCATGCGAACAACTGTGGGTTCGATTTCAAGATTTTCGGCATTCTGAGGAGTCGTTTTGGGCTTTCGGCCACGTTTTGGGCGGGGGTTTGATGCTGCAGCGGGGTCAGCGGGGTCGCCTTCGGGGTTGTCGGGTGCGGGACGTTTCCGTTTTCGAGGTTTGGTAGCTGATTTTGCGGTGGTAATAGTAGTGTCGGTACCTGGTGCATCTGGAATGACGGTTTCAAGTGTCGGAGCTGAAGCTGGTGCAGAATGAGAGGCCTTAGGAACAACAGGCGAAGGTGCCGTTGGTGCTTTCTCTTGGCTGACAACGATAGCGGGGATCGGAGTTCGGCTCTGATTTCTCGACCTAGTCTCTTCAGAACGTTCGCGACTCGGTTCTCGAGGCACGGGTTGAATTCTATGCACTTCTGGAGACCGTGGGCGGGTAGCTGGCATAGATATTGGGTTTCCACGAGATGCACCAGGCATGGATATTGGGATCCCAGCGGCTCGACGAGGTGCTGCAGGTTTTGGCCGCTGTAGCTGTGGGCTTGGAGGCGGATTTGATACATCTCGTCTTGTAATTACGGGTGATAGGGATCGACGGTGCGGTTGTGTATCTGGGGTGATTGATGGGGTGGGAACGGCTGTAGAAATAGCAACATCTTCGGTTGGAGGGAGGGGTTTTGTGGCAATTGTTATCGAGGGTTTAGCTGGCGATGCTCGAGGCTCTGGATGCAATGTAGTAGATGTGGCAAGTGCTGGAGGAGCAGGAGCAGGGGAGGCTGTATGTTCGGTGGATGACGGGGTGGTCGAGGAGGGATTGAGAGAACTGGCACCGCCGCCACGATTTTGTGGCTTCTTGGGAGCGACTCTTTTGCTGGATTTATCTAGAGATATCGTGAGTACTATGGCGACGACAATGACGATGGATCGGGCGAGGAGTATGTACTTATGAAGCTCATGGTTTGGGGTCATCCATGGTCCTGGTAAAAAAGAGTAGAGGTTGATGTTTGTGATGAGAAGAAGAAGAGGAAGAAGAAGGTGAGTCGGAGAAAAGTCGCTGCAAACCAGGCTAGTTACTGGGTTGAGTAGCCTGGTGCTAGGGACTTGACCTGTTTGGGTTAGTTTGATGCCGATCTTGATGAGACCAGGACGTGTTGATTTCAGCCGAGGTGCGCGGGGGGCCACAACACAATTGGCAACACAAGAAATCCCTGACTAAGACAACCGCCAAACAGTTGCTTACTACGGACGGACGACTTTTGAAGAACACCAACAAAAACCACCTTCATCACCATCACCACCTCTCCTCCTTTCTCCCGTTCACGACACCTATTGCCCTCACTTCATCCCCCGACTTCCTCCTCAAATCGCTGCTCGAATTCTTTGAATTTCATTGTAGCGTGCTCTTTACGTATTACTAGCTCTCCCGTGCCGGCTAACGTCTCCTTCAACTTCTCCTCCGACTTCTCTCACGACCAGATCACGTCCTGTCACGACCTCACACGGCCTCTACTCTCTCCCTTCAATACCCATAACCGTTTTCTGGATATCATAGCCCCTTATATTCTCCTCTACCCTGTATCTGGTTCTTTATACTTTCTATCCCCTTTGGATTCTCCTCTATCATCTGTGCTCGCTTCTTCTATACGGTCTCTCTAGACCGTCCCATCACGAATTCATCATTACCCTCGTATCTCTTCTTTAGAGGCCCATGACGGCGGCTATCGCCGATTGCAATTCCTCTTTGGCAGCTCCTTTACGGAAGCAGCCCGTGATGGAGGACCGTAAGAGGCCTCTCGTTGACGGTGCATCCGACGAAACCCCCCCAAGTAAACGACAAGCCATGACGTCTCCAGACGAACCTCAGAACCAGGAAGAGGTTGTGGTAAGTTTATAAGTCTTTCTGATTTGGCTGGCTAGGTTTTCCATTCACGCCAGCTTTGCATCTCCCTGGTGTTGATGGGTTTTCTTGGCCGGGTGGCAAGGCTCGCTAACGTCTTGATATTCAATGTTTAGAACTTCCAAAAAGAGGCCATTTATCGTCAGATGAAGGCTTATAAACGGGAGAAAGAACTTACCGAGACCCGACTTGAAGAGTTGCAGAAACGTTGCATCTACCATGACGACCATATCCGTGTTATTGATGTTTGGCTTGACCAGGTAGGATATAGGAACACTTATATTTCTTTGGTAGATGTAGTGTATCTGATGTTAACGATTCATGGTTGGGGAATAGTTGCTGGATGAAGTCCGAATTATGGTTGACGCTGACCTTCTAGAAATGGAACATCAGCAGAACGGAGGTAGGGGTCTTCTTTAAATGGATAAAATGCCGAGAGCTATATTGACATTATATGATAGAGAAAGAGACACCTGCTCGGATTCCTTCGTCCCTACTTTCTGCCAATGTAGAACTTTTTTCCGAACACCTTGATAAGAAGAGGAGCTTGATTAAGGAGTCATTGGCGCCATTGCTGAAAAGAATTGGGGAAAGCAAAAATGATGCTTCAAATGATAAGACTATTTCGAAGCTCAAATCTGAGTTATCCAAGGCATTGGCAGCCCACAGAAACAGTTCTGTTGAATTGGAACGCCTCCGACAGGATAAAGGAGAAGTCGACGCGCAACTTACAAATGCTGCTATTCGTTATCTCACGTCTGAGAAGAGGTTGGATCGTCTGAAGAGCCAAACGGTCGCCAAAATCGAGCAACAAGCAGTTGCGACATCCTCATCCTCGAACGGTGCCTCGCAAAAAGACGCTAACTCTTCGAAAGCGAAATTCACCGATGGACAACTTGCCGACGCCGAGCTCGCACGAAAAGAGGCGGAAGCGATTGCCAGCAAACAAGAAAAGGAGATCAAACAGCTCCAGACGGAAATATCTCGCCTCCAGGAGCAAGTTACGAGTTCCGTCCTCAAGGTCAGCCAAAAGATACCAACCCATACTCCCTCCCTTTATACGTACGCTCTTTCGGGAACCGAAGACCTCCTTCGCGCGAGAGAAAGTTGTTTGTTTGCTCGATACACGCAATATCTACAATTGGATGAAGAATGGGATCTGACGTGTGTTATTTCTGGACGCCAATAGCTCGGCAGGTTATCCGAGGAGGACATCCAACAATGCGAGACATACAAAAACGCAAAGTTGCGACTTGAGGATGTTGTTGCGAAATTCAACCATATTGAGGCCCATCATACAGCTACTCAAAGGGATAATGAAACTTTGCAAGCAGAAAGGACGGCGTTCAAGAAGTTGGTCATCGATGAACAATCTATAGCTATCGCCGAGGCTCACACTCAACTCGCGAAGTGTGAATCGGATTTAGCACGCATTAGAGCGTTCCGCGACCAACTCCATGGCGATATTCACGCCCTCAAAATTGCAGCCGATAAACCGGGTATCACCGATCGCACCGAAGAACTCAGAAAACTTGTTGAATCCCAAGTACAAAAGATAGCATCTTTGGAAGGCGAGGTTCAAAGGTTACGATTGGAGGCCGGGAATAGTTCGCCACTCCCTGCCTCCGAGGATATTGCCGGGTTAAGTCACGAGGAGTTAATCGATGGTATGACGAAACTCAGAGCTTCGCATAATATCTTGGAGAATGAGTTTAAATCCATCGAAGAAGCTTGGAAGAGCGCCCATGATGTCAGCAAGGCCAAATTTGACGAGCTCAAGTCTCTGCAAGAGTTAGTCATCAAAATGAAGCAAGATGTAGGGACTCGTCCTGTTTGGGAAGTTTTAAAGATCACGTGCTGACTCAGGTGACTATCATAGAAACTCAAGAGTGAACAAAAGGCATTCGAAACCGGCAGATTAAAGGAAGGTGCTATGGATAAGGCCCGAATGTGTCAAAATCAACACGATAAGGCTTCCGAAATTATCATGAATTTGAAGAATGCGGACAAAAAGCAGACCTCCCTCATCGCCAATCTTGAAAAGCAGCTTGCGGAATTAAAGGTTATTAATAATCAAGCCATCCTTTCGCAAAAGTCTGCCCAAACGGCCCAAGCGGAGCTCAAGAATACTGTTGAAGCGTTGAACAGACAACTGAATAATCTGAAGGAGAATATTAAGAGGTCTGAGGATGCGGGCAGATCTGAGAGCAACAAAAGAAGAACTGCCGAAAATGAGTTGGAGAAGGCACTCGTTCGTGTCAATTCGCTTGAGCAATCAGTCAAAGCACTCAATAATGAGGAGGGTGACGATACCGCGCTGGAGGGATTCAGGGTATGTTTATCTTATCAGAACCTTTGACTGATTACCGTTCGATACTAACGCTGCGTTTATAGTTGATGGTTCGATGTGGAATTTGCCCCACAGCCCGTTTGAAATCTCGAGCTTTGAAAACCTGCGGGCATCTCTTTTGCAAGGAGTGCATTGACGAACGTATCTACTCTCGCAACAGGAAGTGCCCAAGCTGCTCTCGAGCATTTGCTGCCGCCGACGTCCTTCCAATTGTTCTTTGAAATGGATTTAGCCGTGTGTGCCCATTTTTTTCCTTTTCTCACCATTCCCGGGCGTCATCCCTTTACATTATCCTGGACAAAATTCCCTTTTAATAAACTCTTCACCTGAATAAATTTCAAACCTTTCTCCCCTAATCATACAAAAATCCTGTACTACTGGCTAGAAAGTTAGCTGATCGCCAATGTTTTTCTCTTCTCTGATTCTGGGGCTTTATCCCTCTTTACCTAATTGTACCTGCTGGGTAAAAAACAAAAAACAAAAGCAAAATCATCATCGGCAACACCTTTTCATTGTTCTCTCTCTCCCTCTCCTCGCACACTAACTTTTTATTATTATCATCATCGACCTGGCGTTCATGGGGCTTACGTACTTAACGCTTTTCTTGTTCTATGCTTTTATGTTTTCTCTTTTTCTTTTTTTAACGACGCACGTTTTTTTATTTCTCCTTCGAAGGCGAAGCGAAAGACTCTTAATGTCTTTTATTTTTCTTTTCTCTGAGTAAATACTTTTTTCTTGTATGAACAGACAAGGTTGAATGAGGAAAGAATAACATTATTAAATAATCCTAGTATACTAGTATGGTACACTTTGAAATTTATCGAAACGGTTGTAGATGGGAAATATAATTAGAAACGGGGGTATACTAGAAGTTTCTCCCGAATATGCAAAGTATACTAGTATCTACTTGTGTACACTTAGTGTGCTGAGATTAGGGCAATGTTCAATCCGACGTCAATACTGCAACTTAGATACATAAATTTTCAGCTTCAGTCCCTCTTTACGACAGATCAACTAACTTATAACTTTAAATCTTGTACTATGAGTACTCTTTACTATACGAACAAAAAATTTTGGAAGTTTAAAAGTCTTCCTTCGGCATTACATTCCCAGTTTGAACCAGAATAGCATCGTTTTCCTTTTCTACCTTTAGAATATATTCTGTAACCTCCTTTTCGTCCTTCTCAGAGATTGCGTCTTCTGAACTTTCGAGGAAATGATAAAATACTTCCCTCTCAATATCCGCAACCGCTTGTTTCATCGACCCGGCGCCCTCATTAGGGATATAAGATTTAGCTATCGTTCGACAATGTTGGTAGTCTTTCTCCGTGACTAGTTTTATGTTTCCTAGAAGATTTCTCCTGTGGCCATTTGCGAGGCTAATGGGTCTGAGGAGTCGAGATCGAAGTTTCCAGAGGGCGCGGTGGGCTAGGGCTAATTGTTCGTCTTCATCGAATGGGAAGAATGGGATGATTGAGTCGACATAGTCGGCGAATACTGACTACAAATGGAGGGGCATTGTTAATTTATCTTTGAATACGTAACGTCCTCCATCTTGTTCGACTTCCAGGGTCGCTAATATAGGGATTGATACTTACTAAGCTTGTAGTACCTGAACGAACGAATTTTTTCATTGCTGACATCAGTGCTCGACTTTCTTTCCCCGTCATTTTTTCGGGTGTCAAGGGTCGATGTTCCTCGTAAAATTCTGTGATCATAGGGTTAAGGATGTTTGTAGTCACCACCCATATCGTTTTTGTAAGATCGCGGCAGGTGAATCCATCTTTATTCGCCTTGATTGGTCCTATTTCGAAAATGGGATTAACAAAGTTTACAAGTTTACTTCGTGTATACAAAGTCTTGGTGACTTACCAGTAAAGAGCGAATTGAGGGCGCCACTACTCATTTCTTCAACGTTTTCCAAAACTAAAATGCAGAATTCGCTGACTTTGTCAGTTTTGGTATTGTGTCCTGCTTGTTCATCTAGCAATGATTCTAAAAGGTTAGTTTTTCCATCGGGATCCGAGCATAGAGTATGATCTAATTCACTGAACGGGAAGAATGGAATTCCGAGATTGTGTGCAATTTGAAAGACCATTTTTGATTTCCCATGATCTTTTGGGCCTATATATGTACCAAGTGACACCATTTAGCTACGTATATCTATAGATATCATATACTGCAAGACTAACTGCAACCCGGGTTCTAGACTGATATGAATTTGTTGCGAACTTACCAGCAAATATAAATACGGTAGGACGAGTGGATCCACAGGACGATGAGCTACCTTTCCTCTGCACCTTCTGTCTTAACAGCTCTTGGATAATCTTTTTGACGGCCAAATCCTGTCCTATAATATCAAAATGAAGCTTGAATAACGGTGTGTAATCCATTTTAGACTGTGGGTCTTGGGCAAGTTGCCTCTGCCTTGCGGTTATCTTGAAAGTATCTGCCTTCTGGAGGTCATATCGGATGGATAGATTTGTCGCCAGTTTGAGACGATTGAAAGCTACGGCGTCGGTACACCATTTTGTTGCCTCATCTTGAGAAATTTTTTCAACGAATTCTTTCGTGATCCCTTCTGGAGACTTGGAAAGACGGTATATAGCAGGCTTTATAACGGGAAGTCTGAGGATACCTGGAATCACTAATGGATTCGCTCCGAAGGTTAGGAGTAGTCGGACAATTTCCGGCTCCTCCAGGAGGATGGCAAAGGCTAGGAGAGGTATTTTGACCGGGATCGGTTTATACCCATCTTCCTTGGAATCGAAGAGGTCCTTAAGGTCAGCAACCGACTTAGGATCCGCTCCTTCTTTGAGCCATTTCTTAACCTTTCCCGGATTTCGAGAGTATACAGCATAGAATATTGTCGGGGTGCCCTTTATTCGGCTATCTCGATAGGCAATTAAAGGTGCCTGAACTTCGCAATACCCAGAATCTGCAAAGCAGGGGAAGGATAGTTGGTAGGCGACTTCTTTGACTGAATCATCGTCATAGATGTTGTAATAAACTATGGTGCTTGAGAGAATCAACCTATTTGAGAAGAACCACGGCAACCTGCTTTTTCCCGCCGAGGCCTTGGATTTCTCGTAATCGCGACGAGATTCGACTCCGGGTAGCTTGATCTGGCGAGTTTTGTATTCCTGCATGGTCGGGGGGTTTTAGATTAACGACACGGATATACGATTAAATATTAAATTATAATAGATATTTTTTCTTGCGAGTAGAGTCGATATATACTCACGGCGATGGACCGGACCTCAGTGTCGAGTTCATCTTTCTCCGGCTCCTAAGCGTTTTCGTTAGCTAAGATAGAGAAGATGGGGGATCGCCCAAGAACATTGGCTTACCACTAGTCTCTGATTTGGCCATGATAGATCTGTACTAGGGGCTAGCGGATCCCTCAGATCACTGGTGCATATGGTGGTTGGCGAGTTGGGGGGTATACGTACTGGTTCGGCGGTTGTTTTCGAAGTATACCCTTTCTTCTCTCCCTTAACCCTCTTTACCATTTTGTTTGTCTCGCCGCCAGACTCCTCAACTGTGTTGGCCATATTGTAGAATATTGCTAATTTCGGTTGCTCGTTTATAAGGTACCTAGGTATGGGATTGTATATGTATATTGGTAGCGGTTACTTGTCTAGTTAGCAAATACTACGTGTGCAGATTCGAGAATCGGGGAAAGGTATTTATCCATGGCGGGGCTTTCTCTAATCCTTATGGCGATGCTCTGCTGCACGAATTCAATGCGGACGTGCATATTTAATTCAAATCGTGCCTGAAATCCATCAATTGTCATCGCCTTTAAATCCACTAGCACACTAAGCGCCTAATTATGTATCCTGTATAGAAAAATAGGTGAGAGGCACATTAAGAAACAACAAACGATTTGGAGAGTAACATGGATACTTAAGTGTTGGATCTGTTGGATTTCCATAAACACTTTTACAACATTTACAACACTTATTTGAGAGTCTTAATAATTAACTTTGAATCTGCTAGCTGCTGCTAACATGCCAGCTGTACTTTTGTACCGGAAAAATGCTCAGTTTAAGCTTGTATTAAGTTATTAATTTAAATAGTTTTATGGCAGTAGCCCCCCCTTTCTAGGCTAATATCAGCGCTAATCTAATATGGGTAGGGTTGGTATTCGTCCCATCCATTGTAAGCTAGTCTGTTTGGTGACGGTCCAGGGGATTTGACCAAGCCCTTCTGAGAGTAAGTAATGAATAAGCTGTGAATATTGAGTGGGCTCTGCGAAGTAGTCCTGCTGCTGATAAAGTAAGCCGCAAGGCCTGCGACGTGGGGCGAGGCCATCGAAGTTCCATTGTCCAATCTGGATGCGGTGTCCGAAGTAATATCCGCACTAAGAATATTAACCCCAGGAGCAAAGATATCGACTATGCTGCCAAAGTTTGAGAAACGTGCTCTGGTATCGGTTTCGTCGGTCGCTCCGACGGTGATGGCGCTGCGTGCTGATGCTGGGGAAGAGAGGCCGGCATTTTCCTAAAGAGTTAAGTATATTAGAGACTGACGTGACACGGCTCAGACAAAAAAGTAGGGTCACATACGTTTTCGTTACCAGCGGCTGCTACAACGACGATTCCCTTTTTGTAGAGGGCTTCTACGGCAGCATTGACGGCTTCCGATTTCGGTCCACCAATGGACATGTTGACGACGCTCTTGCCAGGTTTAGCGACCTTCGAGACTACGTGAGTAATTTTAGTCAGTTATGTTCATCGACTGTAGATACTTGTATCCAAAATCCAAGTACTAGCTTGACTTCGTTACTTACTATAGTTCAACCCAGCAAGCGTATATGAGTCTTGACCGGTTCCATCATCGCCAATGACCTTTACGGCGACGATTCGAGCATATTTCGCAACTCCGTATGTTTTTCCAGCGGCGGTACCGGCGACATGAGTACCATGGCCGTGATTATCCGTATTAGGGCTGTCGGGGACGGCGTTATAGCCCCAAGTAGCTCTTGCTTCGAATTCCTTGTGTGAGATACGGACACCGCTATCGACAATGTAGATGGTAGTCCCTCTCCCGCCCCATGTATTCTGGTAGCGATACGAATATGGCGCCTTGGGCAGAGTTTTCCACGAAATGCGAGAGAGGCCCCATGTTGAAGGTTTTTGTGTTACCTGGACCTTTGTCTTGCCTTCTTGTTCGACATATTGGACCTGATCTGTTAGCCCGATGCTAGGGTAAAGCATACACATACATACGCATACAAATATTGATGGGAGGCAGAGGGGATATATGTATTTCTTACTTCTGGGGAGGTAAGGATTTGACTCAATGTCCCATGGTCACACTCAACAGTGTACCCCTTAACGCTCTGAATATCAAACTGTTCACGAATACCAGTGGTCACACCACGCTCTTGAAGGCTTCGACGGGTATGATAATTGCTGATTCGCTGGGTATGTTCTTGAACCTGAGCCTGATTTGTTGAAGGTTTAAGTACAACAATATAGCTGTTTGGGATTTTATCCTTAGATCCAGCACCGAGGACAGTTAAGTCAGCGGCGACTTGGAGGATGAGACCCGCAAGGGGAAGAAGAGAGGCAAGAGGTATAAAGTGCATGATGTAACAGAAAGAAAAGGAAAAAATCCCCTGCTATAGAAAAAGCAGTTCAAGATATAGCAGTATATGTCTTGATCGAATAATATTTTGTGACACTCCAGACCGGATCTTTATATATGGTACATTATATGGAGGCTGGCCTGCTTCGGGCTCAAATTTTGCGCTTTCTAGGCTCTGCAATGAAAGCGAGTGGGCTCATACTGGACCCTAGTGATGCCCTTGACTAACTAATCAGGCCACAGGCCGACTCCACGGTCCGGAGCCTTAATTGCCTCGAAGATTTTTACTCCGGACCCACAGGACAGAATCGTATGTATGCATAAATGGCAGAATGATGCATATTACACAAGCAAGACTAACCGCGGTTAGCCAATGAGATCTTAAGAAACTGTGCGGGTGTTAAATCCGGTGTCCAGGGCCTTCCTGAACCGTGGATTTCACTCGTATTTTGTAGGCCATGCCAAGTTTTGATGTCACATTTGGATGAGGTGTCGAAATTTGGGCGTTCAGGGTCCTGTCCGTGGCGTCGAAGTTCACCATACATGGTGTGCGGCTGAGAGCTCGCTCGCGGTGATACAACTAGCCGGGAGGAGGAGACAAATGCAGATAAGCGAGGCACTGAGCACAAATCAATCGTGATGATTGCTTCAGGGGCATGCAAGATCGTGGGTTACCTGCAAGAGTTATGATATTGCTAAATGATAATTGGTTCGCCAATACTGTCTGAAAACTTACCATGAATTGCGTTCAAAATCGACCCATGTTCCTTGTGTCAGTGACAACGGACACATTACACATCTTTGTTAGGTAAAAAAATGGTTGGATTAGTTGAGGTTGGCTTAATTAGTGATCTATTGAGTTCATAATATTCGCTTATAGCGAGGTAAATTTTGTGAGACCCTGGAGAAAGCTTAGTCTGGTGGGTCCCAAGGCCTGCCCTGCATGAGAAAGCTTATATCCGTCGACACATTGAGTATAGTCTTTAGTACGTATAGCCGACGCAGTTTTTGGAAAACTTCTTGGCATGCATGCCAAAATGTTCTCCGAGTGAGTGCTTTTCTTGCATAGAGACTTTCCGTTGACATGTGTGGATGGTTCGAAATTTTTGGCACCGACGTATGTGATAGAACCCTCAAAACACTCTGCTACATAGCAGTCTGCCAGCCTCGGTGCGAATTAGCAGTGTTTTATAGGTTATAGCTTCCGGGTATTAAGTTTATACTTTTCCGAGTAAAGCATATATTATTTTAACGTTATAACATACCTAGCCCACATGTTACATTGTTTCTATCTCATATGATCATTAGATTTAATTTAAACCCGTCCTTGTTCCAGGGTAAGTCACAGTATGCTAGCTAAAGAACGCGTGGAAGATGATAATAACCAGGAACTCAGTAATATTGATAAGATTGATTGTTAACGACTCCTACTCTTCTTCTTTGCTACTAGAACCAATCTATTATCTTTTCATTGGTTGACTTCAGCAATGCAGTACGAGTGCGAGGTGTACTGATACTTGTCAACAGACTAGTTAGCTCTACAAGAAAATACTATGACACCTAAGATCCCAATCCAAAAGATTGAACCATAGTATCATTGTGTGCGTATATATATATCCAACTTTAGAATCCAGCATCGTCATATAATGAGAACTCAAATAATATAGACAAGCGCTGGCCATGGGACCAAATATGATATTGGAATGAGTTAAAACCTCCACCATTGTAGTGTACACATATAGATGCTAAACTCCGTTCTAGATTAAGGTTATCTAAAAATTCTCAGATCGATAGGGTTCGGGTAAATCGTACAGCTGCAAAATACATACTCCGAGTAAGTTGGGATTTATGGGGAACTCGGGATTCCGGGGAGACCGCGACAATGACGTGTTTACTTCTAAGCCACAAACTGGCCTCCCATTTAAACAAAAAGAGAATTTCCGCATCTATAAATTTGCGAATGGACTGACCCATCATATGTACGAAGCATTAACTACACTACATACGGAGTATTACTAGGATATTTGATGCCAAGAGTCCTTTCCGCGGAGAAACATGGCCAAGAGAAATGCAAACGAGGCATCGATTCGAGGCTTCGGATTTTGAACGCTGTGTGAGGCTCCGGGTTTTTTGGGACGATACATCCCAAACCAAAATTTTTGCAGGGTCCAACGGAGTAGATTAATGGCCCAAGCTAGGCAGTTGTTGCATGGGTACTCGTGTGTCTTCGCGTAATTAATTGCCTGAAGGCAAAAGACTATACGTATACTTCAATAGGACCTACCGAGCCAATGGTCTAGCGAGGTTTCATCTTAGTATTCGTCCCGAGAGGGCTATTCCTAACAAGGAGAGTACTGCAGGAGTTCCTCGCTGAGGGTCCTAAATATTATTAATATTCTATAGAATTGGTCTAAATTCAATTTTTGAATACAAGTATTATTTGCTAGCTACACAACCATTGGCTGCAGGTATTGATTTTTGAAATTTTTGGTATAGAATTTGATTGGGCTTTTAGCGTACCGCAATTGAGGGAAACTTTACGGCAGTTGCATGCGGTAACTAGCTAGCTGTAAGATTATATAACCGTGCTGGGAACCCATATATGCCGTGACTGCAAATACAATTCCTTGATTTCAAATCTGTGGCGTTTATAATGTTTTGGTACGCGGCGCGCTGGCGCCTGGCCCTGAGACTAATGGTTTGGCAAATATGCAAATGCAGATAATATGTAACTCAACAGGGGGGATAAATTCAAAATATTGGACATATCGCCGCCTTAGTTTTCCAAGACAAGAGATACAGTCGGGGTTGCATTCTAGTCCCCCCATTAATTAAGCATGTATACTTAGAGAAGACAAGTAGTGAGGATACTATATTAAGTGAATTCTGTAATAAGGGAACTTGAATAATATATGAAGTGAACTTCATCGCTTATGCCTGACGGATCACCGGGTGTTTTGCGTTCAAAGAGGAAATCCCGAATTACCAATCTAACCGAAACCCCAAATTTGCAGGGAAAGGGATAGTGCCACCAAATTTCTCAAGGCTCAAAGTAATTAAATAATTATGCCCACCCATCAGGATTTAATCTTTTTCTGTCACTCCGAACTCTGAGAATGGATTCGATCATTAGCAAATCCATCTCGCTTGGTCACAGCCCCAAAGATGATTAATAACACTTACCACCAAGGACTTCTTTCAATCCAACACCTCGTTCATCAGCAATCATTCCTATAAGATGTAGTCCCACATCTCTGATTTCGTTGAAATCGTGGAGGAGTTTTATATGTTGTTTTATTGTTGCCTTTGGAGGGTTTCTATTGAAGTCATCAGAACCATCAATTATGTTCCGCCAAAAGGGCAGAATAAAAGAGAGAGAAAAAAGGGAAATATAGGAGCTTACTCGAGTTTTTCAGTGGTTGAAGAGACTTGGGAGTTTAGGCTTTCTAGTTGGGACTCAAGGGTGGAGATTTGGGTGATGAGTGAGTCCTGTAGCTTCAATCGATCATGCGCCATGATCATTTCAGACTTCAGCAAAAAATTTCTTGATTGTTGCACTATTATATGTCGTTAGTAGGAAAGGAACATACCCGGTATTTTAACTCCTTTGCGGACAACTTGGCATCTTCAGAAGATGGGACCGAAGGCGGGGACTGTTGGGATGCCATTGTAATATATTTAATGCCTACTGGATACACGCCTAGATGCAATGCAATGGAGTGAGTTCGTGAAGTTCCAGTTTTGCGTTGGAGCTGTTATCATTTGGTCAGGCACAGTGTCTTGCTGACTCAGCCGGACGGACATTCTCGGTCTTCTAATTCTAACTATTTCGAAATTCGCAACTTCAAAAAAAAACTTCCAAGTTGAATTCTCTAGTCTCCGTCGACTTCCAAAAGACAGACCATGCGATGAAACATAAAAAGCACGTCCAAGGCAAACGAAAGCCTTCACATCCACTAAAACCTCACCATTCCTCCAAAGTCGCAAAATCTTCATCCAAAAATGGACCGAAACCAAAATCTTCGTCAGCGACTTACTCCCATCGTCCGATAGTCCCATTCTCACCAACTTCCTCCCTCCTCTTAATCGGCGAAGGCGACTTCTCGTTCACAAACTCCCTAATAACCTCCACTTCACCGCATATATCCCCTTCAACAGTCATAACCACCACCACAAATGACACCGAATCCGTAACATACGAAAAATACCCATACTCCGAACAGACAATCCAAACTCTAAAATCCTTAGATCATAAAACCCACTTCTCGATAGATATCACAAAGAAACTTCCAAAGTCCTTATTAACAAATAAATATGACTGTATAATCTTCAATTTCCCTCACGTCGGCGGCCTATCTACCCATCTTGATCGTCAAATCCGTTCAAACCAAGAACTCATTCTCGCATTTTTCAAAAGTTGCATTCCATTGCTATCGGTAGATGGGGGTATGGATGATGGATCGGGGAATATAGTTATCACTTTGTTTACGGGGAAACCATATGATGATTGGAATCTCAAGGAGTTGGCTAAAAGTGTGGGCTTGGAGTGTATCAGGAGCTTTAAGTTCGATGCTAAGATCTACGAGGGCTATAAACATGTGAGGACTATTGGGTTTCGCGAAAGAGAAGGGGATTGGAAGGGAGAGGAGAGAGGAGCTAGAAGTTTTATTTTTGGGCTTAAAAATGTTGGAAGGAGGGGGAAGAAAGGCGGAATTCCTAATAAGAAGGAAGGAGGAGAGAACAAAGGCGGCAATAATGGTGGAAAGAAAGGGAAGGGTAAGGATAGTGACAACGACGACGACGACTATGATGATTGATCGTGAACTCTGTATCATAAAAGTATTTACCTGGGCAACTATACTGGAGTTACGTGATGCTGGTGGGCTATGGGATTTCCAATGGATTTGTATAATAGAAACTAACATTGCAATGGTTGGATTGATTTCTATAAAACTCTAATAACAAGAGTTGTGGGGCGAGGGTGAAATATTTACAAGAAGCGGCTGTAGCCCCAAATCCAGCTTGATCCATAAAGTCATCCCCCCGTCATTCATGGACCCGAAAGAAGTGGGGAAAGGGTGTATAGGAGTAAAACAACATTGAATTTTTTTCATTACAAAAAGCATAATAGTAACGTAAAGTGTAGAAAAAGGAGAAGAGAAGTGGCCCGGCTGCTAATAGACAGAAAAATAAGTTCTGTAGAAGCTGACTGCAGAGGTGATCTGCTGAATATTAATATAAAATATGCAAGATGTATTCTTGTTCAAGGGCAATAATGAGAAAGGGGAAGAAGGGGAAAGGGGGAAAGGGTTAGAGGTATCATATGGCTGCCTATCCTACTCCCAAAAGTAGATTCAAAAGGCATACGCTGGTGTAAACACAAAACGACAAAAACGCTAAACCTCATCAATGCCAATTGCAAACTTTGTGCGCGTGCAAGACTTTTATTACAACGTTAAAGCAAAAGTAAATCGCCATCTTGTGATTCTTTTCAATTCTTCCATTCCTCTTTTTAGTTCGTCTTCCCCAGTCCTTGCAACTTGACCAACTCGGCATATCGTCCCTTGAGCGCCATAAGTTCTTGATGTGTTCCGGACTCAACGATTCTGCCTTGGTCAAAGACGTAAATGACGTCGGCGTTCTGGATGGTACTGAGTCTGTGGGCGACGCAAATGGTTGTCCTTCCTGCGCGGGCGTTGTCGAGGGCGGCTTGGACGACCTTTTCGGATTCACTGTCGAGTGCGGAAGTAGCTTCGTCGAGGAGACTATCATAATGTTAGCATTCTTGTTTGTACAAACTCCTAAAAAATTTCGAGGGGAAGATGAAACATACAGAATCTTGGGGTTTCGGATCAAAGCTCTGGCGATTGCAATTCTTTGTTTCTGGCCACCAGACAACAGAACACCTCTAGAACCACAAACCGTTTGGAACCCGTCTGGCAGAGACATGATAAAATCATAGATATTGGCATCTTTGCAAGCTTTGAAGACATCTTCATCTGTGACATCATCTCGGAGAGCTCCTAGAACGATATTGTGCCTGATTGTACCTTGATACAATGTTGGTTCTTGTGATACCAATGCCATGTGAGAACGGAGATCCTTGATGTTGAGGTCGGAGATTTCTTGGTCGTCGAGAGTAATTGAGCCGGTGAGGGGGTTGTAGAAACGTTCAATCAAACTGATCGTAGTCGACTTTCCGCAACCACTGGGACCAACGAGAGCGACGTATTGACCTGGTTTCACAATCAAAGAAAGACCACGAAGGACGGGCTGAGTAGGACGGGTCGGGTAACGGAAGTGGACGTCGGTGAATTCGATTGTTCCTTCGACATGTTCGAGTTTCTGACCTGCGTCGGACCAGCTGTCGATTTCAGGCTTGCGGTCGAACAACTCCTTGAGAGTCTGTGCTGCGTGCTTGGCTTTGCCCATATCTGGGGAGAAAGAGAAGATTGTACCAGCGGATTGAGCACCGAAGATGACAGCGGTGAAACAGACGAAAAACTGGAAGATAGTTAGTTCATATTTGGAGATCAAATTTCCACCCCACCAGAAACCCAAGGCGACGCAAAGGAAGACAAAGGACTGGGACATGGCGTATAGGGAAGAAGATTTGAGTGTGTTCTTGAAGGATCGCTTCTCTTGGGCGACAAGCTGGCTATGGTAGTTTTTGAGGACATCTTGTTCACGGGTCAAGGTAGCCACAGTGCGAATGCTAGAGGTAGCTTCACAGGCGTAGCTAGCACTCTTCTCGTAGGCAGCTTTGGCGGTAGACTCGAAGCGGGAAAGAATCCAGAAGCGAAAGAAACCACAGGCGAGCAGGATAGGAACCGTAGCAATGACAACAAGGGCGAGTTTCCACGCAATGGCTAGAGAGAGAACAAATGAGGCAATCAGCGTAGTCAGGACGATACTGATAGTCCCGAGTGTGGCGCCGGAAAGGCCTGCAAGGAAAGTCGTCTCAGTCGAAAGAAGAGTGGTAAGGGCACCAGATGTATGGCGTTCGTCGTCAAAGTACGAGATGTCCTGGCGCAAGAGGGTCCTGAAAGCTTGGGTACGAACACGCTTGACGAGTTTCTCGGAACAATACGCGAACGCGACACCTTGACCAGTGTAAGAAATGAGCTGAGTAGCAGCAAGCATGATATACATTGCAGACCAGAAATTGATTTCCTTTTCAATCTTGTCTCTTTGTGTCTTAGGATCGAGGGAGAGAGCGCCAATAGACTTTGCAAAGAGGACAGATTGTACTGGGTAACCACCACCAGCGATGATACAAAGGAAGACACCAACGGCCATGAGGAGCTTTTCAGTCTTGTTGTAGGAGCCAATAAGTTTGATCAATGTCCAAAGGCTGTATTGAACGGTAACTTCGTCTGGCTTGGCGGCAAGGGCGGCGCTGGCGGCAGACCTGCTGGTATCAGCACGGTTCAAACGGTGGGCCATTTCGAGATCATCAGGGTCAACTTCCGCCATGCTAGCCTTAGTACGGGTGCGCTGGAGCTTAAGTTCTTCGGCAGCCTCAGCAAGTTTTTCGTCGTCTTCATCCTCGTCCGGTCGGCTCTTGGTTTCCTGGAACTTCTGGGCTTCGACGAGCATGTAGTATGGTCCTTTGGCTTCCAACAATTCATCGTGCTTGCCTTGTTCGACAATGCGGCCTTGGGACATAACGACGATGTTGTCTGCGTTTTTGATAGTGGAGAGACGATGTGCAATGATAATAGATGTACGATTCTGAGCAGCCTTGTCGAGAGCAGCCTGGACAATACCTTCACTTCGAGTATCCAAAGCGCTGGTAGCTTCATCCAAAAGCAAGATCTTAGGGTCACTGACAATAGCACGGGCGATGGCAATACGTTGCTTCTGACCACCAGAGAGAGAGAAACCACGTTCGCCAACATTAGTTTCGTAGGCTTCGGGAAGAGAGGTAATAAACTGAGCAGCATTGGACATCTCGCAAGCCTGTTCGATAAGTTCGCGCTTCTTTTCATCAGCGGCATTTTCGTACGGGGTACCGATGAGACCGAAAGCGACGTTGGCATAGATAGAGGCGTTGAAAAGAACTGGTTCTTGTTGTACGAGCGAGACGTTTTCTCTCAACCAACGAAGATTGAGAGTCTTGATATCGTGGCCGTCGAGAAGAACTTCTCCCCCAACTGGGTCGTAGAAACGCTCAACGAGACCGACTATAGTGCTCTTTCCGCTACCAGATGCACCGACAAGCGCAGTAGTCTTCCCAGCTGGAATCTTAAGATTCATGTCCTCAAGGACCACAACCTCAGGGCGGGATGGGTAGATGTGCTTGATACCGACGAGTTCAATGTCACCTTTGAGGCTCTCGATTTTTCCGCCATCATCGGAACTCGAATCCAATGGAGATTGACGATCGATAGTTCCATAGATTTTAGAAGCAGCAGCGACGGCAGTAGTCATAGCTTGGACATGTGGAGCCACACCACCCAAGCTGAAGGCACCGATAATGATAGCCATCAACACGTTGACGACATCGTTGAGTCCAGCGTCACCTCTGATGTAGAATCTCGAACCCTGCCAGAAAGCAAGGCCATAATTGAGGTAGATAATGGTCATAAGGGCACCCAACATGAAGGCGAGGATACCTTTGTGGCGCTTACCCCAGTGCTCTGCGACATCGAGGTATTCTTCATACTGCTCTGCGAGCTTGCCTTGGGTGCCAAATGCGACAGCATTTCGAATAGAGGAAAGAACTTCTTCGGCTACAGTGCCACCTTTGGCGTAGGAGTCGATAGCCTTCTTGTTGTATTTTACCATAAACTTGCCAGCAACACCAAGGACCAAGTTGATAGCCACGACGGCGGAGAAAAGAATGAGCGTGAGTTTCCAGCTTCTAACGAAGGCGATAACGAAGGCCGAGACAAAGGTGGAAAGAGAGTAAAGAGTCAATGAGACTTTCTCGGAAATACCAGCGTTGATAAGAGCAACGTCGGCAGTAATTCGAGTAGTAACCTCTCCGGCACCGAGTTTGTCAAAAAATCCGATATTCTGACGAAGGATAGCAGCAAGGAACTGCTGACGGATACGTCCAGCGATTTTTTCGCCGACATGGATGGAAATCACGGTGGCGGTGTAGACCAAGAAAAATTCACCGATACCCATGTAAACGAAGTAAAGAGTCAGTCTTTCGACAGTATCCATGAGTCTGCCTGGAGCGCCGGGGTCTGAGATAGGATTTGACATGAAGAAGTCGGCGAATTCACCAGCGAGATTACCAAAGACGACAGTCATCAAGGGGAGAACGGCACCGGCTGCAATAGAAGCAAAATGGCAGATGAAAAGGAGCGTAAGGTCTGATCTGTTAGCATATCGGTAAAGTGAGAAGTAGTTTATCTTAGGTTCCGGAATGGCGGTCTGTCTCCTGATAATTTCGGCCTCATGAGGGGGAAGGTGAGCCAATGGGTCTGCTTCCTCCTCGGGTTTGACAACATATTTAGAGTCGAGCTTGTCGAGCTTTGGATGTTCGCCGGAGTTTTTAGCCGGAGCAACAGCTTTTTCGACATTGTCACCAGAGACAGTAGGCGTATTAGAGGAATTTTCGCTGCCCGCGGTTTTGGGCTTTTCGTTTGAGGAAGACATGGCTTCCTCGTGAAGTTGATATCAAGGCAGAGAGAGTAGAGCGGCGATATCTCAACACAGGAATCTATTGTGGTAAATTGTACTGTTAGCGTATCCTTGCCACTACGACAAATCGAGAATTCAACAAGACAAGCCAGAAGAGGGAAACGAGAATGATTCGAAAGAGGTACCAAGAGGTATTTAGATGTAATAAGGATGGCTTCAAGAAATATATACTCACAAAATTAATTTAGTGTGTTTCTATAAGGTCATATTAAGTTGTAGTGGCCAGTGGCGAGTGGTGAACACGAGGTTTTATGAATTGAAATGAAGGCTGAAGTTGGTAACAAACACTTTTCAGGTCGTTTATATTTGTTACTGTCCCCACCACCACTACGAATGAAGCGGTCTGGTCTACGGCGATGATGATGAAGATGGTTACGATGAGGAAGAGAGGGAGAGGGAGAGGAAGAAGGAAAGCCGCGACGACAAAACGGCTGCCTTTATATTAATATTAAGGCCGAATCGAACTGTAAGTTAGTATAAAGGAGGGTGACGAAGACCAATGACGGCCCTTTTCTTTTTGTGATTCCTCCCCGGTACCAAGAAGTAATTATAAGTGCCACAGCAGGGAGAAAACCGACGAAGCACCAGATGGAAGGACTTCTGACAGGGATGCGTATATCTGGATCCAGAAATAAGATACGGAAAGTCAATATGGCTTACGTCTATGGGATGATTAAGCAGCGGGAGAGAAGAGGTTTTAAAGAGCCTCCCCAATCACGGCGCACGTCAAAAACATCGTCGGCCAGATAGGTGTGGATTATACCCCGGACACTACCTAACTTGACCGGATTTCATTTGGACTAACGAGAACCCATGCCATTCCATCGGCTTCTCAGAGATCCGGTCAACTTTAACCACCTGAATGGACCTCTTTCCGTCGCAACGTGCCTTTGGATCTAGTCAAAAAGCGGCTAGTGAGATAACAAAGGGGTTCACCCCAAACAGAGGTCGGAGGTCGGCTGAAAATCGAGACCGGCATGAGGACTGCCCAGGAATACGACCAAAAGGGGGTTCAGGTTTTCGTTAGGCCCCGAACAGCACTGAAGCGCCCGAGCATGCTATCGCTGGCAAGCACATCGTGAATTTGCCAACCGAATGCCGACTTGGCCCCCATCTCAGATCCAGACAAGCTTTTTGGGAGAGGGGTCTCGGCCATCCGTGGGTAGCGAGAATGACTCTTTCAGATTCTGTCCCAGTCATCGACGGAATGCATGATCGGGGTAACGTTATGCATAAGGGTATCCTTTATCGAAATTTGGAAATAAAAGACAGGAGGCTTCACCCGCGGACACCGTTATTACTTTTTTTCTTCTTCTTCCCATTATGATTCATTTAAATCATGGACACAGTAAGCCAAATAAGCCAGTCTTGAAGCCGTATGTATACTTACATGTACTGTGTATGTACTCCCATAAGCCCAACGATCGCTGGATGTTGTGATATCATAAGAGAAAGTTTATCGGAATTCGGAATGTCGCTGCTTATTTTCAGCCGTCTTCAGCATATGTCTATCGACATTTCATACTTGCATACAATGTTACCCAAGAAAACCAGAACTAGTCATCTTTGGAGAGCCAATAATACATCCAATCCAAGACTTTCTATTCCAATTCAACAAATGCCGTTTTCCCGGAGTTGTGCCCTCCTTGCAGCAGCGCAATGACCAGATCTCATGTGGCCACATGTGGCCCGGGCCGCCTAGTCTCGTTGGGGCCCAGAGCAACATTCCTTTGCCGTACCACGTGATTGTCATGCAAAGAGTTGTTTTAACCTCAAAGTGTTGTTTTCCGCTTGTGATGTTTGCTCCGGAACTAAATTACCGTATTCGGAATGAGGGCTCGAAACCTATCTGCTTGTTTGCCTGTGTTGCTCTCGCTAAGCCTGCCACTACACCGAAATCTTCACTCACATACTAGCAGTACCCTCATCATCAATCTCTATTCGAAGAACCTCTGTATCTCGAATTACTCGACAGACATCATTCACAATGCCAGTACGTTACCGACACCCTATTATTTCGACGATCTTAGCTGCTCGGAATCGCTGTAAATGAGAAGAGATGCTGGAAATCACACGACATTGAAGATTGGACAGGAAGGACTTGAGATGATGGTACGATTCTTGAGAATCATGGAAGACGGGGCAACATCACCACCGACGGGACAACCTCTATTCCTATCTTGACCATCTCCAACCTTTATTTACAGCGATTTCCGGGTTTGCTAGGATCGGTCGAGATCCTAGACCTCTAAAATGACGGATCTGGAGTAAAATGCTGATACCGACGGTGAATAGAGCCAAAAATCCTTCCGCACAAAGGTCAAGTTGGCCAAGGCCAAGAAGCAGAACAGACCCATCCCACAATGGATCAGATTAAGAACAGGCAATACCATCAGGTGCGAATTGGAAACCATACTCTCGCTCAAAAATAAGTTGAAATCCGAAATCTAATATCAAACCCCAAAAACTCAGGTATAACGCCAAGCGTCGACACTGGAGAAAGACCCGCATCGGAATCTAAACGATCTCCGTTGCGATTGCTTTTTGCTTTTACCCATCGTCCTCTTGTCCAATACCCAGTATCCTTCCTATCCTCCCCGGAAGAACACCTCTCAATCGAAAAACCAACCATCATATAATAATTCCGACCCTTTGCCCTTTTTTTACTCGCCTTCATAAACATTTCCGACCTGAAAGCATTGAAAACCGATAGAAGGATTTATGGTGGAAGCCGGGAGCAGGGAGGTTGGCGATTCGGATTTTACTTTTTCCTTTTTTTTTACTTCATTACTTCGGTGTATTTATGAACGAACTTCCTCCTTTTTTCGAATTGAAATGGGCATGAGACTTCTGTGCAATGGGGCCATGTCGTCATGAAACGAACATATACGTACTTCCACGTTTAATCCCTAGGTGCATGGGGTCATCCATATTACGTTACGAGAGTCAGACTTTTCAGTACCAAGCTGTCGGTCAAATAAACTGCGCATGCTCTAGATCTGCGGCGCTTATATCGCTACGGTGATATAATTTAGAATGCTTCTCTTAATATGTGCATCAACCAGCATCTTGACACTCCATTAACCCCAATCGGTGTTGGTATACATGGCCACTATTTTATAGTCCTAAACCTACAACGCTAAAGCAGTAAGACCGCTTTATAAAGATTTGAGGCATTCCTATCTCTGGTCATTTGTCACTAACGTAACATTAACCCCAAACCATAGACCGCTACGGTCCCGTAACTAGGATCGCTACAGTCTTGTAGCTACAATCCCTATCGTCTATTTGAATGAACAATTACCCCGCTATTATAATCTACTCTACGGTAGTAACGAATAGTTTTTTTAATGGGAAATCCTCAGATATATATATATAGTATGTATATATGTGACTACTACAGAACTTTTGGAAATGTATGAATACGAATATAAAATGTCTTATTTGTTAAAGCTAACATTGCTTATACTTCTGATGCTAATATATTGATATTTTTTAATTGTAGAATGTTAATTTCTAACGTTAACTTGCTATAGCTGCCCGCCAATAATGCAATGGCACTAACGTTATAACTGGGTACGAGACCAACTGAACCGAAGGGATGATTATAGTGTTGTTGCTGTTGCAATTTGTCTTCTACTGATTACGGCAGCTACCAAGATTATTAAGGTGGATTCCTTTAAATGAAGCTGCACGACTCCGTAAAAGGACTAACCCGCGATAGTTCTTCAGGCTAGAAAATTTCACTCGGTGGCCTCCTCCAAGAATTGCCATGTCGAGAAGACAGGCAAAATGTCAGTTACTGTAGGTTGCACATGTTTGGGGGTCAGTTAATTGGGCTTCGGATCCAGCGGGTTTGGGCTTGGCAAGGTCAGCGACCAGTCAGAACAGCCGGGTTTCAGTTTAAGCATTTGCATTGCGTTCATTCAATTCCGGAGTTACATTTCTCCACACTCTTTTTTTCTTTCTTTCTTTTGGTTTTACTCAGCGGATGCTTGAATTTTCTGTTCTTCTTCCTTGTTCCTTTCGTCTCTTCTTGTAACTTAACCTCTTACCCTGTATATAGGTATTTCGTGAGGAGGTAGTTCAGCCAGCTCTTTGGGAGCCCTTTGCGACGCTCGTTCACTCGACTGTCTGTGGGGGTTATTTATTACTCTCAAAATCCTCAGCGCTCAGCCCTAACCACTACATCTCCCAAAAAAAACCTCACCCGGTATTCGCCCTCGGGAGTCCTCGGAGTCTTCCCATCCTCAAAAAATGGGTCGCGTATACCAATCAATAGCTTTTCTAGCATTGATAGCCTTAATCCCATTCTCCCACGCTCACGACCACAAGGGCGACGAAAGAATCAAAGATGGCGAACATATTTCTTACGAACCGATCGATACGATCCTCTGGTTGCACATCCTATCCATGATCCTCGCCTTCGGCATCCTTTTCCCGCTAGGAATGGTATTAGGTCTCACCCGGAACCGGTTTCATGTTCCCGTACAAATCAGCGCGACATGTATTGCGATTATGGGATGGTTTTTGGGTCATGGACACGATGGTAGGCAGTTTGAAGATTGGAATATACATAGTATCTATGCGCCTTTTCTGGGACTGCTCGTGGTATCTCAAGTCGGCATGGGGGTGTATTTGAAGTTACATTTGGAACGTGGGTGGCATGGACGGGTAAGAGGAGTTGTGGTACGGATTCATAAAGTTATTGGGATTATTATTCCGGTTGCTTCGTGGGTGCAAATGATATTTGGTGGCATTACTGCGTATGTATTCTTTTTTTTATATTTTTATATTTTTAAATTTATTAAGAATGTGTATGAATTTGGGGGGCACGCTAATGACTTTTTGGGTATACCCAGGCTCGGATTCTGTCATACACATCATTTGGGACAATGTTTGGCCCATTTTATTATGGGAGGATCATTTATTGCTTATGCGATTGTCATGACTTTGATGACCTTAGTTGGACAAGCATGGTTGAGACGACAAGGACGGGCGCCTGAGTTTTGGGACTCATTAATCATTGCGGTTTGGGGATTCGTGAATACTTGTGAGTTTCACCCCCCTCTATCTGACTAAGCCGGATAAACCTCTGACTATGGTTGTTTTTGTGGTTGGTAGTTACGGAACATCGCTGGGGTCAAGAGTGGAGCCATGGGGATTACCAACATACTTCTATGGGGATTGTGTGGTGGTGCGCTGGTTTACTCGGTCTGTGGCTTTCGAGGGGTAGAAACGGAGAAGCGAGGAGAAATCTTATTCCTTCTATTGTGATCTTTTTGACTGGTTGGGCTATGGTACGTCCCTAGAGCACATTCGAAGGATAGATATAGGTGGGATGGGGAAGCTAATATAGGAATATATAGTCATCCCACGTTCAGCACCTTGAGTTTTCGACAAAGGTACATGCCGTATTCGGTTATACCCTCATGGCAGCCGGTCTTTCAAGACTCATCGAGATTGCATTCGTGTTGAGGGATCGAACTTCCCGACCGAATGGAGAGCCGTCGACATTTCAACATTTACCACCTTACGTACGGATTCCCTCTCCCCTAAATCGAGTTTTTTTGAGGTTTTCTAACAGGGGTTTTTAATAGTTACTCATTGCCTCTGGCTTCCTTTTCATGGGTGCAAACGAGGAACAACTACAACTCCTGTTCGACTCGGGTATCGACCACGTTTCGTACTTGCTAGTACTCTACTCACTTGCATTTTTGTTATACCTTTTCGTACAAATTTTGATTTACATCTACTCCTCAAATACTGCAGAAAACAAGGCCGCCAGAGGCGGCAATGCGGGTAGGAGGAGGCCAGAGTTGGCGCCGATTGAGACTGGGAGGGACGGAGAGGAGTATGAGTTGGAGGGATTGATTAGCGACGATGAAGAGAGGCTGGAGAGCGCATTGACGAGAGTTGGAGAAGGGAGTCCACCATTGAAGGAGGGAAGAGCATAATGAATTTACACCAGTCGCTGGATTTATAGGGGGGTATGAAGGGGTGGATATATATAATTATCGGGCCGGTGAAGTTACCATGGATTTTTACGGGCTCATGATTAATAGACGTCTTGCCGTTTTAGCGGGCTTTCTTTTGGTGGCATATTGCCGGATTGTATTCTATTGGATTGGATTTGTACATCACTTTTTCTTCTTCGCCGATGGCGTATATAGAGCGAGTAATAGTAATTATCTAGTTCTTATCGACACATGTACAGTTGGAAATATATTAAAACAAGGATTTTCATACTTAAACAGTCTATACTAATAATACAGGGTATCGAAAAGGTAAAAAAAAAAACTTTTGTGAATCTAAATAGAGTACATCTATCGGGGTATCAAAAACGATTCCAGAACGCCTTGCTCCTCTCTTTCTATATATATTACAAACCATCCAAAATACTTTTTTAAAAACTCACACCCATATTGTACACCGCTTTTCTACATCGAACATATAAAACAAGAAGAAAGGAAAGAAGGAAGGAAAGAAAGATAACTTTTACTTCAACTTGCCAGTTCCGATATCCTCGATCATCTGCAAGACGACAGGAAGAGCCTCTTCAATCATGAGATCCTTCTCCCTACTCGACATTCTCCCCAGAACATACTCCGCCACGACATTTTTATCTCTGCTCTCCGGTCGCCCTATTCCCAGACCAATTTTATGTATTGTAGTCTTCTGTCCAGCCAGACTATCCCTTATAGAACTTAAGCCATTGTGTCCTCCCGCAGACCCATCTTTCTTATATTTGACCTTCCCAACAGGTTTTTCAAGTTCATCGTGAAGAATAATTAATGTCGGATTAGGATTTGATGGAGAAGATTTGAATAGTCTCCAAGCCTTTGAGACTGCTGGGCCGGACACATTCATGTAGGATGTTGATTGGAAGATTTGAGTGGTATAGGTTGAACCTGATGGACCCGAGGCTGTGGGGCCGCCGTGAGGGCGGGATAGGGAGAGAGGAGTTGTGGTTAGATGTGGGAGGAGGATATGAGCCGCTGAATGGCGGGTTGTGAGAAGAGATCCTGGATTGCCGATTGAGCAAAGAAGAAGGGAGCGGATTGTAGACATTTCTGATTCTGGTGTTGAGGTTGAGGTTGAGGTTGAGCTAGAGGAAGAAGGAATTGAAGCTGAAGTTGAAGATTCTGCGCTTGAGATTTCAAGGTCTGCAGTGTTTTCTTGGAGTTGAATTTGTTGGTGTTGTTGTTGGCGGCGCTGTTGTTTTCGCTTGCCTTTGATGCCCATTTTGGCGGGTATCGAATTCGAGTCGATCAAATTACGTAGATTAAAAATTAAAAATTATTAGGTTTATGAGATCATATACAAGTCTCTTTTTTTTCTTCTGAGGGGTATCTTGAAGTAAATACAATAAATATGGGTATCTTGACTTTTATTTTTTTTATTTTATTCAAAGGAGAGGGGGTTTTGTTGAATTTATATCTCAAAATTCTTGGGGTTAATCAAGCATTTTGTTTGTTAACGCCGTTTGGGAAATGATTAATAAGGAAGTGGTGACTCGATCAACATTAGTAAGGCTGTGTAGGCTGACTAGAGGTATGAGTCGTACCTAAGCTTGGTGCGACACCACAGCAGCGCCGGCGCAGCCGCGGGGCGAAACAATGCGAATTGTACTAGGGCGTGCCTGATGAAATGGCACTTTTTGTGAGATTAGGTTGTCTGAGATTCCTTTATTTTCTTTTTCTTCTTTATTCTTCTCCTTCTTTTTTGTATTTTAGCAAGGCGGGTTTTATTTTGTTTTGCGGCCGCGGGTTTAATTGGGCTTCGTGGGGTTTGGTTTGGTGGATCGTGAGTGTTCGACCTCATAACTGGTTTGACTTCGAATTAAGAGGATTAATTAACCGCTCTTGTGGTCGGCGTATAAGAGATGTCCACATGACTTTCAGGCTTTCGAGCATAGTATCGATCAGATTAGTAACTCTGAAGTTTAATATATTGACGCATTGATGCAGGAATCTGCCTCTTTATGCATATATATGACACATTTATTTAATGTTCAGGCTTTGCTATTGATATCATGATGTTTCTGGAATCGAAAGGAGGATAGATTGTGGCGAATTGCGACTGATTTGTCAGGATCCATGGCGCTGGTACTTGTTTAAAATCGATTGGTGCGTATATGATAGCTAGGTTTAGTTGAAATTGATACATTGATATTATACCAATTCGAAGATCGATATTATGGCAGCAAGTCGGTGATTGCGGTTTACCGGATTTAATAAATTTATGCTGGTTGTTTTTTATTCCTCGGACTCTCTCGCAATTTGAACCGTACTTTCTTCTTTTTCTTCTTCGACCCAGAATCCTCTACCGCTTTTTCAAAGTCCTCTTCCGCATCGCCAGGCTTGGAATGGGAACTAGAATCCAATGGCGATCCGAACCCGTAGGAATAAGAACGGGAAGTATACATCGAAGGTCTTCCCCTGGTTTGTTTCCTCTCCCGATGGAAACGATCAAAGACCGCACCTATGACGCAGAGCGAGACCCAAAGGAGAAGAAAAATTATCAATATTGCGCCCCATACTTTTCGAGCGAAGGGTGTGCCTTTGGCCGATATGATCGTTTTAGTCAATATATCGATTGCCATTTTGTTGTTGTCTGTAAACTGGTGACCCGATTACTAGATACGATGTATATATAAAGGGAAGTATTAAGTAGTTGTTAGACGAATAGATTAGATGAGATGTAGTATTTTTATATTGGGAAGATGGTGATATCATGATGTCGCCGATTGAACCCGGGACGATGGAGCTTAAATAGGATAGAGTTCGCGAGGATGGACTCGACGACCCGGGTGGAGATGGAACCGAGGTCTAGATTTTGATTATATGCTTTTTATTTGCTTTGACTTGGCCTTTCTTGCCCCACTGTCACTGCAATGTATATTTCTTGAGATGGAAGTATATCGATATCGATATATCTCAACATCAGGTCTTTTGTCTTAGACAAAGGGAATAGATTCGATCGAAGGGGAAGAGAAGCTAGAAGAAGCAAGAAGAAGCAAGAAGTGTTGCATGTGTGGTCACCAGCCACAGATCAACCGTCGTAGCTCAGAGTGTGGCTTAGTCCAGCTGTTGATCTAGTTACTGGGAAAGCTCCCCTTCACCAGGGCGGCAGCCACCAATCTGTCCATCCGTCTAAAAGCGTCTGGATTATCTTCAATCAATTCGACTATCTCCGTTTCTCGTCAACCATTCCCTGCTATTAATTAAGTCCTATTAGGTACTTCACTACGGAAATACACCAACCGCTTCACGACCCCTTTACCACCGCCAACAGACTTCCCAATACTGTCGCCAACATCAATTCCATTCTCGTATTCCAACCAACAACCTAACGTACCTCCAAGCTAAGCTTCCCCTAAACGCTTCCCCCAGCCGAATTCAAAAGAAACAAAACAAAACAAAAACAAAAAACCGGGGAAAGAAACAGACATCAATCCTCACCCCCCCGTTCCACCGGGAATGGCAACCCTACAAAACGGTCTCCCGGAACGGGACCCCCGTCGCGGCCGTGACCCTTACCAGAGGGGTGGTCCTCCTGCTCCAAACGGTGGAGCCTACCCCTCAGGTCCTAGACGACAACCTCCTCCTCCCGCTGGATATGACGGTCCTAGGATTGATACTACTCGGAGGGGAGCTTATGGTGATGGACAGCTGGAGCCGCCGTTGACACCGAGGGGATATGGTAGCATGAGTGGACAAGGAGGAGGAGGGGGAGGAGGAGGTGGCGGTGGCGGTAGTGGTGGTGGTGGGAGAGGTTACGAATATGCGGATGTTAGTAATACGGGACGAAGACCCTCAGAAGCTCCTAAAGATAGATCGAAGTCGAGAAGGCGGGGGGAACCGGCTTATCAGGATATGAATGGGTCGGCAGAGGGAGTAGCTAGGTTAGCTGGATTGGCTGGTATGATGATCTAGCGGTTCTCTAGAACTCGGGGTTTAAAATTCGGCATGGAAGGATGCTAATCTTGGGTGATTAGATGTCTTGGAAACAATACGACGAGATTGGGACTTCATGACTAAAGAAGAATGCATACCGGTACAAATTGCTCTGCAACTGAACGACCCGAGTTCTCTGGGTAAAGCAAATCGACTTCGCGACTTCAGGGTCATCAAAAAGAATCTTGAAGGCGCTTTACAGGCTGTCGTCAATGGTAGGTGCCTTTGGTTGGTATGCACCATGCGACATGGGTACTGATTATGCTGCTTGTTTAGAATACCATCAGGGGTTCAATAGCTCGATCGGTACATACCATAGCATCATGCGGCACATAGGCACATCAGCGGCCAAAGTCCAAGACCTAAAACAGCGAGTCTCGAGTGCTAAGAAAGACTTAACATCTGAGAAGCCCGAGGTCAAGAATTTGGCGGTTGAGAGTCAGATCTACGAAAGCATGCTCCAGACACTATCGCAAATGTACGTTTGGGGAGCCATTTCAAGACAAGCCAAGCTAATGACTCTACGAACAGTGAACACCTCCGCGATGTCCCTGAGAAACTGGACCTAAGGATGGGCGAAAAACGCTTCCTGACTGCTGTCGATATTCTTATGGAGGGTTTGAAGAACAGCAACAAGCCGGACTTGAAGGGCATAGGAGCACTACAAGACCTTCGACGGGGCCTTCTAAACCAAGAGACGTCACTGGCTGAAATTCTGGTTGAGGAACTACATTCACATCTCTATCTAAAATCGCCATACTGTGACGGTAGATGGAAGTCATACTCGAACCAGAAGGACAACAAGACCTCGGATCAGCTGCTGGGAGGTGGTGTTATTCCACAAGCGACTGTTACAAAGCGGGCACTCGACATTTTCTTGGAAACTGAGGATCTGACGAAGGAGATGGTGGAAGATGCTTCAAAGAATATAGAAGCCGAGAGTTTGCACTATATTCGTTTACTCATCGAATCTCTTCACAAACTTGGAAGATTACCCGCAGCTTTGGAACAGATTTCTCAGAGACTGCCGGTTGAACTGAACAAAGTTGTCGAAAAGACGAATCTTGAGGTGGATTCCAGACACCCCGCATCCTTCAGGGGGCTCTCGAATCTGAAAGACGGTAAAGCTATTGATGCTGTACTATCGGAAAAAGATGAGCGGGTTGAGGTTCTTAATGATTTGTTATACACACTATTCTCGAAGTTTGAGGCGATTTTGGAGGGCCACAGGGTTGTACATGATGTTGTGAAGGCTATCAGCAAACGTGACTGGTCTAAGGATAACACGACGACGCTGTCTGGTGGATTCATGGAAATCTGGAAATTGTTGCAAAGTGAAACAAGGTCGCTATTGCACGACTATATCACTGCAAACGAGAGCAGAGCCGCAAATTCGAACGCTCCCAAGGCAGCACAGAATTCTGTCAATACTATCCTGGCTGCCAACTCGGCCTCCCAGAAGAAGAGGGTGAGTCGCGGCTTATTTCTACTAGGCGTGGAATGAATACTAACCTTACGTAGCGGATGTTCAAATTTGGTGGACCTGAAAACTCGGACGCCTTGATCAAGGCCAACCAAGACGACTTGGAAGCTATTCTCAAGGCAAACGTACCCGGACTTGTACAAGACTCTGCTGTTCCTGTTATTAGAGAGGCCGAGGAAACACAGATTAGCGATGGGTCGGCTACGGGTAGGAAACTGCTCGTCGAATCGACGGTTTTTAATATGGGCCACTTGCTTTCGCCCTCGCTGCAGTTTCTGAAGAACGTCAAGGATATTATTCCCCCAGGGTAAGATTTCATCCAATGATGAATGGTGTGTACAGCCTGCTAACGACCATGTAGATTGGGTGTCGCCCCTAGTACTTTCACATCCTTCCTCGATGACTTCCTGGTCAACGTCTTCCTACCACAACTTGAGGATACGCTACGTGAGCTCGCTGCGCAAACAACAGGAGAACTCGATGCTTTCCGACAAGACACGCAGTGGAAGAATGTTGCACAGCGTCCGGTCATGAAGGGAACTTCTGGGTTCTTGAGCCTAGTTACGGCGATTTGTCGTATGCTGGACAGTTTACCGCACGACCAGTCGTTTAGTCAGTTGATTGTGGACCTGCTCACGGACTACTATGAGAAGTGCCATGCGTTCTTTAGGAGTAAGTTTATTCTATTTCCGAAAGTATTCCCTAATACTGACTTTTCCAATAGCACTTGTCCAGAAGGACCCGAACACTCTCAAAAAGAGCGCCCTCTGGGTCGTCCCCGGAGAACTAGAATCTACAATGCGTGAAATGTGGGCCGACCCTACCGCATTCCACGATTTCCTCAACAAAGAAACCCTCGTCTATTCCAAACTTAAGGGCACAGAAGGTGTTAGCTTCGAAGACATCATCTCCGACCGTAAAACAATTTACACCCTATGTATCCTGTACAACAGCATGGACTGGTTCTCTCGCAAACTGAAGAAACTCCGTCAAGTCACCGACATCGAAGACCCCAGCAAGGACGAAGGAACTCGGAACCGACGGTGGAACAATCTCAACTCCCAACTCGCGAGAGACTCAGCTTCTCCTGTCTTCTTACCTCTTACGAAGGATCTGGCCGAAGCGTTTGATGGGGTTGTGAACACTTATTCGGAGTTAACGAATACTATCTTGTTCACGCTGAGAGCTGAGGCTAGGACTCATGCGGCGCATTACATCGATCTTGCAGTTGAAAAGACTTCATGGGTTTTAGAGAATGAAGCCCCCGAAGCCGATCCTCAGATCTTGACATTGAATACAGAACTAGTATGGTTCGACCAGGACGTAACCAGCTTGCTTCGATTCGAGGAACAGAGGTTTATCAAAGCTGGATTGGGCGTATACCTTGACCACCTGCTGATTAGAAGCTGCGGGAAGATCAAGCAGATGAACCGTAAGGGTGTGGATAAGATGTTGTTGAATATCTTGGTCTTACAACAGAACCTGAGGAATTTGGTGTTAGAAGATGGAGTTGTTGGTGATGGAAGAGATGAGCAGAACAAAAAGGTTGTGGCATTGAAGAGGAGTGATGATTTTTGGAAATTCTTCAATACGGGACCCGAGGTAAGTTACTATCCCCTCTAATGGTGGTAGATCTATGGATGGATGCTAACCCATTTCTTTCTTCTTCTTCTTCTTCCTCTTAATTTATAGGATGTCCTTCAACGAGCCAAAGACAAAACCTTGCCTTACACATACGATGAAATGAAGGATTTGGTTACATTATGGTATTCGGAAACTTTCAAGACAGGAAACAGACGAGAGTCGACGATAGCGGCGCGACGAAGCCTGAATGATCATTTGATCCAGTTGAGTGAATTGATGTGGGAGAATTAACCGTTTTCACATACGCATTGAGGGGGGAGATTCTGGGCGGCTCGTGTGGGATATGGGAATCGGTGGTGTATCATATGGTCTCTTCTGTTTCCTTTTTTTTATTTTTTTGTTTTGTTCCCCTATACTTTCCTTGACGTGGACTCCTCCTATTTTGCTTTTTTTGGCAATGGCTTTTGTTCTTTCCCTCTTTGCTTCTTCTTGTTCTTTCTTAACCATGGAAAGAAACATAATCTTTTGTGTACTTCGATCGGTTAGCAGGCATGTATGTATATGTTCTTTAGTCCAAAGTGACCATGGCGGGTTTCCATTGAGAAGCTAGCCTTTATTGTGTTTCAGTGTTGGAGTGCTACAGTGTATATTCTAGAAGCTGTTGAATCTAACGAAGGAACGAAATGATACGAATTTCTACTAGAAGGGTCTGGAATTGGCGTATAAGACCCCGCGGAGAGGTTTAGTAATTCCAAAATGCATTCATTAGGATAGTAGCTATAGTTAGCCCAAGAGTTAGTAGGACCTTAATTCCGACCTATTTATGTCTTGTAGACCTCCTAGAGCTCCCACGAAAGATGAAATACTCAATACCCCCATAGAACGCAAAGTTATCTCGATACCTTCGCTTTGTGGAAGTAGTTAATAGACTACTCTAACTACCAAAAAGGGGTAAATGGGGACTCTAATAAGGTGCAGTCTCTCTTTGCAACCACTTCAACGCCCTCTGATCGCCGCTCAAGAGCGGACTGGTTTTCTCAAACACTTCCTTATGGTACTCATTCAAATACTTTTTCTCATCTTCGGTGAGGAGACTAACGTCTGTGAGGCTACGGCACATTGGTACCATAGTAACAGTTTCAAAACCCCAGTACGGCTTCTCGCCGAATTGGTGGTTCGTCTTGATCGGTACAACTAGGATAATATCTATTTTATTTGTCAGAGTCAGTGCTTAACGGATACAGCATATACCTGTAAATACCAGGGAACACTTACTCTCAATTCGGATTCCGAATTTTCCATCTTCGTAGTACCCCGGTTCATTGGAAATGACGTTCCCTAGTTCCAATGGGACCTCAGAGTATTGAATTCTAGTACCAATGCCCTGGGGTCCTTCATGAACGTTCAAAAACGAACCAACGCCATGTCCTGTACCATGACGGTAGTCCAATCCCTCCGACCAAAGGAACTGGCGAGCTAGAGGATCAAGTTGATACCCACTGATACCCTTAGGGAATACAGCCTGCCCAAGGGCGATGTTGCCTTTCAGGACTAGGGTGTAAGCCTTGATTTCCATTGGTGTTGGGGTTCCGAAGTGGAGGGTTCGGGTAGTGTCAGTTGTGCCATCATAGAATTGAGCACCGGAGTCCTAATGATGTTAGATCGAATTACTTGTGAATTCGCTAGGCAGGTATCATAAACTTACACAGAGGTAAATAGCGTTAGGGTCAATCTTGGCTGCCGTCGGACGTTCAGGGTGGTAATGAATTACGGCTGCATTCGCGCCTGTTGATGAGATGGTACCGAACGAAAGACCGACGAAATTCTCCTTTGTTCTAGGTTGGCTGTTAGGCCTAGATCTCTAATATACTGCAGAGGTACCATATAACATACTTTCTGTACTCCTCGAGCTTGTCTGCTGCATCGACTTCATCAAGCTCGACACCACTTTGGAGCTGTTCCTCGAGCCATGCAAAGTATCTAGATAGGTTTGTTAGTATTTTTGATCTACAAATTTTGAAGGGCATAAACCTACTCAATCAAAGCGACACCATCACGAATATGACATTGCCTCATTCCTTCCAATTCGGTTTCGTTCTTGATCGCTTTTGCGACAGTGACCGGGGATCTGACTTCCTCAAGTCTACCTTCCCCAAGAGCCTGTGCAAGAGCCCAGCTAGCATTTGCAGGGAACAAGAACTTCTGGGGTTCCGCTGCGTTTTCATCGACAGTCTTCTCGCTAAGGGCCGTGAGGGTTGTGAGGACATTATCGTAAGCAACTAGTTGGACGTGCTCACCAAGGTGGGCCTCGAGTTCGGAGCTTCTTTGTTGTGGGTTAATGAAGAGTGTAGTAGCAGTTGGCGTGACAGTAGCATAGCAGAAGAAGACAGGGTTGAAAGGGATGCTAGGAGCCGAATTAGTATATTTTCATAAACTGACCCTTTAAACGATTGCAGAATACATACTCGCTGCCTATATATAAGGTAAAATTTGATTAGGCCTCCTTCACTCTCATAACGTTGAATATTGGGATCACGAACCTCTGATGTTGAACAACCACATAATCTCGTCCAAACCTGTTAAAACCAAACCATGGCTCTTCTGCTTGGCTAACTCTTTCCTCAAGTCTTCAATCTTCTCGACAAAATCCTTGCCGGCGAACTTCTTATCAAGGATGATAACTGGCTCAGCTGGTCGAGCTGGCCGTTCGGAACCCCAGACCTTGTCGACGAGGTTTTCGGTCATTCCAACAAGATCACCGCCACCCTTCTTCTGGATCTTGGTTTTCAACGATTTGGAGAATGCTATAAGCTTGTCAACATTTGTTGCAGCTCCCGTAATCAGAACGCATAACCGACATACCGTATGTGAGGAGGGAGGCATCGACACCGACGTTCTTGCCTCCCGTGGCCTCTGCGGCGACCCATTCACTCCAAGTTGGGACATCGGCCATTCCCTGCTTTAACAAAGTCCAGTTTTCATCGAGCTGTTGTTCGGCCTGGTTGAAGTATCTGCCGTCTGTCGACAAGGCAGCCTTGTCGTGAGTAATCAAGGCCCAACCAGCAGAACCGGTGAAGCCAGAGATGTACTCTCGACGGCCATCGCATGGCGAGGTATATTCGGACTGGTGAGCATCTTCGGAAGGTACGACTATGCGACATCGATGTCAACATCAGCATACATCAAAACCGCAAAGACAAAGGTGACGAAGCAACTCACTGTAAACGTCGATACCATTCTCCTTCATCAAAGCCCTAAGGGCGGCAAGCCTTTCCGTTGTATTGACCATCGTGTGCTGTGACGTACGTTCAAGAAGTGTGGAGAATAGTCGCCGCGGAAGGCCGAGAGTTTGAAGAGGATTTGGTAACTTCGGCTGTTGATGGTATATAACGGCTAGCAGAGTCCCTGGTGACGGGGTTTGGCGGCTATTTCTAATTCTAGTGGAGTAATAGTGCCGGGAGATACAGAGCTGTGATCGTGTCGCGGGGCGAGCACACGACAACGCTGGTTCAAGGCTGTTGCTAGCTCGAGTCGGCAAAGACCGAAGAACGCGAAAGGCTACACTTTGCATAAGGCTTGACTCCAGAATTCACAAGAATCCTGTGGGGTCTCTTATAGGCCTTGGAATTGAACACCTGACCAAACGCTAGTCTTTTATGTAACAAGATTGGACGGTAATGGATACTTGAAAAAGGAGGTCTATGATATTCTAGCAACCCCCACAGCGCTCGTTCGAATCAATTTAGGGCGACCAAATCTCAAATTCTACACACAGATTCATGGATACCTTGAGCGCAAGTGAAAGGATATTAAATACCGCAAACTTTCGGATTTCCAGCTGACTTGAAAGCAATGGGGAATGTAGTTAGCAATTAGCACGATATGGCGACATTCTAGCTCAGAGTTTTGAGGCTATCCAGGCACCTTCCTGATATTCCCAGGTCCCCTTGTCTGGAGTTTCGTCAATGTGGGGTGGTTCTAGATAGGAACGGTGTTGGACAGACAGTTGTAAAAATATTTTAAGACTAGTCGACTAGTGAGATAATATAATTTAGGCTAGTGCACTATTGTGCCTGAAAATTTGACAAATTTATAAACACGGATTATACTCAAATATATATATGATGTTTATGGCTAGATTTGATTGCTAGGACCGTGAACAAATGGTATGTCGTAGACAGCGGTGGGTAGGTTTGTTACATAATCAACTATAAGAAACTTTTCATTGATTCTCAACAGAGCGCCTCGCTTCCAGGTCTCGGCTAAGCTCGGACCATGGCCAACCCCTCCCCCGGGGAGTTTAGTGTCTCCCCGAAGGCCAATTGGTCCTGACAGGGGCTCTCCGGGCCGGACTCGGAAATGCAACAGCTCGGACCTTCTTTCAACACGGAAGGGAAAGTATTTAAAATCCAAGACCTGGAACTACTCGGCATTTCTTGACTCACTCATCCTAGATCTCTGGGTATAAATTATCTTGATATTTGCTTTCTTCGCATCTAATCGAGTATTGCTGCCAGAACCTTCAGGTCTTAATCCTTATACAAGCACCATACGATTTTCTCTTGAAAATGTCTCCTCCAAACCCCCTCCTCAGCGACAATGTCCCCTCCCACATCCTATCCCTCCTCGATCGTCTCCATGAAGCCTCCCTCAACCAAGAGTCTAGCATCACAAAAGCTGACTATGCAGCATCGGTCATCCACGAAAACATGAAGGATAAATTTATAGCTCTCGAACAGGATAAATGTCACTTTGTGTACCAGCTCGCCAAAGCTATTGGCGCCAAAAACATCGTTGAAGCAGGAACTTCATTCGGTGTCAGTACCATCTATCTTGCTTTGGCAGTAGCGGCCAATATCAAAGCTACAGGAGGGTCTGGGGTGGTTATTGGGACTGAACATGAACCGGAGAAGGCGGCGAAGGCGAGGGAGCATTGGAAGGAGTGTGGAGAAATTGTTAGCGGACTTATCGATTTGAGGGAAGGAGATTTGAGGGAGACTTTGAAAGTGGCACTTCCAGATACAATTGATCTCTTGCTATTGGACAGTAAGTACTCCCACTTATCTTGTTTAGCTAAAGATTGTTATTTCGACAACTAATTATGGTACAGTCTGGACCCCAATGGTGGTTCCAACCCTGAAATTGGTGCAGCCAAAATTTAGGCCTGGATCTGTGATCATTGCAGACAATACGGTCGGGAGTGCTCCAGACTATCAGGAATTTTTTGATTACATTCGAGCGCCAGACAGTGGTTTCACGAATATTACACTCCCATACCACAAGGGACTAGAAATGAGCGTTTATTCCCCTAAATAGATACGGTTTTTTTTGTTCGTGCTATCTAAGGACTCTTTATATAGTTTTCTATGTCGAAAGAAACGAAATAACTCGATGTCTATGTCAAAGATCTATAGCATGCGAACTCTGGCCGCAAAACAGGTCTACTATTACCATCGGCTAGGCTATCGATCGTATAATAAGGGTTTCGCACTCCCGGCGTTCAGGTCCCAAGCATATAAAAAAGAGATATGATTCTATGTTAGCCTAGTTGTAACTTTGGGGTGGTCTTACCAACATCCACTCGAACCATGCCCTGGGTCTTGTCGGCCTTGAGGGTATACTCAGTTTCGTTATTTTGGTCTTCTTCTGTTATTGCATCTTCGGAGGCATCAAGGTACTGGTCAAAAATCTCCTTTTCGAGGTTATCTACCTCTCTTTTAATTGACCTCACGCCCTCTTCGACCATATATGATCTTGCGACGATCCTGCACACTTTGTAGTCTTTCTCCATGCTCAGGTTGATATTACCGACTAATTTTCTGTTCTCAGGATCAAGCGAGATTGGTTGCTTGAACTGACTCTTCCTCTCCCCAATTTCGAGGTCAGCAAGAACGGCTTGCTCGTCAGGAGAGAACGGAAAAAACGGAACTATCAAATCAATTCTACTTGTAAAAGCAGCCTGCGGGAGAACTTGGTTAACCGAGCTCTTGAGTCACACATGCGTAAAAGTGGGTCATTACGTACGCCGAAAACGCCATGGAGAGTCTTCCTCATTTTGACTCCAAACTCCTGTCCTTCTTTTGCCATTAACTGCGGGGTAATCGGCTCCTTATCCTCGTAGAATCCCATGATTGTGCTGTCAAGAGCATTTGTCGCAAGAATCCAGATTACTTTAGATATATCCATTTTGGAGCTACCGCCTCTTCGATCCGACAAAGTTGCTATGGATTGTAAATTTTCAAAATCAGACACTGTAACCTCTAGGTATTTTCAATTTCCACACTCTGCGATGCATAGACTTACCACCACGCTCAAAAGGTACAAGTAAAGCATTACGTATATCGATGCCTGTTTTCTCTACTTCATCGAGAAGAACAATACACCTTTTACCGTTATTGTCAGCAAGGAAGTTATTGACTGGTGAACCATCTTCCCACCCCTTGTACGGTTTGTGGGGACCAAAAAATTCGTCCTCTCGCTTTACACTTGCCATGTTTTCGGAGTGGAATGGCACTCCGAGATACCTTTCCATTTGCTTCGCTAGCTCAGTTTTCCCATGACCAGAGGGACCTAAATGATTGGAAAGTGAGTTTTCAAAGCTCTAGGCCTGGAGAGTGAAGCTGTTACTCCGCGGAGACTTTAACTACCTACCTGCAAACAATAGCACCGTCGGTTTTACCCCCCTGTCCGGCTTTTCCGTCATCATAAGGACATGGTTCAGTAGCTTTTTCAACCCGAACTCCTGGCCGACAATATCAAAACGTGCCCGGAACAAGGGCGAACAATCCCATCTTGGACTTTTCGCAAATTGTTTGTGGCGTTCTGTAACTTTGAAGCTATCACCACGGTGTAAATCGTATCTCATTGATAGATTTAAACACTTACGTAGCCTATTGAAAACCACATCGTTGCACCACTCCGTATCCTTGTTAGTGGTTACATTATCTAGAAACTCCCGGCGAACCGCCTCCCAGGACTTCAACTGAAATATCTGCGGTTTAATATATGGAAGGCGGAGAACACTTGGAATAACGGACGACTTTGCACCAAAACCGAGCAACATACGGACAATCTTTGGTTCTCCAAGGAGGGCTGCAAAAGCGATTACCGGAAGGTTATTAACCGGGAAAATGCATTGTCTGGTAACAAAAAGTGCCGCCGATATATTTGTGGCCAAATTAGGGTCTGCCCCCTCACGTAGCCATTTCTCAACCTTTCTGACATCCCGAGAATACACGGCATAATATAGCGTTGGAACGCCATATATTTGGGTGTCTTTGTAGACATTTCTCGATTGGAGGTCATCCAAATAGTCATCTTCCCTATTGCCGCTGCAGGAAAGAAACTTTCCTAAAGACCGTTCTAACCGTTGTATGTCCCATTGTCTTTTGATATCACAGTGTACTATCATATTGGCAGTAAAATCTCGGTCTTCTTCTTCAAGATCCCAGTTATGACCGAGAGCTTGACAGACTCCGTTATATCCTGCCCGCGTGAGGATACCGTGCATCCAAAGTGTGTTATCTTGGTATTGCTGATATAAAATATTATCAGTTGACAAGATAAGACTATCACAATGGGTTCATAACTTACAATAATACGGGATTTGTCCCATAGGTAACTTTCTTCGACAGGTATGCACTCCTGCTCCGTCGTTTTAATCAATGACAACGACTGGTCTTTTTTATCCTTGCTATCGCTATGACCTAAATTCTCTGTATTAAGTCCAGCTTTCGAATTTTCCTCGCCGGATGCTCCAGACCCTTTGGCTTTGTTCAAGGGCGGACGGCCTACTGGTCGCTTCTTGACATCATTCCCAGTATTAAGTTTCTTAGCTGGATGGTTCGAGTTGCTGCTACTATCTTCAGCGCCGCTAGAGTTTCTTTTTCGGTTCTTGTTCTGAGGGTCACCATCGTCCGATCGCGACATATTTAGGACAAGAGGTTAACTCAAGATATAGGGTTAACTCAAGATATAGGGTTAACTTAAAAATTTCCTTCTTTTAGAATTTCTTAGATTATAATTAGAGTTGATGTGCGAGAAGAGAAAGATACTATCTCGGCTTTCAAGGAGGGATAGGATCGGGTCATATTTATACACTATTAATTCCATACCTATCATCAAATTTATATTCTACTTACGCCGGTAAGTGTATATGTCAGCAGAAATGAAGAACCTAGTACTTTGGCGAAAAGGCGAATGGGTACTAAGATAACCAGATATATTCGAAACCATAATACTGGTATGGCCTTTAGCAAGAATCTTCGCTGTAAATTTAGTCGATACCGGGTCTTCCAACGTTCTACAAGCCGGGAGAGAATAGGTATATAGACTAAACCTTCGAACTGGGGACGTTGAGAGCGGTATTCTCGATGGGAATAAAAGGGACTACTAAAATTAAATCTTCACCTGGGTTTGGGTAGAGACGGTTTTATGGTTTGAAACCTACTGAAACAGATACCAATGTAAAATGCAAGTGAAATTTCGTGAAGTTGAGAAGGAAGGACAAGTGCGAGTTAAATGTTCCAGAGAACCCCATACAAAATACAACAGTTTCAACACTCCTCCCCTCGAAGTTGGGTAGTGCAAACTGCACGCTTGAAGTGACCATCTTAAGAAATACCCAAGAGAATCTTTGCAAACCCTAGAATTATGTGAAAGCTTTGAAATATTATATAAAGGGGCTTCTGACTTTTAGAATCGTGCTTGGAAGGAGAGTAGCTTGTGCGGAATGAAGCTTCTACAAATCTGCTGAGCAATGGCGAGCTACTAACATCTTGTTATTCTTCGTCAACATCGTCAACATCATCACATTGCGACATCGCCCTCCAAACTCCTATCGTCAAAAATGTCAGAAGCTTCTCATGGCCATCAGGCCAATGAAGCTGCCACTCCCATCCAGTCTCCTACTAGTGGGAAGCTAAATATTCACGAAGCTTCAGGTATTGCCTCTAGAAGCGAAACTTCTTCGCCAGAGGCTTGCAAGGCTAAGGCCTCAACCTTTTCTGTCCTTTCACTTGATCAACCTCGCCGTCGGGCCCTGTCGCCTAATACTTTTGATTCGAATGCCATTTCTTATCCCCAAGTCTCCTCTGGAGCTTCTAATCCTACCATTCAACTCTCTCATGACTCTCCTAATCATTCAGTCCGCAAATTATCTGCAACTTCAGTAGGGGAAGCGTCGGAACAATCATCTCCTCCCCAAAAAGAAAACCAAAAATTTAGTCCGGAGCTGAAGAAACAGCTCGAGAGCTTAATAGCTCCTGACTCGAGAACAACCCCACAGTCCTCAGCACCGTCCACTGTTTCGAAAAGCAGTAGACTTGGTGGTTGGTCAATTGGTACATCCTCGATAGCCCTCAGACCCAGTGAACCGGTCCCAAGTATCGTTACCACCCAACTTTGGGAGCCAGAGGGAACCCCGGAAGGATCCTCAGAGAGCACCGAGTCTGATAGAGTCCCAACACCGCTGTCAATGTCTGGGTATCAGTCAGAATACATTTCTTTCCCATCATTTGAGTCTTATCCAAAAAATCCACGCCCGGGTCTACGTTCCAGATGCAGTGATAAGTCCTGGCATCTGCTCCAGAAGCTAAAGGGGAAAATCGTGGAAATGCACAACGCTGGTTTGCATTCCAGTCGTTCAAGTAGCCGAAACTCGATTTCTAGCCGAAAATCGAGATCGCCAGCAAGGCCACTTGCGGAGAATCAACAACCGCGCACGCGAGCTGCATCAGAAAGTGGTGGAAACCGAACACGCCTCGACCCTGGCCCATCATCTCGTTCAAAACTTAAGGCTGCCACTGTTAGCGGTGGAACTTTGAGGACCTCCGCCTCGAACTTGAAAAGAGTTTCAATCGCAGAACCAAATCCTACTCCAATACCCATTAATAATCTACAACGTCGATCTTCTACTCGTAGAGCCACTATTATCGCTGTAACTCCGGAGAGAGGTCAACACACACCAAATCGATTAAATCAGGCTTCGGGACAGACTTCAGAGGGGCAGAAGGAGCCCACAGGACTTTCTGGCCTTACACGTCCCATTGAATTTGCATCTAATATCTTCCAAAGTCTGATTACAGTTGCTTCCGGCGGTTCACCAAAATCAACCCCGGTTTCCCCAGACCGGGGAGGCGCATCCGGGACTAACGTCTCTAAGCTTCAAGACAAAGGGAAATCCCCCCAGCTCACCAACCAAGATTCTAGCGAAGATGAAATGACTTTTATGGAGTACATTAAGAAGTTTTCAGATTCGTCCCCTACGGGAACTCCGAAGTATCCCCCGTTTTCGGCGCCCAGTTGCGACATCTTGGCTGCAGAGGTCCAGCCTGAGTTCTCAAATACAGTTAAGCAAGCTGCTCCTCGAACTGTCACATTCAAAGATCCAATCTATGACAATATAAGACGTGGAGCCGCTCCTATGTCCCCAATTCAAGAGGCTGAGAGCAGCGAAGAAATCCCACCGGAGATCGCCCTCGATCCCGGTACTGGCAAAACCCTCATCAAGTACACGGCGGACGACTATGATGCTATCACCAATTACTTCTACAATGTCCAAATACGCGTTTTGAAACAGAAATGGCCATTTCTGTATGGTAACGAAATCAAATATCTCATTGACAATAAGTGGCTTGAGATGGAATGGGAGGATTTGGAGGATTGGGCACAGGAGAGTGCTCGCCATGTTGATGACGAATATTATGTTGAAACTGATCTCTTCGAAGATTTGACTCTTGTCGACCCTCGTGGCCCTGGCGCTCCCCGACAAAGGTCAAACTTATCTTAGGTTGGGATAAACTATTCAACCATGGAAATATGCTTGGATGGAATGCCATTTATTAGATCAACTGTTTAGACTCTGTGTATTCTTTTAATTCACTACACTTTGTTTCACTCCTAGCGATTTAGTTATCTTGCTTCAATAAATCAGGGATTATTTCTTTTCAAAGTTCTCCCATTGTCCTATAACCATGCCCTTGTTTGTGTGGTTACCCAATTACCCTACATCCCCTTAATTAGCCTGATACCGCTAGAATGATGTTAATATCTACCCGTAACCATTCTTACAGCTCCGCCTGGACCCTGGAGTACGCGGAGTTCAAAATTGAACCCATCTACTCTTTCTATACAACTTAAAACTACCAGCTTTGGGACACCTTGGATTATTCGTGACGCTCGTTGAAAGAACTGATTTTGAAGGTCGGCGTTGTGGAAAAAACTTTCATCTGGTGGAACTGGTTGGACGCAGTCGAAGTGCAATGTACGTAAATTAGTGAATGGGAGCCGGTGGTCTGAATCTGAAGAGCCCCTCATGTTGTCCTAAAGGTCTTGTGTTAGTAAATGCTTCAAAGTTTACAATTGCATGGCGATTTGGAAATAACATACTAATATGAATTGGGCTTTGGTGTATGCAAAAACTCTCAAATGCCTCAAAGATGTCAGGTCGGCTACAGCCTGGAGTGCCGGTTCGTAAATAGAGACATTCATACCGTCACGAACGACATATTGGAGGAGATCGGCCTTTCGAGAGCGGAATGGTGTTAAGTTTAGCGTCTCGCGATTCCTTATGTATGGGAGGATTCGGAGGTACATTGCAGGATCACAATATCCCGTGAAAACCTCACGAACAGCGGCTGCCGAAGTATCTGGCGGTGATTGCTGGATACAGAAACTTATCCCATCCAATTTTGCCCCCGTTTTATATGTACCATTTGCTCTCAAAACCTCTGCCGCTCTACTTGCTTGATATACTGTTCGTGATTCGTAGGCCGCGAGTGGATGGCGTAATTCAGCGATATCGAGGGTCACGTGGGAAAGTCTGTCTTTTGTTCGCAGAAAATACTTCATGAGAGCCGAAACTTCGACTGGAGAGATTGGGGAGTCAAAGTAAACGGTCAATGCAGTTAGGCCAGTCATCTTGTCGAATATTTCAAATGGATCAATGTACTCGTCCTCATTGCGGACGGGTTCAACCTCTGGTGGCATATAGATAATCAACTCTCTATATTATGAAATGTATATTAGATTAAGTTCTAATTTTTAGGTTGGGATATTGGACAACTTTTTTTTACTTACCTTACCATGTGCCCTACGAGCTTCAGTGTCTCGTTGAGTGGCCGCTTTTTGATTGGATATCTCACCATAGCGTATTTATACATCACTGGTAATGAAACCGACATAGCTCGTGCGCAAGTTGCGCCGAATCTCAATCTGTCCCTATCATCTAGGATGCTTTGATCGATTATGAGAGCGAGGACCTCGACTGGGAGGCCCATCAGAGCTAGAACCCTCCGTGAAGTTATAGTGAATGGAGGATCATGCGTTCTCGGATCATCTCTGCGTCCAACATATCGACCCCAGAGCCTTCTTAGGCCTATATTTGTAAAAACACGAGAGAACCATGAACCCTGACCAGAATCTACTTCGATATCAATATGACCGTCTAACAGCCGAGAATGACGACTGAAATCTCGAGGCTCGGGGCGTTCCGGACGCGACCGATTTGCTGGCAACCAGCGACGCAACATGTTCATCATATCTTCGTATTCTTCGAATAAGGAGTTCAAGGTCTCCGTGATTGGTATATCGAAAGATTGTATATCAATATCCAGATGTTGCGGGTTCTGATGTTCACTATTTGAGTATCCGAAAGGTTGAAACGCCCCATCTTGAGATCGTAGTTCTTGTTCATTTTCAAAGCTGGTTCTAATTGTCTGAAGACTATAAACTTGTTGCTTTATAGAGGAATTTGCTATATTCAATCTCTCAAGTATCCCATCAATGATCAAAATCGTTTCAGACCCTTGGAGTGTAGAACGTGGTATTTTGTGTGTTGTTGGGGGCCCCTGGTCGCTATCATCTGGTGTTACACCACTTACAGAGGGACTTAGCAGGGGACCCGAGCCTTGGCGAGGCCGGCCCGGAAGTGCAGAAGATGAATCCATGGTAGCTGGGAGCGGTTCAGTCTTGTTCATCCTTGAGGCCTTTACCATCTCCGCAGTGTTCGATCCAAATCGTAGGGACTATTACAAAAGTTACCGACGGTTCGGTTGGCGATATAGGCCTCTATATTGATTCGAGTGCATTACTTTAATCAAGTCTCGACTATACAGTACCTATTTGTAAGATAAGAAGCCTAGAACTCCCGGCCCCACCTTCGCCCTTTAGTATCCGGATCGCGAAGTCAGCTTTCGTCATCTGGCATTTCTTGGTAACGTATGACAGCACAATCAAATTTGCGCGCCTGTTGAATCTCGAATGAATCACAAGGAAAATTACTAAATTTGTACAGCGCTTCCTGTGGCCCAAGAGGAGAACTTGTTTTTTGTGATTATTACCTTTCCAAGTTAGTCGTGCTGGCAGCATCCTAGGATGGGTAACACAACATTACCGATTCCAATAGAGATTACCCTTGACATTCTCCAACGTTGCGGTCGGCATGATGTATATAGTTTTGCTAGGACTTCGAAAGGTAATTATGACATATCGGTGCATCTCCTCTATAAACACATCGACCTAGTCATAGCTCTTGAATCCGAAGCGTTAGAGCGCCATGAAAAGTACGGCGTTTATGATTTTGTCCAGTGAGTACAGCCTGGTCTGCTCTTTTCGGTAGACAGAAGCATCCACCCAAACATTAAAAAAACAAACCGAATTTCATAAATTTAATACCTATTTTTCTCAGAATCGTGGACCTCCCTATTGGATTCTCTTGTCCAGAATTCTTCACCGACCCCCTAACGGACGATCCTACATCTGACATCCAAGAGGCACTAAGAAAATTCAAAAATATCCGAGAGCTCCATATCATAATTGCCGAGGAAAACTACTCAAAAACTTGCCCAACAGCTAGAATCCTCCGTTGGGTCTTTTCCGATTATGTGTCTCGATTATCAACTCTTTTCTTGGAGATATACAGCTTCTCTTCTCGTGACCAGGAATTCAGGGATTTATTAATGGACGTTTCGACTTTCAAAAATGATCCATTACCAACTCATGACAATCTAAAGACAATAAAAACATGGGTCACAGATTCCCAACCAAGAAAACTCATGTCATACATTTCGCCACTTCTTTCGCCGTTTGTTTCTAGTCTAGAAACCATCGAGATAAGGGTACGACGCAACTTCGACGATGATACTGAGAACGACTTGTCGGACTTAGTTTTTGATTATACATATCTAAATGGTCTCGGGTCTGACAACATTACTTCTGCATTTATCGAGGATAAGCAGTTGAGCTCCGCGGGGTTAGCTTGCAAGTATATTGCGAGAGCCTGGCCAAATTTGGTAGAGTTAGATCTCGATCTTGGGATAGACCAATTCATCGTAAGTTAAATTTTATTACTTCTTTAAACTCATATGGCGTCAAAAAAACATTTTGTACTAGTGAGTGCCATTGGGGTATATAGATCTGTAGTGTCGGTTTTGTTGACTTTAGCCTTGACACCAAAAGGAACATTACCGCCGTCTTTCACACCTCAAAAAACTCCAAAAACTCAGTATAATGTTTCCGTACCGCTCCTGGGAACTAGCCGACATACGAGAGAACATGGCAGAGGAAGCGGAATGTCCTGCGACACTATTGTGTATAAAAATCACCTCTCTTCAAGAAGTATCGATAAAATATTTGGGGGGAGACTGTTCTATGCCCCAAACGGCAGTATTTGATTGTTTCCGCACAGAACAGGGTCCCGATGAAAATCGGCCAGCGGCTGTCGTGGTTGGTCTGAGAGAGTTATGGGGCGAAAAAGGTGATTATCTGGATACGATTGAGGTAGTGGGATTGATAAGAGAGATGAATAGTCCTGTAACAGAAGGGTTGAGACAGAGATTCGAGAAGTATATTCTGGTTGATAAGTTAAAAGAGGTAGATCTTAAGATACCGGAAGGAGTCTCCAGCTTCCAACTTAATTAATGACGATGCATGATATCGATGAATAGGAAGTTATGATTTTTTTTATGCACCTGAATCAATGACTTGAGGCAATTCTTCCGGGGTGTTCACACCCTGTCCCCGTATCCTGGTTCGCGAGTTCGGAAACCCGATCGGACTTGATTCAGAAATGATAGATTATACCAATTAATTAAATGGTCGTTCCTCTACTAGGAACAAATGTTGGCCCAAGTATAATTAAGCCAGCCAACCAGCTATCTTCCTACACTCTTTTGATGGGAGGGGAGGTGTGTCTAACCTAATTTAAACTCTTGAAGAAGATCAAGATAAACATAATCTAATACGGGTATATGTGGGCCATGGTACTAATTAACCCACGCCTGCTCGGAAAAATACCACATCTCAATGTGTTGATAGTCACAGCGGGTCGACTGGAGCGAGTACCAATTTGTAAAATTTATAAAAGCCCTCAAAGAAACTCAAGAGACCTGTTCCTGTCCTAGCACTTCGAGATTACATAGCGTTTAACAAGGTGCGAATTTTGATTCCAGGACCCTTGGGTTTCTGAGATCGTACTCGGGCCCGTTGGCCCTAGCTAAGAATGTTGCTAGAACTAATATCGGTACCCTCGGGACAGTTTCTCCTTCTAGCCCTTTATCTTTGGTTATCATGCTTTGACTTTGTTTCAGCCCGGCGAAAGACCCCTACCGCAGCAGCGAACCAAGACAATCCGCCATGGTACCACCCACCAGACTTCTATGTGACGGCCCAAGAATGGGATGACTTTATCAAGCCTCCTAAGGACCATAACTACCTCGAAGACCCCGTATGGTATATCTTCCACGGCGGATATATACTCCGCGACTTCTCTAGACAACAAGAAATGCTAGCTACGATACTAGCAAACTATACGGGCGATAATACGTGGCTAGATTTCCGGACGCAGTATTTTAAGATCATTGCGCCGTTGACAACGGAACGGTATCCTATCAACTCTGAGGTGGATGGATACCCGAATTATATGCAGAAGGAGTGCAGAGTCACCCGAAGGAAGCTGAAAAACTCTTATAAGGAGAAAATAGAGACACATTTGACTATCGATATCCACCTTGAATTATGGATTGCGGGGGGTCGATGGACACGTCTGCCGAGCGGGACGACCCTCGTAAAGGGGGTAGCAAATTAGACCCACCGGAATGGTTGTCTCGATTCCCAGGACAAAAACACTTTCCATTCCCAAGAGACTCTATATCAGTCCGCGGGATGTTAAAGGATCTTTTCAGTGCTACGCCTCAGATCGATAAAAAGACAGGAGAGGTTATGGTCGGAGTCTCTCAAGCCGAGTTCGCGAAAGATTGGGATATTATATTCCAAGTGATCCGGCAACTTGGAGCGTTCATGAAAAAAGTTCATGAGAAAATAGACGAAAGAGTTTTAAAACCGCTGTGGTCTGAAGGCCTAAACCCAACCGTTGATAGACGTCAACGCCAAACAAGGATATTCCAACGCGAAAAGATTGGCTACGAAGAATATTTTAACTTGAAATTCGGGGGTACGCTATCGCAAACAACGGACCGCGTCACTGACTCCGAATGGATTAATCCTGCCGCCCTCATGTACAGTTATCTAGAAAAAGGTGCGCCCGATCTATTAGTCACATATGGGAATATCATCAACATTGTTTATCGGGGTTTGCTTCCTTTAATTATGGACATGATGGCGGATATATCGGTCAAAGCAAATGATTTGGCAGTTGAACATGCAGAATGGCCTGAAGGGACACCCATACCAGAGCAATACATTGGAAAGTTACACCCCCTTCTTAGTTGGGGGTTTCCTAAGTTCGTCGAATTTTTTATAATAGGTGGGGTCATGAGGCAGTGGCCGGAGTGGACAGATTATCAGTATAGAGTCGAGCCGTGGCCATTAAAACAAGAGGAACTAGCGGATGGGGTACAGAAAATGGTGCTGGACAGTCGGATAGAGGAAGCGCTGAATTATTATAATCCATTCCCTTGGAGGGGTACGGTGCGGCAGTATACCGAGCAACGTAGCGGATCAACTGTGTTTCTGCCGTGAGTTCAAACATATTGAGAGTTAATATCAGATGGACATGATCATAGGTGTATAAATTTACAACTTAAGACCCGTACACATCCAAATGGAGTTCTGTTCCGTTTGATTTGACGTAATTGACCCATTATACGTTTAAGAAATGAACCGACAGGACTGATTGACGCAATTACTAAGCATTACGCTTTTAGCCCATCATATTATTTGCTTTCGTGTAACGGATGTGGTTTCGATCCCAGTAATTAGGATCTGTTCGTGCGTCTGGGGCCGGGCCTTCGATCTGTGATTTATTGGTACCAATCGACGCCCATGTTGACATGTTGTGGCTTGAGCCTGCGTTATAAAGTTCCACAGCCAGGGCTAATGCACGGTGAATTTAAGCTTATTCATGCGCAATGGCATCATATCGGCTGAGAGCATACGTTTTTGATCCTATGAAGCAAATGTTTGTAGATATATTTCCCCGCAGGCTTCCTTAGATCCTGCTTGAACGCAAACTATTTTCGCGCTATCCGGTGCAGGGCGATCGATCTCACACGTACACTTAGATCTTTGAACCGATCCGCGGTGCACGGTATATATCTAGATCGATGTTACTTCATTTTGTGTCACAATCCTATTATTGATACCGTCAGTGACTTGATAAATTGATGCATCGAAAACAAATTAATAGGGCGAGTTCTTATAAAATCAAAAGTCACCTTTCGCCCCAAAGTTTAATACCATGTCATGAATAAGGGCCAGCCAAAAAACCTTCGCTAAGGCCAGTACTAGCACGAATCGGGACCAAGCCCATCGACGGTCTCGTTAGCGAGTAAAAAAAGTGGGTTCCTGGCCGGGGTGGACCAGCAAGAAATCCGCGAGTCGACGGCCAGTTTTAGCAGCCTTTCGCAGGGGCAGAAAGTGAGCACATGGCCCAAACCGGGTTGGTCAACATGCATGACTTGGAATTTCGATATCCAGAGGAGTGTGCAGAGTACGTAGATCGACGAGGTATCCGTTGAAAGATACCGGCTAGGCTGCGTACCTCTACCCCTCCCCATGCCTTTGCATGCTTTTGAACAACGTAGAGCTTTTGCCCAGAGACCTCTTAGCCGGGTTGAATGTTACGACCATCGGTAATAGGGCGCAGGAATCGAACCAACCGACAGCTAGGAGCTGAGCTCTCACGAACCGATTCAAAATTAATGGGATCCTGCCGTTCTGCGAGAAGCCGATATCGATATCGACGGAGGTTTTGCAGCCCAAGAAGAAAGAAAGATAAACCCTATTTTCCATCCGCCGAGTCATCACCACGATCGATCTGTCCTGGATAGCTCCGAAGGTGAAACCACTAAAAGGCGGGTGTTTGGACCGAAAGCCATTGTTTCGAGGAGATTTGATTGTGCTATCGTTTGACCAGGCCGAAAAAGCGGTCAAGTCAAGTCAGGTCAGGCTCGTAACCTGTTTGGGCATCCAATCTTGGCTGCTTCTTCCATGTTCCAGTTGGATTTAACGACAATTCCAACTTTTGCCTCCTTTCTCTTAATTCTTTTCGATCGCAAATTTTCTTTTATCCTTTTCGAGACGTTCTCAACTGTTCATTAATCAGGAGGCCATCCCGACTTCTTATAGATCTAACTCGATCGACTTCATATATACCCGCCCTAACATTACCGTTTTTCTCGCCGGATGCAAATATTAAATGCGTTCTCCCCGACTGGTTGAGTATCCTTGACAGCTCGCTAGGAAAAAATCAAGTAGCGTCCCCTTCGCTAGCATCGAAAAAAATCCCCGCAGTTGACAGCCACCGAGTCGACTGTGGTGGCGGGTGTGTGTCTTCTTTGAACAGAAAATGATTCTGCGACCGAGGAATACGGATACTGGTTTTAATCCTTCGCCTACACAGCCAGGTTATCCGTCGCCGGCAATTCCATCTCCTTCTGAGACTACTGGTAATGAGGCGAATAGAGTAGCTCATGTTACGTCGGCTGTGATTGGCTGTATTTTGGGGGCTGCTCTAGCTGTATGTCTACAACCCTAATAATATCGGTGATCTATAATACTCTTGTGGATTTATCGACTATCATAGCTTCTATTTTGCTAATATAATCTTATATTTATTTAGGGAGCGATATTCGCCCTCGGTCTGGCGCTCTACCGATTCCGTCGTCGCCAAAAACTGCGAAGACGTCTCTTAGAAAGAATAACCGTCCAAATCGAATCGGAACATGTATCCGACGATCCACCTCTCGACGATGAAACCCGACAGAGATTAGTCGCCGAACGATTTCACGTTGTCGCGGAGAGATACTGGAGACAGCAAAGGAGACTCTATGCGAGAAACGGTCGGCGACCGACAAGACGAAGAGACGATTTGAGGGATATGGCTGGTGATCTATATCGGAATCAGACAAGCGGGGTCAATACAAACAGCGGGGCAAACAGCGAAACGAGAGAGTTAAGAGAACCGGAGTCCGTGTATCTGAGGTTTGGGGGGACGAATTATATGCCGATATACTCGTTTTTGGGAAGTGGAAGAGATAGAGAAAGAGAAGGGGGGTGATAATCATGATAATGACACGTATAAACTGTCTTCAGAGTTCAATTGCATCAACTACGGCATTCTATTTGATTATAGGTAATCAATAGTTTCTTTTTGGTTTTTCGAATCGTGGGACAATGGCTTGGCCTCGAATATCCGGTTTCTCAAGACTTTGGCGATCAAGTTCTTTTTGATACAATTGGGCTATTCTATATATTCTATTTGGCGTTTGTTTCATTATATATTACCTATTGGCTTACCTACTTCGAACGTTTTTCTTTAGAGTCTCGAACTTCTCGTTTCCTGTCTCGTTTACATGGCATTGACCTTGTCGGCTTCATGTTTATAATGGCTCTCCTTCGTACTTTTTTCTGCTATAAAGAAGCGATAGTTACATAGTGTATGGAACCTTGCATGATAAAGGCAACAGACTGATAATAATGCAATGACGCCGGCCATGAAAATTTTGATCCTTTCCCCTCCTCCTCCTTCCATTTCGCGGATAGGATTTATTGCTCGCTAGGCATATGTGCATGAGGCGAGCGCCTGGAAAACGCATATTTATTGCTGGAATGCAAGGGATTACTGCATTCCGTTCCACAAATAAAAAAATGAAAGTGTAAAAAATGTAAGGAAAAATCTGGAATAAACCCCGCTTCCCAAACGCCTCGATAATGCATTTTTAGAAAGGAAAAAAAGAAGAAGAAGAAGAAGGAGAGAAGAAATATATATGGGCTTCTTTGGGAACCTCGTGGTGGGATGTATTTTAAGTGGCAGCTGGGTTGGTGAGAACAATGTCTTCCATACTGTTTCCTTTCGCGGTCTCCTTCTCCGCTTTTACTTTCACTTCTTTCTCCTTCTCAACCTTTTCCGTTTCTTCTGTCTCCTTCTTTGCCCTTTCCTTCTCCTCTTTCTCCTTCTCCAGCTTAATCTCGTCGGGTAACTTTGTAATCTTTGATGTAACGACAACCCTGCGCGCTTCCTTGATCTCAACGTGAAAGGTAAACGAGTGGATTGTCATGTTCTTCAAAGGTTCAAACCTCATTACCTGTACCTCTTCCAATTCTGGCATCTCACCATCTAAGATCCATCGCCTGACTAGAAATTTGGTGTTCTTGAGTATACTGTCACGGAGGTCAATATCATTCCGACCATAACGAACACCATGTGAGTATGTGAGTTCGACGAATTTTGCGCGGGAAAAATATCTCCAATCGGCGTATTTTTCCTAAAAAAACCGAACACCATCTTAGAGATTGATCAAGCTGGGTTGAAGGATATAGGGAACTTAGCTAACCATAAGTGTTGCCAAATCCGCGCCTGCCCAAAGAATCCCACAGGAAGGTGCAGTAAGAATCAGTCTCTCGGTATTAGGGAACTTCTTGGACAAATCTTTTGCACAATTTCTATCATATTGCTCTTGCCTCGCGTATAGAGTCGTGACATTTGGGCATGGTTTTAGACTGAAATGATTGTACCAGGCCCCGAGATAGGCTTTAGCTGTAGTGACGGTGTCTGAGTTGGCATCGAAGACCTTCATAGGATCGAACGCTAAAGTTTGACCCGTATATCTGAATTCTAGATTTACAGTAGTCAAACCGGTTGGGTAGGAGATGGTGCTGTGAGATGGGTCCTTGTTTACAGTGCTGTTGAGAGCACTCCAGCGGTACATTACATTGATGTTGATAGTCTTAAGCCTCTTCGGCTGGTATTTTGAGAGGGTGTTGATTATAGTGACAAAGTAGTCTGAAGCGGCAGGCTCGTATTCAATGGTGAATTCTTGAAGGCCTGGGAAATAGTTTCTGGGGAATCGAGTCACCAGACGCTTGGCGACGCCAGAGAATCGACTTCTATTTGGTGCAGATTGCTTGCGAATGGCAAGGTGTCTGTATCATTCTTTGGTTAAGATAGGATATCCGACATGAACGCTTTCAATGGGAAATGTAAGCAAGTTAAGTACCTGACAGCAAGTCGCAAGTCTTCATGCTCATCCAATTGGTCGAAATTCTTAATATACGTTTCGACAGGCTGGGTTTCCCACATAATCCTCAAGGATAGTTCTCGGAAATGATTCGAAAGTAATGAGAAGGCGGATAAGGTTTTCGAGTCACAAAATCCCATGATCCTGAGCTGAAGCTCCGACGGGAGCTCGGTGAAAGGATGGATCGCATCTTTACGAGGTCGTAGAGTTCTGAGACGTTTCTTGGACGCTTTGGGAGAATCGAATGGGTCGGTCATAGTTGCCTTACGTTTTCTAGTTGACGGGGCCATATTTTTATAATGGTACAGGATATATGTATATGTGTGCAAGCAAGGGATATTAGGGATGGAAGGAAGTCAGATGGATATGGGTTGCATTGAAGAGACGATGGAACGGATTTAAGTTAGATTTGGAGATGAAAAAGGAAATGAAAGGCGTGATGAGGGCGAGTTGTCTTTATAAACCTTCGAGTACACATCGGACTTGCAGCGGATTAATACGTATTATTATCTGCAGGCCTCCGTGTAGCTGGTCATACCGTATTAACATGTATTGTGCATTGATACCTTTGGCTTTCGGCGCTGTACCAATTCAGCCTCGACTTTGCCAATAATGCCAAGAATACAACCGATTGGACAAAGAAGGGCCCACCGACAAGGGTTTGAAGAGTCACACAAACTTGATGAGTAAGAACAAGGTCGCCGGCACAGGTTTCCTGTGATTCGAACAAAGGAAGCTTCCGAGTATTGTCAATGTTGCATCGCGGACCCGATCTAGCTCGCCTGATCAGGTGGATTCGTGAATCATTCGGGTGGAACATATGGCCGCGCTGTTTTGCGAAGTTAGCACACACCTTCTCATGTTCACCACTTCAAATTTCATAGGTATCCTGCATGATGGAATGCGGATCTGAATAACGTCAAACTAGCAAACGAGAAGTTAAACCACGAACGAACTAAAAATTTCTCAGGCTATAGCTATCGACCCAAGTTAATGAATAATACTGGTACCGAGATCTTTGCATTTGTTTAGACCCGAATTTCCCAGAAAAAGAAAAAGCCTCTAAGAAGTTTCGATATCTGCTGCCGAGGGTGGAAGGGAACAAACGACTGGTGGGTTTTCTACTTTTATCTTAAGTTTTAGTCAATACACAGGCTATATAACCTTTATTCATAAGGAAATTAGAGCGACGAAACTTATCTCCACCTAGATGACATCTTATCATTCTCACCACTTTCAAATTGTGGTTTGTAAATCCACACCACACGAGTTTGGCTAAATCAATTATTCCTCGAGGGCTCACTTTCCATTCTTCTGCTAGTTTCTTGTTTCTCGCGGAATAATTACCTCGGAAATCGCAATCAGGTACTATATACCGGCATGTCCGTGAAAACGTGAGCTCTGCGGGCGTGGTTACCAGTACGCCTGAATTGACACTCTTTTGTTGGAAATTGACAACTTTTTGTGTTGCGAGCAGCTGACGGCGGGGCGTCGACGCGATGGCGATGTCAATGCAGTCTTCGACTGCCAAAAATATATATTGTCAAATATGTAATTGTAAACTGAACTTTCTACTATAGAATGGTCTAAGACCAGGGCCCTAATCCGCTTATTTATTGTGATATTGTCATAATTGAAATTGGTATCGGTGTTAACGTTAGGGAATCCGGAATCGGAATATATATAGAATATCCTCGTATGATTTATTTAATTTGGATAAAAGGAGAAGATTTAACTTTACAGTATCACATATAGAACATATTCCTTCTTTCTAGAAAATCGGTATATATATCGAGATATCTTATTTTTGGATGCGCATACATATATGTCCTGAATCATCAAAATACTGACTCGCCTGGTCTTGTTCTCAGACGTCACAAAGGGAGGCATGACTCGCCCATATGTTGACTAAATACCTGCCTCTCAAATATTATGCCGCAAATCCAAACCACTTCATATCTTCACCACCTTGGGTAAAAACTGGATGGCCAACATTTAGAGCCCAGATTCCCTGAAGTTTATCACCCAAGACGTATTTCGTCCAACCCTGGACCGGGTTGTTCGTAAGGACCTCGTCAGGAGTGGTGTCATAGCCAAATACTGGTGCCCAAGCCGCAAGAGTCGTATTAAAGGCAGCAGAACCAATAACAGTATCTTTAGAGCCCAAATATAGCTGTACTTTCGGGTAAGTTCCAGTATACCCTGGGTACATACTCTTAATTTTACCTCTAGAACCTGCCGAGTAGATGATTGCTGCTTTGAAGATATCGGGATAAGTTCCGGCCAGTGTGTTCTAAAAGTTTACAAATTAGACACTAGGATGTCCAAGGGGGTTGCAGAGGGATACTTGCCGTCATGGCGCCGCCAGAGGAGAGTCCAGATACAAACACTTTATTTGTGTCGGCGCCATAGGTTGCAATGGCGTATTTCACCATGTTTGCAATCGACTGGCTATCGCCACCACCATCATGCAAAATAGACTTTGCCGAAGTAGCGTCCCAAGGACCGGGTGGTGATTCGGGGTAAATGGTAATGAAACCATATTGCTCACCAAGAGTGGCGTAAGGCGTATCTTGGAATTGCTGCTGGGCATTTCCAGATGCACCATGCAGCGAAACAATGATTCCTGGAGACCAAATGACTGCGCCAGGAACGTAGATGAACATTCCGAGCCCAGTAGGGTTGTTTCCGAAGTTGGTGACTTGGGTTAAGGCAGCGCGAGCAGCGAGTGCTGTCGCTGCAGCTGAAGAAAGACCAGAAAGAAGGCTGGCTATCGTCAAGATGTGAAACTTCATTGCGTGTATATATAGAAATTTTGTTATCAGGAATAGAGGGTGTAGTTAATGAAGTACGAGTATCCTCACAGAGAATTCTTGGGCGAAGTTTGAATCAAGATCGAATAATTATCTATATTGTAGCTGACCTCGTCAATCGTTTTATCAATGGTTTTATATCACTCTATATCACCCAGTCACATGACTGCCATGGGACAGTTTTGAACGTTCCATCCCCGCAGACTATAAAACACTCCTATATCATTAAGGGTTCGCCTAAAATAAGGTTACTAGCATACCCCGCACAATGTCCCAGCTTTCTGCCGTCACCTGGTTATGGAGACCCCGCTGGTATGGTCTTCGGATCCTAGGAACTCTACCATTTTAGTTCTTCCCGCGGCATCTATACTCTTATTAGAATATCCGGGCTTCTGTATCCGGGCCCACATTGTGTGGCGTATTATATTCCCCACAATTTGTTTCGTCAACGTAATCAAATTCAAACTGCGACGACTGAACTTGCCTTCCGCAACCAATACAATTTTTGTCGTCTCGCACGGTGCTTGTTACAAATTAAATATGCGTTACCTCGATATCTGGCGAGACTGAACTAATGCAATATTAGTCTCGTAGCTGGGTGGACACCTGTACACCAAATCAATGATATTCTTTTGAGGGCCGCTTGGAAATTTCTCAGATTTCAGTTACACACCCAAGCGCTCTTTACTAGCCCCTCGGCTTTCATTCATGGTGAGTAATTAAGTGTAGCGATTTTAGTATCATGTGATTGTGGATGATTTGGTTCCGTATTATCTCTCACTCGATAAAAAATATTAAATTCAAGTTTCTATTACAAAAGATTCGAAGATAACTAGACAGAATTCAGCTGCTTAAGATATCTTTGAGATTAATCCCCCACGAACTATCTTCCCAAAAATCCACATGACATAATAAAGCCGTTCTAACAGCTAAAACCCACCAAATCCCGTTTCAATAACCCGTTATAACATTGATAGCCCATTTTTTACAAATGATATCTGAAGGACTTGTTCTGCCGATCCGTCAGGTCCTCCAATCCGTGAGCAATATCAGGAGTGCCGTATTTGATATCGCGTCGTTTATTTTCCTTTACTAAAATCAATCGGAGTAATTCTGAACAGATGAAACAGAGTACGAAGCAGATCATAATGCCGATGAAGCTACGATCGTAACGCGGGGCATATGAACTATAAATTTTGTTCTCATTAGTATATTTCTTACAAAACAAATGATCCGAAAAAATATTTTTTTCTATGGCAGGCTTGAAAATCACTTACGCATCAAACATCAACGGTCCAATGATGTTACCGAGGGAGTAAGCAATGAATGTGACGGCGGCGTAGACAGCCTTTTTTGTGTGCCCAGCGACGTTAGAGGTACCAAGGCCGATGCACTGCGTCCAAGCCGACGAGAAGAAATTAATGAGATAATATCCGACGATGCGCCCGGCCCGGTTTGATGAGGGGAGCTGCCACCTAATATGGAATAATAGATAAGAGTTAGTAAGACATCTTACCTACCACAATATAATATGGGCATTAGAGTGAGAAACTTACAGCAAAGCGCACCCTAGAATGACGGGCAGACATGCAACCGAGATGATATGAAACCGTGCATTTGGAATGTGCCTCCCCAAGTAGCCAGAACCGAGGATACATATAAATGCCAGTGCGCCAATAGGTAGATTGAGAAGTAAGGACTGAAAAACCGTGAAACCCATGCCGTTGAAGACAATGGGGGCAAATGCAGTGATGGCGCCCGAAGCAGTGCAAGAAGAGATGGACAGTATAGAAATACCCCAGAGCTGATAGTCTTTGAGAGCTTCAATCATCTGATCTTTCTTGAAAGTTTTGTTCTCCGCGCCGGCATTATTGCCACGCACACGCTCTAGAAGGAGAACTCGCTCTTCCTCAGTGAAACCTTTGGCGAATTGCGGCGTGTCTGGAAATAGCCACCAAAGTGCTACCCCCCAAAAGGCGGTGACTCCTCCCGCAATAAAGTACATATACTGCCACGGTTGCAGAGAGCCACCGGTAATATGTCCGAGACCGTAGTTAATGAGTGGCGATACAAGGAGAGAACCGCCGCTGAAGGAGTACCACCAGCTGGATCGGGAAACTTGTTCTTCATGTTTATACCAGAGACCAACGACGAGCATGAATATCGGAGATACACCTGCTTCGATAAGACCGAGCATAAAGCGATTGGCGAGGAAACCTTCGTATGTCGTGCAGGCTGGTGTCGCTAGGACTACGACCGACCAAGCCAGTGTGATGGCAGTAATAACGATACGGGTTGGATATTTCTGGGCCAGTAAGGATATGGGATATGTGCCGACTATGTATCCAAAGTAGAAGATTAAAGAGGCCCATGAATATCTCAAGCCACTCTCCAAATGTAGGTCCTTTCGAAGCCCAAATATGGCCGCTTGGCTGAGAAGAGCCTTATCGTAAAATTGGAGCGCATACGTAAAGCACAACTACCATAGATCCGTTAGAAACTACTGCCATACTTGAAATAGAGCGATGAGAAGTACCACTTACCACTGGCATAACACGTCGATCAATGCGCTTGAGGAGCCGCTGATTGGTTTTCTCATCTATAACAACCCCAGTGGTATTGGATACAGTTGATGCATTCTCTGCTTCAACCCAGACTCCCTTGCCAGAGACCGGGGTCGTCGCACGGGTTTTTTCAGGGGCGACTTCCATGTCTTTTCCTTCGACCACGCTCATTGTATACCCAATTAGATAGTCTCAATGATTAGACATGCACACATGCGTTGCCGACTCGTATAAAAAGCTTAAACGGAGAAAAAAAAATTGCTGTCCCATGGAAACATCCATTTCGAATCTGAAGGATGAAAACCAGCAGTTTAAGTATGGCGACTGTCGCACATAGCGAGGCCAACTAGCCGAGCTTAGGCTAATGATTCTGCCCCATGCTTCCGGGGTCCGGGGTACAGCTGTGGGGTACGCTCAAGCCCTCATCTGGATCGATTTCCATTTCAAGCTTATCCGCGGGAGCTAGACCTGGAGAGGAATATCCGACGGGGAGCACTGTGTCCTGGTTCCGACAATTTGATTAATTCGCCGGTTGCGTCTGCGTGATCTTAACTTCTTGGTTAACGGTGGTATCGCTATTTTAGACTGTCAAAGCAACACTGCGCGACAAAAAACTTAAGCTAAGGGTGCCTTATCGCATTAAATCATATTTTTTCTCATATCGATATATCCCGAAACCCCCCCTCGTGCAATAATCTGACTGCATTAAAGGTTACGTCTACGAGGTTTAAACTGCGGTTACCAATGAGAGGGCATCTACGGCAGTTGTTTACGGCTTCGAAGCGCATATCGTTCGCAGCATCTCTACCGCGGATGAAAAATTCGGGAAATGCAAAGCTTATTTATGCTGCTACAGGGACTTTGTTTGGAGCAGCAACCGGAATTGCTAGTCTGAAGAACTGGCCAGATCAAAATCAGCCTTGGGCACTTACACAAGCTGCGATACCCCGCGCGAGGTTCTATGCTGATGAGGTCACAACTTTGAAGGTGAGATTGAACCCTACGATTAATTACTTGTTTTTCAATATGCATATGTACAGTTTACGGCTAAAATGTGTTTGATTTGTATCTTAGGGCCTAGAAGAAATACGTCGAGAGATTGGCGACGACGCTGTTAGTACTGACGGCGACGATTTGGAGGAACATGGTCATTCGGAATGGTCCACCTCAAACACGGCTGTAAGGGCTAAGGCCATCGTTAGGCCTTCAAGTACACAGCAGGTATCTGCAATTGCCAAAATTTGCTCCAAATATAAGATTCCAATGGTGCCGTACGGAGCAGGCTCAAGTGTTGAGGGCAATTTTTCCTCTCCCCATTCGGGGATTTGTATCGATATGTCCCAAATGGATAAAGTTATCGAATTCCACCCGGACGACCTAGATGTGGTGGTTCAGGCGGGCGTCAACTGGACCGCTTTGAATGAACAGATCAAAGATAGTGGTCTCTTCCTCCCGTTAGACCCTAGTCCCACAGCGCAAATTGGGGGTATGGTAGCGACAAACTGCAGCGGAACGAATGCTATGAGATATGGTACAATGAAGGACTATGTGCTCAGCTTAACGGTTGTGTTAGCCGATGGGTCAGTTATAAAGACAAGACACAGACCCCGAAAAACATCGGCTGGCTATAATTTAACAGCCCTATTCACAGGATCCGAGGGAACACTTGGGATCATCACAGAAGCAACGCTAAAGTTAGCGATCATCCCGCCTAGACAAAGTGTAGCCACTGCTTCATTCGCTACAGTAAAGGATGCTACAACAGCGGCATCTAAAATGATTCGGGAAGGGGTAAACCTTGCTGCATTAGAGTTGATGGATGACCTACAGATGAAAGTTGTCAACCTAAGTGGAGGAGCTGATGGAAGAAAATGGGAAGAATCGCCGACCTTGTTCCTCAAGTAAGAACCCAAGTCTTCACTTTTTTTTACAGACCCCAAAATTAAGTCTAAATAAAACTCATGACAGGTTCTCCGGAACGGATCGAGTTATTAAAGACAGCATCGACTCAGCGAAGCGGGTGGCTAGATCTTCCGGTTGCCAATCTTTTGAGTCCGCTACGAGCGAAGAATCCATGGCATCTCTTTGGTCCGCCAGAAAGCAGGCACTATGGGCATGTCTCGCAACGCGACCGGAGGGTACCGAAATATGGTCTACGGATGTCGCTGTGCCAATTTCACGAATGGCTGACCTGATAGGTATGCAGCCCTATTCATCCATATATTGTGGCCAGGTCACCTGTACTGAAAAAGAGTACTACAGACGAATGCAAGAAGGAATCCGCAAAACTTGGCTTATTCTCAAGTGTGCTTGGTCACGTCGGCGATGGTAATTTCCATCAAATGATTATGTACAACCCCAATGATCCAGAAGAAACACTGAATGTCAAGGAATTCGTCGATGGCATGATGCAAAAAGCGGTGCGTATGGAGGGCACTGTTTCGGTAGGGGTACACTTCCCAGATCACAAACTACAGGATCTCTAAAATTTTCATAGGGCGAACACGGCATCGGACTTGGGAAGAAGGTAAAAATACCAAATCTTTACAAAAACACTGTTCCTGATGTTATTGAAAGCTAACATCATATTTAGCATTGTCTTGTGAAAGAACTCGGGCCGGAAACAATCGGAGTGATGAAAGCTTTCAAGCTCAGTGTGGATCCGCAGTAAGCCCACCCGACATAGTATATATCGTACGTGAATTTTACTAACACCGCCCCGCAACCAGTTGGCTTCTAAATCCAGGAAAAATATTTGATGAATAGAATGAGGGGATGTAGTGTATCTATGTATTATAAATACCCAGTGGCATAGGTTTATCTTAAAAGTGTAGTTTCTGAGATAAGAGGTATTCGGTTTATGTATGTATAAGTTGCGAAGGGAAAAGAAAGAACGAATAACATAAAGCAGTGAAGATTTATGACATCTCTAAATTTTCAAAACACTTCTCGTAAACCCGATTGAGGTCAATGTTAAGACGTTCCTTTTTGTCCTCCCCGCTCTTGCTTTGTATTTATCTCGGCCTGGCTCGCCTGTTTGTTAGAGGTCTAGAGATGGGGGCGTCTAGGTATCTCAATTGGTATATATGTGACACATGTGATTGAGATTGTAGCTAGCGAGAACAGGCCGGGCGCAACATGCTAACATATAATCTACAGCGCATGCTCCCCGATAATTTGATACCCCAGATCTGGAGCATACCTAGTATGTACCCCACAGTTGTGCGAAATTAAACTAAGGAGCTAACTTGGGTCGGTTACGTCTAGTTTTGTGCGTCCCGTGTTACACTTGTAGCGGATTTTCTCCATGGAAGCATTCCGGTCTTTTTAAAGGCACCCTAGCCCCCAAGCATCCATCCGACATCCGCCCAGAACCAGAACCATAATACCAGCTAACTTAACTTACTAAGAATAATATAGCTCGAATGGCAACTCCTGATGGCTCGAAGGCGGGGCGGTCGCTCCAGTTTTTGCCAGTCAACCAATTAGGTTCTCCGCCCGAGGTAAAGCGCCGTAGGGCCTACCAGTCATGCGAGCCATGTCGCAGGCGCAAGTCGCGCTGCGTGCCGGAAAAAGCAGGTCAACGACAACCCTGCAAGAGGTGCGTTGCCGAAAACCAACAGTGCGACTTCAGAGACACAAGAAGTGTCCAGCGCAGGACTGGGCGCGCACAAGGCGGTCGCTCTGAGGATGCTGGCACTTCATCAGCTTCTAGCTTGCCGGCACCTGTTTCGCATGAAGTTGGTGTGCCTCAGGGCAATGTGGACGTCGAAGTCAACTCCGCGCCTTGTAGCAATTGGTTTGACTTAACAGGGAATTCAAATTCAAACCCAGGCTCGGATCCGGACATACATATCCCGGTGCCAACGCCGATGCAGAAGCAACAGCTATTAGTGGGCTCTCAGGACCCGGATACAGCGTCAAATCATTCGTCGCCTTCAACCAATCCAACGGCTCGTAGCAGGATTATCTCTGCGCAACTACATAATACTGCTGATGCTCTTGACCTGCTGACTTTTACGGCCGCTGGAGAGCGAGAGAATCCTCACGATGGGTCTTCCAGGATCGGAGCAACGCCATCAGCGAACTCTTCTGACGGATTGGGTTTACGAGGTGGTGCCAGTTGGGATTGGGAAAAATTCGTTCTAATCAAAAAAGGAGTCATCACTAAGAGTGAGGTCATAGAGTATCTGGACCATTATTTCGCTGTCATGTGGCCGTTACGCCCAGTGGTTCATCCGTTATACAGGGACAAGAATCAATATACCCAGTTGCTTACCGAAGAGCCTCTACTTTCAATTAGCCTCATCACAGTATCTTCTCGATACCATCCCCTCTCAGGCTCTCATGGCGAGATAAGATCCGAACGTATTCATTGGCAATCTTGGAAATTTCTTCGGAAGCACATTCAATCTGCGCTCTGGGGGTCCCCATACACTCGGTCACCAGGTGCCATTGCTGCTATGTTATTGATGATCGAGTGGCACAGTAAATCCATTAACAATCCCGTTGAGTTCTCTAAAGAGGAGGATCATGATATCCTCAGCAGCCAAATCCAACGTCAGGCGATTTCCAACACACAATCAGGCCAATTAACCTCATTGACGAGTCAGCAAAGATACGGGATGACCAACCTTTTGGAAAGTTTGAACATAGTTGCGCCAGCATACCGCAGTAACAAGATGTCATGGTTAGTCCTAGTCGCAATACTTTTTTTAATTTCCTTAATACTAGAATCCTCATAATTCCCAAGATCCCCAACTCCTACGATACTAATTAGGAGGGTTTAGGATGCTTCTGTCTACAGCAATTGCCTTGGCGCATGAAGGTTGCTGCTTTGATCATGAGTCTCAAGGCCCGGGTTTCCAAGCCTCAGAAAACGAACTACATAAACAGCAGTGGAATCAACTGCTATGTGTCTTCCTATACCTCACAGATGAGAACCTCGCGATGCGTCTAGGGCTAAACCCTCTTCTACCAGAAAAGTCGAGTGATACCGTCCAGAATCGATATTCAACAACTTTTGCCAGCATACTCCCGGACACTGCGATTTGGGAGAGCTATTTTGACCTTTCAACCGAAACAAGAAAGGCCAGGTCTCTACTTCAATCTTTGAAAAAAGGTGGCCTTACTTTTGCCAGTGTGAATATACTCCCTGAACTAGCACATATCGAAAGAGCTCTGGCTCGTTGGAAGCGACAACATGCATGTTTAAACTCAAGTATGGTTTTTTCTAGCTTAAGTAAGTTTATGAGAGTTATACATACTGAATGGGGATACAATAGGCGAAACAGCGCTTCTCGGTGCTTGCTTAGACATCGAGTATCACTACTCCGTTATGTACAGTTTTGCTCCCGCAAGTAATGTACTTCACCATGTCTCGACGGAGTCAACTGAAGGGAAGGCAAACGACGTAGAAGTTGCGGCCTTGATAAAACTAGCAGATCAGGCAACCCAAGCGAGCCAACAAATATTATCAATCGTCGTCAACGTTCTCCAGCCTTCCCAATTGATGAGATATCTTCCTGTTCGATGCTGGGTTTTCATTGTTGCCGCTAATATCCATTTACTAAAGGTTAAATCATTATCCTTCGTTGAAAATACGTCTCCTGTCACTCATCAACTGATAAATAGTATGCAAATAGAGTGTTTTGACTGGAAATCCTGATGTTACCGAGGCTGATGAGAACATGCAGCTCATTCGAGCATCGATCATAGCCATCCGCAATGGGTCTCCCGATGACACACACATGGCAGTTCGTTATGCGCAATTCCTTGAAATCCTCCTAGATGCTTCGCTGCGCTCCTCTAAAGCGCAAAGCCCAGCTGGAGAAAACATAGGCCCGGACGCTGCAGCCGCTACAGGAACAGAGAACGTGGATTGGGGTTACTACACGACGTCAATATCAGCGATAGATAGCTTGGCAACCTTCAATCTTTCAAGTGGAATAGGGCCTCAGATGGATTCTCTTCTGTGGTGGGATGGTGCCTTTGGATTGACTGGAAATACGGGATTCTATTAATTGTCGGACGAATTTCTTGCACCGTTTTCTCTGTCAAGGATATCATCGATAGCCCAAGCATCAGTGATAGTTATTTCGCTTAGAAATCTCGAAACCATATGTATTAAATTATGTGGTTCGCTTTACCCATGAAGCGGGATTGAAAAATCTCGTTAGTCTTCCGCCCCAGCTTGCCAAGCCCCTTCATTGTTGTATTTCCAAATTAGGCAGTTCCGACGAACCGGCAATCGGATAGATCGAGATAGGAAAAGACGACGGGTGCAACACATTTACATTTGCTTGGGCTCACCCTGGACCTGTGAGGCTTCAAAATCCCACGAACATGTCGATTCCTTTTATTGGTAGTGTCGTCTTTTTTTCTAGCTTTCACTTTCATCATGGTTACTAGCATGACTACTTCATGGATGCACATATCTGTCGATTCACCCTTTTCTATTCATAATATCCCTTTCGGTGTCATCTCTTCTGAGGATAACCCTACGCATAGGCCTGGTGTCGTTATTGGTGATTATGTACTAGATCTAGCTATTTTCACCGCTAACAGCGGCTTTTCCAACCTCGCATGTATACAATCTCATTTAAATGTATTTGCGCAAAAGACTTTGAACGACTTTGCTGCCCTCGGCCGCCCCATTCACAGAGAAGTCAGAAATTACCTTCGTTTGGTCTTCCAGCATAACGGCCCCTACGCCTCCGTCTTGGAAACAAACGCAACTTTACAGATACTAGCTCTCCTTCCGTTGTCTACTATCCAGAACCATCTCCCTTTACAAATTGGGGATTACACGGATTTCTACGCTGGTCTGAATCACGCATACAACGTTGGTGTGCTTTTTCGTGGCAAAGACAATGCTTTGCAGCCTAATTACAAGCACATTCCAATAGGATATCATGGTCGCGCTTCTTCTGTTGTTGTGTCCGGTACCCCAATACACCGACCAAATGGTCAGATTCTTCCTGATTCAGTCCTCACTCCGAAAGTTCCCACCTTCGGCCCATGCAAGAAACTGGATATTGAGCTTGAGCTCGCGGCATTTGTTTGCATCCCTACCACGCTTGGGCAGCCAGTACCTGCAAGTTCAGCCGAGGAATATATATTTGGATTCACTTTAATGAATGATTGGAGTGCGCGGGATATTCAAGCATGGGAATATGTGCCACTTGGGCCCTTCACATCGAAAAATTTCGGCACGACCATAAGTCCATGGGTTGTTCTGGTCGATGCCCTAGAGCCGTTTCGGGCACCGAGTTCCCTTTCCACCTCAATAGAGACTTTATTACCTTATTTACACCAGCCAAATCCGAACACGATGTTTGACATCAGCTTGACGGTCGAGCTACGCCCATCTGGCTTGAGTGAGAAATATACAATTGCAAAAGCAAACTCTCGAGATCTTCTATTCTCTTTCGCTCAAATGCTCGCTCATCATACTGTGACAGGTTGCAATATGAGAACGGGAGATTTACTCGGAAGCGGTACGATTTCTGGTCGTGAACCTGGAACTTTGGGAAGCCTCCTGGAAGCCACCAAAAACGGAAAGGAGCCATTAGCGTTAGGAGAGGGGTTGAAGCGAACCTTTTTGGAAGATGGAGACGAGGTGATCATTTCCGGCCGTGCTGGAGTTCTGGGACGCTACATTGGGTTTGGAGAATGTAATGGTATTATCTTGCCAGCACCCAGCGTATAGTTGGTCATACGGAAGTCACTGCTGGTAGATCACAATTCTAAACTCTGAATATAATCTTCTCTCTATATCATCTCACTAGCTCGAATTGTGTAGCATTGTTCATATTCTGAAATCTTATCAGGAAACATAGAGAATAGATTTAACCATTCAACTTTATTAAAAGGTTTTTACACGCTTATAACCCGGCTATACTTTGAAACCATTAAGACGCTATTACCTGTCAAGTAGATTTACAAATTAATATTTTCTGGACACAAAGATGCAGATTATGAAACCACTTCTACAGTTGGTCCCCCCAAATGTCAATTTACATTACATAGTTCAAGCCGTAACAATCCTGTGCACCATAAGTATTTATAGTGTCGCCGTACTTTGACACGAATCCGATCTAAATGTGCTAGGCAAATTGGTATTCCCTTCGAGCCATTTAGCTTGTAGAAATTAGTTCTTTTTTTTGGCCAAATTCGAATATGGAAAGTCCGGATAACACAGGAAAGGTAAGCTTCAAGCTCACAGAAAGTGGGAGAGTACTAACTGGGCCCTTGTTTTCCTGGGAATATGTATTCCGTAATTGAGTATGCAGACTGAAACCCCTTAAAACGATCACAATTTCTTGCCGGTGCTGGTAAAAGTCCATTGAATTTATGTTCACGCCACCGCTATCTCAGTGATGCATCGATGCTTGATACAAATATGATATGGGTAGGATTGTCACGCGGGACCTAAATGACGAGAAATGAAATCAAAGACATTAACCCCAATTTGGTGAAGCTGACGGCAGGTCCCTAGAGTCTTAACTTCAGGAGGCTGGCTCGAGATACTCTTCCTCAAACCTGTTCCAGGGCGACATGTAATAGTATAAAAATACAAGTTACGCCTGTTCTTGGGCCTAAGCTAGTATGTTATTATCAATCAGTTTACAAACCTCCACTCTCATTCTCTTGAAATTTGCTTCGTCTTTTGATCTGTGATCAGTTACACTCTTTTCAGTTTATATTCATTCATTCATTCATTCACTCATTTGTTCGTTCTAATCGCTCAGGATGCGCGTTTCTTTGACTCTCCTGGCTAGTGCTAGCGTCGTGTCCGCATGGACAGAGCTTCTCCATAAGACAATAATGCACAAAAATATCGACGCGATAGTTAGTCCGGGTGCCTACACTTCGCACATGCACACTTTTTTCGGCAGCGACGCCATCACTAATGTTATGCCTACGACGGAGGACTTGCAGCAGGGCTGCTATAGCGGTTCGAATCCGAACGACTTCTCTGCCTATTGTATTTATATTCGTTCTTCCCTCACCTTAATTACTCTCTGTCGACACTTTTAGCTCACTAGATCTTATAGGGATCCCTACACTCTACCACGTTGATGGTGACAAGTTCACTGAAGTGACTCTTTTCACCTTCGGCACATACTACACCACCGCCTACGCCGAGATCCCTATCCCGAAAAACTTCTCAATGATCTCCGGCAAAGCATCCGCTAAAACCCAAGCAGAGGCCGACCATCCTGAGAATGGCTTACAATGGTACTGCGAGGAGTCCCCCGGAGTACTGGAACCGGATGCCGCCAAAATGCCCACGAAAGCCTGCCAGCAGCATCTTCGGTTCTCACTGTTGTTCCCCAACTGTGTAGACCCAAACAATATTTCTGCCTATGGCTTTAGCGATTCTGCTACAAACAATTGTCCCGAAGGGATGAAGCGAATGCCCCAACTCCGGTACTCCGCCCGTTATGACACCAAGAAGGCCGCACCTAATGGCTGGAATGGTCCCGCACCATTTCAACTTTCCTGTAGTGACACCCCGGGAGATGGCTATTGTTTTCATGGCGACTTCATCAACGGCTGGTACGAAGATGCCGCCTTGGACATGCTCATTGGTGATGGCAACGGCCGTGATGATGGTCGCTTCATCTCAGGCTCACACGGTACCTCTGCCATAGCGGATAATTGTAATCCTACCGATCAGGACCCTGATAATGGGACTAGCGATTATTTGACTAGTCTTGAGATGAAAGCAAATGGTGGAATTGCCGCTCTAGATCCTGTGGTCTCTACTCCCTCCATTACATCTAGTACGATGTCGACTTCGGTGACTGCACCATTGGCGACCGAGACCGGACAAAAGCGAAGAATTGGCCAAAAATCGAAGAACTCTGCCAAGCTACGTCAGAGGCTCTACGCTGACTCCTTGTAAGCTATAAGGAATACGAAACTATGTGGGGGGTATTCTTGAGGAATCGATTGCTTGAGCACCAACCATCTACCTGCAATTCAAGCTGAGGTCCTGGGAATGCCCGTGCGAACGAAGTCAATACCTCTAAAACCCTGATCAGCAGTGCCTTATTTTTTTTCTCAATATATCTATCTTTCATGTCTACTTAAATTTAATACTATTATATCTACTCTAACTTTCCCCAAGAAGCTTGCTGTGGCATGTGGGGAAATATTCGACTCTAAAACCCAACAAGACGATGTAATATTTTCCTACATGACTAATATCTGATTTTATATCTACTTCCTTTGCTTCCTACCTAAGAGGTAAGCACTTAAACAAGTCGGTACCTAGTAATCACTTTTCAGTCTTGTATTAAAACGCTTCAGCACACTGTACTCACTTTCTAGGTAGTACTCAACGATTTAGCTATTTAATTTAGTACCGAATTAGGAAGTAGTTCGATACATCCTGACCAAGACCCTCTATCGCCGTGGAGATGTTGCTAGGGGAGAATAGTTTAGATAGTCTGCTGTGGTAGTTGACTGGAGGCGCTCGAGGCCCAGCCATGTTGCTATCCAAACACGCAACTTAAGCACTCAATAGGTGTAGATATTAGATCTGCCGAGTAATGCATAATACTTTTTGACGCACTCTTAATCATCTACGCGTATCTCGTCGCTTCCTCATCTCATCAACCCCATCTCATCAACCTCATCTCAGAACATACGTATACAACCATTGTAAGTAAGCAGTACCAAAGCCAGCCTTTCACGCGATATATGGTAAACTCTCAGGCCTAATAGTTCACGAATAGTTTTGGATTCTCTACGGAACACCTGCCGGTATGGAGCTAAATGCTAAAGACGCCCTCAAAAGCGACGATCCTACGCCCACTGCATATACATACACGTGCAAAATCTCACCCGCCACATCTCCAGCTGAATCAACACTCCCCATCATACATACGCCATTAACGGGCTCTGAAAGTGAAATAGAGAATTTTCCCGAAGACGCTATTATCATCAAGAAGGGAAAAGAAGAAGAACAGTCAATTAACGGCGAAAGCATCGAAAGCCTAGGTCTCGAGACGATGTCGCTTACTAGCGGTAGTTCTCAACAGCAAACCTCGCTCAAGAATCAAGAATCACAACGGCCAAAGAGCAAGTCGTTGTTTCCATTTCCAGCTGACGTTACTCAAAGCATCCTTGAGATGCTTTCTCCAGCTGATATCCAAAACTTTGCTCTCTCTTCCAAAGCAAGTTGTATAACTGCTTTGCCAATGCTTGTTCGCTGTGTCACATTGCCCCTATCAGACGACAAAACTGGCTTTGGGAAGATTTTAGGTGTCAATGTAAAAAACTATATTGGGTATAATCTACATTCAATCAAGCTCCTATCAGATCAAATTGATGTGTACTAACTGGCTGCATGATATCTAAGAACCGCGATCGTGGATATTTCCAACCCGACGTTCTGGACCACTAACTACCCCGGCCACCTTACCATCGGTAAAACCCTTCACGAGTTCGAAAACTTAAAGCACCTCATCATCAAGAAATCTTCACCATACGTCAGTGATGCTGTTCTTGGCTCGGTCCTCCTCTTCGTTGTCGAGCAAAATGTTCTCGAAGAACTTACAATAGACTTTGCCTTCTCGGAACAAATTGCCGGGGTTAAGGCCTTCAAAGACAGGTTTCGCCAATGTTGGCTAACTATCCACGAGGGCGCCTTTCATTCCAAGCAAAGGCAACTTACAATTTTGAACATCAAGATAATAAATCCCAACCTTGAATACGACGGTCTCAATGAATGCCAAGAGTTCTGGGTTACTATAATGCGTACAGTTCAGAAACTTAGGATTGACCTCAGAGGTGTTCCAGTTCCAGAATATGCACCAGACAAATCTCTCATATGGACCAATTACTTGCAAATGGTTTCATCATGTGGTGTAAATGATATTGAAGTGGTATTTGACGAAGATGTTAGCCGACACTACACGGAGATCGGTTCTCAGTTTCCCAATATAGAAAGACTCAAAGTGGGCTTTACAGGGCACAGTAGAAGCAGGCCATCGGTAGGTTATGGAAAGCATCAAACAGGACCCTTAATGGTGTGGTACATCTAACAGGTGATTTAGGCCGAGCTTTCGGGGCTTGGGCGAATGAGATTTCTAAGATCAGTTGATTTGCCATGGGCCTACGATAACATAGTCAGTGACTCCGGCATTGTTGGGAACATCTACAGCAAAGCAAAGGAGAGGGCCAAGGAAGTTGTTCGGGCGAAGACGCCAACAGAATCAAAGGATGAAAAAATGAAATTGCAAGTTTTGAAGCAAACAAAAACTGCTTTGGCGATCCAAAGCCTCACATCTATTAAAGATGTAACCTGGAGATACGTATCAGAAGAAGACGGAGAGGAAGTCTTGTTGAAATTATCCATCCATTGGACTGGCAAAGAGCCTCGCGTTACAGAAGTTGGATTTGGCGGAGAAGAATAGGTGTAGCTTAGCTCCACGTCCCACAGGTGGCGCGCGTTTTCCTGATACGATGTTGGTTACGCTTTTGCACAGAGGTCAACTATACTTTGAGACGGGTGGCTGTTACTGTTGGATTGCAACAACATTCACCAAATATTTCTAGCTGCGATTTGCTGCATGGAGATGCCTTGCACGAGGAAATGACCCGAAACCTTAACCCCCTTTGAATTCCTGTAAAATAAGTACTCAAGAACTATTGTGCACACGAAAGAGATCTCACAGCCCGCGAGCTCGGATCCAATGTTTTGATTTTTGTGAAATTTATGCTGTGGGAATAGATGTAGGTAAATAATTGCCTCACATCGCGCCGCAACTAGTACTCAAGCTCATAAGCCAACCAACGGTTTCGAATATATTCTGAAACTCGATGTTGTGATGGCAGAGTCTCCGCTGTGGTAGGCCAAAAATCTTGCAAGGCTCTGGATACTTCGTTGAATACTGCGCTTTTGCATGCTGACATATTAATGCATCTTCATCCGTGTAATTGATACCTCCCAGCGGTACCATCCAGTTCCCTCAACTTACATGAATCCACGATCAATATTTTCACCACCTTGAAGATCTTTTTCACTCTTTTTCTACTATACCCAAAGTCTGTTCCGCTCAGTCGAAGCACCACATACATTTCATCCATCCAAGATTAGCACAACCCAAGGGCGACCATTTCATTTGTTGAATATAAGGTCGCAAGAAGTTTTGACATAGGTATTATGCGGCTCCATACTGGGCTGATTATACTTCTTTATGCTGTCAAGCAATCCCTTGCCTTAAACGACGATGATAATCACGGCAAAGATAAAGTTATGACGAGGCTCTCCTCAATAAACGAGAATACTCCTGACCTAGAGGAGGTCACATTCACTTGGACCGGCGTTATCAAGAGCATGTTTGCCGACGAGAAGGATACGTGCCTCACTCTTGACATCCTAGGCCTCGATGGGCCCGGCATGATAAGGTACCCCCAAATTGGGACTCGTGTCGGTGTTTATAAATGTCCCTCGAGCGTTGCCAACGCCCCGGCTTATCAGAAATGGTTTATCAAGGGGAGATTGGTTGAGGGTGTCGATGTCGAACCTGTCTTTGAAGGATTGATTCGGACCAACCAAGTAACTATGTATGGCAAACGGCTTTGTCTGGCGGGTCGTATGGACCCAGGGAGGACGCCTCTATCACTATACGATGCAGAGGAACGGCACGCACAGGCGAAGTTTTTCAATTGGGAAGATATGCAGGGTGTTGATGTACACCCAATGTTCTGGAATCACAATAAATGGTTTACATCATGGGGGGTGGTATACGTCGATGAATGCCGGCCAGGTGACCACACACAGGCTTGGCATATTGGGTTATCACCGGACAGGGATAACAGAAGAAGGTACCCCGATGACCCAAAGAAGTGGACTTGGTAAGTTCTTCACCAAAACCTTTTATTCAACTACTCAGAGTGAACCTTCAACTAACACGGTATTACTAATAGGATCCGGCCCAAAGGGATGCCATCGACCCCGTGCGAATCACCTCCAAACCGGGACCCAAGTAAGAGGGATGGAGAACAACCTGAGGCCCTATGCATTCACCGAACCGATTCTAAATGTAAACCAAACTATCCTTATCATCCGGGCTTGATGCGCCCATATATCGCACCAGAAAGAGTTAAAGAACAAGAATCAGTCCAATGGGTAATGCTCGGATGCTCCCCTTCGAATTGGATGCTTCAACATAACTTTGCTTTGTTGGATAGTGGATCGGGCGACATTAGAGATAGCGTGATAGGAGACAGAATTAAGGATCCTCGTATTCCACCAAAGTACGTTGATGCTGACTACCTAGATGTTCATCTCCGAGATGGCCAAGGCAGCTACTCGCCTGTTGGAAAAGAGCATCCGAACTTCCATAGATTTTAGTCTTTTTTTGTTTTTTTTTCTTAGTCAGCTAAGCTAGTATTGACTGTTTAAACTCTTCCTCTTTTCATACTCAGACGTGATGATCGATAAATGATCGCACTTCACTTGGTTAATTGATCTTCTTTCTACTCTTGTCTACATAAATGGTGCGATTTCCTCCTTGCTTCTTTCTTACTTTCGGTTTCAGTCTTAATTTTTACGATGGTTTCTCTCAAATATATGTCCGAACTCCCATCCTGTAGATTGAACCACACTGGCCTGTGTTCGATCAGAAGCTTTGTGTAAATCGTATCTATGGCGTTTAATGTACTTATTCAGAATGTATCTATGCCTGCTATAAACAATCATTTCTATATTTTCCTATATATATATTTCTTCCTTGTTTTTTGTTGCTGAGGCACAGTTCTTCGGAATGGACCCCTTCACTTCGCATAAGGGTATCGACTGTTTAATTTTAGTTTCCTAATGGTAATGTTAAACCAGATAAATTTCCTAGCTTCCACCTATACCCAAAATTAGAAGGCTACATTATATTAACTCATTCCGTGGAAACTTGCAAATTCCGCTGCTATTATAATATGTTATATAGAACAAATGTATTGGCACACCTGCCTAATACTTCGACAAATTACTTTCACTCTTCCCTCTAGACTTTCGTAATAACTGAAAAAATTCCGGCCAGCGATACAAGGCCCCGAGTCTTTTTTCGGGATCAACTTGAAATACGATACTCAATAAAGCATATAATCAAGCTAATGGTAAAACTCTTTTATTTGCACCTAGATTCAGAAGGGAAACAATATATACCAAACAATACCAGAGTTATGGTTACACAGTGCAGAATTTGCGGAAACATCTCTATATGCAACCAAAGAAAGCTATATTATAAACATGCATAAAATCGCAATACTATAGCGAAACAAAAGTGCTGGTAATCAAAATTTAAAAGCAAGACGTGGTTTTTGCAACAGAAAAATGGCGTTGCTAGTGAATTGACGGTATTCCCTTATACACTTTCTTATCAAGATCCTTCGGAAGGCCACCCTGAATAGCTAAGCGTGGCAATTTAAAACCAGCGCCCGCGCCTATTATTATGGTAAAAATATGTAAGTCTCATGTAATTATCCCAAAATGAACGTACGGATCTTAGCTCTGACTTACCGATTACATCACTAAGATTACCTTTAAGCGCTGAGGAAAGCCCAGCCTTCTTTTGGCTCGGGGTCTCAGGTTCCAGAACTGATGGCTTAGGACCGGGTGCCGGCTCCTTCCGATTCGACCCTTCCATAGCAGTTCCCATGAGACCTTTAAATTTTCCTTCCTTCTGTTCAAGCTCTAAATCTTTTTTATCCCCGAAGGATGGGGCTTTCTCTAATCCGAATATGTGGATTTGTGCTATAGATTTTTCTCTCGAAATGTTAATCAATCCTCCGAAATCCCGCAAGATCACTATAATATTAGAAGCAAACAATCAAAATGGGTAAACTAACCGACTGCAAGGGCTGCTATGGCATAGTTTTCAGCAGTCCTGGTGGACTGGTCGGCTGACTTGGAAGCAAGGTCACCGCTTCCAGTTGGATTGTAGTAGCCTACAGCGTCCCCGATATATAGCGACGGGGTAGGGGCAAATGGCAAATGGAGTCTACAAACAAGTTAAATTCCGTGAACTCCGAAATTGGGATCAAATTTGGGGGCCTTTGTTTTCCAGTTCATACTGTAAGTGTAAAAGTGTGGATGCAATATTTGGATACAACGCCCAAATATTTTGCTTGATTTGGTCAAAGTTAGGCAACTTCGAGTCAATCAACTCTTCAGCCCGTTCTAGGGCCGTCTTCCCTTCGAAATATTTCGAGCATAAAACTATTGCATATGTCACCTATTTTAAAAGAGAGTTATTGAATTAGTATTCTCTGTTTATTAATCAGGGTGTATAGATTTGCGTCAAGAAAAATAGTACCGGCATCACGCCTTGTTTCACATAGAAATATCCTCCTTCTCTCCCATCTGGACTACCATCGCAGCAATTAGTTTTCCCGCAGGCAGTTAAAATCCCCTTGGGAGTGTCGGTCTCGTCACAATATATTTCGAGCTTCTGTTTGAATCCCTTCCCACCAGAATGGAGAGCTTCAATACGCGCGAAGTTATCTAGTAAAAAGTAATTCTATGTTAGCATTATCTAGATATTCACAGCAACATCTACAGATGTCAATACTTATGAAGCTAAGCTTGTAGGACGTACCTGTAATCCTTTGCGCAAATCCATTGGTCTTCCATGCATGTCCCAAAAAATCACCCAATGCCCGTTCGTATCTAATTTCCTCAAGACTCATTTTGAACAGTCTAGTGAGATACCCAGATTCAATCCATCCCTTTCGAAACCTGGTTTCTTCGTTTGCAGAGCATTTGTTTGAAATCCAGACTCCTTTCCAGTTATCCTTTTTTGCAAATTCCAAAATGTCAAGAGACTCTGGGTCGGCATTTTCGGCTGGAGCTCGCTTTCGGAGACTTTCACGGCTGGTGAGCAGATGTTCCGATGCAGTTGAAGTGGGTACTTGGAATGTTGGTTTGAGGATCGAGTCTATGGTGCTCGCAGAGGAATGGAAAGTGTAGATCAATGACACCTAGAAGATTAACTGAATTAGCATTTAAACTCTCTACTTCTTACGCAAGGAGTGTTTGAATTTTAAGCATACGGGAATCAATACAAAAAGGCCCGTTGCGACCAACGATTTGGTTGAGATGAGCGGCATCGCAGCCACTATTAGGTATATCACTAGGTATACAAAAGGTTTATAGACGAATTTCTAGCTACTATAGGTCGACTTCCCTCTTGCTATAGGCGAATTGGTTTACTGATAGGATTACTGCTCAAGGGTCAATGTATGAACTGTGCCCAATTTCCATACAGATTGAAGAGTATTTCCAATCCGGATGACCAGGGCCGAGAAGATTCATAAGGTCATACGACACATGTACAATATTAAATTCTTACGAAAAATGCCTATAGCAACAGTTTAAAGATGACACTACCGTTGAAACTAAGGAGGTCTAGAATCCTTGAGCGTCTCAGAACTTTCCTGTCCTTCTCAAATTTGAAAAATATTTCTGGGGTCAGAATCGATTTGTTCCTCCAACCCTAAAGTTTGTTAGTTGATATTAGTTGATGTTGGAGTTTTAACATTTTAGAGATCGAGAGAATCCCAGAGAGCTCGAAGTATAGATTCTCTAGATCAATATCTCGTACATACCGTAGCTTAGACAGAAAAGGAAGTTGGAGCTATCTAGCTCCGCGCACCACATCCAACCTCATATGATCATACTTAGTAGCACAGAGCTAGGGTAATTTAAGGCAACCCAAGCCAGTCTTCGACAGCGTGGTACCCAGTTATAGTTGGCTCCGCCACATGCTTGCACATGTGCCACAACCTTAGGTGCAAGGTACCGATGTTATTATGGCACGACGCAAACTCTTATTCTCAGGATCCGTTTCAAGATGCGTCGATGGTAATTTTTTATGGAGTATACGGAAACCTTAGCTTAAAAACAAGTTGCAAGTCCAAGCTCAATCAAACAGCCTGGATTGTGGCAGTGCTCAATTCTTTACTGACAGCTTGCCTTAACCGTTTACCGCAGTAATACTTCTATAGCTATCTAGGCCTGCCCAAGATCAAGCCTTAGCTAGTTTCTCTCCTAAACTCTTGATCAATTGACAGGTACATATACGTCCTACTAAGTCATAGTTTGCAGTGCAATTTGTCCAACACAGTACCTAGCCCCGCATTTCCTTTCATATAGAGTTATGATCGATCATGTTACTCAATATTGATCAATTCACGATCACCCTTAGTATTCTGTGAAGTTATGCACTTTCAACTGCACAGCGGAATATTTCAAAGATATTTGGACTACGTAAATCAGTGTGCCACAATAACGTTATAACATTTAGGACCTCTCCTCGTTTGATTAACGACAACTGAGAGTGACATTGCGCCAATATATCAGGTGGCAAAATCAGAAGCCTTAGCCGCAGGACTTACTATTCTAGTTCATCCAGTTCATTAACATAGCTCTCTTCGAGAATATCTAACCCAACGGCATCTTCCCGCTCAGGGTCGCTCCCACCAGACGTCATACCCCCTGACCTGAAACGGTAAAGATCTAGTGCATCTAAATCCGGATCTGCAGCAGCACCAGCATTGCTCTGAGCCCAAAGTTCCGAGGCATCCTGCAATTGTATCGTGTCTCCCTCCTCTGAAGATGAGAGAGGCAGTAACGGAGGTAGAATACTCTCATCACTGTCCTGATTTTCTTTGAGGAACACTGAAGTCGGTTTATTTTTTTCTTTTGGAAGAGGTTCATCGAATGGATTATAGACTGAAAACTCAACCCCACCTTCTGGCTTGCGGCGACCTGGGCTGACAGTCTCATAACCATCCGCATCAATTCCCCCGGTTGATAATAAAGCAGAGTTAGGTGCGGAGTTAGTATTCACTTCTGGAGCCCAGTCTACAGTGAGATACTCCAACCCAGTTGTTTTAACGCGTGGCTTCAACTTGTTGGGACCACCATACCCATAATCTTCCAGGCCTTTCCATTTCTGCCTCATAATTTGCTTTGAATCCAAGGCATCATCAGCCATATAAAATTCAAAATCATGCCCAGCCTCGACCACATCTTTTATATATTGTTGTGGTCTATCACCGTTTGCAGTCAGGTATGCATCCCCAACATCAGTGCGAGTAGGAGTTAGTTTCTCCCCAGACCCATTGCTACCAGCTGTCTTGTCAGAACCTGTGCTACCTGCTGGCCTTAGAGATAATAGTCCAGGATTTGCCTGTGTGCCCCCATATCTTGTCTTAGGTTGCACTGGTACTTCTCCGATGGCAGCGGACCACCACTCACTGTTCACATCTAACTCTTCCCATGATTGTGCTCGTAGAGTTCCAGTCTCCGGGGATAGTTTATCCATGGGTACAACTTGGCTGCCTTCACCATCAAAGTACCGAATGACCGCATCTGGGGTATGCTTATTCCCTTTAGACAAACAATCTCGTCGTGAATACAATGCTATCGCTAGTGGTGGAGGTCCAGCCGGGCCGAGGGTTTTCCAAGCCTCCGGATCAAGCCGTGAAAATATAGTTATCTCAGTAATATCCACCTCGGGAAGTTTCGGGGCGACCAGAGCGTTTAAAGGTAACCTCGGATCCCATTCTGGAGGGTTTTTTGATCGTTGTATGGGATTCAAAAGAAATGGTGGAGGGAAATATTCCGCTACATCCCCCTCCCGGAGATTATTTATCTTGTAGCGATCCTTCACCACCACCTCTGGAGTCCTTTGGGTGAAGATGGGTGGAATGATATTGAAGCATCTCTCACGGCCGACTGTCCCAGGGATAGTATATCCCATTGCTTCAGGTACCCTTTTGACATCCATTCCATCCCAGTCAACTTTGAACGGCTCTTGAACTTTTCCTAATTCTAGACCACGAGCCACATACGCTTCGTATTGTTCAAGAATATGCATTTCTATCTCCACCCTGCGGATTTCAGAAACGTTTTCAAATCCTAGAACGTTAAATTTGATAGTGTAGGCATTCGTAGCGGCAATATATGCCGAGAAAAAAATGGCCTTACTATAAATCATATTGAGTGATATCGTCTTCGAAATGCCGTAGAATGGGTTCTTAACATATATCGTTCCATATAAGAGGTTGCGTACAGAGAAACCAGCTTCCCGGCCTCGCATAATTATAATACAAGTCCACGTGCGGATATTTTACCTATACCTCGTGGAAACAACACCGCTCCCTCCATGAAAAGATAATTTGAGCCCTTTAAATGCCCAGAACATCCCACGCATACTTGCGGACCGTACTGAACTCGAACGTTCTTACTTTAAAGTTTTTATAAAAGTCGCAATTTCGGAATATAGCAAACAGCAAGTAATTCATGTCATACGGCCTCCGTCCAAATCATGATACGAGTTTGTATGCCTATAGCTATATAGCTATGAGCCTTGAAACTCCCGAAAACCGAAGTAAACTTATATATATCTCGTAAACCCGGATTTGATTCTGCTGCGAAAATGGGGACCGGGTCGACCCTGGTCCTTGGGTACACATCAATTCTGACTTTTTTGATATTCTCCACGGAGAATTTCTCGATATAAATATTAGGTGGCGCTAATTTGCAACGGCTACCTAAGACGCCAACATGGAGCTGTCCCAAACTACCAAAGTTATCCATTGTAGCAATTTACTTACTCGATATTCGAGACAAAAATTCTTCATAATAAACACTCGAATTTTCAGTTAATTCCAAGCAAAGTAAATAACGAGCCATATTCCAGTGCGTAAATCTATAAAGTAGGTAGTATATACTAATACCGATCCTGTGTCATGCCAGCCATGTCTCTGGTATTCCCATGGCTAGCTCTTGAAAATTATCTGAGTCCACAGGAGGGCTCACCATTTCATGATGAAGGCTCCCATAAATCCTGTCGCCAAACGCAGCGAATACCTCGAATACATCTCCCTCCACCATCCCTTCCCCCAAAACGATATTTTCCCATAATGGCGACTCCTCATTGATCTCTTGGAAGGAGCGAGCACCAGTTTCAGAAATACCAAGGGCGTAATGGTCAATATTTCCATACTCTACTGGCGAAAATGACTCAAGTGTCTGCGTACCCGTTTCATCCCAAAGCCTTATAACTGCAATGGGGAGTCCATTATTCGACAAACAACCAGGGAGCTGCCATAGTGCTATCGCACGAGGAGGATAACCTGCATATGTCGGATCCTCGAGTTTGTTATAGTCCAAAGTCGAGGTCAGGCTAAATCCAGTAGGTGTCCATTCTTGCATTTCTCCATCAGGGCTCGGGATGTGAAAACAATCGAGCGGTATTCCGGGGATATCGGTGGTCTCTAAAGTATTGGTTTGCTCGCCATCAGGATTTATCCATGTGAAACCCCATGTTAGACTGTACGCATTTGCTGCAGATAAGAAATATAAGAGTAGGGCACAGAGATACCGTATGCCCGCCGCCATTCTTGATTTATAGGATTTGAAACCTGAACTTGTAGACGCATGTTAGAGAAGGCCCGTGGCATTTTGACAGGCCTCCATGTTATAAATTCCCTCCAATAACTCAAATATGCTCTCTCCTGTAACATTAATATTGCCAGCCCAGTGTACCTCACGCTCTGAAACAACGCAGAAAATACCACACGGCCAGCATTCCTGAAGATACGCTGTACATCCCGAGAAAGTCGGCTATAAAAACACAAATACAAGTCCCCCTCGGGTCCGTAATTTAAATTTAATTAAAGACCCAATGTACTCCAACAGAATTAACTTAAGCTCACTAGATCCTATGATCATAAACCGAAATATACCAAACCAGCCTGTCTAAACCTTGCTCCAGCTATCATTCTACTCAATATTACGATTTTCAGTGACGATATCAAGTCTACTCAGATCCCAAGCTTATCACCGTGGCACCGGCTCCTGCAGCCTACTTTCCACTCATTTACAAGTATACTAGTAATACAAGCTCTTAATTAAGCATCCGATCCAGCTAGAAAGACCCAGTACCAAATCTCCAAACCGCCTACGCACTACGGCAAACTCGAGCTCAAGGCACTATGACATTTGAATTGATCATCATTGGCACCAGCGCTGCTGCATTCCTAAGCGGCATGCTTGCAACCGAGGCCTATAAAGCTCTTGAAATGATTTATCTCGAACATCGCGCCCGAGTCAACCACGAGATCGCTAAGTTCGGACGCCCACTCAAACGCAAGGAACGAAAGATTATGAAGAGAAAATTTAAGTTGGATCAGATGGCTGCCGCTCTCAGTGTCAATACCTTGAATTCCAAAAACAGTAGACGTTCCGACCACGCACATACGCACGGATCCGGTTCAGAAAGAAGATCCGCCCCCAGAAGCAACTATTCAGATGTACCACAGCCGGCGCCACCCCCCTTGCCTAACCCAAAACACGGCCCGTTCGCCGACCAATCTCATGCTCTGTACATCTACGACGGATCTTCCAGCCCAGATAAGGGACTCTCACCCCGAGATAGTGCCCAGAAGAAAGAATAAAAGAGCTAAAAGAGAACGATGGTTGCAAGGAAAGTCAGACTGGTCTTCTGGTTTAGTTGAGATGGTCACAGGTCTTCTACGTGAGATCAATTGATAAGAGAATCATTCATTATGCATTACACTATACATGGTTTTGAAGACTCTATTCAGTTAATGATAGAATAGAGCAGGGAGATAGTGGCTTATTGAAGGTGTACAATAGCATAGAACTGAAATAACATCGGCTATCGAAGCCTACAAGTTATATACACTGCCCAGTTGGGAATTTGATTGATTCATGCTATTGAGTTGAAGTTGGTTGATGAGCCGAGGCTCCCAGACCCTGGTCCCGTGACCTCCAAAGCACCACTTGTAGACACTTATAATGACCATAAACATAGCTGGAGCCTCAATAAAGAACCAACTTCTTTCATCGACACCTCCCATCGCCCTAACCTCTCCCTATATCTGACCTCCCAAGCCAGTTTTCATTCAGCCTCCCAACATTACTCTCTCCATCTTCTTGTTTCGGGCTCTCCCCTATATACACCGTTTCTATTCCTCCTCTTCCTTGTCGCTTATAAATATAAAGAGCTCTCACAAGTGACCAGTTCAGCTCTTTCTCAAGATGGATCCAGCCACCAGTAAAATCCAAGCCCCAGGAAATCATGATTCGGCCATCTCAACCAATACAGGGCCTAGCAGCCCATCTGCTTCAACCAATACCAACTCAGATGGTTCAGCTGCTCCGATCAATACCAAATTTGACGAGCCAGCTAAACCCACCCTCCTCCGTCGCATCACCGACAAAGTTGTTATCCCAGTTATTGCTCTTGGCCTTGCTACGCCAATCATCTCCCAGGGCATCTGTTTGGTTGGCTCGAAGATTCTCAAGCATAGAATGGATCGCGAGACCGAGACCATGATGGCTAGGGCTCGTGCTGGTGGTAGTTCGAATATTGGTCGCGGTGATCCAATTGCGCTTTCGAAGGATGAGGAAAATATGCGAAAGGCCGAAATGTCTGCTATTAAAGAACATTTCAAGCGTCGCAAGGAGGATGCAAAGGTTCAAAGACGGTTGTTGAAGGCAGAGAAAGCTGCTATACGTAATAGTGGATCCATCTTTGCTCAAAAACTCAAAAAGAAGCCCTCGCCATCTACCACCACCACCACCGCCACGGCAACCGCCACTGCCACCATCGATACAGCTAACCGCCAACCCGTCATCGAAAACCCAGACCCTCCAACCTACTCAGAGGCTATCAGCCGTGTCGATAACTTGGTTCCTGAATGGGGGCAATCCGACCCCAGCACCCTTCCGTTCCAGATGTCAGCTACTCCTATCAACCCCAACTCAGCTACTAATACCCCAGCTCCTTCCAAGTGTAAGGGTGTTCTAAATTGGATCCAGGACAAGAAGTCAGCTGCCTACCAAGGACTCAAATTGGACCAAAAAAAGGCTGCGTTTAAATCAAAAGTCAAAGTCACCAAGAAAGCTGGTCTCATCTTCGGTTTCGGCTATTGGGGAAATTACTAAGTCCTTCTTTTTCTTCTCTTTTATCCTTTCGAGATTTCAGAATTTCCAACTTTCCAATGATTGTCTCTTGCTGCTCTTGTAGTCGATTGGACATCCTTCAAATTCGTGAAAATTCCTAATACAGCTGCTCCATCCGCTGTTGTAGCGTTTTTGTCTTATTTTCTTATCTTTTCTAACTGTCTATTCCCTTGGTTAAGACTGCACAATGCATACTCGGTATGACCCAGTTTCCTTGTTTGCCTTTAGTAGAAGGAATATTTATTCGCCGTTGGAGCCAAATTTCTTCTTTTCACGCAACCTCAGCTGTATAGGGCAGGCTAGAATACAATGTCAATAAGCCGAAAATCCAAATGAATTTCTTCGATTACTAAGCTTTATCGAAAATCCAGATCGCTGAGAGACTATCCGGACGAGCATATCTGAGTCTGGATTAAGTAAGATATAAACCATACAGCCAAGGGATGTATGAATATGCATGCAAATCCCTCTATCGTCCTATACAGGAACGTAGATGCTAGATTACGCGCGCTTTCTACTGAATACACATCATATCAATTACACCTACACACAATATAACAGTACTGCTTCTCTCACAGCATTCGGCAGTTGAAGAAGCCAAAAACGGACGAACTTTCATTCCGAATTTCTACATCAACACTCATGAATTCGTACAACTCCTCTACTCAGCTTATACGCTCCCTCCAATAACGACATTCTTTAGTTATACACGTTACGTAATATCTCATCATGGCCAAGGTTTTAAAAGCCATCGGCGGCATCGGCGACAAGATGACATCAAGAGGCTTCCTCATGTCCGCGCTAGGTACTTCAACTTTCGGTTCCCTTCCAAGCCTCATCATGCCCTTCCTCGGCGGGGCTATGGTCGATCCTATAATATTCGGTACCATCACATCTGGCCTCATTATCGTCATCAGTGCGATTGGGAGCATTGTCGTTTACATTAAATCCCGCCAAAATTCCCGTCGTGCGATCGAAAAGTCAGCATTCGGACGAATCTTGACGGATAAAGAACGCAAAGAACGCAAAACAGAGTACAAAAACGCCAAACTCAAGGCTAAGCTGGATAAAAAGGCAGAGCAAGCACAGCTGAAGGCAGAAGAGAAAGAATTAAAGAGCGAACAAGCTAAATTGAAATCTTTAGCGAAAGCCGAAGCGAAGTTGTTGAAGAAGCAGACAAAACAGGTAAAGAAGGAGACGCTCCAAAAGAAGATTACTGGCTTGCCCTTGAAGATTGTTTTGGGAAGTGTCAAGTTTTTGAACACTCTCGCAGTAGAGATTCCGAAAGCCAGTGTACCGGATGTTCCCACTGACGCGGTGCTGGGTGCGGTGCAGGGCGATATTTTGCCAACGGAACCGACCGATGCAGTCTCATTAGCTAAGACTCAGCTAGATGTCGGTGAAGCCAGCGAAAAGCTACCATCTACAGGTCTTGATGAAGCCGAGGGGAACTTGCCAGAGACAACTCTTGGTGAAGTCGATGAAAAGCTATCAGCGGTGGACCCTCAGACCGGTCCTGTGGCACCAACCCCTCTCGAGCTCACAACTACACAGCCAGTTCCAATTACTCCTATAACAAGCGCCCCCGGGTCGACACCGATGCCTATCACACCAATCTAAGCTAGTCCCGTAGTAATGTGGGTACAAAGTCGAACGAATAAGGGTGCGAGGCCTTTTCAGTTTTATTCTAGATTAACCATTCATCGATTCAACTTTCCCCTCCAATCAATTTTGCACTGTTAGAATCCCAGAAGAGCATCAGCCCTACCACAGCTATGGATCCAAATTCTTTTATGTAAAGACCTCTGGACATGGTATATATATATATTCAGACTATGAAAAATGTCGTTTCTCCGCTCACTTCCCAATCAACAGTCGCAGTCTCAAAGACCTCCTTTCATCGGAGTTTAGCAAATTTCTGTGTTCTAGCGCGTATATCCCAGTCACTTAACTTGGTTGCATTTGATAAGAATGAAACGAACGAAAGTAAAAAGTGAATACACTCAATTGCTCAATTGCAAAGTACCACAAACGAAGAAACAACAGAGGAATATAAAATCAATGAGCTGGACCACATCGCCACAGGAGCTTCAAGGCTTCAATAAATCGCAACCTAGGCTTAGCCACTAGTGATGTAATTCGAGCCATGCCGCAAGTTCACCAATTCCGAGTACCTTACTGCTGTTAATCAAGCACCACCGCCCCGACAATTCCAGCCTTAGTCATCGCACATGATGGTAAGCGTCATAATTCGGTGGTAATTCATATTCCTCAGGTATGTCCATGTCCCGAACGCGTGGAGCATACATTCCTCTTTCCACGTAAATATTTCTTTCCCGCTTTGTCAGCTGCCGTCCGAACGCACGTCTCTCGTATTCGGCACGAGTGTCGCGAAATGAATGTTTTTCATACATTTCGCGAATTAATTTCGTTAAACCCCACGACACCATCCCGGTAACTATTATAACAGCAGGAGTGCAAACAATAGCAATGTCACCGCCGCTGATCATTGTAGATGCGATTGGAAGGACCCGGGTTCGGAGACTGTTGACCGGGTGTTATTTGGGCTTGGGGTTCGTCTGAAGCTCTTGCCGTTCAAATGATTGATAGAATTCGTTCGATAGATATAATTGGGTGGCTTTTTATATTTTTTAGACGGTTCGGTAACCGGATCCGCGATTTATACCTGATGCTAAAGCGGGTGTTAGAAAAAAGGCTGTGATATCTATATACTTGTCCCGTACCCGGGTTAGAAGTCTATGCATGCATAAGAGCGGTACCTACTGAATGTGACCTTTCCTTGACTTGTATCTCAGCATTGGCTTGTAGAGTGGAAGGTTATATTTAGATGTCAACCACAATGCACCAGTGTACCGACTTTTGTGCCGTAGCGGTGTCAAGATTCGAGTTTACGAATGTATGGAGCGAGTGTAGTGTGGGTAAGCGATGTCCGAACGTTCTATTTGCTATTGAAAGACAAAGATATATCAATACAATCGGATACATACAGTCTTAAGTCTTCAGCTCCAAGGCCTGGGTTGTCTACAGAACTAGTGAATATCAGACACTATTCACACTCTGTCTGTCTGATGTATTCCTGATTTCCAGCAGATCCCCAAAACGACAGACAACACACTGCGTTGAGGATGTTGGATTCTAACATGCTTACCTCATCGAGCGATTCCCCATTTCGTCCATTTGAGGGGCCTAACTTCTCGGTCAGCCCAAGCGGACGATTTCCTCATCTAGACCACAAACAGGTTCCATGGTAAATTGAATGTGGATAACTTCATTACACAGTGTGCCTAGCTCCGATCTTCATTTGTTCGGAGGAAATTTAAAACTCAACGGATATATTGTTTTCGCCACCGAATTTCCCCCCAGGTCCAGACCATGGTGCCAACCATCGATCCTGTTCGCGACGTTTTTTTTTTGGTCTCGCTAGGCTTCAACAGGTATCTCGCCTAAGACACAATCTTCAGAAACCTCATTTCGCGTATTGAATGAGACCTCTTTACAAAACAGTGTAGTGTGGATCCTTATGGCGATCCGTGCTACCACGGGAGCCACACGCATACGACAAGTTAAATCTCTCCAGTCCCAAGATGCAGATTTGACCTCGTATCCATTCGTCGGATATTCGGATCGGGATCTCAGCTTTAAAAAAACAAAGGTGGTGAGGTCACCAAACCATCCTGCTCGGGATAGGAGCTTGCAGAAATTAACAATATCGCAGTCGGAGCTTAAAAAGCAATGGCAAAATGACAATCACATCATGACATGAAGGAGTCTTTCTTGCTCGGAGATAACACAGGGAATGTGAACTCGTATCCGATCTGGTCGGCCCTGATGGCGTTTTCAAGGACCAAGACCCCAAAACGGTATTGAGCGGCGGCTGCAAGAGACACGGGAAGCTTAAGGAGGCATATTGCATATATCGACTTTGACTTGTTCACCTATTAGATAAACTATGCAGGGTCGATTGTGGACTGAGACTCGCAGCTCATGCTGTGATTGTTTGATTTTTGCGGAACTCGGGAAACCAGGTTTTTTGGGGTGCAAGAAGCAAACCCGACCCAAATGTGACGGGTTTGCATGCCGAAACCGTATCCGCCTTCGGGCGGAGAATACAGCTTTCGATCCTAACCTCAGAGCACTTTCCACGAAATAATTTGTTATTTTCGACGTTACAATCTGGTGTCTATGGAGATGTCTTGATAAACGTATGCTTGAACGCCCCACCCGATGTCTCTCAACACTCGCTAGATGATACTCTGTCCCAATGGGATATCATCTTGGTACCATGGTATCCATGCTTAAAACTGGCGATTATTGGCGAGATGGTCAAATATGTAAAGTTACACCAAATCTTCAGCCACATACGGAAGGCGACTTATTTTTTTTATGTTCAAAATACTCGAATAGACTACTCCAAATGACAGATAGTTCCCACCACAATCTACGCATTATCATTGTCTCATAAATTGCTTATGGCGGACATCATCAATCCGAGAAAAGCTAAGACAACAAAAATACTGTTAATCGTGCCACCTATGAAAACACGGGAAGAAAATATATCACATTTCTAGTACGCATCCTAATCCACTCACGCTGCAGAAAAGCGGCCAAGCAGCATTTGCCTAACCTTTGCCATTGCCTCGGAATATGCAGTACTCAGAGGAATTTTGAACCGTGCCATAACAAATTACAGGCTTCAAATCTCCATAACCTTGAGAATTCGTGATTGTCAGGTTTATGTACACTTTGATAAATTGAGACACCGGCAAGAGTCAACCATCTTTGGTCATCGATAAGTGATAGTGTAATGTACAAGCACAAACTCAGCCTGCCAACTCGCAGAGGGTATATGTATAGCATGTAGGCGCATGTCTCTCTATGCGGCGAGGCATGTAGATCCCCAAGTATATACATATTCAAGCTCAAGTATGTTTCATATTTTCTTTTCAATCAGAAAGATGATTGGTTTTCTACATCCAGAAAAGCTAATACTCATGACAAATTATATTTTTTTAGTTCTTAGTGCGGGGGAAGTATAGCATGCAGATCAGATCAATTTTCGAGAAAATAGATTACTACCCATAAACTTCGTGTAACCACAACGGGTAACCACCGGTATGCCGCACACACGAAAATGGAATGCGGCTGGATAGGCGGCCGACAGGATCTTCTCCCAGCCGGTGCGATGGACAGGAGGGCCCGAGAGAGTCGGCTTCCCCCGTAATTCATGCCAACGATCAAAGAATGTAAACGCATATATCCACTCTTTTCGCAGAAAGCCAGAAAGACAGAGTGCTCGGCAACATGCACTTTCAAGCAAGAGATCGTCGATTCGGTTCGGCTGACAGGGTCCGATAGGTCTTTTTTTGGTTAGCATACCAGAGGGGTATTTTGAGTCTTGCTCTCACGAGACCAGCCGCGTTCAACCAGTGTCTCGATGGTGGTTACCCCTTCGGTTGCGAACCGCATGACACATTTGGTATGAGTGGTTCAGCTTGACGAAAATAAATCGTATCTATGTAAGAACGAAGTGCCAATCGACGGGAGCTGACGAGATCAAGTGACGAATCGAGTCCGTTAACGGCTAAGGCCATGCGTAAATGATGCAAAGGGGGGTTCAGGTTCGCCAGTTTGTTGTAACGGCGGCGTTAATCAAGTAAAACGTCACAATGAGAGACACTATCTGACATGATCACAACTAAATCAAGCTACACTCTTCAACGCCAAGTTAAATCAGTAAAGCTTCGTACCTAAGATCATAGTATGTTTGTGATACTATATCGGTAAATTTTCCGGTAATATTAGGTCTCTCTAGACAACCTAATCTCAAAGAAATGTGGTAACTAAGTATTATTGGTATTATTGCATTGCTGTTATATTCTATGCGGCGCTAGAATGCCCTCAACCTAAACGACATGTGGTATGAAGAAGATCAGGGTTCAAGTTTGATTCTGGCTAGACGAAATATCTATACCCAGCATGATCGACCATTTACAGAAATGCCGTTGCATTAGTGCCATGTAAGGGTCTAATTGGATAGATATTTAGTTTGCTTTAAGGTGCTACTTACATGTACCATGCGAAATAACAAACGCTCCTCGAAGCGACCTCGAAAGAGGCAACGACTTTCGCGCGGGGTGGAGACCCTGCACGGTGTTATTTTGGGTCTGGACTAAATTCGTTGCATTACTTTTTTAGCTCGATGTCTTGATTGGAAATCTGATGCAAGCCTCGTATATGGCGCACGCAAATGCACTGAGATGCGGGGAATACCGTTGGGCTTTGACTCCACCTTTAGCTCCAGCTATTCTAATTTATTTCATGAGAGAAAAATAAAATAAAACAAAAATAATTTATTTTGAGAAATCCAAGAAAGTATAACGGTGGGAGCAAAAATATGCACCAGCCTCCTATGCCAATGAAAATAGATTGTGATACCAAATGAGTGGCTGTGGAATGGCCCGGTTAAAGATTCATGCCGTGTAGGTGTTTGCGGCGATACATGTATTGGGAAACAGCATTGAGAAAAAAACATACAAGCCTGGTACCGAGTGTTGACTTTGACAGCAGGCGAGTCAAGGAATACATGTTATTGTACTGGCTTCGATACCACAAAATGGTAATGGTAGCCTAGTTAGCCTAACTTGCAGATTGATTGAACAATAGAATAACCATCTTATGCTTTCGATTTAACTCGCCGTTAACTACTCTAAGGCCACACATGCATCGAAATATCAAAGTTCGATTTTAGAGCTGCAGTTTGTGCAGGCCCGGCATAATTATGATGCATGTATGTGTATGATAAGGAGAACTGAACCACGAGTGCATATCACAGGTATCAGATAGCGATGCGCCAATGAGAACAGCTAGTTTCAACCAAAAAAATAAACCTTCATTTCTCTTCGCTTTTTATTCGTTTTCTTAACCTGTCGTCGAACCAAAGAAGATGAAACGTATATACATGAAAAAATTTCGGAATCGCAACCAGGGAGTGAACATGGTTGCGCAGTTGCTAGAGGGTTGTTTTATTAAAAAAAAATTGAGGGAAAAAATTGAAGCGCAAAAGAAAAGCAATAAGATGACCCCAAGGATAGTGAATATGCAGGAGACGGACCAGGCGCTTGCATTGGGGTGGTGGTGGTGGTGGTGGTTCAACGAGTGAAATTGAGGTTTGTTCCACCGTTACACCTTGCCAAAGTGCCTGAAAGGATAAGGTTGTGCCCGGTTGTGTTTCAGAACAAAAGGAGGGATTGGACAAAACGAGCAACCTTCTAGAAAGAACGCATTGGAAACAGCAAACAAATAAAAACGCCTGTGCTTTTAAAAGTCAAAAATTAAAGTAAGAAAATAGACCGCTAATGAGGCTTTATGAAACAAAAATAACGAGTAGAGAGGGACTCTAAAATAAGATATGCTGCCGAGTGGTTGAGGATAAAGATCGAAAAGTGTAATTAGAGGGTGGATGTTGGCAGTTCAAGTAAGCAGTAACGCAAGCTGGAAAGATATCGTGAGACCAAAATGAGAAGGAGCAGAAGAAAGTCGCTAAGAGAACTTCAGACAAATCATAAGGCGGAAAGACATGTAAGGGAGCTTTTTAAAAGAGAATATCGGATGATGTCCGAGAGGGGACAATATTTACAACCGAGTACGATGAGTGAGCCATCAAAGCAAGGGGATGTCTGCACTGCATCTCAGCCTCAGCGAATGAATGGCGAAGAGGGACAGAGGGCTGTTAGAATTGGAAGATGTCGATGAATGCAGGCGAGGGTTTCTTTGGTGACCACCAACCGCCCTGTGCGGGGACGGTCTTAGTTCCCGTCGGCATACTTCTCGGGATGGAGAGCTGGCGTCGTTTCATGCGCATTCTCTTAGACAGACGTAGGCTGGCTGATGGCTTGAGAATTGTTACCCCGGAAGTACTTGTCACACCGGTACCACTGGTATCCCTTGGCGGTTCTGGTTCACTAAGGCGAGGCCTTTTTGTGGGAGGCTGAAGAGATGCAAGTCTCGTCTCAAAGCTCTCATCGTCCTAAATGAATATGAGCGGTGATTGGTTAGCGATCGTATTTCCGAGGCCCTTGTGAGCAACACATTCCATTCGAACATTCATTCCCTGCGGTCCATTTCTAGACAACTGGATTTCCAATTAGGGAAACCATGGCCGTCTTACTATGGGGTTCAGCTGGTTGCAGCGAATCTACGCTGCAATGAGGTGGAGCCAGCAAAGTAATGAAGTCGAATACGAGGTTGTGGGTTGCGAGCACGAGATTGCTGAAGGAATAGCCCTTACCTCGGTGAAACAGCCGCTATCATAAGCTTCGTCGACAAAGTCGTAATCTTCGTCGTCGTCGTCGCTATCCTCTTCCCAGAAACTCTTGGGCTCTTCGTTATCCATGCTCATCTGTTCGTCGACTTCGTATTTGCGGACAATAGATTCGAGCTCTGATAATGTATCTTCCAGAGTCATTGCTTTTCTTGTTGTAGGGCTGAGGGGAAGTTCTTCTGCTGAAGGAGAAGCATAAGCCGAATCGACAAAACTCGAATCGAAGTATGAGCCGACGGAAAGGTTTGGTGACATGCTTCTTGGTGAAGGGAGATATGGTTCCAAGTGCTGTCCGGACCAGATCTTGTGGGATCTTATAGTTGGCGTAGGAGAAGGAAATCGGAAAGCTTCCAGCTGTTGTCTTACGGAGTCCAGTTCTGTAAATGAATTCATTTTGATATCGCCCTTGAGATGACGGACGCTGTTAATTTGTGGCTTTTGTCGAACTCCGAAATACAGAGGAGCCAATGTTATTGGGAGTAAAGTGTCTCGACAGGTAGAAGGGACAATAAAGAAAATTGAAGTTTCGAAATCGATGACCTGCGTCGATATATATATAATTATATTCTGATTCGGAAAGTGAAGCTGCAGTACTAAATATGAATCGTATCGAAGCGTTCCAGTGTAATTCTTGTCATAAGCAAGTTCGAATAGCAGCAACAGAAATGATATAATATAATACGATATGATATGCGCTGAGTAATAAGAATAATAACAAGGAGCGACTGATACGTTAACGATAGAAAATCTTCTATTTGAGGCCTAAAGATTTACGAGTATTGAAAGCAGAGGCTGTGAATGGAACTCCCATGAGCCAGGGAAGATCACGATATATATAAATCCTTCCTGGGGAAATTCATATTTTAATTTAGAAGGTTCTTATTATGGGAAAATGCTGCGTCCATCAGTGCATACTGCGGGCATGAGCCAGGACCTCATTCCGGCTTAGGTCGTTGTTGGGATTCGCTTGAACATGGGTCAACCTAAAAAAGATGTTCGCAATTGTTTCTAATATGACATGGGAGACCTAGAACCAGCGTCACCAAACCACAATGCAAAGATGAGCTCCAGGTTGCCCAAGGGGTGCCACACACAAGATAATGAACAAGAGGGTACAAGCCTCCTTCTCCAGCTTGTTTTGCTGTCGTGAATAAGGCGAAAGACGGGAAGTTGGGAAAGATAATTATTATTCGATTTATAGGACGCGATATTACCAGAACTTTGAGACCTGCGGGGAGGCGGATCCAGACAAGGCAGTAACTTTTCATTTTTCGTGTATGTATTAATCCCTTCTGCGGCGGCCTTCATGCCCCCCGATGATACTCAAGGCAGGAGCTGGTTATGCCCGGTCTCCAGCCTTTCCTGGTCGGGGAATATCCTTCACAAGACATGATTCTGCATGATGCCTGCTACTTTCAAAATTGCTACCGCGAACCTCTAGCGATAGACATTTCACAAGACAATATCGCAGGCAGGTTTCTCAAGAAGTATTAAACGAGCTCACTTAATTAATTTTAACCTTAATTAATCAAATCGCTCTCGTCGGCACGAAGACAATATTATACTGTATAGACGCTTGGATAAACGTCGAACGCATGTTTCAACTGTACAGTTTCGAAGCATTATGCAACCGAATTTCCCCTTTGGCAACGTTGAAATATCCGAATTTCCCGACCGACGGTCGGGAAAATATTAAATGTCGCTGCATTCAAGCATTCAAGCGAGAAGCATGCTAGCTGGCAGTGATGTGGTGTTACACACCGACAAGATCCAAAAACTGCCTGACCGGGACAAATTTCATCCTTAAAACCTTTGAGCAAGCAGTTCTTGCTCTGTCCCCTTCATTCGACTTTTTCCGGTGGCCGTGGAAGGTCAAAGAATACCACTAGAATGACGATGGTATTTTCCGAAATATTCAAATAGATTAAATAGATTTCCCCATCGAGAACCCTCAAACAAGGGGAAGGATCGGTACCTGAACTAGGCCAATAAACTAACGAACAGTGCGTAAGCATTCCCGGCTGAATTAACAAGATCAATCCATCAACTCACCAACCTAATTGTGGCTCTGGCGATCGTCAGGTACCGGTTTCGTCCGGTAATTTTTGTCTGTAAGGACATACTGTACGTGCGTAGACACTCGACTCAGCTCAGTCGGGGCGTCACTAGTGAAGCACCAATTTATTGATAGACCATGGCCCCCTATAGCAGCCGTCTTATCAATATAATCTAGACTCCTATCGGCTTGTCGGACAGGTTGCATGAATACTGTTTGTGCAGCTGCGCAGCTTGCCCTCGGATTTCGAGAATGTGAATGATACAGACGCCGGTTTCATGTGTACAATGATATGGATCCGTGGAAAACCCGCGCCGATAGCAGGAAAAAACGAGGCTTGTGAACAGCAGCCTGAGGAGAGTATCAGGCCTCCCATCGGTCTTGTTGGATCTCCGTGTTCTAATCTGCATTCGGCGGGCTGTCTCAAAACCTTGAAGCCGGGGATCACACTCCCAACAACATGACGGAGCAAGCTCTTGTGTCACCGTACCAGCCTGGCAACACACCGCACTGGCACATACTACTATTATCCATATTGCGCTTTGGCAAACTGCGCTGCAACCGCGCAGACAGGTGCCGGTTGATGATGGCCTGCCTGAGCTCAAGGGCAGCAATAGATCCAGGGTAACTACCGCACCGGCCCCAGGCAACTAATCTCGAAGAAGGCATCTTACTCCTGAGGTTATTTCGAAAGAGGTATCTATGATGAGGGATTTCACACTTGGAAAGAAATATAATATTTTGGATGAATATTATAAATCATCAAAGCTTTCACAGTACTAGTGCTATGTACGGAGATGCAGAGAGATGTTTAGAAACCAGCTAGAATTTTCCCTGGAAATATTTTGCGACTCGCGACACGCTAGACCTGAAAGGCTATTATTTCCAGAATCAATCAACTATATGACTAAAGGGGGCTACAAATCCTCGAATAGCAACCTATAACATCTTTCTCCAACGTTGAAATCTCGGTGTGTTCTCCTATTTTACATTTAGAACTCCGTACCTGCGTTCGCTTAGGCCAAAGCGAAGCGAAAGGGCGGTGGCAGTGAAACCCCGAGCTGTCGACGGGCGTAAATTAGGCATCCACTTACTTGTTCTTGAGTGAACAAAAGGACCTCTCGCTCAGGTGAGCCATTCAGTACTTCGTTAGGACTGGAGATGACATGTCAAGTGTGTCGCGCCCTGCAGGATACAATATGCCCTCACTTTTGAAACAATATCAAGGGTCTGGTTGGAGAGTCTTCTGCCAGTCCCAGGGCTGCAGCTGAGAGTGGATACTATCATGTCATAGTCAAAACTGCCACGAGCGACGCCGAAATGGTCTAAATTCTAGGTCATGGAAGATCTCAATTGCCGTAGCTCCGACCCGAGGAGAGAATCCGATCTCATCTCGTTACTTGCGTCTCCTCACTGGTGGCTAACGGAGGGGCTTCGGACGTCGAGTGGCTAACCAGCCAATAGCATTGCGAAACGTAAAATCTAGAACGATTTTCGTGGCATTCCGGGCGGTCCACGAGATCCTAGACGCCACCACGTTGTCTTTGATTAGATCTTTGCATAGATTTATAAATCTACATCGCAGACGAGCTCTATTGAAGGCTTGATCACAGGAATGTGGCTGCAGATACAATGTCCCAGTGGGGTGTAATACGTATCTTCAAATTACCTTTGCCGATGATGTCAGACGATGGGCTGACGGAGATGCCGGTTGTTCGACGCCTCAACCAGCTCCGGAGATATGCTTTTAAACACCAGACCCTGTTTTTAAGGCTTGAGGAAATTTCATATCAGGTAAGGGCGGCGCTCTACGCGGAGAAATGGCGCACGCGAAATGCAGAATTGCAGTTGTATTCCGAGAACTGGCCGTGGAAAATCCCGTAGCCTTTCTCCATGTTTGACGAAATCATGAAGAATTGTGAAAGTTGCACGCCACATATGCACTCTCGCGTGCAGAAGAACCTCATTTCAATCGATTAATCCTGTGGCAGTTGAGCTGACGAGCCAGTCAAGTACTCGGCGAGTTCTAGGCCTTTCTCAGCCGAATGAACCAATTCGAAAGTCTCGGTCTGCAGATCTGGGGTTAAACGGCTTTTGCATCCTCCTTACCTGTCAGCCGATAGGATATGAATCGTAGAGTAGCCGACACCAGTAAACGCCGATGCAGGACTCTAGACCTTTCTGCAAGATGCCGTGCAGTTCTAAATTCGAAGCAACACGGCCGCAAGCTTGTGGGTCATTGTCTGCGGCATTGCGTGATGCGGTCAACCTACCTAGACGATGCAGCTCTAGTCCGCGCAATATGATCCTGGGCCTTTATATCTCGAAATTCAACATCACTATGACTTCAACATGGGTTCACAAAATAGTTTTCTGGTCTCCCCACGCCTTTATTTTCGTCAATATCAACATCTCGTGGGGGCAACGGATCAATTGACCTTCACAAGTAGTTTTCCACGAGTCAGCTTATTCGTGCGAAGGTGGGGCACTGAATTGCTGACCCGGGTAAATAATCGAGGGTCCACTATCGCGAAAATCACAGGGCATATCGGTTATGATAAAATTCCGAGCATGGTTAATCCCACAGCCTCGGGTGTGCAAATATAGTCTCAGTCCTTGAATGTTTCTACTAACTCTTGAGCCGCGAGTTCAAAGGATATATTGAGAACGTGGGATGGTCCACAGGTGTTCATGTGGCCTGGGTGATTTTTGGGGGTCACCATTGATCAATTGAGACGGCCTGGCTAATTGTGTATTGAAACGAACACCATGTTATCCGAATTTTAAGCCTGAATGCATAGCGTATGTGGTGTCATTTTTGTTGGATTGTATGGCATCGTGATGATCCCACTTATACAGACTGATGGACTTGGGTGTCGTCTTGCAGGAGGAATGCTTCAAGGTCCTGATGCAGCATATATACAAATTATATGCAACGATGTTAAAACAAGCTCGCCGGGGTGCCGGAAAAAGCGTGGGGGTTGGACATCAACTTGGTGATGCCGTAGACACCCCATCTACAAAACACATGATCTGACGTTGATTCTATAGCACTTTTGATATCGACGAGGTCCTTAATTGAGGGGTAGTACATATCTGCAAGAGTAGTTGGCAATGTCCTAGCGCCCTTTGCGGAGACAATTCCCGAAGACCAAAGATAAACTCGATCATTTCGAAATTTCTTTGATGAAAAAGAATCATAGTTAGTGCAGGTAATTAAGCTTCCGCTACTCCGGCGCTGCCGACGGTCGGAAAATATCAGAGGCCAGATATCGATGTCTTGTAGTGACGATATATATTCACAAGGCAAAAAACTTTTTAAAATTTTTTTCCAGTACTGCTGTATATATTCAAGTGATGTTTTTTTTTGTGTGCGACGCTAGAGAACAGATGAAACCAACTAGTTATCTCGCGATCAAGAACTTGAACAGGGGTAAATCTTGTCGATACTTCCATAGACCCGCCCAATTAAAGGTTGCACACGATGCCACGCGGAAATTATAGTTAAGCTATGATCCAAGGCCCATCGAGCGAGCTCCGACGACACGGTAGATAAGAACATTGAAAAAGTGTGGAAAAAATTACAATTTACCCAGAGCTGCAGAGATAGGGTAGTTTCGGTGGCGAAAGTTGCCCACTTCCCAACGCAATTCGGATACATGGACCTTATCTTCTTAGACTACTTCTTAAACAATTCCATTGTCAAAAACTTTGGAAAGCTTCGACCCTGGTCGTGGTCGGGGCGCATCCCTTCAGCTCCAACTAGCACAAGTGTCGAATGAGACAGAGGATATCGGTTTTGAGCTCCCGAATGCGAAAGAACGTTGAGGCCAGGGTTCTCCCAGTATGTGAAAGGGTATGCGGGGATTGCGGACGTTTCTAATTTCGAATATTTTGTACAACTAGTGTTAGACCCTAAATTCTCCTATTGACCGTTGCGACCGGTATCGAAATTTAGCTCCTGAGCAAAGCACTCACTAAACTCAAGAACTAGATCCCTAAATTATAAAAGATTGAGGTTAGAGGATGTAGGACTTAAAGTGGATCCTAAACATATTAGAACATATTAGAATATTTGTCCATGCATATGCACGCCAGCATAACGCTGCCTGTGAAGGGTAGTTTTCAATAGGAGTTCTTCAATATCTAGCGGTGTGAAACCGCCTCCAACATACACATTCGCAGGTTTTGGTAAAATTCTAGAAAGTGGATATGGATCCATTCTCGCTTGCCCTATCTTGACAACTTTCCTCCCAGGATGGGAAGTCTTACCCGGATCCGAAATTTCATCGGCATGCCGAAAAAGGAGGGAGAGTATTCCGACGCATGCGCAGCCTACCGGAAAGGAAATTCTGGTCGGCCCCTTGCAGACGTCAACTTCAAACGTCCGTTTGATCGTCGACCGTCTCAAGGTTGGACGGCTGCGGTTGTAACAGCAAGGCAGTGTGTTGGCGAATGCCCTTTGCCATGCGGAAGAGGGCTATCAAACAAAGACTTGAACCGGCTCTTTTGCGGCCTTCTAGAATGATTTTCTTGAAACTTTGTTTAGAAGGTACTGGACAAGGGCTGCCATTACTCTTTTCGGGTGACGGACTCTGGGGTGAGCTCGATCATGCACGCATGTCATTATTCTTGTTTATTCAAGCCGAGGGTATGCACGGATTGATATAATATTTGCTGGAACGGCATGAAAGGCGGATCTCAATAGCTCTGTTGGTAAGGCAGATCAAAAGGTCCTTCCAGAAAAACAGTCCAAAGATTCCCTTGTTTATGGGAGCTACAAGCCTCGTTGGCAAGGTTGTCGGTGTAAAAACTATGCATGCGCACGCTAATGTGAATGATACAGTTGAAAGAGCTCGCAAGCTAATGGAATAATTTTCAGTCGATTCCCCGGTATGGTCGGGTTCCAACCTAAACCCAAGCGTTTCGGGAAGCTTCGAAGCTTTATGGCTGGGATCCTCAAGATCTCCTAGATTATATGTTTCGGGTTCGGTACGAATGGTCGACGCGACGATCAACAACCAGAACCAGAAACACAATGATGTAGACGGACTCTTTCCGATATTACTATCAAGCTAAATAGAGCTGGGCTTAAAGGTATACACTATCTTGAGGTTGGTGAATGAATCTCTTGGCTAGGTGAAGTTATTTGTGGGGAATGTTTGCCAGGTGTTTGAGGTTCATAATTATGACATGCGATGACGATGCTCTCCAATTTTCCTTTCCACCAATAGCCTTTGCGATTTGGTAGCGGTCGCTTAGGCAGCTGGGCGCTAAGAAGATAAGAAGCCGGTTCATGAATATCGAGATCATCCGGTCTGCCTGAAGGCCTTGCGGAGCTCCAGCAGCTATGATACGAGGAATGTGGTGTTACTGCCCATGCGATCTTGTGACCCCGACGGACGTCTCGAAGAGCAAGTATCTAAAACGGGCCTGATATCATAACGCTGAATCATGAATATGAATGCATTCCAGGAGCAAATCATCATAAGTACGCGTAGACTCATACATCATCCAGGATCTACAACAAACATGCTAATATATTTTCATACAAGCACCTGAACAAGGTATGGCAAGAACAAAGTTGTGAAATTGCCAGGCACCTCTGATTGGAAGCCAAGACTCGATGCTGCCAGGTACTGGACTATTTCGTCAAGGAACCAATGAACAAACAAACTTCTGTGCCTCATGAGGTGATGACAGCATGACCCTTTCGCGCTAAAATGTTCGAGAAAGAGGTCCCTTCTAGTCTATTGTTCCAGTCTTTGGGCCGGAGGCAAAGAAGTCCATACATGTCGTACCTGGCTTTCCCCGACGAAACGCTGGGCGATTTTTTGGCTGGTGATTTGACCAGAGTTCCTTCAGAATCCGATGTTTGCCCTGCGGGCCCCTTTCATTCGATTTTTCGCAGCTACCCGGGGTCGGTCGAGTGAGAGGAAAGGAAGAAAACCTGAAATGCTAGCTGGCATTCTTTGAATGCAAGGGGAATTTTAATTTTCGTCGTCAATCCTATCACAAAAAAAGACTGCCAGCACACCCATTTGGTTTGATGTTTGATGCGGCATTTGAGAGGCATCACCATTTCCCTACAATAATGTGCATGCTACATCTCGATCCCCTTCATGTGAGGGGTTGAGCTGGCCGCGCGTGGGCGACGTTGATAGGGAAAAAGGGCTTCCTGGATCCACATTAGGTGGTCTGCTTTGCCCCGAATGACCTCAGGATTTTTGTGCCATCTGGAAGACTAAGCTTCTACTGGCCCTTCTACCTGATTTCTGAAACTCACCACTTGGTTAGCTGATGGACAGGCCTCGGAGACAAAATTTGGGGGACACAGCATCATCACACCAGCAAACTCCTCATCTTTTTCTTTCCTTTTTTTGATGGGACCCCTGTGCGCTAAGCCAAGTGCCAGGCACAAGGGCAAGCCAGGAAAGGTCAATGGATGCATGTTTCCCAATATGTATGCCCCCAAATTTCACATTTCTTTTTCCAATAGCCAGGCGGATTTTTCTTTTTCCTTCTGGAGGAGCTGAACCAATTTGCAATTGCTGGGGGGCAGTAGCCTGGTTCCATCGGATATTGCCAAACACCAGCAAGGCTGTGGTTTAGTATATATCTTGACGTCCCACCCTTCGATTCTTCAGAATTAGATTTTGGAATTCAGCTTAGACTTAATAATTGAACGAGGTTTCACGATATACACTTAATATTCTTTAAAACAACAAAATATCTACCAATACTTTCTATAGATATTTACTATTACTTCATCTACTCTATATATACGACCAATCAATACACTCCGAACCATACACATATCACACAAGCGAAATTCAAAATGCGTCAGTCGACATTAACATCCGCCGCTGTCGCCCTCTCCACAGTCCTTACTTCTCACAGGATAACACACGCATTCTTCGGCGGTTGGGCTGTCATTGCCAAGGGAGCCGACCGAGAAAGCAAGGACCTCGATGTTCTAGTCAAGGGCGAGAAGGACGCCATCGTTGATCTTTTGACGAACGATATCAGAGGACTAAAGGGTGAAGATGTTGGATCTTGGATGGTGATCCCACAGGCCAGAAATGATTACGTTGCTTTCTTCTGGAAGCCAAGCCCGTCTTCCAGCGAGATGGTTCTTGTTGAGCTTTTCATTGGTATGTCAAAAGTCAATTAAGCTCGAGATTCTAAACTTCAGATAGCTAACAGATTTTACAGGTCCAAAGACAAAGATTCCACCAACTGTTTTGCTCCAAGTTGACTCGGTACACGCTGTGCCAGTCATTGATACTCCCGCTCTCTTCCGCGGCAAGCTGGCAGCTTGTGCTTCCCGCTCCAAGCCAAATGACTGCTCTGATGTTATCTTCCTCGCTACTACATACTCCTCTCAACTCCCATCCGATACCATCAAGAAGATTGACACTAAAGTCATCGGAATGGCTGTCAAGAAATACCCTGAGCTTATCGACTCTCTTGAGGGTCTTGGAATCAGCACCCGCAAAGCTATCAAGAAGGTCGGAAGCTGTGACTCTCTATCCTCCAACTCCTCTGGCTTCAGCATCAGCGGCCGCATGAATGAGGGAGAGGTCCAGCGCGGGCTCTTCTGCTAAACGATACGCCATTACCGCCGATCACGAAGAGAACGACTTTTCTTATTTTTTTTTAATCTCCTTCTTCTTTGAACATATATTTTTTTTACTTAATCAGTGTGAACAGTTCTTTAGCGTTGCATCATTCGGCCCGCATTGCTTATGGAAAGCATCATACAGGAGTTTTTTTTTTTTTCCTTTTTCCTTTTTGGTTCGGCATATATAGACACCTGTTTTGCATATAGAGAGAGATACCTCGACGAGTTTCATTTGTGCGATTTTACCCTTTACTAATCATATTAGACTTAATGACCTTTCATGGCCTATCTTCTTGTATATATTTTTATTTCCTTTGTCTTGTTTTTTTTGAAAAAAAAAACCGTCGGAGTTTATTGTTAGGGATATCATGGTACATCTGGATGGCCGGTGGTGCCCTGACCTGGGATAAGAAAGGAAATCAAATTCAAAGGACAAAAGTCCTAAATTGGCTACAATACCAAAACCTTTTATTATTTTCTCCAGTTGTGCAAATCGTCTTTTAGTTTGCGAGTATGCCACAAAGGAAATTCCAATTTTCAAACTTTATTTGCTTCCACGATGTTGAGGAGCCTTTCATCTAGATTAATTCCATCTTGAGTTTGAATTTTAACTTTAACTTTGGCTACTATTGCCGATGCTTCCTTTCGACCTCGGTTTAGACTATGCTACTACATCCGGGGTTGGTGGTGATATCGACTTGTCTGGTCTCACATTACTAAAAAAAACATCCCAAAATGAGCAACTGGAGTGTCATTGATGCGCATATGCTTCGTATATGAGTTAGTGTGTCGATAGATTTTTCTACAGGGTTGGGGTCCAAGTTGACAAGGGCAAGTAATTTGCATGTCCACTGAAGTACCATCAAACCAATATCAAAGGGACACCAGACCACCAAGTGTTATTCACCTACGAGTCAATAAGAATTTTCTAGTGAGGTCAACTAGCCTTCCAAGAACCTTGCGACCAGTCTTGTTAAGGGCTAGCTCTAAGACCTTTTGCGAACAATTTTGTCCTGAATCACGGAACTACTTACTTTATTCTTACACGAAGACCCGACTTTTGCTAGTATTAACTTTGTCTGGCGCCTTTGAGCCAAGCTGATTGGAAATAATTTTATTTTTTTATTTTATCATCAAATTTTATTTTTGATCAGATCATTCTCATATTTGAGCGGGGCACATGCAGGAGCTCTCAGTAAAACCTACACGAAGGTATTCCGGTAACACAAGCAAACTGATGGTAGCTAAGGCTATGAGGTCGAGATCACCATACTTCAAAGGCTTTCTTAAATAGGGTGACGAATTCAAAGGTTAATATCACCCCACCAGATACACGATAAGATCAATCGATCGATTGTTGTTTAGCCGGCCGAGCCGCGGCGTTTCTGCAGCGTTTCTGCAGCTCTCCCTAGGTAAATACCACGAGGCAGCCTCCCACCCCACACATAATCAAAGACAAAATTTTCTGCATAGTAAATTTTTTTGATGCACGAGTGGCTTGATGTTTCTCTATCATGATATTACTTTGCCTTCGTTCTGATATTCATCTTCTACAACATAACTACAAGATGCGCATTCTGGGGTTCTATACATGATACTAGGGTAAGGCAATTAGATGATAAGTCCCTTGAAATTTGCGACGTCGATTTATTTATAATATCTGTTTATAGAACGCTGGAATCGCCGTGCATATGCTTGAGGAACTGGGACTCAACTCTAAAGCCCATTTACGCCGACGGGTTTTTGCTACTAATGGTAGATCTTATCATTTTTATGAATTAATATCACATTATATTCTTTTCATGATTTAATCAAGGTTTACGAAGGGGACAATATGCATGCATGACCACGTAAACAGACAGTAGCTCGAATATTGCATTTTGACATGTATATGTCGACTGAGTGTTGTTTTTGTTGCAGTTTAGCTGTAGAATTGTTTCGGCCTTAGACAATTGATTGCTCACAAGGATGCCACGTCTAGTCTGCCGAATAGTATACATGGTACGATGTCACCAGACCAAGATTCAATGAACGAAAATAGGACTGAATTGAGATAAGGCCCTTGTAAAAAATGATGATTGCTCGCAAAGTTACGTAAACAAGAATACGAGCGCCACCCAACCCTGGGTGTCGAAATTTTTTAATCTGAAACGCATATACCAGGGCAGACCCCAAGCTGCTCGCTCTGCTGACCCACCGATTCGCTATTCCCATGTCCTTCAAACACATTTGAATTCAGCCTTAACGATCTCTGATTTGGCCTGACGTAATATAATTTTTTCACCTCGTGGCAGTCCGACAAGCGAGGTTGCATTTGCAGCTTACACGCCATGGACGAAGATCTCAAACAGGACAAATGGATGTTTCAGGCATTAGGATCCTTTAGAGGGTGTGAATGACAAGAGAACAAGTCCATTGTAGGGTGACGAAATCATTCTCTTTCGCGACAGCGGTTTCATTTTTGGTCATTTTTTCTTCGGATGTATAGAGAAAAGTGCCCGAAGGATGTCATCGGCGGCCGGCGTCACCGGTGTACTGCGGCGTCGGCATTAATTAGGACAGTCCGTCTTTCGTAAACTCCTGCCCGAGCTTACATTAGGCCATGGGAATAAATGCCTGTTTGATACGTCAATTATCCTATTAGGTGAGGTTATTCAAGCCTGGTTGTTGATAGCTCCTGTAGAGGGAACCAAGACGTCATAACTTTGGGAATGTGTTGATTGAGGCATGCGGCAAGAATACCATGTCTCAACTGCCTCTTGTTTTCTCGTTCTTGAGCAGAAGTCGGAATGAGATTCTTCTATGGTAGAATTTTGAATTCTGCATTGATATGAATAGTTTATTTCTAGAATCAATGTCGAAGGTTGGTTCAGAATGGAATCCTAATATCCTTTCCATTTTGATGAATGGAGCAAGTCTAAACGGCGGGGGGGGAAAGTTTCAATGCAATGCGGTATGACTGACCGAGTCTAAACGTGATCTTTATCGGACGCCGCTGTTAAGGCTGCGCCCTTCATGCAACCGTAAGTTCATGCCAATTGGATTCTATTCAAGCAAAAGGGGCCAATGTTCGCCTAGATTTCATTACTGTGACTTACTTATCTAGGGAGGTGAAAATGTCAACCTTCAGATGCAGATATATATTCACCACTAGCTCACTTCTTGATGAATATAATATTAGAAGTCAAAATCTCCGCACTAGGAAGTCGTAAAACTCAACTATGAGGTTATTACGGGGTCTCCGTAAGGATACTGGGTGTCATCTGACTAGTTGATTTCTGGATCTTAGACATCAAAGCTGAGACTTAATGATCAAAGTGGCTTGGTCTGCTAACGCTCCACCGTCTTAAACAAAGTTTGAGCGCTTGGTCCGAAGATGTGGCTTTAATGATTGTGTTTGGAAAGAAACTGTCCTCAAAATGAACAGTAGCGTTACGTGGCTAACCAAGTCGTGTATAGTTATTGCTGATGGATGCCACACTTTCGTACCCCAGACCGGGATTATGGTTAGTCAATCGTTTTAAACGTTGTCTGAGAGCTATTTTCTATTATCAAAGTGCCTTTATAAATTACGGAATGGGCCGGTTTTGGTAAAGTGCTTCGGGTTTACCTCGGGTAAGATTGCGACCGCTTCAGAGGTATGACATCGGGTTTGGCTTTGAGTAATCGCGGAGCTCGTCGGGTGGACTGGTCATAAGACCCTATGGTGTCTTTTCATAATGCAACTGGCGAGTTAATCCTGAAGTGGATTGATTTTGATGAATTGATTTTTGTAATTTGTATACATGCAGCGATACGTGAACGTTCGAACCCGAAAAATATTCGTGGTGAGAAGTCAAAGCGTAGAACCATTCTGAGCGCCCCTAGTGCTGTCTGATCTAGTCTGGGGATGCTCGGTGTGATATACTTGAACTCGGTGTGATATACTTGAATTGGATAAGCTAGAAAGAGCTCTAACGAAGCCGAACATGTGCAAATGCTAATACTAATTTTTTGTCTTCAAATTTCTTCGAACGTCAAGCTGCAGTTGCTAATTGCATTGAACTGAACTGAACCGGGAAACTGATGTGTTGTGGAGGTCGACGGTAGACTGCTTCATTGGGAAACGATAGACGGCATATTTCTCGTTTTGGTTTAGCAATGTTACACGAACTCCACTTGCAAGAGGGAAGCGAAGGCCGTGAAGGGAGCTCGAGATCCCAAAATTAAGTAGCAAAGGTGTTTTTTTTTTTTTTGAAAATCTTTTTTTGATATTTGATATTTTTATTTATGTTTATATTGTATTCTGTATTTCATTTTTAATAAAAAAAATTAACAAGTTATTATAGTTTTATAGTTATAGTTTTACAGTTATACAAGAATTACAAGAAGCGGGAAGATGTTTGTGAAGTATTGCATACAGAAGATATACTATTTTCGGATAAATGGGGCGTTGGGTTATTCATGCTTATAACGTTAGCCGTTTAACTCTGTGCAGTAAGCATTACAAAACAAAGGAAGACAGTATACGTATACAAGAAGGAATACGAACGATCGAATGTGCACGTGGGTTCAAAGTTTATCGGGTCTTAAAACTACACCCGGAACCCCATAAGTGGAAACATGAACAACAACTGCTATCGAATGCTTTCCAATGCATTCTCTTTCCAGTGCATTCGTTGTAACCCGGGTACCTCGGTGACAGATTTGTGTACCACATGAACATGTTAAGAATGTCGCTCTCTTTGAAAAATTAGTAGTAAAAACCTTGTTCAGGACATACTGAATTATCGTCATATGACTGAAAAGAAAACATGGCATCAGATAGTGTATTAGCTATAGGTGATCGCCGTGAGTTATAAATCTGTCATTTTCGCTCTTCGAAAGGCCAGAGCTCCCCCCTACTGCCCCGAGCGTCTGTGAGAGGCCGGAAAAATCCATCCCATTTGGTATGAAGCCGCCTCGGAATTGGCTTTTCCAAACGTTCAAAACAGAGCCTGGGGTATTTGCACCACATGAGCATGCGGTCTGATTTTGATGCTCGGACTTCATCTCGCAGCGTAGTTCTATCTCTAACTGAGCTCTTATATTCACGGCATGGGCCTTCATTGTGTTGGCGTTTTTGATGATACTCTCTCCACCCTGTCGTAAGATGTCTGCATTTCTTATCATAAGCTCGAGGGTGTCATAGAGAGCGCTGGACATGTCATGGAATATTGCATCATCAGGGAGGTTCTCAGAGGAGGGGCTTTCTGAAATTGTCGAACTGAGACCTCGATCAAGAAGGTCTTCTTCGTCAGCTGCATACACAAGCTCCATGCGATGTCCAATCGCTGACTTGAATTCGTTGTGGGAATAGAAGGGTGGTCCTTGACCCTCATTGGTCGTGTTATCTTCGTCATCGCAAATGTCAAGGAAAGAGCGACTAGAGTTTGAGTAGCTAATTCTCGGGGGCTGGCTGCTGGCCCGAAGTCGTTTTTGAGAGGGGTTCTCAACGGTACCATCAAATTCCGAGCGACGCTTTCTTGGATTGCAAGAATTTTCGAGCCTCGAACATGAGTTTTGAGGAGCTTGTGGTTCAATGGGTGAGCTCGGGTCCTGGGAAGGCTCGCTGACGTCAGATGGGCTAGCAAATATTGCGGGTCCCGAAACACCAATCAAACCCATTATAAGGTTTGCAGTCGAGGCATTGTGTGTCTGCATGGTGTTTTGAGAATGGGTAAAGTTCATTCTGGTAGCTAGTTTGCTAGGGTAATTGAATCTAGCTGAGATACCTTGCCTGGTAATGTAGGTAGAGGAAATATGGGCAGGGTAGTTTGAGCGGGTCAAACCGTAGAAGCAAATGATCAGATAGTATGTTTGCGGTATCTCGATTTTAGTAAGACCAAAAAGTTATATGGTATTGGTACGGTATTGGTAAATTGGTTTATAAAATGATAGATTATGGCTATGGGGAAAAGCTTTAAAAGTAGCACCAAGTAGGCTTGATATTTTACACCTTGGGCGGAATATATATCGTTGTGTATTGAGGAAAGCTATTTTATGAGGCTATTCTGGGATCTGGAGGGTATGCTTACTCGAATTTGGGAAGAGAGTGGGCGGATCTCAGCCGGAAGCGGGAGAAATATTCAGAACTGACCAAATGGAATATATATCGGTACGTAAAATGCAAAACGATGATTGTTTCCTGCTATTCAGCAGAATACCAACAGCTGTGTGCAGTCTGTTGGCAACCTGTTGCGGCTCGGTTGCGGCTTGGTTTCAGTGGCTGAATTCATGAAACGAAACAAAATCCAACATAATGTAACCGAGTTTGGAGTTTCTAGAACTGGGTTATGTTGGTTACAATTATATACCCGTAACTGACAAAGTGGATGCAAAGGGTCCTAAATTTAAAAGCAGCGTGGTAATAGGATGCACGTGGATTTTTTACTATCGAGCTTCTTAGCCTCCAACAAGAAGTATACGTAGTGGAAGTCTTGCGAAGTCTAGGTTATGTATTTGTTTTACTGATTACCATCTAGAGAAGCATTAAGCTGGGGGCTTCAAGTGGGCTTTTGGGCGCTTATAGAGGTGTTATATACATACAGTTTACAACATTCTCCAACACATGCTCTAGCTGCTGAGATGGGAACGGGTTTAAATTTGGTTCTACGATCAAATTTGCCAATTGAATGGAATCTGTTAGTATCGTAGAAGATGCATCCGAACACAACCCCTCTTGGTTCACCGAGATAGTCTTCTTGGATCATAATTCGACAACAACAGAATCTCTCAAGCGAAACGCGTCGTCGCGATCTAGACTGTGATCCGCAAATAATAGTACGATGGCATCAGTTAAGGCCCGAAGTGTCCTTCTTCAAATTCCTTGCCTCTTCTTTGGTCATAAAACCCTCTATGTGACCTCATTGAGGGAACCGTCTATCAGAAGGGCGTCCAGCCTCGCCTCTGACACCCAAGGCCAGCCCAGTGCAACTAATTCCAACAATAAGTTGCCTGTTATTCCGCAAAGTCGGGAAAGCCCCAATGGCACTACCACCAACTCTGCTAGTGCCGATGACATCTTCCAACAGGAGCTTCAAGGCATGAATAAGACTACGTTGAATGGTCTTAAAATTTCAAATTATCCCCGATCTCAAAGGCGTTTCATCGATCAGGAACGATGCAAACGCCGTGCTGAGGGAAACACCGCGGCAGCAAACAAGCAGGTGCCAAAGCCACCACCAACCTTCACAGCTTCAAACGGTACATCTGGCACGTCAATAGCAGTATTGGGACCAAGTTGCTCAAACGATGATACTTCTTCAAAACATACCGAAGAAAGCCCCAAGATCTGGTATATGTTTCCGGAGCATCATAAATTAGTTGTCCAACTGGCCCCGGGAGTTCGTTTTACCGACTCGGACGTTGATGGAGCTCACGAGTGGCAGACGAATATATGCGGAACGTTCAGATGCTCGAAGAAAACATGTGGAAACAAGTGGGGAAGCGGTATCGTGGCCACGGTTATTCGTGGGTATTTGTTCCCCGAGAAAGACCTCGCGTATAATGCCAAAGTTTTCAACCAAAGATGCAAGGAATGCGACTCCCTTGGGTATATGACCATTAGCCGACATACATATCTCGGGAGGGTTATCCGCCGATTGAAGATCTGGCGGAATGAAAAGGTTGATCAACTACGACATGAAAACTATTGGACTGGGCCACACAAGTCCGAGCTTTGTGAAGGCTGTAAGGCGGGGAAATGTGGCCGGGAGGGAGGATAATGGGCTCTATTGCATGCGTAAGAGCTGATCATAGCGTTTGGATAACAGCCAATATTAAACTGTAGAACGGGGGCTTTTACCTTTCTTACTTGTATGTGATTCAAGTAGATTTTTATGTCGTCCTTGGAAATTATTAATTATTATGGATTTGGGGTTAATATGACATTACTAGTACTCCTTAACCTCGTAGAAAGATTATATATAACGTAGATCAGTAGGTGATTGTATGGTATTAATTGCAATCTGCAATGCCGGACAATCGATGTTAGACTGATTTATGCCGACCTTTTGATGCGTATTAATTTCGAAGCATCGAAACAGATGGAAGAGCTGAGTTAAGCAAAGTATAAAGCCGCCGAGGTTTGATGGGGTAATGGCTTTATGCGATAAGAGTATAGATTTACGAGACTAGTATAGATCCATTTAATGAGTATGTTTTCTAGACTTTAGAATACATATGGACCTGCGAGTCGGGATCCGGTCAAGGAAACATTGGCATGTTGACTTGAACCTGGTACATCCTCAAACTGTTCGCGAATTCGAGCCCCCACACCCGCCCTATCAACCATGCTAGGACCTCTCAGATAGTCAATCCAGACCTTCTCATTGGCAAAATTTCTGATTTCAAAAAATATAAACTTCGCTATCGCCCCACTATTTTAAGCACCCCGCTATGGCGAAATTTCCGCCAAGATTGCGTGGGCTGGCTGTTGTCGGAAATATCCAACGTCCGATCTGTGTTGTTGCCATACATTCACTGTTTCTATTCCACTTGTTTCCTAAATGGCGACGGATTCGATGAAACCTCGGGTTAAATAGTTTACGACGGTAGCAAATTAACTATAATAGAGCTTGTAAAGATGGGGTAGAGACATCGAGCTTGTCATTTACCTTTGAAATTGCACCACAGTGGCTGAATGTGAATGCCGAACATCCGCGATGAGAAAGCACACCCGCCGTGCGGTTTTGGTGTCTGTAGGCGTGGTGCGTGGTAAGGCGTCGTATAGGGGAAATAAATGTATATATAAGAAGGTATTCTGGTATCGTTTTGTTCTGTCACAGATAAGGCAACGGGTTCTCAACCGCACATCTCTGGTAATTTGAAACGGGCTGTTCGAGCGACTGGATCATCACAACATTCATCGACACGATTTTTGCATAATTATAAACTCTCCGAGTCTATTTTGAAATAAAAATAAACCAAAATGGCACCATCAGCTGTTTCCGGCGAAGCCGTTAAGGAGGTCCTTGTTGGAAAGAAGTCATTCCCGCAACCGATCCGGGTTCAAGGAAACTTGAATAAGTTCAAGTCGGACGATCTCACCCCAGTCATCGGGACCGAGTTTCCTGAAGTCAACATCGTCAATGATATTCTAAATGCTCCCAATGCGGATGAACTGTTAAGGGATTTAGCTGTTACGAGTAAGACATTATTGATAATATGTCCTTTTCATACAGTGTATCGGAGAATAATTTGACTAAAACTTTGTGAATAGTTTCTGAACGAGGTGTCGTTTTCTTCCGTGCTCAAGACAATCTCACAAATGAAATCCAGAAAAAGTTTATCCATAGACTTGGAGAAGTATGCTATTCCGTCTATCTAATAGTTGAATACCAGTTTTGGAATGAGTGGCTAACTTGGCTCCAAAGCTGACCGGCAAACCGGCCGACTCCACCCTCCATATTCATCCTGTTCTAAACGATGAACGGGAGCTCGGTGGCTCCGACCCTGAAATATCTACTATCTCATCTGTTCAGAGGAAACAACTATATCGCAAGCCTGCTGAAACCTATCGGAACAAGGCTGCCGTCTGGCATTCTGATATCTCGTTCGAGCCTTTCCCAGCCGACTACACGTCTCTTAGGCTCGTTGAACTCCCACGAACTGGTGGCGATACTCTCTGGGCTTCAGGTTATGAGCTTTACGATAGATTGTCAGAACCGTATCAGAAGTTTCTGGAAAGCTTAACGGCGCACCATTCTGGATCTGGTTTTCATGATATTGCAAAGGCTGAAAACTTGCAGCTTTATGGAAAGCAGAGAGGCAACCCGGCAAATGTGGGAACTGATTTGACTGCTAACCACCCGGTATGTATAAATGCATCCTTTTATATACCTAAGCTTGTTTCTATCGTGTATATATGGGTTATATGATTAACATACCATATAGGTTATCCGGACAAATCCAGTGACAGGGTGGAAGAGTCTATTCCCGGTTGGAGTTTTTCCCAAGCGTATTAATGAAGTTACATTGGAGGAAAGCGATGCACTTCTGAATTGGTTCCATGATTTAATTTACAAGAACCACGATCTCCAGGTCCGTTTCAGGTGGAGGAACCCGAATGATATCGCTATCTGGGACAACCGAAGCGTATTCCACACAGCGACCAATGACTATGACGGTCTTGGCAATAGATTCGGTAACCGTGCCGTTGGTATCGGCGAAGCACCCTATCTCGATCCAAACAGCAGGTCGAGAAGGGAGGAATTGGCAGAACGTGAGGAAAATGCCGAGAAGGCTTAATTGCCCATCAAATGCCTCGGTTTCAAGAGGTGGAAAATCAGAATCAGGATTTTGTAAAGAGCCTTGCTGTCTATTTTATGATATGGAATTAAATAAATTCACGAACGAAAGCCTCCCTGAGTGAACTACGGGCAAAAACCGAACCTTGCAAAAAGCACAAAAAAACTCCAAACCCCAACGTAACCCGACTTTCTCGATTCTTGAACATTTTATGATGGAAGCGGCGAATCTACAGAATCATATCCATAAACCAAGAAACTAAACACCGGCGAATCGCTTGCATTGAGCACCTGGAAATATGCTGCAACGTACTTATTCGCCGTGAACATTGTGATTCCGTCTGAAATCAACTGTTTCAAGACCTTCCCATTGTCTCTCTGCCCTTCTACAAATTCCTTCCAGCTTTTTTGACCACCACGGAGCTTGATTCCTAGTGTCACGACACTAACGTGTGTGTTCCCTTGAATCGGATACGCGTTCCCAAATACCAGATCTGAAGTATCCTCTCTTGTAAAATGGTGCTGGAAGAATTCTCTGGACCGCTGGTAGAACATGCTGTTGACCTGCGGTGAGCTGGGCGCCAGTCCTGGAACCCCATGTGCAGATACCATCATTAACCGATACATCTCTCCGTTATTTCCTTTCCTTGCTGCCATCATCTCTCCGTTTCCACGACGTTGTAGATTACTGCTCCCACCCATTTCTCGCTTGAAGTTCCTGAATGAGCCTGACAGGGCCCGTTTTATCGATCCCATTGTTCGGTCTTTCATTGATCGGGCGTTGTTACCACGTTTCCAGCTTGCTGATCCCGATATACCTCCGGATACCGTGCCACCTCTTTCGGTAAATGTACCGTCCTGGCATCTTGAGCCGACTTGTGCGAACGATAAAAGTAAGGCTGACCCTTGGACGGACTTTTCGCCTCCTGAAGCTCGGACTATGGCCTGACATCTGCTAACTGTGTGCATTATATCGTCGTTTGGGATGTGTGTCTGGCCATCGTTCCGGGTAAGGGAGAGAATTAGTTGATTGGCAGCGACTGCACAATCTTGATGAAACATATGTGATGTTTGAGATTTACATTGAAAAGTCGTGCCGGCAGAAAGGGCGAGAGATAAGAATGGGAGGAAGGCGAGGAAAGATGCGGGGCGGAAAATGTTCCGTGTTGGCATCGTGGTATTTCGAGCTCGCGTTCAGCCGCGTTCGCACGCTTGGGATTGCAACGTTGAAGATCCGTTTAAATGGTGATAGAAGGTCGGAAAGCTCGTTCAGAGTAGAGGAGTAGCGAAATGAAGGAAGACGCTAGAATGAAGAAAGGGATTGGTAGATTATCTATATAAACTGCCGCGACAGGAAAATTTAGAATTCCAGATATTGAGGATTACAGCTGGAGCAAGCTCCGGTTCGAGTGAGCCGCCAAGTTGGCCAAGGCGAGGGCTGAAGACCGCCAAGGGGCATTCTTGGTATATGACTAGTCCTTATATGGCTTAGCGCTGATCCTGGGCGGCGGTGTATTTGAGATTTCTGTGGGAGGTGATATGGAGCTTTATATTTATTATACACACTCCCTATCTCGTTGATTTTTTCAGCCGCTGTTATCAAGTCTCATGTTTATATTTATAGTCATGCTTTCCATCCCATCTGCAAGGTCCTGGAGGTTTGCTTCTTGGCAGTGTCAGGTATCGTAAAGCGTGATTACTCGGGTCGTAATTGCAATATGTATGTACTGTCAAGCCTACTATCGAAGTTTCGAAGCCTTGAATCCGCTCTTGAATTTTGAGTTTCTGCCTATATGTCTGTGCTTCGTGACTATTTACAAAGCGAGTACCCCTACATATCTTGTAGCTACTTTTCGTTCTACTTGCGGTGTCACGATCGAAACCTTATAATTAAGCTGCATATTGCCCGCCAACAAAGCTTGTTAGCTTAACTGATCCACCAAGTGCCTTTGTTGCGTAGTTGAAAATCCCCCATCTATAACCCATAAAGTATGCCCAATTAGTATACAGCGTAAATGGGGTCCCGAAATTAGTGAAAGTAGTGCCGTCGGTGCTATACGAGAATTGGACGAGTTTGGTGCCAGTGGCCCTAGCATCAAGGTTACCTCTGAACCAAATCTTCCCACTGCCTTTTGAGATGACCGTCTGAGAATCTACGGTGCCATTGCTGGAGGGCGTCCAAGTTTCCTCGGAGAGGATAATGCTATGGACAACGGTAAGTTTATATTCGGAACCATCACGGCTGATTCCAATCCAGGCAGTTTTATCTCTGAAAGCAGCCAGGCCAGCACGGTCTCCATCAGCCATGTTGTTGAAATCTAGGGCTATAGTACCCTGTGGAGTGGGGCCATAGAGACGAGTCGTCAGAGTATTCCTCGCGGTAAGGATATTTGTCGTGATAGAACAAGTATTGAGGGTAACACCGCCAACTGCAACTGAATACTTCGTGTTATCCGGGTTATGGTTGAACTCCCAATGTGGGCCTAACTTGCTTGCAGCAAAGGTATCGGTACGGTACCAATTTGGAGTAGAAACCGTGGGGAGAGGGTTTGGATAGGTGAGACCCCAGCCTCCGCTATTATCGGTAACCATGCTTGCGAAACCGTCTGAACCCCAAGTTATTGGGGCTAAAACAGGCATGCGACCTGCGGGGTAAGCCCAGGTGAAGGAGACGAAGTACCATTTGTCATTACCAATATTGACCAAACTTCCTTGATGAGGAGACCCGCCACCGGCAACTGGGCTGGTAAGCCCATTGTGAAGCTGTTTGTACTCCCAAGGGCCCCAGGGACTAGCCGATTTCCAGATATAAGTGCCACCAATATTAGGATAATCGTTCAGGATATAGTAGATCCCATTGCGCTTGTACATGCGGTTGCCTTCCATACCACTAACGCCAGAGGGCTGATCAAAGATGAGTTGTGAAGAGGCCTCTCCAAGTCCATCTACGGTCAGTTGGGCGAGGTTGATGGAGCTGCCGCCGTAGACGACATACATTTTGTCATCATCATCGATAAGAAGGCCGCAATCATAGTAGCATTTATAGATCGTACCAGACTTTGTCCAAGGGCCAGCAGCGTTGTCTGCGGTATAAATAAAGGTGACCCAGAAGTTCATGCACCCGATCCAATACCATTTGCCATTACTGGAACGGTATCTCATAGTAGAGGCCCAAGTACCACCGCGGTAGGCGGTGCCTCCAACCATGTTATAATTATCACCATTGTCAAGGAAAGGAACTGAATGTCCAATAGGCTCCCAGTTCACGAGATCGAACGACTTGAGAATTGGTGCCCCCGGTGAAAAGTGCATGTTGGAAGATGATAGATAATAAGCACCATCAGGCCCTTTAAAAACATCATTGTCTGCATAGTCCGAATAAACAACTGGATTCGTAAAGAGGCCTACAGGGGCGCTCGAGGTTGTAGACCTTGTGGCGGTAGACAAGGTGGTGCTTGAACTAGTTGTTGTTCGAGTAGTTGAAGGGGAAGTGGTATCCCGCGTAGTAGTACTAGACGACCGTGTCGTGGTTCTAGAAGTAGTCGTCGAACTTGATGTTACTAGGGTAGTAACAGGCCTGGTAGTGGTAATGGATGGTGATGTGGTCTCCCTGGGCATCGTAGTACTCAATTGCCTCGTCGTGGTCGTCGTAGCGGTAGCGCAACTTCCTCCAGGAATGCATTGGTAATACCAAGGGTTGAGAGAGGAACAGCAGGAGCCGGCCGTACAAACACTCGGTCCAGTCCAATCCTGCCCCCCGCCTTAGATGAATACAGAAGTCCGAGTGAGTATTATAGTTTCAATTGGATACTACAGTTTTGTAGACGAAGGCGGAATACAAAAGTTACTACTTACATTGGCCCCAAATCGCCTGTTGCGCTAAAACCGCGGGTACTATGCCCACAATGAGGTAGCTTGACTTCATACCGGATATGATGAATATTTTCTCATAAAATACACCAATTGATGGCTGCCTAAGGAATTCTCTTCAAGGAGCCGGACAAAATAACTTGGCTTTATACATACTTATGTTGAGAGACGCCTGGGCCGTCAGATGCACAACCATGGTAATCGTAGCGAACGGGTCGACTAAACTTGCCCTTGTTCCTGCATATAAAGATTTAAAAGTATATATATCATGACGCTACGGATAGGCGGCGCGACCCTCGGTAAGGTCTTAAGCAATTAATGGGTTCTGTATGTAGATTTCGAACCGTGGGTTGGTCGAATGAACTTATCACATTGCATAGTCGAATATAGACTCCATTATAGTCGAGTAACCATTTAAATTTCTGTTAGCCTAAATAAGCGATTCCCGCCATTCCGTTGGATTTTGTGCTTAGAGTATGGTTTGGACATAATCGTTTTTGTTCCGGATCATTTGATCCTCGCAACTATTGGGGGTTTGACTCGAAGCCTAAAAGTACGTTTAAGTCGTGATTTCGCTCGGAACCTGACCTCGAGCTCCGTGGGCCTTGACTGCGCGATATTTTAAATCTTTAGATAATCAAAGCAAGGCCTGATTTTTGAGTAGAATTTGAGCAGACGATTGGTCCTGGATGCTGGAGATACATTCTCCGAAGCTTCGCCGATTGTTTGGTATCACCGAATACGCGGATACGGATCAACTTCCCGGAATCCGTTCCGGATGAAATGTTTGCTACAAATTTTGTTTTCTAACTAAGTGCACGTTGAAGCACGAACAGGTTTTAGAGTTTTTTATCGTTTGTATGCCTTGCGGATAATTATAGGAGCAGGGGTTCAGCGGTCGAAGCCGATTTCAAAACCTAGAATGCTGCCAATCATGCATCTGCCAGGATCCCAGGTCGCGAGCACACCTTCGATTCGGGTCGCTCGCTTGCGCTCGGTCTTGGCCAGTATATCCCCATGTAGAAAGTCTTGTTTTTATATCCAAATTTGACTATTCCATTGAAATGGCGACATTGAATCGAAAGAAGTTCAACCGTGTTATATATACGACGGCGAGAAACACCGACACCAATACGCATCTTGCTTCTAATCGGCAGGAATCCAAAAACTTCGCGGGAAATGGTCAGGCTAATGACACTTCCTCCTCGTCAACTGAACGACGGGCCGCGGGACAGGTCAAGCCGAAAGTTGCCAGTTGGCAGAATTCATCAACTCATGCGAATAAAATTTAGTGGTATTGGATTTAGCAATTAAAGCGGGACCATGAATTTCAGGGCTACAGGGCCGATAAATAGATGATATTTGCAAAGGCATGTCCGGACGTCTAGTGCAGTGGCGATGTTCAGCTTTGTACATTAATCACAAATCAGCGAATTGAAAAGTTAGATCTCTTTCTAGGCTATGTTCAGAGGAGCATCCGAGGCCTTTCTACTGCCTTCGGGGACGGATTCTGCGTATGCACGGTATGGGTGGCTGTTAACCGGAATGGTGGTGCGGGCGCGGAGCGAATCGAAAACCAGGATTTCCCGGGGATAGACTATTCATATTTGGGATATCTCAACAATGTAATGTCGTGAAAACTGCCAACAAAATGTCAGGGAAAAATAAAAATTCCTCCGGTGATCAGTCTTTAAAGCAGGGGCACTTAAATTTAATATTTGGAGCCTTTGTAGTTCATGGAAGCTTTGGAATCTTGAAAACGTTAATGAGACAAGCTAGCTAGGTTTGTCAAGGAAGACTAGAAGCAATTATCGATATATCGGCATTCAGGGGCGAACAGGAGTCGGCAGAATTGAACGCTGCCCGCATGCATAATATCTTAAGTATTTTGAGCAATAAAAAAGAATAATAAAATCAGATCTGCAGACTGAGCAAAAATTGCCAAAAGCGGGCTTTATGTGATACAATTTCTAGTCTTACAATAAATCAGAATTGACGGAAAGACCTTTTCAACTATGTCAACCAATTCCAAAGGATCGCGGATTTTTCAGCTTAACTAATGTACTAGAAGCCTCTCATCATGAGACAAGATCATTTTTACCCTATGCTCGATTGTGATTAACTCTAATTCACCTGAGCCACCTTCTTGATCAATCGTTCAATCTTCCAGGTTGAGATCTAGTTGATTCGATTTAAGCATTTTATGAAGTTTGCTAGCCGCGCTCTTGTTCAAATCCCTACCACCGAGTTCTTTGAAGCGCCAAGCATAAGCAAGAGCTCGTTCTGTTCCGTCGATATTAGCAACGGCTTGCTTAAATAAGAGCTTCTATGCCCCCATATTCCATGTTAGATTCCAACGTTTTGATGAACTTTTTTCATTTAATAATTTGGGTTCGAACCTCAGAGATAGTAAGATCGGTATCACCAGCTCGAATCTTTGTCTTCCACCTCATCTGTAAGCTATTCAGCGTTTTTCCATTTTCTGGGAAGAGTTTCGCAAATCCCTCGTATATTTCATTCCAGGCGGCCTTGACTTCATTACCGCCTTGGTCCTTGGTAATCAGGGCATGGAGAGCGGTATCCTGCTCTTCAGTCCAAACTCCTTTCTTGCCTCTGCCATCGCAATTTTCGGTAGCTTGAGCTCGCTTTTCTTGCTTGAGTTTCGTTTTTCGCTTCTTAATTTTGGGAGGTTCGGATTTTTCCGCACTAGGTTCACCTTTAGATGATTTGTTTTCACCCGCTGTCTGAGTCTCACCCAAAGGAGAAGGGGAAGGTGATAATTCGCGTTTCAAAGCCATAGTAGTTTACCGCTCTCAAATTGAAAGTTTTTACTGTTTTAATATAGGTTCTAACTGTGGGGTGGGTATCGAGGTTTAGTGGTTTCTAAATCTTAGGGGTAAAAGTTATTAAGATCTAGATAGACTCATAACTAACTATTTAGTATCTTTGTTGAGCTAGACACTTGGAGAAATTTATAGGTAGCTCTTGAATTTCTGGTTACTGGTTTCTACGGTGTTCCACAATTATGCAATATAATATCAATAACTGCACTTTAGTGAGCTAGGAGTTACCAAGAGCTTCTCAAGGATTTAGTCTTTACTTGAACGCGGCACCAATAACTGAAGGAAAATATAGAATCAAAACATAAGAGTTTGTAGGTATAAAGATTTAATTAAGATGAGGAAAGGACGACCAGGTTGTAAAGTTGAATCATGAATCTAGATATCTTGCTTGTTAAGCTAGGCTTGATCGATTTTGAAAAGGATACGGTATATTGCAGTGTATAACAACCATCTTCCCGCTCCAATATTTGACCGTGGTTTGAGAGTTTGACATCTGCAGGGCCGTATTGTTGCACCGACTCGATGGTATGACCTATAGTGTAGCACGGCCCAAGGCCGCCCTCAGCGGGCAGTTAAACTCCATTAATCACGCGGCAAATCTCCCTTTTTCGATTATGGGCTGCAGCTTTAGCTGCCTATCCGGATGTTGTCCAAAATTATGAGACCGACCTAGCCCGGGCCCTGCCTCCATATTGGTAATATTACTTGAATCTTACTTATTCAAGTGCCCATATTGATGCTGATACTATCAGATTGTATTGAGAACGAAGCGGCGCCGTAGCTATCGGACGAAATTCAGAGTACGATGCATAATTCTAGCTTAAAATGCGAACCTTTTCCTAAAATACTTGGATCGATGAAAAAACTATCATACTACGAAACCAATAACGGATTTTCCAAATCTTAGACATCTGACGATCGATAGTGATACTAAATCATGAAGAAACCCCTATGATATTTAATATTTTAAAAAATCAATTCCACTGCTTTTGAGACGATATACTGAGCCATTTGATGACGTCGGAAATCGTCGCAGGGGCTTTTCAGGAATGCTGGCTGACGAGTTTTATGATTTCGCTCAACAAAGTTGTGGAACGGCTCACCGGCCTCGCTTGATTTTCGAAACTTTGAGACATCTGAAGGAGCTCATGGACCACTTGCCGTCACAATGCATGTCTCGTCGAGTGGGAGCTTAAGAGAGAAAGAATAAAAGAAGTAGAAAACTAAATGTGTGTCACCGCCGTACCAAAGGGGCTCTGTACTATGTGTAATTGTCTAATGGTGGTAGATCAATATTTCTACAGCATTGAGCTTACAATATCAATAACTCAAGGCTGCCACTCTTATATAACTATGAATTTTAGAATCTATGGGAAGGACTAACCCTAGAAAGGATGAATTGTTGGATTCATAGTCGGATATCGTACCGGAGTGTTGCTAAGATAGAGAGTATTAGATTCATCAAGAACAATCATTTCGGCTTATAACTTAAAATCTTATTCTATCAGAGTTTAGAAAGTTTCGAGAACATAACCCTGCCACGATTGTTTAGAGGTGGGAAACCTAGTACTGAGAATAAAACGTTTTTCTCACTGAAACGAACTTTGTGTAATGATTTTGTTTCGTCTCTCGCTTGTGGAACCAAATGTTGGTATTGATCTACTATATTACCGATACTTGCTATTTAGTGTCATATTATCGGGTACTAGATTCTTCCGGCTATTTCTCTCAATCTTATAGAAATAGCAATAAACTTCCAAGGCAGAGGTGAGCGTCCCCCAGACTAACTTCTGATAGGATATCTCAACTCCAAGCTTAGTTAGGGTTGCTTTGAGGTCTCGGGTAGGTAAATTAGGTAGCCTTAGCTGGTTCGTTCACATAGAATTGATTGTTGGACTTATATGTAGATCATCAGTATCAGCCTTAAAACCATCTCTCGTCTATCGAATCGAGATCCCACTCGATGAACTAGGTCCAGGGGAGCCACGCTAGTGTCCATCCAGTAAATTCTAGTATCCACTGGAAGGTTTCTAGGCGTTTTATGTTTAGCAGGGATCGGTCCTTCGGTTCGTTTTCTGCAGGAACCTTTTGGTTTGGAACTAACTTGTCGTACAACAGGGGCAGCCAAAGAGCGGGTAAACTCTACAAACTATCGCCACCAGCTTGGTGTACATAGTTTGCGATTAGAATTTTGAATTCTGTGTCTTCTTAAAAGCACAAGACATGGACGCTCTTTTTCGCCTCATTGTCTATTCCTATCTCTTCTGGTTGCTATCCCTTTGGGTCTCTACCATACACACTCTTTTAATTTCTTGATTTATATTGAGCGGCATATTTTCGCCGTATACGTTCCTTAGAGTGTGACGTCAGTTCTTTATATTATATTCCTAAATCCCTTATTTAGTCGAGACAATCGTATCTTTCACAAGTGTATTTGTATTTCAGAGACCATACGTAACCATTGAGCTTTGGTATGTCTTCAATCAGTTCAGTTCGAATAGCAAGTTTGTAACAAGTTTGGACAAGGCCAATGTTCAACGGCCCTTTCCGAAACCTCTAGATACTATGTAAGTCATCTTATATAGAAGCTTCGAACCTGTCACCGTTTTGTACTTCTTGAAGGATTTTCGTCGGACGCGGCTTTTTATAAAGTTTATGGTGTCTATAATGATATCAGTGCTGACCATATCATTAGACTGGTGCGTAAGACCGGGAAACCCTTTCGTGCTCCACGGTTACTATAACTGGGATTGATCCGACTGCGTCGTTGAATGCTTTGTTGCTATTTGTATCCTGCTAGCTTGAGAGGCTATCGACTGTTAAGCTTCAGATATTGAACTAAGAGGTGAAGTTTGTAGACTTATTTCAAGTTTGTAGTGTCGTCATCGCTGTTGCTTGAACGAGGGTCGAGGAGTAGTTGTGAATATAAAAACCGCCCTCTGCTGTGCAAGATCACGTTCTTGCTTCTTCTTACCACCACCCATAATCTCCTTTCGACCAACCCACAACCACATCTAATTTACTCTCATCGCAAAAATCACCATCAAATCTCCCAAGCCCATTCCATCATTATACGGTCAAGTATTCACGATGAAGGGCGCTAAAGGTATTATTCTTATTGTTTCTCTCCTTTCCAACTGCGTCTCAGTTGGGTTTGCGACTTCGGTCCCCCTTGGCCGCAGGGACACAGTCATCTTGGCTCCTCCCACTGAGGCCATCCATGGCAATCCTACCTGGTCTGAGAAAGACTTGGTTACGGGTCCGGCCTTCGATGCCTCAGAGCCAGATGTTCCTACGTTCACCACGGAGGCTCCTACAAAAATCATTGGCCGTAAGGCCACCCCTAATGCTTCACCTACTTCTACTGTCAGCCCTACTCCTACTGCTTTCACCTCCCGCGAGGGCAAGTTCTCTCGTGATATGTTGAAAATCACGAATGATCTCCGCGCAATCCACGGCTCCCCACCCCTTGTCTGGAATAAGACTCTAGCCACTTACGCGTCTCGCCAAGGGAGAAAGTGTGATTTTCGTCACTCTCATGGACCATATGGTGAGAACCTGGCTGGTGGTGGCCCCATGAACAATCCTGTCTGGTATCAATGGTAGTAAGTGTCTCAGTATCCCAGTTGGCGGTGATGCTTCTATAAAGAATCCAACAAGGTATTGTGTTGGAATATCGATGCTCAGATACTAAAAAATATCTCATCTGTTAGTCTTTACACTGAGGTCAGTAACTACGACTGGAATGAACCTGGCTTTGCGAAAGGTAGGCTTCTACTCTCCTCTCCTACGCTATAGTGATCACGAACTAACGTTTATTTTCTTTCAGACACCGGTCACTTCACCCAACTTGTCTGGAAGTCGTCTAAGCAAATTGGATGTGCTTGGATTGCGGGTTGTTCCAAGTAAGCCACGCCCTATTTAATGTGCTTCTTTCAAGCTAGAAAAGCAGTTGCTGATGCCTGAATAGTTTGGCCTACCAAGTTTGGTGCGAGTATACGCCTGCCGGCAACGTCTCTCCGGTCATTCACTACACCCAAAACGTCGGTCGTGCCAAAAGTAGTATCCCAGAGGCTCCTCCAACATACGATCCTCTTTACAAATGATCAACTTTTCTAGTCCCGTGTCTTATCTCCGGCAGAAAGGGCACTTTGGCTTGATGTTTCTTTCCCTCTTTTATACACTGATTACACGTCTACTTTTTCTTGGACTATATGTGTCTAAGATTTATGTATTCTTATTATTATGGCTCTATCTTCAATTTGATAATAGTAACAATGGGGCTCCCTTATCGTGTTTTTTCAAATAACTGACTTTGCTTCTGTGTCTACACCCTCTAAGGAATACCCTTTCTATTATGCACATCTTTACGCCCTTCCTCCTCTGCAGGATCGGGTTCTGTTTACTCCTATCTTGTATTGTCTGGAGCTTGAATCTGCGTTGTTAGAATTCTATCGACTATGATATGCTAAGCGCCTTATTCCTTGTACCTTCTTACCGCAGTTGTACTTCGTATTCAAGTTATGAATAGAGGAAATTGAATCGAGTGCAAACCTAGCAGATCCACAGACTGTGTATCTCACGATATCTTGCCCTTATTGTAGGCTTTGAAATCTGGAATTGTCGGTCGTGATATGGCGGTGCTCGATACCCCTGAGTGTATCACGTCTGCAATACCAGACTACTTGATAATATGGCAATCTCCGGCCGGGGAGGTCCGTAGAGATCCCAGATATCGTATAATGGCCAGAAATCATGTGAGCTTTTGAATGTTTGTCCTTGACGGTACTCTGGGAATATGCTTCAACAGCTCACATTGATAGGTAGAGACATCCTCTACTATTGCTCATGTATTCCTGCGGTTTAGGAGATTTGAATTGAATCGTCCCCTTCCAGTCTTGTGGCCAGACCTTTTTCTTTCAATGTAATATACTAAGTGAAAAGATGATGCAAAGGAGACGGAATGTAGTCTTAGGGTCTTGTAGCTACTGACGTCACCTCAATTTTCTTGTGATAGAACGCTGTGTTGACGGTCAATCTACGTTCTCATGTCAACGCTCTGTGTACTGTATAGCTCAGCAACGTGAGTTGTGCTCCCTCATCCCGTCTCCCAGAATTAAACACCAGCTAAACTCAAACGTATCCATCGCGTCTTCACCTCTTTTACCAACCCTCCCGTCTCACCTGCCACAAGACGATCACGCACTATCGTACTACCCTTACTGGCTACCCCCCTGCTTGTAGGCGCCATGGAGGAGGAATCTACTCCAACAAAGGCCTGGGTCCAGATCACCATCACAGCTGATAACGATTTGATATCAGCAGTGACTTCAGTGCTGTATTTCTGGTTTCATTTCTTACTTTGGTTCCTGCCTCCTTTCCAAGACAAGATCCATATTCTCATTGGCCTAGAGAAAAGCTGCCCCGACGGTTTGAAACATTTCTCAGCGCTCCCCAATTACACCGTCAATTTGTTCGCCCAGAACGGTCAACCTAACACCATCGGCCTCTCACAAAAGGAAGATACAAGAATGTTCATACGGAAGGCGTACCAGAGATACTTACACCGGAAGTATTCTGAGACAAATCAACACGATATGCCCTTCTCAATTAATGACGATGGAGTAATTCAAAAGGTATTCGAGTGGCGGACCCTTAAGCAACGAAGCGGATCCTCAATCTACAATGCTCTTCAGAACTGTACCTTGAAGAACTTGGAAACATCGATATCACTCATACTGGTATGGCAACTCTGCAAAGACTTTGGAACTTTCAGTTTCCCTTGGACGGACAACGACATCGATTCTAGTACCTGGCGACAGTTAGTAGAATACTCCTTTTTCGGTAGCGATCGAAGTTGGTCTCCAATCTCTTTTAAGAAGCCGATAGAAGAACTAGGTATTTGTGAGATCAGAAACAGGATCGCGGTTCTTGGGGAAAGCATTGGTTGGTCTCCGGATATCGATGAAGAAATCCCGGATTCTGAAGAAATCGTTGCATTCAGGCAAGAAGTCGAGGTCACTTGCTTCTTTTGCTATGATCAAAAGCCAATGTGGCAAATTTGCGTTCTTCACTGTGAACACGCTAGCTGTCTTGATTGCATCAAACGAAATTACCAGATGTGTCTGAAAGATACAAGCCGATTACCCCCAACCTGTTGCAAGAAATACCCGCTCATTTACACAAGCGTTGCGGCCGATAGTATCGCTGAAATCTACAAACTCGCCCGATGGATTGCTACCGGAAGCAACCCTTCCCCTCTTGGAAGATGTTACAACTGCGACAAGGATATTTGGCCTGGGGCTGAATGTGGAGATATTGGTTTCTGTATCTCTTGCGAAAAGAGAACGTGCTTGAGATGTAATATCAAGTGGCACGATTTTGCAAGAGTTGACTGTCGACTTGGACAACTTGGTGGCTTTGTCGCTATGATTGCTGCTAATAAGTGGGCCCAGTGTTATCGATGTGGCCTTGTGGTTGAACGCAGAGACGGCTGTGCGCATATTAAGTGTCGTTGTGGAGCCGATTTCTGCTACTATTGTGGTGGAAAGTGGCCGAGATGTCCATGCAGAACGGACGGGAAAAAGGCAGAAGTTAACACTAGACGCGATCAACCTTCTGAAGATAGTGGAGAAAGATACACGAAGCGATTGAGGGCTAAGCATCACTCAAGGGCCTTTACCACCGATAAGAAGTTTAAGGAGGTTGCGGATGCGTTGCAGTTACTCAGGATTATAAAGACGTACCAGGCAAACGTTGTTAGGGAGATAGGTAATCTGAGAAAAATATTACTTATTTTGAGAGAGCAGGAAGAGGACAATCTTGAGTATGATCATGTCAGCGCCGTGTTGAATGAATATATGGAAGGGATGATGGAGACTTGGGCATTGGATGGAGCGTTGATATAAGACCGGTACTGACTTTCATCGTTTGATTTTATAGGCTTCATCTTCACGAGATTCCAAACCAGGGTAATGTACATAGCACCAAACTCCCTAATTCTTCGGTGGGCGCCTCCTTTAAAGAACCTTTGTCCCTCTGATTTTATGGTTCTTGTCGATTCACAGATCTAAAGCAACAACATTGGAAAGAGACAGGGCTGCATTCCTGGAACTACTAGCATGAGGACAGGAGGCGATTGAAACTTACTTTAATCGGAATAAAACTCTCCACTTACTTATTTCTGCTGATTATTCAAGTATCGGTTCGTGTAGATACCTGTGACTAAGACCGCTACGGAATGAATTCGCTGTTAAGTAGAGTAATATATGTACCTCAGGCGGTACTATTGGCTATCTGGAAGCCTTTATGGGGCCTGGCATCTGGGTGCCGTCGCGTTTGGAGTTAGTCACTACATAGCTATAGCTGATCGAGCAGCGAATACTCATTGCCTTCGACTAATACGTTCCATCCTCCCGACGCGACCATAATCCGATGCACGTGCGTTGGCTCTGTTGGATTAGTCAAAAGATTCCGTATTTGGGCTTATCCTAATTTGGGCGAAAGTCCAAGGCTAATCCAAATTAAGATATTCATCAATCAGTTTGGCTTGGCTTTGACAGGGGCGTTGGCAGTCAAATAAAACTACGATCGTGCGGTGCATCATAATTCCAATCTGTGGTTCCTATCCTCAAAAAGGTCCGCTTCTTCAAACCGAGATTTTGGCTAACCTGACCCCCGGACGAGCAACTTGAGCAATTCGTGATCGCGAGAGAATGCTTTTCCCCCGATCGTATCCCATTGGCGGGGAAAGATTTCGAAACAACGAAACGAGCAGCGAACACTGCAGTGACGGATCCTGCAGGGCTGCCTTGGCGAGGCAAGTCGCCCTTTGGAATACCATCACAAGACTCAACCTTGAAGCGATCTAGTAACTAGGGCGGGGAGTTCAGATCTAGAGTTGGATATCTCGCAATCGGGGATCCTGCTCAATTTTCGAACTTGGAGCTAACGAAGCTATATAAGGATCTCACTACCGTCCTTCGAGAGCTTTCTTCCAATCGGTGCCGGAACCTCAAAGGCCCTCTGGACGGTACCGTAAGCGCAGGTTAAGGCGGCGAACCAGCTGGCAGCTAGTGCAGTATTGATTGCATTGGATTCCCTGGCAGACCATCTAGGTCCGATTCTCACATCATAGAGAGCAATTTCTTTTTAGTCACTTAGCTTCGATTACTCGCCAGCCCAAATCAAAATTTCGACCGCATCGACTGCGGCATCAGCACCGCAGCACCAGCAGCATTAGTTCAAGATGGAGATCATCGACCTTACCATTGATTTTGAGGAGGAAACGGCATCGCGAAGGCAGCAAGACAGGCAAAGCAAGGAGCTAGAACCGATATTACTCCATGATTCTGACGAGGCTGTCTCGTCACCTGTCAGGCAAACGCCAGTGAAGCTGCCGATGTTAACGCCATCAACTAATTCGCCCAAGTCAACCCCGGGAAACAGCAACACAAAGAAACCAAAAAGCACGGGAAAGAAGATAGCTTCGATTCACACGGGATGGAGAGCTGGGATAATTTTTGAGGAAGTTGAGACGAAAACCTCGGTTCTGACACCTAAGGAGCAAAAGAAGCAACAGAAGGAGATAGAGGAAAGGGACATTGGAAACAGAATTCAAAAGCTTGCGGAGAGTGTTGGCTGGAAACAACCCCACCGCAACGACAACCGAAAGACAAGAAAGAATTCAACGGCGACACCATATCTATACAATGAGGAACGTCTAGCCACTTGCGATATATGTGGCGAAAAGGCACACATATTCGAGGTGACAAAACTAAAATGCAAGCATCGACACTGCAAATCCTGTCTGCAGCTGAATTTCTTGATGGTGATAAACGACCCCAGTGCGTGGCCGGCAAAATGTTGCAAGCCTCTAGAACAGGATTTGGCCTCGAATACGCTTTCCGAAGAGGAGTTCCAAAGATACTTGGACGTGAAAAGGGAAAAGGAACAAACTTCGTCAACGAACTGCTTCAAATGCAGCCGGCCTATCCCCAGCATCAACGTTATCGGAAGTAGCACTGCATTTTGTGCCAAGTGCGAGAGGATAACTTGTGTCCATTGCACGAAAGCGATGCACGAAGGTGCCTGCCTCCTGGATCCAGAAACGGAGAAGCTGCTCAATATGGCACAAGGAAAGAAGTGGAGCAAGTGTCCAAAATGCTCGAATATGGTGGAACGAAATACAGGTTGCAATTCAATGATGTGCCGGTGAGTCTTTACAACGATGTCCCAACCGTTATGCATACGAAGGCACTATGGATACTGATTAAGAGCTTTATATATAGTTGCGGAATGAATTTTTGTTACAAATGTGGCCGCGAAATGAGTACTTGTAGCTCTAGAGGCGGATGCAATCAAATCGCTTTCCAATCAGGCATGTGGCAGAACCAAGCACCTCATCAGCCAATGCAAATAAACCCAGATATGATCAATGGCTACCGAGAACGATCGATCAAAGAAGAAGACCAGCTAAGGATGCAGCGCGAGTCTATGGCACATGAGAACGCGAAAGCGGTTGGGAAACAGCAGGTGGTATCGGAAATTGTCGCGCTCCGGGCTAAGTTGGAGAATAAGCCCGATAAAAGAAGCAGCAGCAGCCCCAACCCGAAGAAATCATCAGCATCAACCACTCCCGCAGAGAAGAAGACGCAAATGGGGATGGAGGGCTATAGACAATCATTCCCAGCGCTTATGAAGGTATTCGAGGAATCCAAAGCTCAGAAAGCCTCGCCTCCACCGCAATATCCATCCCCATCGCAACCTCAACCACCACCATTAGAACCATTAAGTTTAATAGAGAGATATCGGAAATCTTACCCATCTCTTATGAAAAATTATATACCAGGCCATGCTCCCCAGGTTTCGGCTACTCAACAGCGGCCCCAAGATCCTGCTTCGTCTATTTCGACGAGGGCGAATGGAAACACACAACTTCCAACAGGCGAGTTCGTACTTACCACTCCACAGCCGAACCCATTTCTTCCAACATACGATTTCCGCAATTATCATTTTAATTTTTTGGACGAGGAAGACCTGCTCGGTGGCTTTCCCGGCTCTTTTATCTAAATTTTACCTTGTCTATTTTCAAATCTCACTATAGCTTATTAATATACAGAAATGTCTCCCAATTCTAACCGAATTCACAGTTTATTACTGCATGCATACTTTCTCCCTCTCTCATTTTCTCCTTTATTCTGTATTCTTTGTTCTTTGCCTCTTATTCTTTATTTTTTTTTTTTTTTTGATTTTTACTTTTTATGCTTTAGGCAAAATATTTTTATTTTTTCTAGTAGGTTTCCATGGAGGATTTGGTCTAGCATAGTGGGTTTTGGGAGTTTAACTAAATCTTGGGGTTCATTATTATCATGTTGGTGCATATACATACCTTTTCGACAGGCTTGGCCTTTTATCTCATCTGCATTTCATATTTGGATTCCAAGGATTTTGTACAAACTGGTTATGTTACTTTAGATCCCATAACTATCGGTGTATTGATTCCCTGGAAACTCTCTAGCAAGACTGTGAAACAACTCGTCATTGCGGGCAGGGACCTCTCGAATTGAATTGGGCGGATACTTGATCCTGAGACTCACAATTGCAAATATCCTGAGATGGGTATCGGTAGTCCACTGGACAGCAAACAGAGAAACCGTCAAGTGCAAATTTGCGTCGCGAGTGTAGCTAATGTGGAGGCCCGCACGGTTTCTCCAGCAAGTCCCCGCATGTACCCAAATGTCATGTCTCTGACCACAAAAAGCTACGACCCGCAGGCTGTCAACTTTAGCCATCGACGTGTTCGCAGCAAATACACCCAATGACAAAGAGTGCCTGAACATACCAATCTTGCCACCTGCAGCTGCAGGCTAACTTAATCGACGCCTGATTGGTCAACCAGCCATCGCGATCCAGGCGTGTTGGCCAGGTCAGTCAGTCCTGTTGTCGGCCAATGTGAAGACGCCTCGAAACGAAAAATTATCGCATGGACGAACGAGATTTAGGTCCACGATGTTCACCGACCATAATCGGCCAGCCCTCATAAAAGGCTGAGAAGGTTCGAGTGCTTCCCCCGCCCGGCGAAGAAACTAGACTTGACTGCAACTCGATCGAGATCCTTACCTTTTTATATATCCTTTCTTACCTTTTGTGCCTTTGCGCATATATTTTCTTTCATCATGATGATCGAATCCCCTCTTTCCGAGGCCATCGCCGCCCAGATTTCAGAGATATCTATGTCGAAGTCACACGGTCATGGTGACGCCGACTTTGAGTTCGCAGTTCGCTTACTGCAGGAGGACCTCAGAACGCTTCAACAAAAGGAGTCTGATCCGCGTGTGCCCCGCAGTTCTAGGCGGGGAGGCCGCCCCGATGTAGCAGCATCTTCAGGTCGCGACCGAAGGAGACCTTCCAACGACTTGCCACGTAGAACGACTCAGGACTCGGTCAAGCAAGCACAGATCAGGTCAGATCGTGAGCTCGCCGAGGCGCTGGAGCGTGGCGAAGACCCTTTCGCTTGGCCTAGGGGAACGTCCACGACGTCAAACATCCAAGATGAGCAGGAAAACAACTCTGAGGCGGGTCCCAACAGTCGTAAAGTCACGAGAACCTCTAGCAAAGCTGCTGGGCGTGCACTGCCCAGAGGGCCGTTGTTCGGGACCCCCCCAAGTAAGTTACCTTTGTGGAAGCATTTATGACAAACCAGCTAAAATTGTCCGACCCCTGGCTGTAGCTTCGCCAACAACAAAGAAAGCGCCTTCACAAAAAAGTAACGGTACCTCACAAACGTCACCAGAAAAAAATAAAGCTACAAATCGAAAAGGAATACCCCCGCCTAGACCGCCGAAGACCAAGTTTGTCGTAGTAGGATCTTCTAAAAAAAAACCAAGTTTAAAGGGGAAAGGCTCCGCTGTCAACCAACAACATCGAGATCCAGAACAAGAAATCTCAGAACTCAAAGATATCCTCCAAGCTCTAGCCGCAAGTATAGGATGGACTCAGGATTGGGAAGAGGATGCGCCAACAACTTCAGCTTCGGCATCCCTCAAACGATACAAAGAAGAACTTTCCTCTATTTGCAACATATGTAACGAAACTTACCAGAATTACGCCGTATTCACCCTAAAATGCAAACACAGGTACTGCGTGGAATGCCTAAGAGATCACATCCTCCATGCCTTTGGCCAACCTGGCAGTGAGCTCCCTCGATGTTGCGGCGAGGCGCTTCCATTGACCTACGCCGGCGAGGTTCTCATGGAAAGCGAACTAAATCAGCTGATGGACCGGCGAGACGCCCAGGAGTCTTCGAAACAAATCTCATGCGTGGGTTGTAAGAAAGATCTTCTACAAGGCAGTATAAAGGATAACTCGGCATACTGTATCGACTGTGCCAAATTCACCTGCATACATTGTGCGAAGGACTTGCATGACGGAATATGTCCAGAGGACAAGGACATGGCGATGCTGTTGGAAACGGCGAAGAATGAAGGTTGGAGTAAATGTGGCAAGTGTAACCATTTGGTTGAGCTCACAATAGGGTGTTTTCATATGACTTGTCGGTATGTGATGACTACACTGTCCTTTTACCGTCAACCTTTTTTCTTTTTTCTGAAAGCATAAACATTAAACGCTAACACTGCTGGAACTAGTTGCGGTCATCAATTTTGCTATTTATGCGGCGTGGAATGGAAAACTTGTGGTTGCCCGTCGTCTTCTGAACACAGCGTGTTGGGACGTATCAGGGAAGCAACAGGTAAGGGCGCAGAGTTATTACGGCAAGGTTGGGAAAATTCGAAGGCATATGTTTTAAGCAAAGAGCAACTCGATGCGTTCAAAGAACAGGCCATGGAATACCATCGTGAAAAAATGGATCTCAGGCAGTCATTGCATCGCCTCAGGGAGGAAAAACAGTTGGAGCGGCAAATTGCGGAACAAATCATCCTGCTTCGGACAGAGATTTTGGAGTTTCAAGGACAAGTTGATCATGCGGAAATGAATCGGAAAAGGCGGCAGATGAAGGAACTAGAGGACGGCAAGGCTTTAGGAGAAAAGATTGTAGCGAAGGGACTCAAGACAGCGGCGGTGAATAAGGCAAAGAAACCGAGCAAGAAAGGGAAGGAAAGAGCGAGAGATGTAGAAGGCGGTGACACAAAAGTTATCATGGCAAAGATCATGAACTATGTTAACACTTAGCACGGTGAACCGGTTTGGGATGGACAAGCGGATATTCTTTGACTAGGTTTATGACAAGATTCCTGTTCAAGCTTTAGGGTTCATGCCTCTTTCATTTAACCTGTTGCTGTATAGTTTAGCAGCTGCACAGTTCTTTTGTTAAGTAGGATTTATATTAGCTATATGTGCGCATTATAATGTTCGTTAGCTAAGCGATGGTGGCTCCGTTAAATTTGCATCCAGTAATAGGTACTTTATTGTACTTTAGTCGTGGCAGGTTTGAATACTATAGCATAGCTACCGCTAGATCCAGCCTTTTATTTCTAGCTCTAGCGCAAAATCCTAATGGACCGCGCGAATTAGGAGCCCAATTAAAAACACCGCTGAGAGATATGTTCACTGTATCGATATGGCTACATTCGATGCACGCAAATACTACCAACAGTCATTTGGCCCTGGCGGTTTTAAAAATGCATAAATGCACGATCGATTGGTTATACGAAAAGGCAGTTCAGTTTGGTTTCGAGGGTATATGTTGGCATGTTGGCGTAAAGTCTCGCGAGACTCGTCAGATCCTTTAGTTGGTCGAGATCGATCTTCCATACATGTAATTTCTAGAAGCGCTATATAACTTTATAACTGTATCATTTCAGGCTAGCTAACCCATAAGGGATCAATCATGCCGCGAAGGCTTAGCCGAATAACTGTCATGTCAAACAGAAGCGGCACATGCATGGAGGTTTTCAAACCCCCTGCCTCAAATCTATACTGCCTACAACAACAAATCTGTAATGTTGTGTTTTTTCCAACGGTGAGTTTCATATATTTTAGACTGCTCGTATACAAAGGTTGGTTGACTAGCAAACCAATTTGGCCGGAATCTTGAAATCACAGAGAACAAAACGGCCGAAGAGGAACGATTTCTTTGCTCTTACAGTAGACAAATCTTCATCTTCAGCAATTCTGGTATCCAGGGTGTATTTATTACAGGTAATATATCCGTATGTGCTTACTACACCAAACCTAATTCTTGTCGTCGTTATCTTCGTTGTACCCTCATCAAACCTCAGAACGCGGGTGTGAGCAACCGGCTTGTTCAACCATTCGACGAAAATGAGGCCGGCTTCAATAAATCGGGTTATCCCTTCCCTATTGCTCTTTCTTCTTGCTGTCAACGCCCTTCCGAGCGGTGAACGCCAAGACGACGCTCCCCCAGAGGGAGATCTAGACGTCTCTAAGGTTAAAGTTACTGCTGGTGGCTTTCGTAAGACTCTAGATAAGCTATTCGATGACCTTGGGGGGACGGGGGATAATGGAGCCCCGAAATCCGTTCAAACCCGCGAGATCAAAGCCCCCGGACCAGCAACATTCCACGCATTTGAGGCTAGTAAGCGAAGTGGGTTCGGCCTAGCCAAGGGTTATGATCCTTCGGACACATATCTGAAGTCTCGAGCTCCAGATATCAAGCTCCCGGAGAAACGGGATCTTGAGTCCAAGGATATTGAGCGGAGGGATCCGGGAACCGATCGTGTAGAGAGGCGAGGAACAGGACCAAGCGCCGATGAAGAAAGCTACAAGAATGTTAAAAGAAGTAGTGAAAGCCAAGAGATGAAGGCTAAACTCCGAGCTAGGGCTGAGGTAGAACGTGAGAAGGAGGAATATGAGAGCGCAAAACGTAAATGGGAAGAGCGATCGGCCCACAACAAGAAAGTTAGACATCATAATATGAAACGTCTCTTCCAACACGGCTCGCCATTCCAAGAGTATCATAATACCGTTCCTATCTCCGCTTATGCCGCTGATGACGGTTCCTTCGGACACGCTCTTCCAGGGGTTCGTAGAAGCCCCATAGACAACACAGGAAAAGTGCAGAAACGGTCTCTGGACACTTCCACTCTTGAGGGGGAACTGAAACGTCGCAAGCTGATTAAAGCTCGTCTCCAGGAGCTTGGTTATGCCCCTAATGATGATGAAAACCCCAAGTCCACTGATCAGGCCGAGAAATTGAAGAAACGGGGTGAGGGCTCTGACGCTACATTCAGTAAATGGAATCGTTCGCCCCTTGCCAAAAGAGACATATCACACCATATCGCATGCCCCGGTACGGGTCTTATGTCCGCCTATGGCAACGTCCTTTTTAACTCAAATAACTATTTCACTTTGACGGCAATATTTAGAGCCGCCTGCTTCGGTTGTGATTGTAGGGCAACTGCTACTGGGTTCCATATGGGGCCTCGACAGGAAGGTGGCTGTACTATACGACTCGTGGAAAACTGTCAAATGGCTGGATGTCGGTGTCTAGACACCTATAGTACATCGGATCCGGTTTTGATCAACAAGCCTCAATGGGAAGCAGCCAGCAAAAACACCCCTGCCACCTATAGCGATGTTACATACAATCCTCAAACGAAGACCACATACAGTGATAAGTACGCTGCTGCTGCTCATATTAATGAGGTGACATTTGATGGGTTTTCTAAGGTGAAACGCCATCTTCAAACCCCGAATTCTTCTCATGTAGGCGAATTGTTCGCCGGGAACAAGAGGAGCGCTACAAGTGAAGCTAGCGAAGAATTGGTTAGTAGAATATCCTAAGAGACCTCCACAACATCAATAAGAGGAGATAGAGAGAGAGAGTCTAACCGGTATAAATAGGCGCACAACGTTGTGGGTTAGCTAGTAACCACAGGGGGGTTGATGAGGGGAGAGAATTCTCAGTACAAATTATGTTTATACCTCTTGATTTTTAATATTGCCTAATATAACCAGACATCTTGTTGTGTTCTCTAGATGTGATCTCATTTGTGTTTCAATGGGTGTCTTTGAATATGTAGGTCCCAGCACTAGCTTTATGGGATATTCATTCTTCATGCAGTTTAACGTTTTCGTCGTTGGTGTGCGTTCCATGTAACTGCTTCTTAATTTCAGTTTCCTTTATTTATTTCAAGTCAGAATGTATATAATCAGGTGCAAGAAGAGATCATCAAATAAGTCCAATCGTGAAATCTGTCCTTAAATGACGTCGTCCTCGTGAAGATAGCGGCATGCATACATATGCATATATGTATGTATCTCGTCGGAAGAGAATGGCTAGATTATGTGTTGAGATGTGTCTTTTTATTAGGACTTCCTAAAAGGGTAAGGGAGTCATCAACCCAGCCACCAATCAGAGGACATTCCGACAGCCTTTCATGACGTGGGTTTGTCCCTTGACTCTGATCAGCAGGTCAGTCGGCTCGACACTGTGTTCTGTCAACCCAACTCTGCCTACTCAAGTCAGTACTTAACCTCCTGCACAGTACAACTAAACATCTTCATGGTTTTTTTATTTTAATTTTATAAGCATAATCAGTATACTTATGAGCAAATATTTGTAGCGACTTGCGACGCCGTACTCTAGCATGAGTTCACCACTTCTCAAACCGGCGGACGGTAAGAACGGCGATGAGTTCAGGGGTGGACGCAACCTCAGCATTTCCGCTGGAACGTCTAGGAGCATTACAGCATCGCCGCTCTCACCTCAACCTAGCGAAATTCTTTCAATACGGCGTCGCCAGCGACTTAAATGGCAGAGATATTCCGCCGGGGCCTGTGCTCTGGTGAGCTGGTATGTTCATTCTGTTGTGGTTTGTACGGGGGATCAGTCTGTCCGGACCAGAACTAACTTCGGGTGCATAGTCTGTCCGCTGGATCAATTCTATTGTATTCGCTTTATACTCCACTGTTTCAACGTCATTTGCACTATAGTCAAATGCAAATTAACGCTATAGCTATTGCCGCCGAACTCGGAATGTATCTCTTGGTCCCGATCTTCGGTTGGATTTGTGACAACTACGGCCCTGATCGACTTTCTATTGTATCAATTTTCCTATTCGTTCCCGGATATCTCTCGGCGGCTTACTGTTACAATAACCAACTCCCGTACATGGCTATGTTCTTTTCGTTCTTGCTTATCGGTAGCGGAACCGTTAGCATGTACCTAACGGGGATTACAACTTGTGCGAAAAATTTCACCAAGAAGCGCGGTCTAGCACTGGCGGTCCCAATCAGTGCTTTTGGGCTGAGTCCATTGTGGATGAGCCAAGTCGCAAATTCTTTCTTCCTAAAGGACAGTGATGATGGGAGTGGGACGAAGGAACTAGATATTAATAGGATATATACCTTTTTCGCCGTGTATCTCCTTGCGATTGGATTACTCGGATCTTTCTTCCTCAAGATTTATCCTGATCCAGATTTAGATGAAATTACCCTTCGAGGCGAAACTGCACCCTTATTGACATCGTCACCGACCGCAGCCGAACATGTCGAGTACGGTGCCGCCGTCTTGTCAAACGATCCTAACGATATACCCCCCGCCGTTAAGCGAAGACTCCTTAACGACGATACTAGAAACTTTCTATCCGATCCTACTATGTGGTGGTTTGCTGCAGGTGTCTTCCTTACTGCTGGGCCTGGCGAGAGCTTCATCAACAATATGGGGGCTTTGATAAAGACAATTCAACCAGTTTCAAGGTCGCTAGGAAGTCCGACTGGAGATGAGACAGCTACCCATGTTGGAATTATTGCCGTAACATCGACGGTCGCTCGGCTATTTTCAGGCTTTCTCTCAGATTACCTTGGCCCGCCGGTCGAACCTGCTCCTGTTCGCGATGAGCAAGAAAGCAAGCGATTTCGTATTTCCCGGATCATGCTTATCATCATTTTTGCCGGGTTTATGCAGGTAGCGTATCTCATTTTATCATCAGGATACATTCAGCTACATCCACAACAGTTTTACGTTATATCTTCACTCATCGGAATCGGTTATGGCGCGGTATTCACACTCTCGCCAACCATTGTCTCCGTTGTCTGGGGTGTCGAGAACTTAGCAACAAATTGGGGTATTATAGCGATGTTACCTGCCGGTGGTGCTTCTGTCTTTGGCTTCTTGTTTGCAGCAGTTTATGATTCCGAGGCCAAACGCCAAAATAGCGGGGAGCATGGGCTCGGAGATGGATTATGCTTTGGGTTGCATTGTTACCAGAAAAGCTTCGCAGGTATGGCAGCCAGCTGCATGCTTGCGATGGTACTTTGGGCATGGGGATGGAGAGGTCGGGGCGGCTGGGTAGCCCGTGGCGTAAGTGTTTGAGTGATACCCGTCTTTTGGTTGATATGGAGGTGTTTTTGCTATGTGCTTTTGAACGGTTTTTTGGGAGATCAGATTGCGTCTACGACTCATTTTATTTTTATGACATATGGGCGGAGGGGGTTAGGTGTACTACTACTTGCTTATATCCTCATCTAGGCTCCTGTTGATGCCATTCTGCACAATGTTGGGGATACATAGCCATTTGCTTAAGTTTGTTGGGGATAAACCTTGTGATTCTTTTTTTTGCATTTTGATGGATTGCATACCGGGGACATTTGGTCTTTTTTAGATTGTAGTACTAGTTTTAAACGACTTTAGCTGTACGGTACGTGTTTTTTTTTTTTTTTTAACAGTCAAATTTGCTCTCTACCGGGTTCAGTCTTCATAATTTTCCTTTCAAGTTCGCAGCTCGCTATTGCAAATAGACTTGGACATACATTTTTATTAACGCGAGTGCTCAAGTACGAGAGGCAAAATTTACAATACAGATAAGGGACGCGAAGGTTATTTCTGTGCAATAACATATCGATGCTATAGTTCTACTTAATTGCTTGTGCCAATATACTCAGAATTCAATACAGAATGATTGATATTCATCAGTACATTTAAGCTGGGAACGATTCAACTGCTTAAAGATAACGTGCACATTCTGTGAAGCTAGTCGATTTATCGTATAGCAGTTTTAACTTTACGATATATTATCATACCTACAATAACAAAGATATTCATCAAATCGAGCAACCGGCCTTTGGTTTCCGAATTCCACAACCAACTGACCTGAACGGATCTTATGTCCTTCCTGATCAATTAAAAAAAATACGCCTAGTCCATCTCGACTCTCTTAAATTTAAATAATTCAGTAGGAGGAAATCTTGGTGGGTATGATGGCTGTACAATCAAAGGGCGAACCGCAATCTATTAAAAACAGATATTCATGTTAGATATACGCAACGCTACTTTCTCATAAGGGTTAATGGTATTCCGTACCGGCTTTTCCTCACCGTCTTCGAAGGAAACGACCCAACCGATACCGTTCCCATCTGCCTTGATGATGCTAAATATTCAATCCACTGATCAGCTTCTGGAATATCCTAAGGTCCATAACAAACCCGTGATATTAGAGATGGATAGGCTGGAATCCTTACGTGTAACCTCCCTGGGCCTGCTTTTCAATTTTCCATGGGGTTGGCGGTGGCTCATCTGTCAAGACGGCGTACAAACGATGGTCATGGACTGCGGTAGGAGCCCCGTGACATTTGAGAATATACTCATTATCTTTTACTTGGTCGATCTGCCAAATCTAGATAGTACGAGAAAGTCATGAAATCAGTATTACATTGTTCCCTTCCAAAAGCTCGAGGATCCTAAGATATGGATCGTAGCTAGGTATATAGATTCAAGGAGAATATGAATATAAGTAGAACTAGCTTGGTATATGGTTTATTACGTACTGTATTTGGCCCAGTCTCAGATGGTGGGAGGGCATAAACGGGCTTTGGGCGAAGGGATCTATCTTCGCGAGAGTTTCTGCCGACGGTGAGATCGTCAACTGTGGTGATTGAGTAAAGTCCTGAAGATAGTTGTTCTTCCATTGTGATGGTTATAAACTAGTATACCGATACGAAAAGTACGTATATATAGATATGATTGATATTTCAATATTTGATCGATGAAAAGAGATGGATGGAGCTGTTCGCAACGTTGTGGATATTCAAAAGAGAATGAATCTGATTATTGACAGTGAATGACCATCCAATTTATAGACTTCAATTGATCAAGACTGAAGGGAATTAGCTATGTCTTCCCAGTATATACGCATAGTTGATACTCCGATCTCGCCTTGAGGCCTCAGCCATCGACATCGATATCCTCTGGCTCTGTAATTGTAACTCTGTATACGTATACATGTAGCATTCCAGACGTACATGCATGGCTACGGCTATGAGATCCGATTGGCAGGCCGTGTAGTCTTGGCGCGCAGATCGATCTACAGTGAGGGGTAGATATTATTGACCACTGAGAGCAAAGAATGGGACGGGATCCCGGGAACGATCCGCGCCCAGTGCAGTAGTACGGATTCTTTGTGACGCTGCATTGACGCCCTTCACTAGCTGGTACTAGCGCTGTCTAAATAACTCAACATGATTTTCTTGATATTGTCTCTCTCGTTAGGTTTCCAGCTCTAGATCTTCGAGTTTCGTGTATTGAAGAATTTCGAATCGGATTTTAACCTATTTAACTAGCGCTAGCGTACATCGTGCGGAGGATTTATGAAATATAACAAGCGATGCACATTTATGACCCACGATGGTCAAATTGATGTAATGGCTAGCTAGCGTCATATATGTGTTTGAGAACCAATGGGCATTATTTATGAGGTAGATTCGGCATGCCCTGTTTTATATGCATGGTTTGCAACGTTTGTGCAATTGCGATATATAACCACAATGGCCACGCGAATCGGGTTTCTATAATGTCCATATAAGCTATATAAGTATTTATACATAGCTAAGTATATATGTACTTAAGTACTTATATTACGTGCTTGCATCGGAATATATAAATCAGGATTGTCGTACATCGGGACAAGTCAACTCCCGTTAACCGCCCACAAAATGGCTGTTGTACCAATTGATTATTTTGCCTTGAGTGCTTCGTCATTTGAGGAGTATGATATCTCCTTTATAGATCTCTTACCTAAGTTATACCGGTATTGTCATAAAAAAAAGCATATCAGTCCTACCCACATTAATATCCAGTAACTAACCAACAATTTTTGGTAAAAAAATAAGGCGGAACCAGTTTTCGGATTCGGGGAAGCGGTTGAGTACATGCATATTCGCTGCACGTTCCGAATGTAGTACGAAGGCTGGTCTCCCAGCCTTTCTTCTTCCCCGCTTTGTGTTCCAGAACCTTGATCAACGACGCATGTGCGTCCATTCCTGGGTACGAGATAAGTGCATTGCCGAAAACACGGGTGTTCCGCTTGTCATTTAATTCGTCACTAAATTCCGAAACCCGAGGATATGGTCCACACATATAGGAATCCGTTATCCTATACGTTCTTGATTCTCAGCGATGCTCTAACTCCAGGCAAACGGCAGAACGGGCTTTTGGCCCTTTAAAAAAGTCAAATAGAAATGGATGTATAAATTAATGAATATGTACATGAAATTTAGATGTTTTGGTTAAGTAGGTATTAAACAATATTCATGAGATACACTATTTGCGAGGTATCGATGCAAAGGTAGTGGTACTATGGAACTAGGAAATATATATTTATTCGGGGGCGATTTCCTCTGTTAGGGCGTTAACACCCTTCAAGAAGACCTCCTTCGCCTGGAATTGGGCCCATTTAACTGGCTCCACCTCCTTCGCAATGACCAATTGGTCAGAGTCTGTGCGATAACCGAACGACTTGAAACGGGTGTTTTCAAGGACGTATAAATTTCCAGGGATGAGAGAAAACCTCAATTTAGGGGCAACGTAAGCTGTGCATAGAGCCTCGGACATAATACGGACAAAAACGAAGTCACTTTCAATCAGCTGGGTGCAGATGAATCGTGGTCCTTCGGCAGTATCCATTTTAACTTGCTTGGTGGCTGAATTCCAGAAGAACTTTGCTGCTTCTGCCTGGTTGGATGTCCAAACGATACGAGATATGCCCTCTGGATCCACAACGGTTGGGTCAACCTTCAAATATTGGTTTGCCTTGTTCGCATCATTATCTCGGCCGGCAATATAGACAGCAACCCAAGTAACGGCTGGGGCAAGGGTTGTTGAGGTTACAGTGGTGACCGGGTTGACAATGGTGGTACTGCCGTCGGTGACAACATTGGTAATAGTAGTGACCGTTGGAGAGATGGTATCTGTAGTAGAGATAGTTCCAGTGACAGTAGCAGTGACCGTAACGGTAATAGAAGAAGTAGAAGTAAATGTCGACGTGGACACAGATGTAGATGTAGAACTAGATGTGGCTGTGGATGTGACTACATCTGTTGAAGTAAATGTAGCTGTATTGATAGTAGTGATGGGGCTCTCGACAAGGGTGAGACAGGAGCAGGCACTCGAATAAGCAGCCTGATCAATGCATGCTGTAGCATAGGCGGGCTGCGTGACTTGACGTTTTCCAATCATTACATTTGGCAAGGCGGCTGTAGTTGTTTCAGTGAGCCCTATGGTCGTTCCGACAACAGTAGCATCTGATGTGAATGTTGCTGTATCATAAACAGTATCTGTGGAAGTTTGCGAGTCGGTGTGTGTAAAAGATTGAATCTCTGTCGACGACTCCGTCGATATATCTGTATTTGTAGCCGTATCCGTTGAAGTCACAGTCTCAGTGGCGGTTTCGACCACGGCCACGATTTCAGTTGCGGTTGCAGTTTCGACGACAACAATCGTTCTGAATGTGGGGAATTGAGTCAGCGTTCAGTTCAATCCTTTATAGGTACTGTTTTTCTCCGATTTTGAGATACATATGTATCCGGTGCACTAGTGTTGAGATATATGGATTTAAGGGAATATCGGGTCCAGGATTTGAACTTACGTTGAAGGACCCCCTGGAGCTGGCCAATGGATTGCACAGTCCGCTGCAGCGACCACGTTTCGGCTAAGGAGAGCTATTCCGCGAATTTCGATTAGCTTCATTCGCAGGATTGGGTGTAATATAAAGTATTAATTATTTGGTGGCTAATTGCCAGCTTAGAAGCTTACCTCGTAAACAATTGTTATGACTACAACCGTTGTGTCGACGGTCAAGGGCAGCCGCCTCCGAGAGCGCCAACAACCCAAAAATGGACGCTATTTGGAACTTCATGTTGTTCAATAACTGTGTATAGAGCCTGGGTTTCGGGGTAGGCAGAGGATTGAATATGCGACTACAGCGAACGGGTGGCTGATGGCAACGGTGCGGATGAATACTCAAGTCCGGACTACAGAAGAGAGAATATTTTTTAACCACCAGCTGGCGTTCGATTCTTATATAGCATTAAACTCAAGAGGCTCCAGAGGCCCACTATAGTTGTCCAAGTGGTCCCATTGCGATCTCAGCCCTTTCGCCTCACGATCTCGGCATAAATTGCGTCGACAATTTTGCTTAGATTTCTTCGGCCTAGCCATATGCATGTGGATGTGTGCATAAACTTGGAATATCTGCAATAGCAAGATTGGAGATAACGACGCCTTAGCGGTTACACGCTAACCACTCCATGAACCTCGCTAAGCCTAGTTGCCAGAAACGAAGCTTTTCTCGAAAAGGATTTGCTATAATTTATTGGCTTGCGCCCACACCGAAATTGATTTGTTGGAATTTGGAAAGTCGTCGTGTTGAAGCGGATGTACGGAGCGGTGGTTGCTTTTATTGCTAGCATGCATATACGATGGCTGGAACACGCACACTTTCCCCTGAGAATCTTACACATACGATTGAAAACATTCCCGGATTACATTTTGCATAAGGGACCTTACGGGACGCCAGTGGGTCTCGCTATACCAAAGGGTTTGGCCCTGGCTTCCATGCCGTGTTGAATTATTTACAGCTTAACGAGTTAACTAGTATGTATACTATAGATTTTGCTGTACAACAAATGCCCCCATCTACATAGGAAGTAAGTACTTAGCTGACTTTAATAGTGTGGTCTGATATAAGTCCCAGTTATTAAGACTCGGCTGGGCACGTATTATACTATTACTCCTCGTCTAAATTAGCTATGGTTTTGGTTGAGCCCCATAGTTACACCGAGCGAAGCTGGCCTCGCGAACCCGTGCGAAAACGGAAATTATCGGCCTGCTGAGCATCCATGGCCCGCATGCACTGATAATTAAACTTTTATAATGCCAAGCCCGTCTTCGAGGCCCAATATCGATAACCAGGCCCACAAGGTTGTACAAGGGCCTGATTCCGTCCCACTAATTGAAGAATTTTCCCCGGATATAGTCAAAAGGGGTTGTATGTAAAGTCTGGTAGCCCCCTTAACTATGCACATCTTGCCCTCAGTTGGATTTTGGATGTGTAATTGCAGGGGTTTTGCAACTTTAACTTGGCGTCCTTCCATTGAACTCGCCATGGATCAGTGGAGTCTGAATTCGGCGCTATAATTCTATACTCCTACCGGATTTACCACGAGAAAGAAAAAAAAAACGCTAGTTATGTCGCTATATCATGATTTTCATTTAATTTCCAACGGGATGTTCGAGGTCGAAAGCGACGGAGATAATGTCATATCGTGACAAAAGTGAACTTGGTCAAGGGGCTTGATTAATCAAGACGGCCGGGTATTCGGATGCACGAATATATTTAGATACTTCCACATGCACAAGACAAAGATGGCTTTGAGGGCGTATCAATTACGGTACGGAAGTCGACGTATGTGCATATGTCAAGTATTCGTTCACACTTTGGATAGTCATTCTGACTTGACGGTAGTTCATATTCTCGTTCTGCATGCGTCGTGACAGATGTGGATATACCCAGTGCTTGCAGCGCTGTGCAGAAGTCATTCATCGGCAGGCGCCATAAGCAACATATCTTTTTACAATGTAGTCAATACGCTCCCTCTCAACCGACGTTGTAGAAACTGCCTATTAAACTCAAACAAGGCAATAATTTATGTGGCATCGTAGCCTATAGAAATATGGGTGGTTGGTACGTGCACTAGGTAACGAGGTATCGAATTTCAACCTTCAAACCCAGTGGCCATGGTGACGGGGTGGTCGAGTACCTATCTGGGGTTTTGTTACAAGATCTAAAGGTTTCCCTTGGTGAAACTTAAGCTACCTATTTAAACAACCCTCTGACGCGTGAAGCTGGAGATATCTAATATCTTATCTGTCATCAAATTTAAAACACCCTCGGCCTTTTGGCTAGCTAGCTCCTGGCTCGACTATCTTCACATCATCGATTAAATAGATCTACTTCAACCCATCAGTGACTAGAATCTGAAGTGCTAGTTTATTGATGCTTTCTTCCTAAAGCTCAGTTCTTTTCTCAAAAGTACAGTCAAAAAAAGACACTAGCTCGATATATATTTCGTGGCTTGATAACTCCCCGTTTCTGAGCACCCACAAGCCTATCTAACTTTCTTCTGAATATATACGTCACTCGTGACAATTGAACTAAGGTTGGTTCGCTTGTACTTCCCAAAGTCTCCCGAACCAGACGGCTGGACGTAATTTATTCTGGCGCTCCACATTAACAAAAATCAGGTATTCCCGACAGCCCAGAAAACCCAGTCAGCATTTTCGAAATGGCTGGGTTTTCCTCCCGTACTGTTCAATTTCAAGATCTCATTCTACAAGCGTTCAAGTTGAAGCTAAAGGATCTTAGCTCAACCCGAAATGATGGATGTAGAGACATTGACGAACTCTCCTCGCGGTCACGAAAACAGATGGAAGATATTAGGGCCATAATCTTACGAGGCGACAAACTGAGCGAGGAGGCAACTGCCCCGCTTGACTTACAAGGACATCCTATCTACACACAGGTTGCGCTCTATAGGCTCGCCGCTGCCAAGATATTTCATCTTGCAGAAGTTCTAATAGAGACCATTGAGAAAGGCATCAAGGTAGTCACACCTCATGGCCCAGATATAGTCATCGTTCCAGCACAGCGGCAAGGGTTGTCGGATGCGAACGAGGGAACAAGACCAAGTTTGGAAAACAAGGCAACAACCCCGAACACGGAGCTAAATATCGATACCGACAGCTTGAACCAACCAAGAACCAAAATAGGGCCCTCGTCAGGCGCATCAAGACTCTACAAACTGAGAGAGATGAGCAAGCGATTTTGATCTCATCACTTCGTGCAACGACAAACGCGATGATTCTGGGGCTTTGCTTATTGATTGCCGTTATTGTCCTTGTATACATCAAGTTATACTCTGGGGTATATTTCCATGGAGTCGGGCCTGGATCGACTCCTACTTAAGTTAAGGGTTTCAAAACTCGGGTGAGTATGTCTCTTCCACATCCTCTCTAGCTCTAATGTATTCTAGGGATCCGACAAGAAAAAAGCCTATCGCACAGATGAAATATTCTTGGCTTGTCCTCGGATTTCATACTTTCGCCTTTCATCCCTACTAGGTTTGCTTGACAGGCGACAGTCTCTGTGCAAGGCATTTTTTGTGCTTTGCTTGCCTTCTCTCTCTCTCTTCAAAGACGACATCCCTTTATCATGTTGTTAGTTTCTATATCTCGCTAGGCTCATCTGCGGTACTGTCAATTCCCCTAACACGATAAGTCCCCCTACAACGAGTTGGGGCTTATCGAATTCCGACTTTGGTGGGGAGTGAATTTTAAACCCTTTTATCTCCGGATTGAAGCCTGCAGCATGGATATACAATGAACGCTGAAGCACACTAGCCGTACTATGCTCTCAAATGGTCTAGAAAACCTTCGAATATTTCCCCTATCAAAGAAATATACCCAACTCCTTATCTCGTAAACCAGAATTAATTGCCAACTCCTGATAAATACAGACCAAGTATATATTATAAATGGGTGACCAACATGCGCTCTGGACCTGCGCTTGCATGCAACTGGTCTCGTTCCTAGCAACACGATCTACTAGTCTCGAGGCTAAGATCGAATAGCAGAACACAGGTGCACGCACTCGTGTATATCCTTAGTCTAGTCTCGAGGCTACTACATCTGTCCACCATTTGCATTAACCATGAACTCGCTTTCAAATTAGCTTTTATATAATTCTTAATCTGGTATACTCAATAATATAATATAACATTCTAGCTTGGGATTGTGACAAATACAATTGACTTTGTTGTATTTTTGGCGCCGGCAACTTCAATCCGTGTGTTGCAAAAGCTTAATATTTACTTAGGGCCCACAGGAATCCCTGCGTCTCGATGATCATATTCCGTTTTGTACGACGCGGGCTATCATTGGCTCTACTTGCACTCGTACGAGTTTCATTTGGGAAGGCAGCTTTGGATTTTTCAGCCTCAGAGCTTGTAGTCAAGGTTCCCAAGGGGCTTTTCTCAAGACTCTAGTTTAAGCTTGCGCAATTGTCAGTTTTTTAAGGAACGTTGTCGCAATCCAGTCTCCCAAGCTTCATCCATCTTTATTTTCCCGAAGCTGTTTAATTATATCGAGACAATTCAGCGATTCAGCCGGATTCCATTTGACGTGTGGCGGATATATATCACCCTAGCTGCAAGTTCCAGGAATCCTACAACATGCGACCGTTTGCCGAATGCGTTCTTGTCATCTTGGTATCCCTTTTCACAGCGCAGGCACAAGACTCTGTCCTGCCAACTTGCGCTCAGCCTTGCATTTCCGTCGGACTTGGCCAGACCTCCAACTCGACGTAAGATGCCTTTGCCAGTCCTCAGGTTACATCAGTACTGTCACGACTTGCGTCCGAAGTCTCTGCAATGAATCCGATAGACAAAGGGCGTTTAATTACTCAAAGGATACTTGCTCAAGTGTAGGTATTGAAGTATCAATCCCTGGAATCAGCTCGACCAGTTCGAGTACTGTCAAATCCGCCACAGGGGCTGCTACACCAACACCTACAAACCCAAATGCTTCTTCGACATCGCCAGGTGGGAGTGCATCAAGGACGCGACCCCCTTCGAGCACAACGGAGACATCGGCAGGGAATCAAAACGGATCTGATTCGGCCGATACTCCCACACCAGCGTCAAATAATAGCGGCAGCTCAGCACCAGTTGGTGCAATTGTAGGCGGTGTTGTCGGTGGGGTCGTCGCACTCGTCGCTGTCGTCATTCTGGGTACTTGGTTACTGAAGAGAGAGCAAAGGAAAAAAATGGAGATGTAATTGGCTGCAGGAAATTTTCCGCCAAAGGCACCAAAGCAACCCGATCCGAATTCCCAAGGAATCTGGGAAGGGAACAATGCATACAGTTGGAATCCACAGACGAATGTGCATGATGTTCAAGGAGGTGTGCCAAACGCAGATGGGCGTTGATCAAATGGGGCTTCCATGTCAATAAAATAGAAAATATGGATTACAGAAAACTCACTTCTTATAAAACTCAAGTATTGAGCGGGGCTTATCCTTGTAGACGGATACGAAACCTTTCTTGCATATATAACACAGGCTGATATCCTGCGTTATAAAATATCCACTCGGATTGATAAGCTTTCGACATCCATCAAAAATAGAAAGGTTCTCAACGGAAGAACAGGATTTTCCTGTGAGCGGGGTCTTGGCTGGCAGTGAAGGGGAAGTTTATCCTTGGCCTGCAGTACCAAGGCTTGCTATGATTCGTTCTCGAGACGAAGGTCCACCCATCCCGCGTCGCACAAAGAATGATGCTATGGAGGTCCTGTCGAATTCTACCGGTGAGCTTCTCGTTCAAAAAGGTGCTGGGCCCACATTTCCTGGCACTTTGTCGTGCCACAGCACAGTATATACTAGCATCGACATCCTTATTTTCATGTCGGCATGATCCGACCATCTTACCAGATATTGAAGCCGCCAATTTGGGTTATGCCCAAAAAGAACCCCGTTTCGGCTTAATATATATACTCTTCACGATATATATTAATTATCCTTACCACCGAAATCATGCTTTTCCCTTTCGTGTTATCATTATTTATCCTACCTACCAATATCTTTAGAACGGTTCTCGCACAACCCCCCTGGCTAACTGGCGATGGTTCGTCTGATTGTGGGCAAGGGTGTTTTTTCCAAAACCTTCGCAATTCGGGATGCCAATTTCCCAACATCGGCTGCGTCTGTGAGACACAAGGCTTTATTCCAGACCTAACGACATGTGTCAATGGAAGATGTAATGCTACCGAAGCAGAACAAGTTTTACTAGCTGCTAGTTCGTTATGCGCTTCTGTGGGCGCGTCAAGTTCAACCCAAGTATCAACTGCATCGGGTTCGACATCAACTCAAACGTCGACGTCGCAAGTATCTACTAGGTCCGATACTTCGCGATCAACATTCACGACTTCGACTTCAAGACCAAATACATTATCCGATAATAGATCAACAAGCTCCAATTCTCGTACCCAATCCTCAACCGGGTCAGCGACTGCACCACCATCAGAAACTCAATCGGAATCTCCACCAACAACAGATGGGGGCTCAACACCTATAGGTGCAATTGTCGGTGGCGTCGTAGGGGGCTTTGGTGGGGTCTCTTTGATTCTAGCAATGGTTTGGTTGATAATGAGGGAGAAGAACAAGGGAGACACGATAAGAGCACTTCCTCCTTTGATGCCAAAACCTCATACCGATCCAATAGAGCTAGAGGATCAACCGTTGCCAATATGGGATGGGCAGCAAGTTTTCACATGGAATCCACGAACAAATTCTGCAACGGAACTCCCTGCGACAGAAATCGTGAGACAAGAGCTTCCTGGAAGTTGAGCTGGGCAGATACGATGGGAAGTTATTGCTATTGCTATAGATTTTTTTTCTCTACTATTCATGTACCATTCACTAATGTTAATGAAATGATCAATGATGAAAGATTTACGCAGGGAACTCCACCATACATCCATTTCATGAATTGCAGCTAGTATCTCCGCCCAGTTCGCTATGTATAAAGCTGATTTCAATGAAGAAAAAAATTAAAATCCACACTCGAGATCCAAACAATTAGAAATAAATCTGATCGTGTCGCATTTAACCGGTCGCGGCCCGCCCCATAACATCTTAGCCGTTCTTACATATTACTCGTCATTGCATTGCATTGCCACAATGCAGCTATCCCACCGGTTGTATGTCTTCGGCCGATAGACTGCAACATGTTTCCGACAATTAGTGCCTTGATACATGTAAGTACACCGCTTGCCCCACATCGAATCCTGACTGCAGAATCTCCAGGCTCGTTAGGCCAATGATTGGACTTCTTGGTATCTTGGTTGTGTAACCGAGGCCTAAATCCGTTCCTAAGCTTATAAGCAAACAACGTACGGTGCCTGGAAGATGGAACGGACAGGCGCTTAAAACATCAAGCAGGAGGCGGCGAGGTTAGAACCCTGCTCATTATGATTTTCATAAATTATTTTTGCGTAACCTGCCAACGAGGTATTTGAGTTTGGAATTCCTTTATCCATTTAAGTTTTGTGGCCCTTTTCTTCTGTAATATTACTGTGTGTTATTACGGCATCTTTAGACTGCTGACTGTTATTCAAAGCTTACAAAGGTATCCATCCTTTTGTCCCCCCATGATAATATATGCATATGATATTAATATACTAGCTGTTTATACAGAAGCTCTTATCGGCCAGAGTAAAGCTTAGCGTCAGGACAAATAAACTTCCGACCGGAACATTTATAATATTCATCTCTTCTACAAAATACGAATACGGGGACCCCGGCACATCCACACAATGCTCTGGACGAAACCATTTATTTTATTTTATTTCTTCGCTCAAATCCCTTCAGGGGGCCTTTCCCAGTCCACAGTATCGGCAGATATCCCTGGAAACGTCAGGTTTCGGATTCCCAAAGACTCTACCACTCTCCAGACTTCAACTATAACTTCTAGTACTATTACGTCGTCGGAACTTCCTTCAGATCAGTTGCAACCCACCGTTAATGTTTCACAGGGGACTGATAGTTTGGTTCCTACCCCTTCGTTACAGGACAATAATTTGGGGGCACAAAGCAAACCCGTGAACGCTGGGGCGATAGCTGGCTTGGTTATTGGTGTGGTCGTTTTACTGCTCGGGACGTTGATTGGGGCGGTCTGGTATTTACGTTCAAGAGGCCGGAATAAGAGTACCTTCACGAAAACCGCAATTGAGAATCAATCTGAACAGAAACTTCCTCCAACAGAGACTATCTCTAAGGAGACCATCCAGAAACAAGAAACACAGACGGTTGAACCAAAACCCAAAACACCACCGGCTCCGAATTTCGATAAACCGTCTCAAGAGGCCCAAAGAAGATTAAGGTCATCTTTCGGAGGGCTGTGAAAAAAGAAGTTTTGGGCAATTAGTAGAGGGGAGAATTTGAATAAACTTTTCAGTCGTGGGAATGTCTCAGATTCCTTTGTAATGATTGTCCTAGATCAATTCCAAGCTGGGTCCTTGGACGGTCCCTGCATATCTCTAGAGTATTAGCATGTTTGTTTCAACAGTATCTGCTAGTGTTTCTTTTATGAATCTATGATATCATATTTGCATCGTCACTTAATTTTTTTTGTAGAATTAATTTTCTGTCAAGTTATAACATATGCAAATAACTAAACTTATAGAGAAATTTTGAATACTATAGGCAGCCCCTACAATATCATGCAATATTAATAAGTACCATGAGTTCCTGTAAAAGAATAGCCTTAACCGATAAGACCTCTCCTTATCCGCTATTTTTATCAACTAGGCTCCCTAGCGGCCCAGTGAAGAGCAAACAGCTCGGCTTGAGTAGCTCCGTGTGCTGGTGTCACAAACTCGACCGCGATCAGGATCGCGATATACAGTCGGCGAGTTAAATTACGCTGATCGAAGTGATAACATTACACCAAATATATATAACTGACATTGCTCGAATAGAACCTTTTAACAACATTCAGATAATGGATTGAACCAGAATTTTGACCTGACGAAGCCAACAATTGCACAAAGGCTCTGATTAAATCACAAAATTTACAGCGTGTTAACAATATTCCCGTCTTATTCGGCGAAACGCCTTTGTACTACAATATGAGCCGCCTAAATTCATTATCTATTTACAATAGGAGTATTGTTTTCAACCCTAGCAAAAATCACAGATTCCTACATTTAAGTCTACAGGGTTAAAGCCCTTCAAGTTACACATCTTGATCGCGTCGAGTTCTAACGTCGCATATAATGCACATATCCGTCTATACACCCAGGCCCTAGTATATATATAAAAAAACATCCAAGTTATTCTATAGATATCTAGATTGCTCGAACTATGCATATATGTCACGAGTCAAGGTGGGATGGGTATGAGCATAACATGAGTCTACACAGTTTCTCACTATATGCTGGCGTACACTCTCGTACTCAGATTTAAAACATTGGTACTTATATAATATATATATGTATATCATATAACGTTCGTAAATAGCAGCTTCCGGATAGATATATATCAAATCTTGATAAATTCAAAATCGAAGTTGGTATTAATATATTATAAGTGTTAAAATACATTTCCAGGCTTCGAACTTCGAATACGAGCTCCAATAGCGCCCAGCATCAAATAAAAACCTATTTCCATTAAAATACCCTTCAATTCTAATAATCGTAAGCAATAACTCATATACCTCCACACTGAAAGAATCACTTTCTAATAGTTGTTTGTAACGTTTAACGTTCTTGTTAACCTTACTTAAGTAGATATACTAGGTTTATCAATCGCGATCTTGCAATTGCGCTTGAAAGCAAAAAGAAAAACCATGGATCCCACATCCAGCCGTCTTTGCACCTGCTCGGCAAGTGCCCGGCATGCCGTCAACCCGACGAAGCTTAACCACGGAGAAATGGTTGCCCTATTGATAGCCTCTCTGGTTACCCTTGGTGTGTTGCTTGTTTTCAACATTATCGTTTTGGTAGTTGGGCTATGTATTTGTATGCGTCGGAGACGGCGCAGAACTCTACAAAGTCGAGATTTACGGCAAACTGTTGACGAAATGAGGAGCTCATGAAGATTCTTTGAGCTTTCTAAGATGTCATGCATTGGCAATCGATATTTCTTTTGTGTTCACTAGAGTTAGGGAACTCAACAATTCTGACACAAGGCTCATATCCTGCTTTGTTGCAACTGGGTTGATCAGATATCTAGATGATTTTAAAGGCCAGATTCCCCATGTACTATGTACCTAGATTGATCGATATATCTTGAGTGTAAAACTGCATTGCCAGATCATTGCATTGCTCCGTTTTTAAGATATCCTTCTTAGGCCCATAGGTAAGGTGTTTGTACAAGCAATTATAGTATTAAGGAGTAACGTTTGAAAGTGCTCGTTGAAGTTTGCATATTTAGATATCTGTTTTGCCGCACAATCATATCAAGATTGTATGATCATATTTTTATATCTTGATCATTGAGACAGCCTCGCAAAACACGCTTCGGACAAACACCATCATAGGTTTTCCTGGTAGTTAGCGCCCTCTGGATCCTGTATCGCAATCGCTGTATACATTTCTTAATACGGTAAATTCTGAAATAAGAGCCTCGAAATAAACCTGGTTTGGTTTGGCCTCTCTCCTAACGTTTCAAGATCGCAGTTGATATTGAACGCAAATGACAGCAAATTTGCAATAAAGCAAATGTGAGCTAGGAATATTGCGGTATTGAAAATTTCTGCTATGAAGCTTCATTGCGTAATTTCTCGCCTCAGTTGAAAATGAGTCCGTAAATGTATGTGTAGGCTAATGATGGTAGCGACAACAGGGCTTAATAGGTAGATTCGATCCACTATCCAAACTTCAACGTTGCACGAAGTTTGCTTCCTTTCCAAATATGGCGATATGAAAACAGTAGGATACTTTAGTGTTTATCAAAATGAAGCCTTCTGAAAAGAGGCTCCGCTTTTCGAGGTTCGAGATGTAATCAAGTCAAAATGTATATATAACGAGCATTTGCCTTCGAAGATCTCTTCTCACGATCAAATATACTTTACATTACTAAGAACAACCAGCGACCTCATATATATATGCATAACCTAAAATGGTAGAAAACCATATCTCAATGGCAATATTTATGCTGCTCAATCTAGCTTTTAAGCTGGCGGACTGTAATTCGGTCCATACCCACACAAATAGTACTAGTACTTCCCTGAATCCGCGCTCTCAGTTGACGGAAGCCCATAAAACGAAGGATGGGATCCTCGTTCTACCTACTATCTTGAACTTGCAATCCGTAGTCGAGATTATAACTACTAGTTCAAGAGAAATTATTGAGATACTTCCCACACCACAGGTTAGCATCTCACATGTCCAACAAAACAATTCGGCACAAGTGTCAACCCGAGGCCAAGAATGGTCGCGATGCACGATGTCAAAGTGTCAGAAACGAGCGTCTATCACATCTATTCACACATTTGAGTCACAAGAACGACCCCCGAATATGACAACCGTGAAAGCCCCGGCACGTCCGACAAAAGGTATTAGCTTATGTTTTAAGTTTTTATAACAAGATGTAAAGAGAAACCTCTACTAACCTAGTCTAATATGGCAGATGCGATCCACACGGAGCTAGTTTTTGTACCAGAATCACAGTATTTTAAATTCGCGGGTGTCACCGACACTATAAAAAGAGAGTGTATATGCCCTAGTACTGGTAAGCGACGGTCTGGACTAGGCTTCCTAGCGACGGTTGGAGTGATCACTTGTATAGTAATCCCCATCGTACTGCTCATTTTCATTTTAAAGAAATGTCTCCAACGTCGCAGCCTCTCTCGTGTACTGCGGATCCGGAGTCGATCTAGGCCTTACGAATACGACGATGAGAGGTATATTTTCGATGTAAGGGATCTCTCTATCTCTAGCCCCGCCACTTTTGCCCGACCTCATCAAGAATGAACAAAGAGTCGACTCGACAATTTAGAAAACATTCACAATCTTATCAATAATATGGCGCCATTAAGCGAAGGGATTCTATTGAATTTCAGCAAATATAAGCAGCGGGCGGGGCGCTAGAGGCAATACACGATTTCTTCTTCATTGGGCCTAGCAAAAATCCGTCTCAGGAATGCGCAAAACGAGAAATACGCCCGTCTGTACTTCGACGACCCACTTGTATTATTCCCTATTATTGTTATTACTATTACTAAGATTCATGTTTTTCCTCTTCATATTTCTGACTCTGGATCTCGTTTTTTAGTTTTCGTTTTCATGGTTGATCTTCCTCTCGACGTCACCCTAGCTATCTCCAGATTCAAAATCTCCAGCCTCCCCAAAGACTTGTTATTCACCGGCGTACAACCACCCCTTTGTTTAGTTTGTTAGTTTGATCATTTGGTACCGCCTCGAAACCCCCCGGGCTTTTCTCCTACTCATCCATGTATTATTCAAATATTATTCTTATCACAATGATTGGAGTGCCTTGCTACGCACGGCGCCTACCTAGCCAATTGCCTGGATGTCTGTAGTGTTGCTGCGCGTACTGGATCTGCAAAATCCAACAAATTTCTTGTGTTAGCCCCGTCCTGGGTTTATTTCTGGTACCAACGAGGCTAGTTTATACTATTCATCTTGTTGTATCGAGATCCATAGCTATAGATCTAGACGTCGACTTCTAGACCTAGATTGTATTTTTTATTTAACTCTGATAATATATAATAAATAACCGTCGCGGTTGGTATAGCCTCCTGAATACCGCCGCTCCTCCAGAAAGTGTAGCCTGGTTTTCTCTCTTTCCAAGGTTAAATTCTACAGTACAAACCAGTTGGCCGTCCGCATGATACACTTTCAATTGCCATTTTTGTTGGCACTTCTGAAACTGCGAAGCCTAAGATTCGCGGCACAGACTGAGGAGACTTACCGACCACCATCCAGGTCGAGAATGCTGTACCAGAATGCTGTTTCAGAATTTCAGGAATTTATTTTCCAAAAGAAGTATTATTGGGTATTATTCTCTCCCCAAGGGAGGAATATCTTCTGAACAGATAAATTGCCTGTTAGAAACTCACTTTTAACACAAGAAAACCCGTGCGAGCCGTGGAGGTGTTTTTTTTCTTTCTTTCGTGAGACCTGTTTGATCGACTTAGACTGTCTGAGTATTCGAATTCCGACATCCAACAGGAACAATATGTCGCGCGCGCGGCGACACATGTCATGATGCGCCACCGAATAATGCCTATTCGAAACGATAACACCAACTTTTAAGAGGACTACGAAACCCTACTTCGTTGTAGAAGTAGTTATCATTTTCACAAATTCAAGTTTCTTTGCTGTCTTTTTTTTTTTTTCCTCTTTAGTTTTCCTTTCTGCTTGCAAGCTTGAGAGCACAGAATTCCCAACTGTTAATTCAGCTCTGCCCCACACTCCGCCTCAAGAAAACACATGCCAGTTGTAAATTAAATCATTGAAGTTGAGTGTGCTGGCAAACAAATAAAGGCGGCGATACCACTTCGTTTAAAAAAAAAAAAAAAAAAAAAAACTTGATTGCAATTTTCATAATCCCTTCTGAGCTGGACTCTTTCTTTTCTTTCTTTCCCACTACCGTCCCACAGAAAAGTTGGAAGTTATTGTGCTGTGCCCAAAGTTTCTAACCAGCCTCGTTGGTGACAGGTGGGGATATCAGTTTCATTCTCTCGACAAGCAACTGGACTTGGACAACTTGAGGCCGGAATCCTTAAATTTTGTTATGCTGACCTTGTTGACGGCACGGTAAACGTCGACTCTACACAGCCTTCTCTTCTCGCCTCTCACGAAACAGGATTTCGTGTTTTTTCTTATACTTTTTATTTTTATTTTTTCTCTATCTTTTTCCCTGGGTGATTTTTTTTTTTTTTCAACTGTTTAGTATCCTCTACTGGCCTCGGATATCCCTAGCCGGATTGTCTACACTCTTTCAAATTCATCTATACCTCAGGTATTGTTACTCCAATTTTTTTTAAATCTCTATTCCAGAAAAAAAAAAAGCGAAAAAAAAGAGACAAGTTAATTCTAAGAACCCTTTCATGATGCCAGACGTTGAAGCCCACATTGATAGCTCCAGCTTGCGACCATACGTCAAGCCCATCAAAGAGCTCCCAGATCCTACCATATCGTCCCCAAACGTCCCAATAAACATTAGTAGATCCAATCCTACATCTACACCCACCAGCGCCACAGAAATGGAAAACCCAGACATGAGGGAATCTCTTCACCCCTTCGATCCAACGACGGAGGGGGTCACAACCACCGGTCTTGAAAACGCTCGCAAAACCCTTATCGGACTGAGCTTGGGGATTATCATCATACTCATCCTGTTGGGGGCTGTCACCGGTTTGATGGTCATGAAGCACAGGAGAGCTAGGGCGAAGGACTTGGAGGCTGCTGCTGAGGCAGCAATAGCAGCATCTGAAAATGGAGGGAAGAGTGATCCGGATGTAGTTTCTCCTGCACCACCGAGGTATTCCCTGGAGGATCCTGCGGCTGTAGGAGTGGTGGCGCTTCCTCCTGGTTATTTGGAGGCTAGAAAGAGCGACGAGAAACGGGAACAGAGTTCTGAGAATTCTACGGTGGAGGAGGAAAAGACGGACACTAAAGTTAAGAAAAACGGGAGCTTGAGGTCAAGCCCTGTGAGGAACATGAGGATATTGGTCTAAAGGGACGTCGACCAGATAGGATACACATTAGATTCTATGGAGGGTTTAAATATTCCTTTGTATTGCGCTTTCTCCTTTGTATTGCGCTTTCTCCTCTAATAGTCTTTTGCTGAGAGGCTACTCTTCATTCTCGATTTCATGTAGTTATATCTTTCCTTTGTTGTATATGCTATTGTTTTCAAGGTGCTTTGTAAATTAGTCGGTTTAGGTCTTTGGTGCATAGTTGGGTCCTCTTTTTTTTATGGTTTTTGGGTCTTCGGAGTTCATCTGTATTTCATGTAAAGTTTTTATATTCCTGGTAGAATATCATCTCGTAAACCAGAATGGTCATATCTATACTCCTAGTATACAAAGTAAAAACCGTCATTTGATCCTACTGGACCTCCGCTTGGCTATCGTTTCGGCTACCACCTTGGTTTCGGAAGCTATTGACCCTATCACCTTTTTTGCCCGCTTCGCGCGTATCGATTTGGACGTCTCTTTCTCGCCATTGGCTGTAGATTCTAATCCCAAGCCATTAGCAAGAGACTCCTCCTCCTTTTTAACATCCATTTCGATTATAGCTGCTGCTTTCTTCGATGAGACCTTCCTCGAAGGTTTTGGTAGCGCTTCTTCTTCTATCTCTTCTATCTTGACAGCTTTCTTTCCTCTCTTCTTAGGGGCCGGTTTCTCAACGCTATTTTCGACTTCACTCTTCTTCGCCCTGATTTTCTTCTTCGGCTTTAGATATTCTTCCAAACCTTCAGGCCAATAAACCTTTCCTTCCGCCCCTCCCATAGCCAATTCATTTAGCTCAATATTACCGTCTTCCGCCATACCATCCGTTCTCTCGTATGGTATAACATCATTTACCTTTTCCCACCCATCCAACTTGAACTTCCTCATAACTTCAAAAACCGCCTGTTCTTTATCCTTCGCCTCGATCATTAAGTCCATATCATCCTCACACGGTGGTAAATCCCAAACTCTCGGTGAATGCCTCCTTCTGTCCCTGTCGGTGACGCTTCCTACTCTGGGCTCGCTATAGTGCTGTTTTTGTTTAATACCCTTCTCAACCCAGGTATTTTTAATCCTTTCTCCATAAACCTCTTTCACATCATATGTTCCTTCCCTCAACTTCCCATGAACGATATTATTATGATGCCAATCCAGCACCATTGGAACCCCTAACTCCTCGCATATATCGATTAAATCCTCAACACTCCAGCAAACGTCATCATTCTCCAGCACCAAACGCCTCTTAATCCCTTCCGACAAACGAGTGGTATATACCGTTCTAAACCGGTCCAAAGTCGCAGGTTTATCTCCAAACGTTCCACCCATGTGAATAATCATCACAGCATCTTTATCAGCTTGTCCAACCAACTGTAAACGATCTAATAACTCGCAATGATACTCCAAATCCCTAATCGCATTATCCACAACTTCCTGTTTTGGACTGGCTAGTTGCGTATATTGTCCCGGATGCATAGTCAACCGATGACCATACTCCATCGCCAATCTCCCAGCTTCTTTCAAAGGTTCCGCGGCATGTGCCAAATCATAGCCGTATTTGGAGTGACTCGCGAAGGGGAACATTTCGGATGAGATACGTAGGAATTTGATATTATATTTTTGGTTCCAACGGATCAAGTGACCGAGGTCGGTGGCGTTTTGGAAGCCGAGAGACTTTACGTAGGCTAGGCCGCCACCGGGACCGGATTCGGTATCATGTTTGTGGATTGTATCGAGACGACAGGTACGGGAGCAGAAAATCGGAGGGTTGGCTGAACGGAGGTAGGTGTTCAAGCAGGCCTACAAATATTAGAAATCATTTTATCAGCAAATGTATGATATAGATTAACTTGGGAAAGGGAGAGCTTACAAAGCCCAAACGACCTTTGAAAGGAATCGGGCGATATTCATCGTTGACGGGAGGTGGACGATTGACGGGAGGTGGACGATTGACGGGCGCCTCGTCACTCCCTACATCCTCTGGCTCAAATGCACCATCATCTGATAAAGCCTCAACGGCTTTTCTCTTCCTACCCGGCGATTTCTTCGCGGTTTGTAACGTCTCTTCTTTTACTTCATCTGTCTTCTTCTTTTTTCCAGTGGGTTTTCTTTTCTTGATAACCGGTTCATCATCGTCCACGGTATTAACGAATGCAGACGATAATGCTTCGTCTTCTGTAGCCGTAGGAGACGCTCTTAATGCATCTTTGCCGTCAATAATTTCAGAATCCGGCGGAGAAGGTAAATCGACGGCATAATCAGCTTTCGCAGAGATGGTCCTCTTCGAACGACGCTGGCCTGCTACAATATCCTCCGTCGTATTCGATGACGGCAAAACTGAATTAGATGCCTTTCGACCACGAGACATATTTGTATATTCCAACGCGGTGTAGCTGATAACTCCTGGTATCGATTGAGGTACTATACTTGGCAGTCGTAGTCGCGGTCGTAATGGGAATGATGATAATGATGATGATATTAAACACCTCGAGCTAGAGGACAGCGACAAGATACTCCGATTAAAGCTCTTATATCGCCAGAACATAATCGATGCTATCCCTCCTCGAAGATAATAATAAACCCAAATTCGCCCCCTGAAAAGAAGAAGTCCATGACCTAAACGGATGATAATGGGGATTAGATTGGATGTTAGAATGCTCATGACATAACCTTTAGTGGCAAGCCCAGGAACAAGCTTAAATTGGCCGCTTCGTCAACGCGTTGGAGATCGATCGAGATCGGTCGGCGCGATCGGGAAGGTTGCACAAGCAAACTAATATGGCCTCAAATGTGTTGCTCTGATCTCACAGACAGATAACTTGGTGTAGACCAGTCTCGTAACCAAACTGTAAGACTGGGTGTAGACGTCTAGACTCTAGGATGTTTATCTTATTTACTGGCTTTAGAGCTGACAATGTCAATTGGTGCATTGCAGTTCGATTCTGCTAGCTATATTCCTATACGAGGAACTACCCGAAGGGGCGATGAGGTCAAAATGACCGGTGCGACAAATAACACCAGAGCGCTTCCCGAAAAACGTTTAAGCGTAAGCAAAAACCCATAGAGGATCCCATAAGCTAGGCCCGTCCTAGCTAAACTATGCAGGCATGTAAAGAGAGTATGATATGTAATGGACAGTAAAACAGGGTATATGAATCCATACAAGTGTCATAAAACAGAAAGAAAACGTGAAAAACTCCCGAACATTCACTCGTTAAGCCCTCGAGACAATCAGAGTCTTGACTCCCAAGTCTTGAAATGCGCTTCCTGTGGACTTGCCAGCGGGCTCGCAACTTTCGTGGCAACTGTTGAAGCGGTTCCGTATTCAAACTCGTTATCTTCACCGAACCCCCTTGGCAATGGTTGAGCTGTAGGACTCAACGGTAACTCAATGTCGCTCTCCAGCTTCTCCTTTGGCTGGCTGCGTCCGATGCTACCGATACCACTGAGCACACTGCTTCGTCTGCGTTCCCTTCGAACGCCAACTCCGAATACAAAGAAGGCGAGGGCGGCCACAATGCCCACTATTGCCAACATGATAATTGCACCGATGACTCCTGCGACTGCTGGTGCCATACCATGTCTTTGAGTTGAACCCTGCTCGTCGTTCTCTCCATTGGTATTTGAGCCAGTTGGCGGGTTCGCCGGCCCAGTGCCCTGGCAGAAGTCTAATTTCGCGGAGCATACACTGCACCATTGTCCCACGCTTCTGACAGCAACTTCATCCAACTTCGCCAAAAACTCTTGATACGGCATACCGAATTCATCATCGTCTTGGTCGAATAGTGGCCAATAGGTAAGTGTATCGTCCACGGTAGTTCCGTTTCTAAAACCAAACGCCACTTTGATCGACTGCTGATCAACGATGTGATCAGTACTGAGTGTTTGATCGTCCGTGTAGAGTTCGAAAACCATGCTAGATCCTAGATCCGGGAGTCCGAAGAAATCAGGACTACGGGATGGAAGGTTCGCGATAGCAAAGAAAGATAGCATGATATCGTAGTCTCCAAGAACAAAATTGAATTTACTCGACCAACCGCCTGGAGAAGCTAATTGCTCACGGAAGGTACGAGCGATTTTATTAGCCATTAGACGACCGCCGACGTCACGAAGGTCTTCGGTAAGGTCTCCACTTGTCCAATTGGGGTTCACGGAGGTAGTGGTATTGCCGTACATGTTGAATTGTAAGTGATTAGCATAAATATGCAACTGTTGGAAGTCCTCGTCGGACATTTCAAGGAGAGTGGAGTTCCCGGCTTCACGGTTTTGGTTGACATAGTCGTAGAGGGTGTAGGCATAATAGAACACCATATGGAAATCCTCAAAGACGCCTTGGAAATATGGTTCATAGAGGCTATCGTAGAATGGTTTGGATTCATCATAAAGGGACTTGTAGTCGTCCGAGCTGTAATACTGTGCAGAAGAGATTTTCTGATTGTTGCACTGCTGAAGGTTACCTGCCACCCAGACGGATTGGGGGTCTGTAGAGCGATATGTGGTGATCGGGGCGTATTGGAAGCCATTGAGAGGTCCGTTTGAAAAAGTGGAGTTATCGGCGGCCAGAATATCATTGCCACTCGTGATGGTGTTTTGGTATGCAACGGGTCTATAGAGCCCCTGCAAGAAGGCCATTGCTAGATATATCATGTTAGACCCACCAATTGGTTCAATTATGCTTATACTGGACTGATCAATAGAAGGTTATCAAAACAACTTACCGGACTGGATAGAAAGATCCATGTTTGGAACCTCAGCATTGACATAGTCGGAATTGAATATCTGCGAGGTTCCGTATATCTTCAATGGAGCATCCTTTCTAAGATACTTGTTCCAATAATACGCCCCGTCTTGAAAGCACATTGTAGCACCCCCAGCGCCAAAAGTACCACCCTGAGTGCCATCGGGCAAGATGAGCGAGGTTCTGTCGCAGTGGTTGTGGAAAAGGAACACCGAAAGGACGGTCCCGTTTGACGTTACGGCTGGTGACTTATTGGCCTGCGCATATGCGGTAGCAGCCAGCAAGCTGAAGCTCGCGATAATAGATGACACCTTCATTTTGCTTGTATTTTCTCTCTATCTGTCTATCTTCTTTTCTTCCTTTCTTCCTTTCTACTCTTATTCCCTTGCAGTCGCACTTGCGAAGAAGTGAAAGAGCGGGGTATTTCTCAGGGCCACAGTCTCAGGTCTTTGGACAGACAGGGCAGGACAGGGCGCGGTCAGCTCAGTTTAAAGCGAGCGAGCGGCTGACGCAGAGGCAGAAAAAAGTGTTGCCGATAAGCAAATAAACTGTTTCCGCCCAAGATTGGCCAATGCAATGGAATTTGGAACCCCTCGGCTGACGAAGGATAAGGCGGGCGCACTGAAAAGATATGGAACTGAGCTGAGAAGATATATTACAATCTCAGATTCTTTTGAGGAGCAAAGGAAAGAGAGAAGGAGAGAAGAAGGGGGGAAGAAAGAGGAAGAGAAGATGTATCTTCCAGCAGGAAGAGTACCTCTGTTATAAAGCATCTATCCACTGAATCAGGATGGATGGCTTGCCTGGCCGACTCTTCCACTGCAGCAGTTCAGTCGACACGGATCGTATTCTCCGTCTCGAGAATGATCGCCAGCGACAAGCTGCCCACATGCGCCTGCATCGAGCCTACACCGCCAACTCTTTTTTTTTTTTTTTAGGCTCGCTCGCTCGTAACATGCAGGACGCATTCCGTTATCGATGGATGCATGCCGTTTGAACCTTTTTAGTGTGGTCCAACTTCTGCGGACTTCTTGGAGACCACCATAACCACCCCTTGCCAACTTCTTGGTATTGTAACTGGCCGACTTGGACCGAATTGGCCCTGTGACAGAGACAGAATTCTCTCTTTACCACCAAATAATCTACCAACCATTACTAACTTGGTGTGGTACTTTGGGGGGGTCGGGAAAGCGGGGCTGTTAGAACGGCTCTTGGATGGTTAAAGATTGTCGAAACTCGACGGCCTAGAGTCCGTGGCCACTGGGAATAGAAGGACCCTCTTGCCAGAAGTGTGATCCATGTCCATGTCCTTGCATTGAGATATGCTCTGCACGGCCGGTCACACCATTAACACCAATACTTCTCACCGAAGTAAATGCCGGTAGAAGGATACGGCTGACAAGTACGGTGGGTGCAAGTAGACGGTACAAAAACCGGTCCATATGCCCTGCGCGTGCATGTCAAAGGAACCGGTGAGATCTTAACGCAGCGAGCGATAAGACTGTTCCGGCCTAGCAGCTTATGTTCTCCACAAACCACCACCACTATTTGAAGTAGTACTAACCGTCTGTCTTAGGTTAGAATTTGGGCGACCGACCGACCGTTTGTTCGAACACAAATGGCATGCATGTTTGCAAAAGTTGGGTCGTGAGACCTTTGGCTGAGTATGTATTAACTCCGCTGGTTTCTTACTGGCGGGGAAAACTTGACGTCTTCTAACCAACTCTTTTCGCTATTTCTATTTTAATTCTCGCTTTTTCCTCTTTGCATTGACCAAGTCTCCATATTTTGCAAGGTTCGGGAAATCTAGAGCGAGGATGAAGGCGGGGAGGTTGGAAAGGCTGAAGTGATTACATCGATCGCCTGCCAAGTTGCAAGTTTCCGTGAGGAGGTGCGGGATTATTCACACTAACTTATAAAACTCAGTACCTCGTTCTTGCATTCACTAGAACTCCGAGTACTAAGCTATAAGGTGGTAGGTGGATGAGCATGAGCATGAGCATGAGCCTCATGCATGAGCGCGTGGGACAAGACAGAGGACTAAGTTGCATTTGAGTAACGATCGAACGTCGGTGACGACATTCAACATACATAGTACTGACATGATTTGATATCGTGATTTCATTGGAATTGGAATTAAAAACGTACACGAAATAACATAACGGACAGACAGGAGACATTTATTTGACAGCCGACAATGATAAGACTAAAAATACTAACTAACCGTAATACCAGACCCCCCATAAGGATTATGTAAGTACATACTAGCTTTGATAGTTTTTACAATCCGAGTTCATCACAAGAAGAATGGTGACATCGAAACATCCGAAATCGGTAGACACCTCATATAATCCAAAATCGCATTTCAATCCTTGGCTGTAATGGTCATTTTATTGGAAAATTGAGGGTTCTCCCTCTGCCAAGACCGTTTGCCGGGTTTACTCGGCAGTGTCCGCGGTGTCGAGTTCGAACTCTCTGGTGCGCGGTTTCCCGTCGGAGTGAGCAATCATCCAGTATGGGCGTGTGTAAAGTTGGAGGGTATTTGTGAGGGTGGAAACACCGCAGCAGGCCTCTTCACCAGAGAGTGGCGTCAACACGATAGCACCTGTGGGCATTTGGGTACTGGTGGACGGGAGGTTAGGACTCGAGTCACCAATTTATTTTTTTTCAATTTTATCTTTTTTTTGAAACCTTCAGAACTGATGTCCTTTTTTTGGAATTGAAGATGGACGGAAAGGGAAGGTTTGCTTGTTGTGTTGCTGTGTTGTGTCGTAATTACTCTTCGCCAATGCCATAACCGTAGCTACTGTAGGGATTACCTAGGCTCTGTCGACCAGGCATGCCCATACTGTCGAACTCATCACAATCATCATCGTCCATCAACATCATATTTGGGTCTCCCATGTTATAATCATCTTCATCACCATATCCATACTGTTCGGGAGTAGGAGGGCGAACTCGGAGAGCCAATGGTCGAACATCTGGAACTGGGTTGGCAGCAACTTGAATTCTTGCTGGACGAGCAGGAGGAGGAGGACGAGCCTGCACTTGAACTTTGGGAGGAGCTTGAACTGGAACTTTAAGTGGTGGTAAGGCCTGGGCTTGTACCTTTCTCGGTGGTGCTTGAGCCTTATCCTTTGGTGGAGCTTGCAATTGAGACTTTGCAATTGGTGGTGCTGGTGGAGGAGGAGGTGGTGGGTTCTGATCAGCAGCATCGTTCTCATGCTGAACTTTCATCTGACGGGCCACTTGTTCCTCATAGCGGCGACGGTTCTCGTCTTCATCGTCTTCATCAATATTCGCGTCCAAATCCGAATCCGAGGAGTCTGGAACTTGAACCGCGGTGACTTGCAATTCAGCTTCATAGCCCGTACTTTCGACACAAGCATAGAATGGCTGATAAAAGCGGGAAGGTTTGAAACATGGACGTCCGCTGGAAAGGTTTTCCTCTTGTTGGTGTCGAAGTTCGTTGACATAGAGTAAAGCCGCTTCCTCGCTGGCTTTGAGCTCAGCGGTGGCTGGTACGCCTTCCATCTGACGGTTTTGGAATTCAACGTTTAGTTTTTGTTCAATCTGGAAATTTCATATATGTTAGCTTGTGATATCAAGAAATAACCGGGGGAAACGTAAGACTGACATATGAGGGGTCTACGAATAACCTGAGATAAGATACGGCGTAGACCACCAGGGCGAGACTGAATTCAATCATATTGCCGGCTTGGTGCTTGGTAGCTTAATAGCCCCTAATGTTATGTTATGTATAAACTAAGTATATTTAAGAAAAGGTTGAACTAGAGCGGAGCAAATATCTATATGCAAATCTATGTTCCAAGAGAAAAAAAGAGAAAACCAGGATTAAGATATATTGGAGGTGAACTCAATGGACTCTGCAAACTCAGAATGTCAAGAACACTATACTATGTTGCTTATCAATCGAGAGTATGTCTACAATGTATGGTGAAGAACTCAGGACTTTCTACCCATGCTACTTGCTTCAGACATATATACACTCGTGCACTTGATATTCCTCACCACGGACACCATTAACAATAACACTAAAGAGAGTTAACTGTTAAGTTACACCAATTATGCTTCATATGCTTCGCCATGGCTAGGGGTAACTACGAAGGAATATAACGTTACTCATCTCAAACGCTCTGTATAACTTCCTAGACCGTGGCACACAGTCGTCGCGGTTTCATGATATGTAGGTAGGTAAATCCGGTGTAGTTAGAAATATGGTATAGTCTAGAATTCGAACTGCACATGCTTAATATCAATTCTCAGAGCTACATCTAGCTACCTAGCTAGCAAGATTAAAGTGTGAAGGCACAATAATCAAGTTGTTCGTATTATAAGTAACAGGTGTATTAATGCACTGCTGGTTGCCCTTATCGCCCCGGTCATGCATGCCCAACCGGACTACCGCTATAGCGAACTTTCAAAATATAATACTGTCTTAGATCTTAGCTTTCTATAGACCCAATACAACATTCGAAATGCTAGATGCAACCAACTAACCTACCCTTTGCTGTAAATATTAATAGCCGCGCAGCGCAAAGCACTACATTGCATTGGTATGGTCAAAGCCTATGGGTAGTATCTACGTATAGAGGAACAGAGGTCTAATTCATTTTCAATTATGAGGCAAAGACTGGGCCACTGTGTCGAGTTTCTTGCAACTGAGAGTACGCGAAGTTGGATTATGCATAGACGCACATGCCACGACGGTCCGCAACATTAACAAATGCATATACATTGCTTCAAGTTGAAGGCTTGATCATTTACAGTCCAAATGAATGGAGTTCCGGAATTCCAACTTCCAACGGTGCAACTAAATACCACACATTCCAATACCTGCGCCAGCGCTGCAGCCAACACTCAAAAAGTATTTCGATCAGTCTAATTGATTCATTTTGGTGGGAAACCTAACAATCCAACTTGAACCCAAACGAGGGCTGCTTCAAAAGTTAGAAGGGAGTTGGATTGCGGTGCCGTGCATGTAAGAACGACTCCTCAACAACTAAGGATATAATCAGCTTTTAGAACACAAGCTTTTTACCATTTTGCCACTTCTGCTGCTTTTTTTTGTCTCAAACTGTGCAAGAAAAAAAGAGAAAGAAAAAAAGAGAGTTTAAGGTGGTGCACAATATTAGACGCTCGGAAAACGGCATACGGTATCGAAATATTTCATTTCGTGGTGTATATTCTTAGAACTTGGGAAGCTTCACTAATCGTACGCCCAGCTCCGGATCCGAATTCTTCCTTACATGTGACTTAGGTTCACCCAGAAACTAATGTGTCAATTTCCCAACAGCGTAGTATAATCAAATAGACTCCGAATCAGATTAATAAATGTATTATTTGATTAGCCCCCCTCACATGACCAATAATCTGTATTTCCCAAATAGTTACTATGAATGGCTCTATTATCATTTATATAAGGTTACATATCTCAGCTACTTAGTATATATATATATATATATATATGTATACAGTTCACACATATGTATACGTCTAGATGTAGTCTGCATTTGTCCAAGCTTTAGAATTTGAATAAGTATAAATTATAACAACTGGGTAACATTTGGCTTAAATTCGCCTGATACTAATTGGTATATATATAACTCGAGAGGACACTTTTTCGAGTCGTATTGTGGGGATCTATGATATGAGTCTCTAGATCTTGGTCAATTGAAGCTGTGCGTTACGCTCTAGGATACTCTTAACGTATCCTAGGTGTATCTCCGCCGCTATTTCCGGCCTGCGAACTACTCTAATATTAATTTTACATGATGTCTAAATTCTAAGCCAAATGCCGGCCGTATAGCTTCTATCAAATGCTCGAAAACAAAAAAAGAAATATTCATAGTGGGGTATTTCATGCGCACAGCTGGCGCACCTGACTCTATAGATCTAACTAGAAACCGCTTTTCTAAGCTATCACAGCCCTCCCTTACCGCATCTACCGACCTTTAACACCGTTGTTCAACATAATTTGACCTCCGTTTGCGCCTCCAACAACTCCATTGATCGCCATGGACTGGATGTGAGCAATCATGCCACGGGGATCAAATTTGAATCTGGGATTCCTAACAAGTTCAAGTGCAATGACGCCGCTAACAGCTGGACAAGCCATAGACGTTCCCTGCATAACCTTTGTTCCCCTAGTATAGCACATCAACAGTTAGAGATGAGATTCCAACACCCATATGGATTATAGTTGGCGGCTGAGTCGACAACAGAGAAACTATCGAATGGCAAAACTTACTGGGCATCTTGGTTGTTCGTACTAACAATCTCAACACCGGGGGCATGAATATTGACACAAGCCCCATAATTGGAAAAACTGGCTCTGTTGTCATTGATATCCGTGGCACCAACGTTGAAAATGGGAAGTTCTCGCGAATATCCTCCCGGGAAAGCTGTGCAAGCATCTTTATTGTCGTTCATGGCTGAGAGTGAAACGTGCATGCCAGCTTCGGTGATCCGTCGCAGGACATCAAATTGTGCTTGGGAGCCTCCGCCACCAATAGACATACTTATAATGGATCCTGCGAACCCTGGAGCGTTTTTACGTTGTAGGTGGGAGGCGAGAGCAGCTTCCATTCCTGCGATGATGCCTGTGTTGGACCCACGGTTGTTGGAATCGAGGACTTTTATTCCCATGAGGTTGACGTTTTTGGCTACGCCATAACGAAGGGAGCCGACGGTTCCTGCGGTGTGCGTACTGTGTAAATATATTATTAGCAATGTGTTCTTAGGTTTAATATCGGGCCGATATATCTTACCCGTGTCCGTGGTCGTCGCTGTAGTTCTCGCCGAAGGCCGAAAATATCATACGGGCCCGATTACCGAACTCGGCATGCTGATTGATACCTATTGGGACGAAAGTTAGCTATCTTTTGCTCCGCGGCTGAATTTTGAAACCTCATATGATGATGCTTACCAGAATCAATCATATAAACATCCACACCAGTACCAGCGGTTCCATCGTATATATAGTTGAATCCCAAGCTTGTTCCACTACCAGAGTTCGGAGCAATTCTATTGACCTCTGAGATCCTTTGCAAGTTCCATGGAGCTCCAGATTGCTGATAAAACTGACCCACTTGAGGTTGCTGCGGTTGCTGCGGTTGCTGCTGCTGCTGTCTCTTCACATGTTTACTCTCATGTTTAACAGTCCTATCAACCCCACTATACTGACTATAATAACCACCATCTCGAACAACTCCAGCCTCATAAATCTGGTCCTTTTCGATATATTTCACATTCTCAAGAGTACCCATACTCTCCGCCTCAGACTCCAGCATCTCCAAGGTAAACCCACGAACATGAGTTCCGAATGCTTTGATATGAGATCCATCATCTATCTGGAACGTTCTGAAACTTTGGAAAGTGTGGTTCCCACTCGCACCGTGAGCCCTGAAGGAACGTTTGATTTCTCTTGTGCTGAATCCCATATCTTCGAAAACTTCTCCCCATTTACGTTGTTCGTTATCCTTCATTATGATAATGTATTGGGCGCTCGGGTCATCCTTGCCTCCACGGGTAGAATTTGTGTTTAGGATATTGGAGCCGGTAGGTCGGATTGGTAGTGTTTTATTGACGGGGTACCATTCGGGATTTAATTTGCTTGCAGATGGAATGACTAGAGCCGGAGCTGCTGGAGCTGCGAGAGTCGTTGGTACTGTGACCATGATAATGGAGGCTGAAAGTATAAACGCCCTCATTTTATCTATTGAGCAATCTCAATCACAAACTTGATCAATCCAACAGATACTGATAAAGTTAATTAAAATATTTATGTATATAAAAAGAGGGCACTTTGATATCGAAAAAGATAATGATAAAGCTACACTTCGAGTGCGCTTAGTGAACGGGTCCGGCCCTAAAGAGGAAGAGAAGAGAAAAGAAAGATTGAGAATTGAAGGAGCGGCGGTCGTTGAAGGCTACGGAACAAAAATTCAAAAAGTTCGGTGCGGGAGGGAGTGACGATATATACTATACTTTTTAGTCCTAAATTTTTTTGGTACCGCTCCGTTCTCAAACGGAGTCCCCAAACCTGTTTGGCTTAGTGTCACCGAAGGTTGATACGAAGCCTCAGAACATGGGGCTAGTTAAGTTCCAGAAGCCTTTGAGCTTCGGTACTTGCTCCGAGAATGCTTGGATTTGTGGTAGGGATTCATGAATCTGCTTGCCATCATGATATCGGAGATGTTTGATAATATAAATTTCATCAGGCTTCGATAATACATATCTCACCCCTATCCATGGACCCACGTCATGATACAATTATGTATTAGCATCCCATCGTAAATTAAGATAGTACCATAGGAACAATAAGCAAGTTAATATAACGGCGTCAAGGTTTTGAATAATTAATTTCTAACACGCATGACAGTATTCAAAATTCATTCCGCCCGACGTTGAATATCTATATGGACATAAGCTACTATGTACCATCAAATATCGAATTTTAAAGTATTCTCCTACAGAATCTCCTCATATTTTCACCACTGATATCGCTTGGTCAGTACCCAAAATATACAAAAGTTTGACAAATGAGGAATACGGAGAAGATGCGACGTTTGGTTCTGCAGTCTTCGTAATCAATGGGGGGTTTGTGAGACGAAACGACACACCCCTCACATCCTTGGCGCCGCATCCTCAGCCCATGCTGCGGCTCCCCGGGCGGCGCTACCAGGTGTTTATCATGGCCGCAGCGAACATATATGCAGAAGTGCATTTTTCGAACCTTAAGCTTTATGGAGTAGTTTTTCGGTATATACGGATCTGTATACTGTTGGGAGCCTCATCAAAGAGATATGTGAGCTAGAGGTATCGTATCGCTCCGGTATTGATATGTTAATATTTGTCCGTGCAGTTGCAACCGGAATAGTGTTCTTAAATTAAGAAGTTCAAGAGTGTGGCCCAAGTCCCGGGCCGAATGGTCGCGGTCGGTCGCGCAACTCCACAATATTTAAGCTACAATGCTGCGCCTGCACGGGTATATAGAAAAGCATCATCTACTAGAATCCCTAGCTAGATTTCCGACAAATATAAAGTACATTGATTATGACGCATCGACACTGCACTGTACCTCAAGCCCGGGCCTGCACTATCTCGAAAGCTGGAACAAAATGTCACATTTTCAACACAGATTTCAACATGATATTATCGGGCCAATGTGTTGTATCAGTAGTTCAACAAGGCCGGCTTGTGCAAAATTACAATTTAAAACATTCAAACAAGCACAAGCTATTTAGTGCCGAGTCGTCGAAATTGTATGCTAAAGATTTACCTTGATCGGAGGGTAATTTGAATATAAAGGGTCATATTTGAAACTAATCTCTTTCTGGAGCTCACAGTGTCGCGATTAACAGGAAATGAATGACACGGACAATAAAATTTAATTAAATACAGATGCATATGTATAGGTATATGGACGGCGTAATTACTTAGTCAGTATGCATAGTACTACTTAGACACATATTGATAAAAATGAATCTCAAGACCACAACCGAGTAACTCGAGGTTGACAACACTAGTGCTAGTATCACGCAGGTCGGATATAAGCAAGAGTATGGACCGGTGGATCAACTAAAAAGAAGTCACAAGCTCAAGGGTTAGTTTCCACGATTAATATTCAAAATAGCCAAAGCATTGTCTAGACCATCACTTGGATAACTTACAGAATGTAGGATCTGCAGGATCAAACGGGAGAGGTGTGGGGTTTGCAGGATACTCTGGGGGGTCTTCTAAAGCCACCGCTGTGGCCGTGGGAGCGTGAGCTGTCCGCATAGCTTCACCTATGGCCTTAATCAGTCGATCTAGGAATATCGACTGCACACTGGACTTAGTACTAGTTGGTGCCGCCGTAGTATCCGATTTGCCCGATACAGGCGTTGCTTCGTCTCTCCGCGTAATAGCCGGAGTCTGTTCCGTGACCCGCATCTCTGAGGTTACTGGATCTGGTTGAGCAGTCACAGGGGTTGGGGCCGGTGTACGGTTCGGCTTAGCCGGCAACTCTCCCATTGTAGGCGCACGGGGAAGGTCAGTAAGGTCCCCTGGAGGAGGGCCTAACAAATCGCCCCAATTGTACAGCCAGATCCCGGGATTTTCATTGCTATATTTCTTCCACTCTTCTAGATTGAACGCCATCACATATTCAGCCTTTTGCTCGTCAGTTCCATCCTTCGGCGGACATCCCTTTTTCTCATAGCCAAACCGAAGATCCCAAACCGACCGCCTCATGTATGCAGAGGCGATAAGCCTATAGTTTTCATCCTCGACATTATGAGGTGTGATATTTTTCCCCTTCCCATCTTTAATCCCGTTTTGGAGCTTCTCAGCGAAAGTGATACCGACATACTGACACATCTCCGGCTTAGCGGTACCCATATATCGCGTTCCAAGACGAAGCGAATAACCATTTTCACAAGCAAGAATCCTACTTTGCAGATACCCAGTGATATCAGCGCCGGGGAGGTACTTGCTCGTACGATATTTTGCATAGCAACGTCGCTCCTCGCCGCCATAAATATTCTTAGCTTGAGAGATCACCGCCCCGAGAGAATCAATATCTTCTTCGGAATGGGTTCCATAAAACAGGATATGTTGTCCCATAGTCGAATATTCAAGCCCTGGCTCCATGGGATCTCTATATCCGGGTGTAGTGATTGACTCTTGCGCTGCAAGTACCTGTACCAAGGTACTAGTAGGCTTTGCATCAGTATCTGGGGGCCGGGTTACTGTTTTTAGAGTAGTGGGCATAGATTTGGTGGAGTATGCATTCGGGTCTGTCAAAAGACCCGTCGGCCTACTGGAGTAGTCAGCCCAAGATGTACTGAGCGTGACGGTAAAGCGGGCCTCTAACTTAGCTTCATGGCCGGCTTCACTTGTAATGGCATCTTGGGCCTGTGGATTATAAAGCGTTGTACAAAGTTAGCTGACTTTCAGTAATAGACAAAAGTTCCAGTATACCAATCAAGCCCCGGATTTATGATAGAACCCCGGTAGAGAACTTACAGTAACCAAGGCTACACATGGGACTAAAAACGATAAGATACGTTGAGATCGCATATTACAATGCCTTATGCAATGATCATTCCTTATTTGTCCGTAGTGTGTATGGGCCTATCCTTGAGCTATGAACGGAGGACAGCAGCTCAAGAATTAAATATAATTTATTGTTCAATGAAAGGAGTGACCCAGATAATAGATTCGGAGGCGCGCGGCGCCTGTACCGATTTATAAAGATAAAGGAGATTAACTTCTCTATATGACCCCGAAACGTCGTTTAACAAGTCCAGAAAGGTATTTTAGCTAGGATTTCAAGGCGGAAACATGACCATTGAAATATTTAGAAAGTAATTAACAAGGTTCTTTCGATATATCCATATTCAATTACCTACATTCAGAGGTACCACCGATGCATTGGGAACGATCGATCGAGTATGGTCTAGAGCCCCGTGCGCGTGAATTTCTAGTAAGGAATCCAACCACACGTATCCCGAAACATATTGACGCCTAGATTCAACTGGAAACAAAACGAAGGCTTCCATGCTACAACGAACAGAACCCTCCTCGAAGGTTCAATGCCTCAAACTAGTGTTTTATTTCATCACATTATTACTAATATGTCGCTAACTATACAGTGGTATTTGCTTCAAATATCTAACCTAAGGTCATACCAACGGCAATACTTGTACCCAAGAACGTGAAACGGCACAGCTCTATATAATAACGTATATGGTAATGCGAAGCGTCTGTTGACGTTGGATTAAAGCCCAATTAACAACGAGTAATCTCGCGGTCGGCGGATACTACAGGCCCTGGGGCGTCGAATGTGGACCAAATATGAACCGAGATGTTGGAATTAAGGACGGGGGTATATATTGGAGCAACATTCTAGCGCCACAACAGAAGACCCTGTGTAATGCACAGCTACGTAGCTCCTTTCAAAGAGCCTCACATGCATAAGTGATACAAGTTCTTGGTATAACACTTTGTTTCACAATTTTAGCTATTAGTTTGCACGGCGAGGTTAAGTGGAACATTCAAGGATCAATTGCTAAAGTTACAAATCGCTAATTGCAGGAAATCTATGTACAAAAAAGGCACAAAACGAACCAAGCAAATGGGGTAGTAAAGTAACCAGGCAAGAGTAATTTGCAACAGGCCGTGATATCTAGCTAACGTAGGACAGTAAAGCGCTCAAAACAAAAGCGTTTAGACTCTAAAGCTGTGTCTACGTCTTAGGTGAAATTCCTTCCCAATCTTGCTTTCCCAGCCCTTAAGTCTCTCAAAGCCATTTTTATGCTCCTGGTAATCCTCAAAGGTCTTGTAAATATCCCTCTCCGTGAGCTGCACAAATGGGCCATATTGGACAATGGGTTGGTCTGCGGGTTCTCCGGCCAGGATAACGAAGTCTGCTGCCTCGGTTTCGCTGGGATCGACAGAAATATTGACTCCGCTGCCGTCTGTGCCGAGAACAACGTTGTTGAATTTCTCGACACGTTTGGTGTTGTTGACAGTGATGGAGCCAGACATGGTATAGATGAACGAGTTCCAACCTTTTGGTAGGCTTTGCGAGAGTTCACCACCTGGCCGCATGTTAACGTGTAGCAGCCAAACAGGGGTATAGGCTAAGTCTTTAACTGAATCAATACCGCAGGATTGACCAGAAATGACCTTGACGTCAACTTTGTCGGAAGGGTGTGCAATGGGGATTTCCCCAGCACGGAGGTCGCGGTATCGTGGATCACAGTTCTTGAGACGAGCTGGAAGATCGACCCAGAGCTGGAGGCCAATATTGGCAGCACCGTCTTTTGGTTGCTGTGAGGGAATTTCGGCGTGGACGATACCCTTGCCTGCAGTCATGAATTGGAGGTCGCCAGCCTGGATTGTGCCAGCAGAACCGGTGAAGTCCTCATGGTTGGTGGCACCGCTGAGTTGGTAGGTAATGGTTTCCTGCCCACGATGAGGATGGTCTGGGAAACCTGCTCCGTCTGTGAGGAAGAAATGATCCAACATCAAAAATGGAGGTAGTCGGCGAAGTTGGGGGGTGCCAATGCTTCGGCGAACTCTGGCACCATCGCCCTCCGCTGTTTCTACAGCCGGGACGACCTTGGCAATTGAGCGAGGAGCATTGAAGATTTGGTCGACAGAAGACATGTTTCTGCTAGTCATCTTGAGCAATTGGGTTGGTTTAAAGGATTTTGCTACTCGTGAAAGAATCTTGTCGGTTGTGTATGTAATGTAATCGAATTCAATTGAATTGGAGTACTCGAAGTGAGTGATGTTTTGAAGCGACTATGGCTATTAACTTATAATATCTGCTGATGATATGATGTTGTTTGAAATGAAAGGAAATCGATTGGAGTCGTCTGGTTCAGGGTCTTTATATACCCCCCGCGATACCTGCCATCGGGTACCCACATTGCTAGCGAGTTTAAGCATATTTGTGATGCTTACCAAAGATCCAAAGGACTTTACCCGGTTCGTCGACAGCCTTCTCGTCGTTTTTCCAAAGTCAGCGGCTTAATCATCCTGACACAACTGACTAACCGCCAAAACCTTCCGCTTTGGTGGAGCCCAGCTTATACATTCTTCCATAAGCAGGTGACGTACGCCAAGCCATTCCTATTTCTATAATGCAACAATAACAACGCAGCTTCAACCCAAATTTAGGTCGATTGCACTGAATAGTCTACCCATAATAGTCTCGGAGCCTCTAATATATTGGGCGTAGTATATAGTCCTAGTCTAGGTTAGTGTCGAAACTAATAAGTATCTACTTATCTACTAATTATATACTAACTTCAACAGCTACATACTAAATTTAACCCCTTTTTTACAATACAATATCCAAAAATACAATAACATATAATTATATATAAGTATATAATTATGACGCGAACGATGGAAAAAAATTAAGGTAAACTCTCTATCATGTATATAAGGAGACTCGGACGGGTTATCCGTCAAAATTTATCCGGAGAGGGCCCAAAAAACATTAGTCTGGATGTGACTTTTAAATATTCTTCCTTCCGGTTGGGAGCTAGGATAACAGACCCAGTCCGCTTGACAAGTCAAACGTCTTCATTATCGGATAACCTTTCCCCCGACTGCCCAGCTTCGCGTTTGACAACTTGTCCAGGAGACAAATTCGGAATGCCATATCCCCAAAGTCCGAGAGGCAAAGGCCCAGATGATACACCATCATTTTCGTCTGCAGCTAGGTCCGGACCTTCCAAATAATAAGGCTCAGCGGCATCTTTCATCAAAAACCTCCGCCTCGGTTGAATCGCATAATCGCCTTTCGACATCTTCCAAGTCAGTGTCCTCATATTCCGACCTTGTCCCACGTCTATCCTGAAGTCCCCCACCCTCCCCCGGACCCAGGCAGGGACTCTGTTAAATGCACGTGCAAAAGCCTCGAACGTTGACAAACTCAACCCCTCGGGCTTTGAATCCATCAGGATATCACAATGGCATTCAAGCCAGTACTTACAACGCTTTAAAACGTCGAGTGAGTTACATCTTCTGCGTTCTGTTATCTCACTCAACATTGCGAGGCCACCGTCTTGATATGTACATTTGCACTCCTGGCATACCTCCCGCATTTCTACAAACCAATGCCTAGGGGTTGTAGAGCTTAGTTTCTTGTAGTAAGAGTCTAGGGGGATAGAAAGAAAAGAAAATCGAAAATGAGATTTTCGAGTAGTTGAGGTAGGGTAGCTATTGATAGAGGAAAGCTTTAGGGGAGAACTTACGTTGCCCATACGTATTCAAGTGCTGGGTCTGGTCTTTTATATGGACGAGTCAAACATGTGGGGTAGTTATCGGGATCCGTATCCATATCAATCAGCGCGGTAACAGACGGACACTTTACGTCAGACAGTGAATAGAAAACTGATGGCGGCAGTTTCTCAAATTCGTTCCTATTAAGAAGCCCCTTGCGATTTTGCTCTTTCCGTTCCCCGACAAGTTTTCCGGTAACTTTCATCTCGTCCATTTCTACTGCTTTAGTAGAATTCGTTAGATCCTTTCTTTGGTCCCCAATTGTAGGATTTGCCAACTCTAAGCTGTTATTCGGTGGTGATTGTATAGTGGAAGTAGAAGCGGCCAGAACGATTGAATTAAGGCTCTCGCCTGGAGTAGTAGTCGGGCTAGAGATGGTTGAACTAGAGTGTGTTTGAGAGAGAACGGTAGTTGGCTCGGTATTGAGACTACTCGATCGTGGTGGCATTGTCTTAGACGTAGGACCGGGTTCCTGGGGGAGAGCCGTAGTAGTTACGGTGAAACTCAAAAACAAGTATAAAAATAAGAAGACATTCTTAGGACATCGACAACGATTCATTTCGATTGACAGGGGAATATGTTCCATAAAAATAAGAAGAATCCAAAAATTGCATAAGCTTTGAGGTATGTACTTGCTTTAGTTTTATTTATTTACAGCTAAACTTTGTCCTTATACCCATATAAAAGATGAATGGATGAATAAGTATAGTAGTGATGTAGTCGACTCGCGTATCGATCTTCTCCTAATATTCATTGTTGAGAAGTCTGGTAACTGTAGAGTTATATATAGTAGCGTTAATTAATGCAATACTATAAATTGAATAAAACAACATATAACTGTATGCACCTGTCTCGTAATCAGACCTGGAAGGGCATGCACACTTCTATTACAGATATCCTTTCACCTACAGCTAGTACGCCGCCTTGAGACCAGGCTCAGCTCATTTGGATCGAGGCTCAATTGTGAAATACATTTCTGAAGCCGCTAAATGTAGATCTAGATGCCGCTCCTCGTCACCAGACTCTTCAACTATTCTAAGTTTCATCCGATATCCAACAGCTCCTGGCGGTTTTCAAATGTTTAAATCAACACTCGGTCGATCCTCCTTTGAGCGGAAATGTTGGTGTATGTGCATGAATTCACAGTACAACTGCCAACACGTGTGCACTCGTAAATTTATAAAATTAGAAGAATTCATGAAACGAAACAGTGAGTTAACTTGTGCACGAGTTAGTGATGATATTATAAAATCTTCCCCACCAAGACATAGACCTAGAATAAACTTCTCAGTTTTAAAACCAAAATATAAAACCTAATTTGTCCGAGGCTACGCAATTTATTAGCCTCCTACATATGTAGTAGGATTCAAACCTAGTCACCATACACCCACATAGTTTTATATTAAAATAATACATTTTGATCGCTGCTATCATAATAATTCTACTGCTTGTAGGTTAAATTTGGGAACGGGATGAATCATAGACTGCCTGCCCACAAGCATACCTACGAGTTTGATTTCAGGCCTGCTTACTACCTCCTTTCGGGCTAGCCTACGAGTTTGCCTATTGGCATCCGTATACGCGTATCAAAATTTAAATACTATTTAATTAATTACTAGATCAAAAAGTTATGAACCGAAGGGTCTACATCTGCAAATCATTTGCAAAGATATCAAAACCATCTATTTCGTTTCAGCGACAACTCCTGCCCACATGCTTATTTGAATTACATGAGAATATAAAAATTTAGAAATCTCCCTTATAGCATGGCCCAATACCACTGCTATAGTACCCGGCATCCGTATTAACCCGATCGGTTCCCGTACCAGATACCGTAGATGCTGGCGAAATTCCCTTGGGACAAGTAGTAGAAACGCCGGTTTCAAGAGCCGTGTAGCCTCCAACGAGTTCGCAGAATGCCCCGTTAGCGCTGTCGAAGTAACTATTACACAAAAAGTGAAACCCATTAGCTTTTTAATTCTTTATACAAAAGTAGAGATATCTCCTGCATAGTTAGGACATGAAACTACGGGAAAACTTACTTCCACAAACTGCAATCTGGAGTGTTATAACAGATCTGACAGCACATGCTAAGACCCTCTTCTCCTCGTGGTACACTTGGGTTGCCAAGACCGGCATATGTCCGAGCTACAACAAGATTTCCATAGTATACGAGCTTCTTCTCCTTCAAGATATTGACGCAATATGGAGTCTTGAACGGGAGAGAAACAGTCTGTGTGGTCGTAACTCTAGGAAGAGTTGTAGTAAAGTAGCTAGTAGTAGTGCTAGTCGAAGTAATCGTCTTGGGATCAAATGCGGTAGCCTTGGCTATCTCAGTAGTGCTGAGAGTGAGAGTTACGGGAATGGTATTCGTATGGGTTTTAGTAACTGTTGAGATGACCGTGCTGGTCTGGACAACTTGGACAGTGGAAGTAGTCGTTGGAGTGGTGAGAGACAGACAATTGCATGCCTTCGAGATTGCAGACGAAGCATATTGAGTTACAAATGGCGGAAGGACGAAATTGACTCCTCTCTCTTCTACGGCAATTGAACGACGGGCAACTCCAGCTGGGGTCGTATAAGTGGTCGTATAGATAATAGAAGGGTTTGGAGTGACCGTAACAGTGAGCACAGTAGTAGATGGTATAATCTCAGTGGCTACAGTAGTAGGCACAGTAGCATCGGTGACCGTATTAGTGAAGGTCAGAACCCTATCAGTCAAGTATCAGTTAAAATCATACTCTGGCCGACCAACCGACTCTGTATCTATTGTCCATGCCGAAAAGAGCGGATTCTTACTCAGTCTTAGCAGTCTCAGTAATAGTGGCATAAGCGCTTTCAGTGAGAGTAGTGGTAGTGAGTACCGTCGAAACTTTGGTTGTAGGAACGGTCTGAGTCTTGATACCCAAGAATGTGCTACAGAATGGAGTAGCCTTATTGAGCTTCAAGATGCTAACAACCAACTGTACATCCTTGCAGACATTGGTATTACTACCACGTTTGGAGATTAGATCCCAACTGTGAGTGATGGGTTTCGCAGATGCAAGAGGCACAAAGCAAGCCGCTGCGGCGCTGAGTGCTGCTAAGCTGAATTTCATCTTAACACGATCGAAAAAGAAAACCGAATTATTACAAGAAAGTATATATAACTATAAGTATAAAATAGCAAGAGAAAATGTAATATTGCGAGATGAAAGATGCAGCGGATGTTGACCGAAGCTTGATTAGAAAATAGTGGAAAGAACGGTGATATTTGTGCAATATATATATCGATCCAGGATCTGGATCAATCACAAGCATCTTGTGGAATCTCTAGCTATAGGTTAGCTACTCAATTTGATTTTGAGGAACTAGTGCGTATGGAATAAACCGAACCACGATCACTGTAGTGTAGTTCCCAACATGTGAATGTATGTACATGTACATGCAGTTCGGAGCCTCTTACTGGCGCCATCACGATCATGATCATGATCGAAAGCGTGTTGTGTGCAACGTAACGTCGCCTAAATAATTCATGTACGCGAGGTTCGCGGAATGGTTCCCAATCGAGACAAACTTTCCAGCCGACCCTCACTAAATAGATACCAACAGGTCAAAAGCCAGCGTAAGACAAGGGTTCTCAAAAGACCCATTTCCGCGGGCCCGGATTTCGTAGAATTTCTCAGCCCTTCGCTCATGTCCTTACGTGGTATTATTTTTAGAGCCCCGCCCTTTAAGGCGAAAGCTGGTGCATACAGTGCCGTTAACCTGGGTAGATCATAGAATTGGCACGGCCGCAAACTTAAACAGGGCTACGCATATGCGGAGGCCTAACTTTGATAAATTTGATTCAGGTATAGTGATATCATTGATTTCTGGCTTGGTGAACATACCCACGCCCAATAGCGAGATACCGATTTGGTCTGGAGGTAGCCAATTAACCCCAGGAAGCATATAGTACGGCTAAGATTGAAGGCTACATCATACCACTCATGCAGCTGCAGCTGTGTGATCTTTACAGTAAGGCTTGTCTAATACGGTGGAAAATCTACTTGTCTATTGTATAAAAAGAAAATTATGTCCTATCATTATAAGAAGCACCGGGCACAGACCAAGAGAATCACAAAAGAACAAGAGAGCGAGAGACGGAAGGAAGGGGGAAAGAGGAAGGGAAGCAATGAGAAGAAAAAAACAAGAAAAAAGAAAAAAAAAACAAGAAGCTTTTCCGTCAATGAAAGACGCCATCAATTTATCGTCATCGTGCAATCAATCCATGGTTCCGTATTTGTATAAATATTTCCGTCCCATGGTTCATGCCGACTTTTTTTTAAACAAAGAAACATAGAGCAAAGAGCAAGGCAACGGAAATTAACAAAAAGCAAAAGGCACCGGCGAGAACAGAGAACAGAGGACAAATGCGCGATGCTAGAGAGTCGAATATAAATAAAGAGTATCGCAGTCGTCGTCATCAAGGAGAGGGTAGAAGCACCCACCTTAGGCAACTAGCATTACCTATGGGACATTAAGTTGAAAATAGAAAAGTCAAAACGAAAAACGAATAGAGAAAGAAATCGCAAGCAAGAGTAATAAAGCAAGCAAGTATGTACAAACGCCTGCTCCTTACCTCCAAATATACACCCCGTGGAATTTACGTGGAAACATCACCATCATTATCCATCCAGACATCCTCAATAGCCCTACCTCTTCCAAACATCACCACGTCGCCCCTCTCCTCTCTTACAGTTGCTTCGACAGTTTCTTTCCATATTTTAGTAAAATAAACACGCAAGGCTCTTAATCCTCTAAGATATCCTTTGTCCACCCCATTCCTTTCCTTTGGTGGACACTTCGTCTCGGGAGGCAACTCCTCGTCCGTAACACAATTGGCGAAATCCACAATTCTCATATCGATTCCCGCGCCTTTGCCTCTTTCTCCGGCATCGTAGAGCATTAATAAGCTCGAGGCATAAAACCTATACCCGGGCAAACCCTTAATGATCTCTTCCAACTCAGCCAGTTTCTTTAGGATAATAGGAACGCAGCGTTTGATGTTCTCAGGGCTGTGCAGGAACCTAGCAAGAGCAGTCTGGAACTCTGATCCCGCTTTGATATCCCGGCCCTTGTACTTATCTTCGAAGTGATATGCATGTTTGTCTTCGTTCCACACTTGCATGCCGCAGAGCCTAACACCCAGTTGTCGTGAGGTTGTGAGCTTGCATTTCCTCCTCTGGGATGCGCGTTTCTTTTCATCTGCATCAATACCGTACTGCCGTGTTCCCATCTTCAAGTCAAGAACACAAGGATGTTTCATCCCAGCGGTCAGGTCCTCTAGTAACAAGAATTTTTCAACTCGATCAACGGGTGCTTCGGGGGTAGCCAATGCAGCTGAAGTCGGTTCCGGGTTGTCAACGGGTTCCTCTCGTTTCTCGGGCTCAGGTTGGGCATCTAGCTCCGGTAGAACGGTAGGAATTTCTGGTGTTTTACTGTCCGACGGCCTTACAGCTGGCGAAGCAGGGGCTGTGGAAGCTCTCTTATCAAAGAGACGATCCGTCCATTTTGGCTTGGCCTGAAAACTTCCTACATGATGGGATTCCTCATCAAACGAAAACACTTCCCCTCCTTCTTCCATATCACCTTTATATCCTTCGTCATCGTTGCCGTATGAGAAATCGCGCTCCGCACGTCGCAACCCGGAACACCGCGTCTTGGATAATCTCCTTCGGAGGGGTTGCTCGGGCTCACTTTCGCCGGCAATTCCGCCATGGATGTCAGTTTCGTCCTTCGAACGTGTTTTTCTCAGATCTTCGCCACCAACTAAAGCAGTATGGTGGACGTCCATGTCAGTGCTACTACGTCTCCCAGCGCTCCTACGAACATGCGAAATCGAGGAAGAGGATCGGTGCCGTGGATGCCCGTGCCGGTGGTGATGATGGTGATGCGATAATGGACCCCCAAAAACTTCTCGTAGAACTTGTTCCTGCAACTTTCGGTTGACCGTAGTGGCGCCCGTTGATGCCCAGACACGTTTCGGGCTGTGGCACCCAGTTCCGCTCAAGTCCAAGCCTGGCGACCCAGGATCGGCGACGCCCTTGATGAAAGTCGTTTCGTTATGATTGGTCGAAGTTGCATCATTGTCGTCGCCCATACCCTTCTGCGACGGTGCGCTGCTGGAGAAACGGAATAGGTTTTCCGGGATTATGTGTCGATTGTTCTCCAGAACGACTTGCGGCAAGGGTAAAGCTTGCGCTGAAGTACCCGTGTCCTTTGAACCTGCAGAGTCGCCATGGCTATTAAAAAGACTCAGCTTCTGGGGAGGCTTCTGGGCTTCATCTGTCGCCTTTTGATCCGGCTTGGTTTCAAGCTTATCAACACTGGTACTCTTGTCCGTTTCTTTTCGTGTCTTCTTGCGCTTTGGTGCCTTTCGGAAAGTAACATTTAAGACGCCGATATACCTGTGTATTTATATTAGTGATAGGAACAAATTTCTGGTGCATTTCCGTGGTCATACCTAGGCATGAACTGTAAGAGTTCTTGGTGGGTTCCTTCTATTGCCTCATAGAACTCATTTTCGCGATTGTTCAAACTCTTGCAAACGGCTTTTCTAGAGAAGCGATATAATGCTGTGTGCCCTCCAACCTGGTGATTATATGGCTTCAATTCGACAGCTCCGAGTGGTGGCGGCGGCGGGATTTGGGATTCGTCGGTAAACGTCCGATGGTGATGATGGTGGTGGTGGTGGTGTCGATGATGTTTTGACTGATGGGCCTGTTTGGGAGTAGCGGTAGGCGTATTAGCATCGTCATGGTCCGTCGAGTCGTAAAACTCTGTGTCAGAGTTTCGCCTTGACGAGAAGGAAGAGTAGCCAGATTGAGTATCGAAGTCGGACTCGAAGCTATCATGTCGACTCAGCGAAGACGGTTCCTGCGTAATCCCGCTATCAAATATGGGGGTCTCAGTGGTCAGGACTTCAGCAACAGATATTTCATGCTGGTGTTTGACTCCATGTGCAGGTTGATCCGTTGTTGCAACGATTTTCACCTCAAAATCTGCGCTTTTCCCATCAACAGTATGTCGCTTGCCTTTCAAATGCGTGGTACTGCCATCAAAATCAAATTCCGTTGGCTCAGTGTCGTCAAGATCTAGTTCTGAAAGGCGTAGTCCGGGCGATGACGGACTACCCTCGGACAAAATCTCGCCATCATGATGAAAAGAAAGTCTTTTGGGGTCAATGGAAGGTGTTTTGTGAGGGATGTACAAGGCAGAATACAACTGTTCTTTCTCAGAATCTTCGTCCTCATCCTCATCTCTAGGGGACGCTTCGGCTTCTTCTTCCTCTCGCGTTGAATCAGAAGCGCCACGTGTCTCTCCTTTGGGCCCAACTTCTTGTTCAACCGATGTCGTTTTTTCAACGACAGCGGAGGGAGAAAGCTGATAAGGATTGTTTAGATTAGCTTCCAACAGGGACTGCTGTCTAAGGCGTGTGAGTCCTCCCGGAGGAAGTGGATATTGGACTGGTTGGAACTTGGCGGCATTGTTGGCGACGTCAGACTCACCAAACGACTGTCTATTCACGGGCGATGACGACGGTGGCACAGATGCATGAGATGGTACAGCAGGAGCAGTAGGAACACGGGTATCACTGGTTTGAGGAGCAGGGAAGGTATTCTTTTGAGAACTATCAGATATACTTGCAGCAGTATTAGGTGCAGAAACAACGGTAGCTTCAGGTTCACCACTAACGGGTGCCTTTTCCCATCTCTTGCTTGAAGATATTTCTTCAGTTTTGGATAAATATTCCTGCGATTGGAAGCCTGAGTGGAGTTTGGGTCGGGAGGTCTCATGTGAAACGTCGATTGCTTCCTCGGGAATATTGAAAACATCATCACGAGATTTTGAAGCTTCACGTAAGCGCTGGATCTTCTCTCGCTCCTTACGTTCCCGGCGCTCCCGATCATCGACTGGATTTCCCTCTTTAAACAATCTCAATGTTTGGCTGGACTTTCGGCTGCGTGAAGTCGTTTCCGACTTGGCATCAGCGATGGCTTTTCCAACCATCGATTTCCTCTTTTCGGAAGCATCTGTTCGTTGACTTCGCCTTGAGCTATCCTCGCTAGCAGCACGGCTAGCGTAATCAAAGCTAGACGTTCGGCCTGAAGACCGTCCATCCTTTAAGGTTTCCTTCGAAGAGATACTTCGCAGGCTTTCGGTGCCACCGGCATCAGGTGTAGCTACCCGATTTGGGCTGTCAGCCGGGCTTATAAAGGGTGGCAGCACCTTGTGAAAACCTTCACCCCCGATATTACCGGCCAAAAGGCCACCGGCAGGGTCATGAGTCACCGACGACGGTAGTATGAACCGCGACATAGACTTCATGGACTGGGAGGATTTTGGTTTGCGGGGTGAAGTAGAGTCCTCCATGGGCATAGATAGGGACCGGCGGGGTACCGACGGTGGAGGTGATATTGGAAGGTCAAAGTCATGCGACTCTGTGTTGGAAGTTCGTGTAACCACACCTGAGGCTTTATCTCTGCCGTCTCTTTGTGTAGCTGCAGGTAAGGAACCAATAACACCTGGAGAATCGGTGTCGGTATCGGATGGCGGTGTCGTAGACACGGTTCGGAGCAAACTAGGACGGGATATGATGGATGTAGAAGGAGGAAAAGGCGGCTCAGCAACGGCAAATAAGTCACCTCGATCGGAAATAGGTGTTATCGGGTCGGCTGACAAGGATAGGGGAGAGAAAGAAACTGTTGGAGGGATAGTAGTGGTAGCGGTGGTGGTAGTAGTGGAGATGATGGGGGTAGGAGTCGTGACGGTCTCCGTTGCATGATCGTATTTCTTTGTGGAGGAAGTGGTTGTGGTTGTGGTTGAAGTAGTGCTGGTACTGCTCCCCGGCTTCCATCTCGCGACATTGGCGAAGACAGAAAACACCTTAGAAGACGATTCGGACGAGGAAATCGAGGATCCAGACGACGCTCGGGACTTCAAAGGGATTCGGTAGCCATGAGGGGCCGTGTGGTCCTTTGGAGATTTCGGGGAAGGGTCAGGTTGCATCAAGGAGGAGGTGTCATTTGTGAGCAGACGAGCAGCAAGTTTTCGTTCAGCGTATTCGGGAAGGATGTATTGAAAGAGAAGGATGGAAACCTCCGAGAGAAAAATATTTGCGGCTGTTGGTGCTTGCAAGCTGCAAGCTAAATTAACATGAATCGAGCTAGTGGCCAGCCGAAAGTTAACTGTTTCTTGGGAGTCAAAGCAAAGAAAATTTTGCTTTCTTTGATGAGAGACAAAAGCCAGATGATGCTTGTTTGCAGGGGCAGAATGTGCTCTTCCCTTGGGTGTGTGGTTCTTAGTCAGCAGGGCCAATTGACCAAAGAAAGCAGGTTGGCGGAAGGGATGACGACAGGCTTGAACACAAAAAAAGTTAAGTTGGGGGAAAGTTTGGTGATAAAGTTGGTGAAGTCGGCGAAGATGGTGAAGATGGTGATGATGATGGTGATTGTAGTGATGAAGGTGAAGTTGAGGTTGAGGTTGAGGTTGAGGCTCTGCAGATTAAAACGTGTGTGTGTATATATGTGTATATGTGCCCAAGTACGTGGGGGGACGCTTTGTCTCGAGACTGTCTCTCT